ATTATTAATAATAAAATAATAAACTAAATAATTAAATATATTATATAATAAGATATTAAATAAATATTAATTAATCTTATTTATTAAATTTTAATTAACTTAATAAGTAAATAATATTGATTAATTTTAACAATTAAATAATATATTTAATAATTAATAAAAGATATTTAAAAATAAAAATAGGAAAAAAATAAGATTAGAATATCTAAACTATTATTTAATTTAGTTTAAATCAAACCAAATCTGAACTAAAATCTGAATAATCTGGTTCTAGTCCTATATATAATAAACTAAAATAATTCAATTTACTAAGTCTAGAACTATATGGTTTTTAAAGTCTATTTAGATCTAATTTGATTTAGATTTTTAATTCAATTTTATCTAAATATCTAAATATTAATAGATTTCTATTAATAATACTAATATATTTAAGATTAATCTTAATTTTTTATAATTATTATTAATTATATAATTATTTCTAAAGTAACTTTTTATAAATTAAATTTTTATTTTTTAAATTAGAACGTTATTTTAAATATTTTTATAAATATTATAATAAATTTTTAATATTTAAGTTATAATCTAAGAATTATCTAAATAATAATAATACTTTTTCTTTTTTTAATATATATTTTTTTGAATTATAATATATAACTAATCTATTTATTAGAGAAAATATATATATATGTTTCTATATCTATATTATAATATTTATTATTATTTATTTATTTTTTAGTATATCTTAATAATTAAATAGAAAATTATAATTTAAATAATTAATTATAGTTTTTATATTATTTATTTATTTAATTATTAAAATTTAAAGAGATTTTAATATATTTTTAAAAATAAAATTTAACTATAGTTAAAAATTCTTTTATATATATATATAAATATATATTTAAATATTTAAAAATTTTATTTCTTTTTTTTTTAAATAAAGAATATAATTAAATAAGTTATTTATTAATTTTAATATATATAGATAAAATTTAAAATTTAAATAAAATAATTATTAATATACTGATCTAACTCTATAATAATAATAAATAGTATTCTATAGCTTACTATTTAAGAAATATAATATCTTTAGAATATAATTATAATATCTATAATAAAGAGATATTAGCTATTATTTAAATATTTAAAGAATAATATATAAAGCTAAAAAATCTATAATAGAATAAATAATTTAATATATTTATTAATTATTATATATTAAAATATTTTATAATTATAAAAAAGCTGAATGCTTAATAGATTTATTAAATAGAATTTCTTTCTTATTTTTATTTCTATATTAAATATTATTTTGATAAGATTAATATTTTAATTAATATTTTTATTTAATATTAAATCTTTTCTCTAAAAGATTCTAAAGAAATCTATATTTAGATCTTACTCTTTATAGAGTATCTAGATCTCTAAATTACTATAGAATTATATTTAATAAAAATATTATTAGTACTAATTAACTTTAAAATTAATATTATTAAATATATTTTTTAAATTAATATAACTAATATTAATCTTAAATTATTTTAAGAAAAGATCTATAAAAATAATAATAATTAAAAACTAAAAACAGAATATCTATTATTTAAAAATTAATTAATAGTTTTTAATAAAAATAATCTATATATATAATTATTAGATCTAATCTATTATCTAATAATATTAATATATTTAGAATATATAAAAATATATAAATTAATAAAAAAGTGTTATTACTAAGATATATAAAATCTAGATATTATATAATATATAAATATATTAAGATATATTAAAATCTATTACTAAACTTACTCTAATCTCTATCTATTCTAAATTATCTATAGTAATATATCTTTATAAATTTTATATCACTACTAAAGAATAAATATAACTTTAATATAATTTTTATAATTATAGATTATCTTAATAAATATCTAGTATTAATTCTATATTATAAGACTATTAATATAAATAATATAGTAAGTTTATAGATTAAATATATCTTTTTATAGATTAGTCTATTAAATATCATTATATCAAACTAAAATCTATAATTTATATTAAATTTTTAAAATAAAATATATTATATACTATAAATTAAATTAAAACTCTTTATAATATATTATCTATAGATAGATAGTTAAATAAAAATTATAAATTAGTATCTAATATAATATTTAAAACTATATATAAATTATTTTTAGAATAATTAATCTAAATATTTATTTATAATAAACTTTGCTACTATAATATTATTATAAAAATCAATCAGTATAATATTATTCTAGATTAAAAAAGATTATTAATTATATATAGTATTTAATTAATATAATATCTTATTATTCTTTTATTATAATATTAATCATTATAAAATATATCACTAAATAAAATATTTAAAAGAGATTTAATATTTTATCTATAAAAATCTAAAAAAAATATAAAAATATTTAAAAGAAATAAGCTAATAAATATTATTAAAAAATAAATTTTAATATAAAAAATAAAATATTAATTATTATAAAGAACTAGAATATAGACTGTTTAAATAAAAAAATTAAAATATTAAATTATAGATTTTTATTTAATCATTACTTAATATAATAATATTTATAAAATAGATCTTTTTTTAAATATTAAAATATATCTAATTTTTTTATTAAATAAGTTATATACTAAATTATTAACTAATTCTTTATTAAAGTAGTATTATAATCTATCTTTAATAATTAAAATGAATAATAAAATTAAATATAAAATAGAAATAATAATAAATTTATAATTATTTTATTAATATTTATAATATTATACTAAATAATAAAATTATAAAGATAAAAATCCTATATAATATCTTATATCAGATTTTAAAAATATATTAGATTTAATATAACAATTCTATAATATATATTTAAATAAATTAAAATCTTTAAAATATCTATAAATATAATTAATAATAGCTATAAATAATGAATTCTTAAAGAATTATTTAAATGATAATTTAATATATATAGAATATTAAAACTATATAGCTAAGGATAGTTATATCTTTTTTTAGAGAGAAATAATATAATAGCTGGATTAGCATCTTATTTATTTTAGATAATTAAGATGGCTAGGGCTGAAGCTAGTAAGATATGTGCTATATAGCATGTACCCCACACTGATTATCTATTTACAACGTGTGTAGCTGTACATAATTCTTTCCTTATACTTAGAATTCTCGTTCAATGATACCATAAATTCCTGTTTATGCCGATCGTAACATATATGAGAGGAATCTAAGGTTTATATATATAGTCAAAAGTATATAAAGAATATCTATCTATAGCCTGAAGGGTTTCACTATGGTGAAAGCCCTTTGATCATGACAAATATTTTAAAAAAAAGAGATTAATATATTTTTAAATCTTAATTATTATTTTTAAACATAAATAGTCTTCTATAAAAAGATTAAATTTTAAAATAAATTAATAATAATATTTAATTTATTAATAAATTCTTTATAAATTAATATAATATCTTTTTAAACTACTTTTAATAGCTTCTAAAAGTTTATAAAAATTATATTATTATTTTTAATAAAGATAGAGTATATAAAGTTATATATATATTTAATAAAATTAAGAATAAATTTATTTTTAAATAATTTATTATTTATTTAAATATAATTAAGAGTTACTTAGATAATATTATTTAATTTCTTTATATTAATAATTTATTTATATAGTTGTTTTAGTCTATATATTAGAAATGACCTTTTAATTATAAATAATATTATATTATCTCTTTATACTATTATATTATTTAAATTACATAAATTTAGGCTTAAGTAATAGTTAGAGAAGTTAATAATTTTTAATCTAATTCTTAGTTATGTCCAGCCTAGGCTGTCATTTGGTTCGGTTTGAACCGAACCAAAACCGATCTGAAATCCGAATGGTCCGGTTCTGGTCCTATATATAGTGAACTGATGTAGTTCAGTTCACTAAATCTAGAATCATATAGTTTTTTAGAGTCTATTTAGATCTGATTTAATTTAGATTTTTGATTTGATTTTATCTAAATATCTAAATATTAGTAGATTTCTATTAATAGTATTAATATATTTAGAATTAACTCTAATTCTTTATAATTATTATTGATTATATAATTATTTCTAAAGTAACTTTTTATAAATTAAATTTTTATAAATTAAATTAGGACTTTATTTTAAATATTTTTATAAATATTATAATAAATTCTTAATATTTAGATTATAATCTAAGAATTATTTAGATAATAATAATATCTTTTCTATTTTTTATTTATATTTTTTAGATTATATTATATAAAAGAAAATATATATATATATTTCTATATTTATTTTATAATATTTATTATTATTTATCTATTTTTTCAGTATATTTTAATAATTAGATAGAAAATTATAATTTAAATAATTAATTCTAATTTTTATATTATTTATCTATTTAATTCACTAAAATTTAAAGAGATTTCTATATATTTTTAAAGATAAAATCTAACTATAGTTAAAAATTCTTTGATATAATTTAATTATCTAAATAAAAACTGGACTAGACTTAGATTGATTTAATTATAATTAGTAATTCTTCTTTAATATAATTTAGTTTTAATTTAGAGAGCTAGAACTATTTAGTTTTTGATTTTGATTCTAATATTAGGGACTAAACCGAACTGACCCACTTTTAGGTTTGGTTCAGAAACTCAGGACCAGAACTGAACCAAATGACAGCCTAGTCCAGCCTGCTTTAGGCAAGGAATTTCAAAAATTTGTTCTGCGAAGAAAAAGATGTTTTTTATAATATATTAAATTATATAAAGATTATTAAAATATTAGCTGCTTTAAAGGCTGCTTACCCTAAAGTAGCTTAAGACATCCTAATCTGTTCTTAGCTTTGCATTTGTTGGTTTCGTAACACACAGCCAGTGACAACTAGAGTGGGTCCAGGTGCGTGACACTACTACTACACTACTACTTTGGGAAGGAATTTCAAAATTTGTTCTTTATTTTGTCTAATAATAGAATAGAAATCATAAGTCATGAACTCCATTTTAATATGGTCTAAGATCGAATGATATAAAATCAGTAATACTCCTATGAAACTCCAGATCCTGCTTATTTTGAAATCCACTTCCAACTCTATACCAAGGAAACCGTTCGTACTACTTTTCTGGAGCATCAGGTAGACGTTCTATGACATATTTCCCTCGAGCAACATTCATTATGGGAACACCAGGGATTTTACTGCAATAGTACATCATTAGCGAGGAGTCAAGATTTGTATGGTTGGAGGTTGCCTCACCGAACCCTCCTTTTCAGATCTCGGTCGTTCGTCGCGACGATATAGATTCTATGCTTGATAACTCGATCAACTATGCAATCATCGGCATAGGTTCCCTTGTGGTCACACTTTATCCGTTCAAAACGAGGATCCTTAGCAATTCGTAAGGCAAGTCGATATTTCTGTCCTAATTTCTCCAGTTCTGCGAGAACGCAGTCTGTAATGATAGGGATGCATTTTGCATAGAGACAATCCATCATAGTCGGTATCACCTCCAATTTATGCTGGACACTGTGTGAGAGAAAATTGGTATCGACTAAGACCGAATATGGCGGTGTCAGAGACGTATTGTACTGGAAAAAGAGAGACGACGAAACCTGGGGTCTAGTAACTTCCATTAAAACGACTACAGATGTCTTATTAGTCTTGAAAACTTACATTTCTCGTACCACCCCATCATCTTTCTTTTCAGGCTTTTTCTCTTGAGGATTCTTTCTGATAGTCTCGGGTCAACAACAATTCTTGCACGGCATGTGAGTGGAAGATATACAAGCGACTGTCCCTTAAGGTAATGGCGCGTTTGACTTGTGCGAACTTGCGCACTTTCTTCTTCACGCCCATGCTGACTGTAGCTTTCTGAAGAGCTGATTGATGTTGCACAGCGGAAGAAAAAAAAGATACAGAACGAATTGACTACTTATCATAAGAAAAGCGGATCCCCCGTTATCTTAGCGTGCCTCCGCCACCCAAATTATTATTCCTCTTATCCTTCCGAGCCCCCGCGAGAAAATTGACCGTCTTCGAATTATCTGATCAAACATGCTTACGCTGTGTCGCTATCCCTGTCCTAGACATGGGTATTCCAAAATTGTCGCATCACCTCGCTTCATTGTCAGAGTCTGCCACCTTGGGTGGCCAACATGAATCATCCGAAGGCTTCAAATCCGTAGTAATCGATGGTCCCGCTTTGGTTTACCATGTTTATTCAACTCTGATATCGAGGATCAATCCGCGTGTCGGTGTGATTGATCGGCAGCCTACCTGTAATGAGGTCAGCGTGGCTGTCATGATGTATCTTGTTCTTTTAAAGGTAGTCAATGTGGACGTGTATGTTCGTTGAAAATTGGTTGGATTTGAACCCTTCTCCTTCTGCTGACATATAAGATGCAAATTGAACAACATATACTGAGACTGCATTCAATTATAGACGCAAAATTTATTTTGATGGGGCTCTTCCATTGCACAAACGCGATACAAGGCTTTCGAGACTTGAAAGGTCTCGGAAACAGCTGGAAGGTGCCTGCAAAACTACACGCAAAGGACATGGGTTGGTATTGGGGAACCGGGCTTGTTCGATTAGACCAGGCGACCTTTTTCAAGGCCCTAAATTTCCTGGAAACCGTTCCCCATTGCCAGAAAATGCTTTCATGGTTTCCGCCGTAATCGAAGATCTGATGTCAAGGTGGAATCTCGTGGAGATCAGATCAAACCTGCCAGAAAATTTGGCCGACATAGTCACTTATGATAGCGACTATCCGTGGCTAGATATTTGTGAAATTGTCCCAGGAGAGGCTGATTTTGCTTGTGCCGCACTGACATCTCGAGAGCATGGACTCGCTATTCTGACAAGCGATTCTGATCTCGTAGTTTTTAATCTTGGTCCTTCCAGTACCGTCATTTTTCTTAATACTATATACACCGAATACTGGTGTGATGAAGACCCATCACGATCTATAATCAGAGCTATGCATATTTGCCCAGCTTCAATATCGAACCGACTTGGAATTCATAGTTTACCTTACTTGGCGCATGAATTAAATGTTGATTCTCGTGCAGGTTTGGGAGAGCTTATTCGCCGTGCCAAACGTGCCTATGAATCAACACATCTTGATTCCACCTACGTGGAGTTCATGAGACAATATGATTTAAGAGCGTTCACCCATAACCTGTTCAATGCTTCTTTCTTACAAGGCTTCGATGTTAGACTCTCCGAGCTATTCGCACAGATTGTATGGAGCGGAGAGTTCCTGGACCAACTCCCTCGAATATATTTGCCATTCTTACAGGAAGATCATTCGAGACGTTGTGGATGGGCTGAAGGTAGTCGCATTAGAAGGCTAGCCTACTCTTTGATTGATAAGAACAAGACATTGGATGCACAGTATCCCAGTATCACAGAGTGCACACGCAGGGGAACGAGGTTTTGTTTTGATGAAGTAACTCTTTACAGCCGTGAAGTCATCAAACTGGAGGTACATCGCCTACTTGATGGATACAAACATATACAAAATAATCACCCTGAGAGCCGAGGCTCTCCGCTGTTTTGGCGAATATATGCCCTTGCTGAAATCTATTCAAACACTGAGGAAAACCACACATATTGGCCTGACAAAAGGGATTTGGGGAGATTTCTTGGTTTCGAAAAGACATATGACAATGTAGGCTGGGAAGAAATCCATGCCTTGGCTCAAACACAATCGGTGCTCTATTCATTGCGGATACTTTTTCAAATTATTCGGATTATACCACATAATAATGGCGCAGTCAGCCAACTCTATGATTGCCTGTCAACATTGCCTTCGCTTCGTATTTTGATGGGAACATATCGAGAAGTGAGAGATGAATACTGCGGTGGATGAAACGTAATTCCAGCTGGAGAGATTTGATTTCAATAAGATGTGTATGTCAAATTATAACTGAGAGACCTGAGATCTTTTGGTGTTATGGTCAAGATGCTATATTCAATTCTGTACAGTCTCTTCATACTTGCTATTTGAACAATTGATACCGTGAAAACAGTTCGAACAAAGACCGAGAAATATGCTAAATTCGCCATCTAGCGATACAGGGAGACTTTTTTAACACTTTGGGGCCCCGGTGGGTTGCGAACTTCTTATTGTAGCACCTCCAGCTGGGTCTCATGATATCGTGTACTAGATTTAGACCAATGAGACAATGGTCTCATAGAGCCAGACAAAAATCTTACTCCTAAACGCGTGATTGACAGTCGTTATTGCGACGTTTCGACATCTAAGCTCTTAATTACTCGTTCATCCATTGATTAAAAGGCGGTCAGGTCGAGGGTAGGCCGTAGTTTATAACAAGTATAATTTTGATATGATTTAGAAACCATACTATACATCTAACGCGGTGATCGAAGGAACCCGATGATTCCACGACAATAGCCCATCAATTCAGATAATCGCCTGGACTCTTTTTGTTGTTCTGATTTCCAAGCTGAAAGTGCCGCCTGTAAAGCATACGCCGTATCAACTTCACCATCTTGGGTGTTCGTAATAAGCTCAGCATGAACTTTCAGAAAGACCGCCATCCATGCATTGACAAGTTCAAAGTCCCTCTTTTGGCGCAGCCTTTCGGTTAATGCATTGACAAAGTCCACAAGCTCACAGCGACCCCGCGAAAATCGGCTGTCCAATGAGCGAATTTCTAGATCAATTTTGCTGGGTGATAGAGTCTTGAAATAGTCAATGAAACATGCAAAATTCTGACGACTAGCGCCAACTTGAAGGAGCCGACTGAAATGGGCCATCTGTGATGGCTGGAGTTGGGTGTTCGAAATCTGTGAGAGGTCGGTTGACCGATGCCCATTTGTTAACCCAGGGTCAGAATCAAGTTTCTGAGTGTCACCTAAAGACTGCAAAAAAAAAGGTGCTCTCTCTGGTGCTTTGACGGGCTCTTTGGGTTTATTACGCTCCTGACTAGTGATTAGCTTGTGCTCCGAGGAATAATAAGGGATAAACATACTTTGATAGTTTCCAGGTTGATAAGTGTTTGCCATGTCGCCCGTGGAACTATACTTAGAGTCATGAGATCATCGCTAAGCTGTTCAGCAGGAGAAATCAAAGGCTGATGGTGTTTATTCTCGACATCGGTGGCAAAAGCTGCATCTATCATTCCGGATTTAGTTTCAGTGATTGCCGTTGAATTCACCTCTAGTTCGACCTCGTTCTCATCGATATGATTTGGCTGTACAGATGAGAAAAGCGCCTTATTATTCCAAATATGGACGCCTAACTCATCGGAATGAGCAGTAGCGAGGAACTCCCCGGTGCCTGAAAAGGCCAATGATGTACATGTTGTTGGTACTTGGAAAATATCGATTAAGTGGCCTGTTGGGAGGTCCCAAACTCGGATGGCTGAGTCCATTGACGATGCAATGATCCATCTACCATCATTAGAGAAGGTGAAATCATTGATCTGCCCTCGGCACCCCCATAACTCTCGAACAACTCTTTTGGTTTCCAAATCAACTACTCGGATAGACAAGTCATCACAACTTAGAGCTACAAGCTCATTGATATCACTAGAACGAAGACTAGTAATAGCGGCCGTGGGCGACCAGTCTAATTCTGTGAGCATAAGACCCGTGCTGAAATCCCAGAACTGATGTTCAAGTTAGCATGAGGCTATTGGGATAAACGATCATATACTTACTTTTAGCTTTCCGTCTAAACCACAACTCACAAGATATCGGTTTAGACTATCAATGGAAAGCCCCGTGACGGCTTTTGTGTGTTTGTTGAGTTTTGTCCCAGAATTATCTGTCTCATGTACTCTGACTGAATTGGCACTTCTGGATTTTTTATTCGATGGCGGCGGAAATTGTTGTCTACGCACACCGGACTGGAGGTTGAACATGTCCACACTGCCGCCTGATGAGCCTACGACAGCAAATGTGCCGCATGCTGAAACCGCAACGCTCTATAATAGATCAGCATTTGAAAATACAGATAGTTCTAGGATTGCACACCTTCACTTCTGTTCCATCGCTTGTCTCAAATGCCCATCGACCTGCTTTTTTCTTTCCCCAGTACCAAGTTCGGGCAAATTTATCACCTTTGTGAGCAGTTACGACACTCTCCCATCCGTTCGCATTCTGGGCAAGTTTTTTGGTATCTCTTGAGTTCGTCCAGACTTGTTGACTGCTAACTCCCATGCCAGCATCGCGAGTAAGAGAGCAAGCGATTGAAGTTATTTCTGGTGCTTTCAGATCCTCATACGCAGTCTCGTTTCTTAAAATACCCTTTTTTTGGCTTTTGCTTTTAATGTTCCCCTGGGACAATTCAGCATTTTGGCTGTCTTTTCGCAGACTGAAGCCCCAAAGACTTCGGTCTTTAGAAGCACTCAACAACCATTTTCCGGTAGCGTCACTACCGTCAGAAGAGGCTGGGAGGAACGAAAGTGCACTGACAGCTGCAGAATGGCCACCCCTACTGTGCAGCGGCCTTGGAATTGGCGAAAAGGGTGATTCATCAAATATCCAGGACCTTAATGCATTGTCCCTTCCCGATGATATCAAGACTGGTTGACCGTCCAAAAATTCAATTTTATTAACGCCACCATTAGATATTCTTTGTCGCAGGTCGTGTGCGTTTCTCAGCGAGCCACTTCTTCTACCTCCATTGTTGAGATCCCATAGAGTTATGTCGCTATTGTGGACTGCTGCAGTAGCCATCACACCTGGAATTCTTCCATCTTCTCCAGCGCCTAACCCATCGGTCCGAAAAGAAATTGATGTCACGGGAGGTGCATCGGATAGATTAGAATTCAAAAACAAAACTACTTTACCTGAGGCCACATTACGAATCACAATAGTCCCAGCTTTGTAAGCAATGGCAACGAGTGAAAGAGCAGGTGTCGGTTCAATCGCCGTGACCGCACCATCCTGTTCCGTCGGTGGATAAATAGAGTGCAGCAACTTCCCCGAGCTAACATTCCATATCTCAACCGTGCCGTTGTATCTCCCCACAAAGATTTTGTTTAGATAAGTGGGCATAATACAAATATGGCCGGTAAATATAGGCAAGTCAGGGGCATTCTGTGACGCTGCGGGAATCAAGGTTGTATAATAGGCGTATGATGTTGAATTCCAAATTTGAATGTTCCTTTCGCAGCAACCCACGATCCATGAGCCGAATACTAGAAGTCGAGTAATTGGCCCTGCGAAAGTAGGCGTTCCTTCTAAAGAAGCAATCTTCCTTCCACGTCGAAAAACCCACACTCCAGACTCCTCACCGGCATGTTGACCTCCCCAAGCTGCAAAGATGACATTTTTCCAAGCGAATGTTGCTGTAATAGGCTTTGGAGTTCGAGGTTGGCTTGCAAAGACCAGTCCGAGGCCCTTTTTCAAGTCATAAGTGTGTAGAACGTTCCCAATGGATGTTGTGATCTGATACGTTGATTTTCCCAGTCGCACGGATGTGAATGGCACTGAGGTGGGAGAAACTAAGCCGATAGTCTATATGAATGTCAGCTGGGATTCGAGTAGGGCAATTACGGACTTGGCTCACTCTAAAATGCGAAAAAATTCTTGAGCCTGACTCTTGCTTCGCAGGAGCTCGTGGTTGCAAGGTTTTTTGGCGTTTTGCTAAAGGTGCATCTATGTCTTCCGCAGGGACGGGAGCCATGTTGTTCATGGCCATGTGCTTGTGGGTTGCATGTTCTGCTTGGAAGCTTTTGATATTTTTTTTTGGATTCTGTAATATTCGTGACAGGAAATACGCCCAATGCGGTCTAGCGAGCTGTAAATTGTAAAATACAACGTGACGTGACAAAACGGAAAAATACCAGTACTGCTCGCCCTGCACCTGCCCGCAGGATCGCTTATCGGGAGTCCTGCCGGAAGCGTGTCGAATCTTATCCGCCCCTCATCTTGGCGGTGTCGCCAGAGCTCGTTTGTCTGCTGAAAGCGATTCCTTTCTAAGGAACAACTGGGCTCTTGGGAGCGGTCTATCTACTAGGTGTGTTGTAAGTGTTTGTAACTATCAAGCCCTGATTCTCAAACAACTGGCGGCATTAACAATGGTTCATTACACGGCACCCTGGCTGATTAAAAAGTAGTAACTAACTAGTGACCCAGGAAAAGGTCTCAGGATGTGGGCCTCCTAAGAAAAGTTTGAGGGAAGACCACCATATCGTCCGTACAGGTCTCGGTGCCATATTTACGATTTTAGACATGTCAACTTCAACGCCGCACGATATGAGAGCGTTCCCATCCCCATCCAGATGACGTGGATCATCATATAATCCGCCCCTCTCTTTCGATTCGGCTCGACGACACACGGTCTGCACAAACAACAAATCAATTAGACTTGGAAGGCCCTCGCGGTATCGAATTCCACTCCAGCGTTATCGATAGAATTCGATAACACGTCTCAACCATGTCCGAGAATGTTGGCTCCACAAACGCTCCGGACGAACACAACGTGTCGAATCACGGAATACAAACGTCTCCCATATCTCTTGTGTCAAAGAAGGAAACAGAAGAACCACAAAGTATTTACGCTCTAAACCCTCCAGCCCCGACTTCGACTTCATCAGGTCAAAATCATATCCCCGAAACCAAACGACAATCATTTTCATCTCTTTACTCGCTAGGCTCAGCAAGCCATACAGGCTCTATAGGACCTTTGTACGACTCTCCCTCCACAAAAAATGGCAGCGACGACGGCGCAAAGTCAGCTCATCTACGGCTGGACACAGATGCGCCATCCTCTCACCCGGGGCATGCTGTGTCTGGCCCAAACTACACACCACAAGGGCCTCAACATATGAGAATCGAAGCGTCGTTCGAAGGATGGCAAGGAAGCCGGTTATCCCGACCACCTCGTTCGTCGAGCAGAGCACCTAGAAGGCTAAGTGGTAGTACCGCAGCGAGCTCTGCTAGTGAGGCAGACCCGCGACCTCCTCTTATTGGTAGGATCGGGGTGTGTGCCCTCGATGTCAAGGCGCGGAGCAAACCAAGTCAAAACATCTTGACTCGCCTTCAAATGAAAGGCGACTTAGAAGTCATTGTTTTTGGTGATAAAGTCATTCTGGACGAGGCCGTTGAAAATTGGCCCATATGCGATTTTTTGATTTCTTTTTTCTCGGATGGGTTTCCACTTGAGAAAGCAATTGCCTATGCAAAGCTACGCAAACCTTTCTGTGTGAACGATCTATCAATGCAGAAAGTTCTCTGGGATCGCAGACTTTGTCTTAAGATACTAGATCAAATGGGTGTTCCGACTCCGAGTAGAGTGGAAGTGAACCGAGACGGCGGCCCCGTTCTACAATCATCTGAACTTGCGCAACATGTCTATAACCTGACTGGTGTGAAGCTAGAAGGTCCTGAGGATGGTGTCGGAGGTGGAGCTCCCAAAACTCGGTCAGTGTCATTGTCTGAGGATGGGGAAACACTTATCGTCGACGGTCAGACATTACGTAAACCGTTCGTGGAGAAGCCAGTGAACGGAGAGGACCATAATATTCACATATATTTCCCCAACGACCAGCAATATGGAGGGGGTGGAAGACGACTATTCAGGAAAGTCGGCAACAAGAGTTCGGAATATGACCCTGATCTTGTTATACCAAGGTCCATAACCGAGAGCAACGCCAGCTATCTATACGAGCAATTTCTCAGAGTCGATAATGCTGAAGATGTCAAGGCTTATACTGTTGGTCCTGATTTTTGTCACGCCGAGACCCGCAAATCTCCCGTTGTAGACGGTGTGGTGAGACGAAATACACATGGAAAGGAATTGCGATACATAACAAATCTTACCAAAGAGGAGGCTTCTATGGCTGCAAAGATTTCAAACGGTTTTGGTCAAAGGATTTGTGGTTTTGACATGCTGCGAGTTGGAGACCGAAGCTTTGTGATTGACGTGAATGGCTGGAGTTTCGTTAAGGATAATAATGATTATTACGATAAATGCGCCAAAATCCTTCGAGAGATGTTTCTGAATGAAAGGCGCAAACGTGATAGAACGTTTGATCAACCAGAGCCTCCGTCTCCAGATCTGATGTCCTTTAAAAAAGGTAGTGCGAATTCTCATCGCAGTGCACTCAGGACTATATTAAAATCACCGAGCATGACACGGCTGCATGGCTCGCAAAATACGTCTAAGAGTCATTCGGTGTCTCCCGATCTCGGAAGTAACCTAACTTCAACACCAGCAGAAGTGGCCAGGGCCTCAGTGCACCAGACACGGGAAGAAACGCCTGCACCTGACAGCACTAATGCATCAAGCAATAATTCGGCTGCTGTATCCATTTCAAATGAAGAAGAGGCGCCGCCACCTCCAGCATCAAAACATTCTTGGAAGTTGAAGGGTATGGTAGCCGTCATACGCCATGCTGATCGTACTCCGAAACAAAAATTCAAGTTCACGTTCCACAGTCAGCCATTTGTTGACCTTCTCAAAGGACATCAAGAAGAGGTTGTTATTAAGGGCGAAGCTGCACTTGCTAGTGTGTCTCGTGCAGTCAAAATCTCTATGGAGCAGGGACTGGAAGATATGGATAAGCTTAGGTTACTTAGAACATCGTTGGAAAAGAAGGGCGGCTGGCCAGGCACGAAAGTCCAAATCAAGCCAATGTTTCGGAAACGGAAACCGGAGGAAATGCGAGAGGACTCGGCTGACCCAGAGCTTGGTGCAATTACCCAAGTGAAGCACGGCCGACCTCTCTCTCCACCTTATGAGGCGACGCCTGATAGTGACAACCTGAGTCGGTCGTCGCAGAATAGAAGTGACTCGATCTCTGGTGCCACTTTCTCTCGTTTCTCTGCGGTTGAGAACGATCTTATCTTAGACAAACTTCAGCTGGTCATCAAATGGGGAGGAGAACCCACACATGCTGCTCGATATCAATCGCAAGATCTCGGCTCGAACATGAGAGACGATTTGAAACTCATGAACAAAGAAGCCCTTCACGATGTTCGCATATTTACAAGTTCTGAACGTAGAGTTAGTACAAGTGGTAAGTTTGTTCGAACCCAATGTTTTGCTGGCATCATCTAACTATTCAAAGCTCAAATTTGGGCGTGCGCGTTCTTAGATGAGAAAGAGCTTCCCGAGGACTTTATTCAAGTTCGAAAAGACCTCTTAGATGATTCGAATGCAGCTAAAGATGTCATGGATAAGGTGAAGAAAAAATTGAAGCTTCTGCTTCGCGAAGGATCTGCACCCTCCCAGTTCGCCTGGCCCAAAGAAAACTTCCCAGAACCGTCCATTGTGCTGGCCACGGTTGTGGAATTGATGAAGTTTCACCGGAAAGTCATGCGGCATAACTTTCGTAGGTTAGTGCGTCCCGAGAGTCAGCCTCAGTCGAGCACAAAAACAGGTGACGAGACGTACCAGCCCTCAAAGGCTACTTACAATCCCGATGTTACCAATATACAAGGTCGATGGTGCACAGGCGAAGAGGCTGAACTATTCAAAGAGCGATGGGAGAAGCTTTTTGCAGAGTTTTGTGACACGGAGAAGGTCGATCCCAGCAAACTTTCAGAACTATACGACAGTATGAAATTTGACGCTCTCCACAATCGCCAATTTTTAGAATGGGTTTTCATGCCTCCTGATGACTTTGATGCGAACGAACAAAATAACAACGCCCAGCCAGGAAATGGGGATAAATCTGAAGAAAAGGCTGAAAACAGCACTTTTGCACACAAACTGGGACTGAAAAAGAGAGCACTTTCTCTTCTAGAGTCAAGACAACATTTTGGGAGCTTGGAAGACACATACGACCATTATTTTAAACTCCAGTCAGGCCCCAGCAACAGGAAAAAGAAGTCGGATGAAAGGCTGTCGAAGTTACGAGAACTATATAAGCTTGCTAAAGTTCTATTCGATTACATTACTCCACAAGAATATGGAATCAAAGATAGTGAGAAGTTGGAGATTGGGCTTTTAACGTCGCTGCCGTTATTACAAGAGATCGTCCGAGATTTGGAAGAAGTCCAAGCATCATCAGATGCTAAATCGTTTTTCTATTTCACAAAAGAGTCACATATATACACGCTTCTGAACTGCATTTTAGAGGGCGGCATTCAGGCTAAGATCACGAGAAGTGCAATCCCCGAGTTGGACTACCTTTCTCAAATCTGTTTTGAACTCTACGAATCCAAAGACAGCGATACGGATACCTTTTCTTACTCCATCCGAATATCCATCAGCCCCGGTTGCCATACTTTTGATCCGCTAGATGTGCAGCTGGACTCTCGCCATGCCATTGGATGTGCTCCTCGGCGGAGTCTGACAGCCCATCAGGACTGGAAAGAAGTAATCGAGACCCTCAAGGCCAAATTTGACACGTGAGTACATTGCATATGATCCTGCACTGCTCCTTTATTGACTGTTCTATAGGGTAAAACTGCCTAAAAGCTTCATTGCCGTCAATCTTAGCGACAAGCACGCCTATAAGCCCGAACCCACGATGTACTGACGGAACGTGAGGATGAATTACAAGTTCGATAGTATTGAGAGTTCAGTCTTGTAATCTATATAGATGGGTGAAATTTTGTTTTAATACAATCATGTCATTGAATACGATTCGCAGGCCGCTATCTTGATAGAATACACTTTTCCAGAAACTGTCATGGTATTTTGCCTATAGCCATCTACAAATATCTTGCTAGCCCTTCAATGTTCGGAATAAGCACGCGATCAACTTGATAGATGAGACCCATGTTGAATATAGCAGTAATCTTATCTGCATTTACGCCAATGTATGTCAAATTAAAATATAGACTTCCTAGGATCGCTCCCGAAGACAATGTAAAAAGTTCAAATATTATTAGCATTGATCAATTCAGTTTTGTGGTGCTAACTTATATTCAAACCTTTGTCATCAGAAGAGAGCCTATCGTTATCTACCCGACGATAGATAGGCCCGAGCGCGCCGTTGATCTTGGCAGTTGGCCAGACCCCATGAGCCTCAACGACCTCGGCCAGTTCGAGGCCATCGCCAATCGGTCTTTCATTTTGCCTGTGTTTTTTGCTGAGTTCTCACTATTTGCGAAATTGGGATGTGATATTTAAATATCTGTTTGTTGTATTTCGTCTCGTTAACGATAACGCCTGTGTTTACCATGACTTTTTGGCTCTGAACACCAAACGCTTTATTATAATAATAATTGTATTCCACTTTCTCAGCAGTCCACATGCTGATTACGCCGCGGACATATTATCTTGCGCAACATTCAAATCAACGGAATTCATCTGATGACCGACAATATCCCGCACGATTCCATTCCTTGACGGGCTGGCATACTACTGACGGAGCAGATGCCCACAGAGCACGCAAGATGCTGTTGGTTCATCAATCAGGTTATGTTCGGGTTGGCGAGGCTGTCAGGTTCGTCATTGTATGTGCTTGGTTCCCAGAGGGCTAATCCAATAACTCTTGTTCTGATCATAGATATACCTTGACCTACACGCCAAGTTCAGACCAAATCTTACCTACCCCGGCCGAACTTCATCTTAGAATCAAGAATACATCTGCAATTCCCCTCCGAGCTGCGTACCTCCACGGACCGTACACTCTCTATACATCATGCTACCCGTCAAATTTCAACCCTGATCATCAATATCAGGACGCTGATGTTAGAGGTGTCCCGCAATTCGAGCCTAATTTAAAAGCCGGGGGAGTGTGGACAGCCAGCATACCGATCCCGGAGAGTATACGCGTTATAACCCCATCCGGACCCCGGCTCCAGTCTGTTGGTGAGAATAATGTAACATGGGTCATCGAAATAGTGTCCCAGGTGATATTTTCTTCGTCAGCAGCGGTCCATTACGAATTTCTAGTTTCCCGTGACCGAAAATCACTTGACCTCGGTGTGAGCAGTTCTCCATCATTGACTGGATTGCCTCCGCCTACTCATATGCATGAGCTGCAAGACCCGAAAACACGAGATGGGTTCGCTTCGATTACAGTCTCGAAAGGTGTTTTCTCTAAGTCAGTGTCACTAGTCTTCGATGATATCAGGAGTCTCTGGAATAAACCCGGTTTTCCATCGATAGAAGAAAAGGAGCGTCAAGCATATGGGACAACTGCTTCTGATACCCAACCCCCGAAAAGTAGCAAACCTACTCGAAATCCTACAAACGACGCGGGAAGCACCGGGGATAAACAAAAGCGACGACGCGTACACTTTGTCGTGTTAACTCATGGCTTGCATAGCAACCTTGGCGCCGACATGCTGTTTCTAAAGGAGAGCATTGACGCCGCGTCCAAAGCAAAAAGAGAATCAGAAAGGCGCAAGCAGTCGAGTAACGATCACTCGTCCTTAAAAAATGCCGGTGAAGGGAATGGGGAAATCGAGGATGAAGAAGTCATAGTTCGTGGGTTTTCAGGGAATGCCGTTCGAACTGAACGTGGCATTCAGTATTTGGGGAAACGACTGGCAAAATATGTTCTGCTTATGACATATCCAGACCAGCCCTATGTCCCCAAGAAAAAGAAGGCGCGCAAGAATTCCTCATCGCCATTTTCTAAGCTTAAATCTCCCTCTGAACCTTCAAAAGGCGAGACTGGCCAGGACCTGAGTCACGAAGACCGAGATTCTGAATATCAAATAACCAGTATAAGTTTTATTGGACATTCGTTAGGGGGGCTCATACAAACTTACGCAATCGCTTACATTCAGAAGCATTCACCGGAATTCTTTGATCATATCAAACCAGTCAATTTTATCGCATTGGCTTCACCTTTTCTTGGGCTCAGCAATGAAAACCCAATTTATGTTCGTTTTGCACTGGATTTTGGTTTGGTCGGCAGAACTGGCCAGGATCTCGGTCTCAGCTGGACAGCACCAAAAGTACGAAATGGTTGGGGTGCTGTAATTGGCAGATTTGGCGGCGATGCACGCCATTCTCCAGAACGGGTAACCCCAGCTTCCAAACCTCTGCTACGGATTCTGCCCGCCGGACCGGCCCATCAAGTTCTGCAGAGATTCAGAAACCGAACGATATATTCAAATGTCGTGAATGATGGGATTGTTCCTTTGCGCACATCATGTCTATTATTTCTTGATTGGAGGGGCCTTGATCGAGTCGAAAAGGCTCGGAGAGAAAATGGTCTCGTGGGTACCATGGCAGAATGGGGTTGGGCTGAACTTACAGGAGCCAATTCAAGCTCGCCGGTAGGTAATCGTTTCAATACGGAGAATCCCTTGGTGCAAATACCCCGCGAGGACGTCAAAGAGAATTCAACGCCAGAGCTTAGGGATCCTGGGGCGAGTCCTCCAAGATCGCCAATTCCGGGGCAATTCTTCAAACAGCCATTACAGTCAGAACCAGGAGAGATATTGCCCGTCGAATCACATCATATTCCCAAGGATCATGGTGTTTCATCACCAAACCCGTTCAGTCATCTGCTATCGATTTTCCAGTCATCAAGTACCAAGGGCTCTTCTAGCAAAAAAAGCACCAAGATATTAAAGAGAAGTCAGACACTTGGCTCACCAAGTATTTCTTCAAACAGCTCCGCCTTTTCATCTACCTCTCCCCACCCGATCGTGAGAGGTAACTCGATATATGAGGAGGAGCTCAACGCCCCTCCCAGGACCACGATATTTGAGTCTGCCGGTGATGTTCTGAGGCCACCGTTGCCTCCAACTGAATTTATATTGAACCCGGCCGCAAGGCCACGAACGATTTTCCATGACCGTATATACCACCCCGATGACATTCCACCACCTATTTCGAAAAGGCGAGGAACTCCATTTTCTGGGGTACGACGGGCAACAGCAGAGAGCGCGAAATCTCCATCTAACCCTACTGAGAGCGTGTCTACAAGCGGCCTCAAGGTGGAGGAGAAAATTGCGAGGGCATATCACCATGAAATCTCCTGGCGCAAGGTTCTCGTGAGACTCGAGCCGGATGCACATAATAACATCATCGTACGACGCATGTTTGCGAATGCTTACGGCTGGCCAGTGGTCAAACATCTCGTAGACACTCATTTTGGGGATACCTATGCTGCCAATACAGACGATGCTTTAGAGTCAAATATGGAGAATGCGAAACCATTGAACATCAGAGCTACTGATACTGGAGAAGAGGTCGTTGGACAGACCTCATCTTCGCCGCAGACACCACGGTCTGTTGACAGGCTCGCGAGAGGTCAAACACCAGTACCACCTGACAGCAATGCTGATGCGCGCCAGCGAACGTCTGGTTACGATATAGATGAATTCCATGCGCATCGGGAATTTCCCGGCTCCGGAGGACGATCACGACACTCGTCTGTGTCCAGGTCAGAGTCTGCCCAATGGACCGATCGATACTTCTCCGAGGATGACTCGGGTTTCGATACGGAAAACGAACGCGAAGGCCGCTCTACTTAGAGAGTAAAGATTCTTGAGTTGATGTATTATTTTTACAGCGCGATTTAGTCGAGACTACGTAGATGTTGACATATTCCACATATAGAAATTCAGCGAGGCGTTTTGTACATAGGAAGAGGATTTTTATATATTGCATACTGTCTCATCTGACTCTGAAACATTGAATAACTACCGGGGCTGTATCAGAGAGTAATAGAAAGATTGACACAGTTAAAAGCCCTGTCCACAGTACCCCTCGGTCCCCTCTAAATAATAAACGTGCCGCCCCACCGAGCTACCCCAACTACACATCATCATATGTATAGTCTCAGTTTTGATACTCTGACATACCATACATATCGCCGTCCTTACGCAAGGATGGTAGACGCACCGAATTTGAGGGAAATCCATGATTTCCTGATCGACATTGCTGCCGAGGCGGGGAAGGTAATTACCACCAGCCTTCCCAGGATCGATTCCACTGGCTCAAAGAAAAACAGTATGAAGTGATACCAGCAATGAATGCTTGTCCAGAACTAACATCCTACAGGCTCGGATCTGGTCACCGAGTATGACAGGGCCGTGGAAACTATGGTTTCTCAGAGACTAAAAGCCAAGTATCCAACATATGAGTAGGTGTTTCGTTGGTTGTATACAGCTAGTTATTAGTTCGAACGTCGCCTGAATATCAATGCTTTATTCACAGATTTCATGGCGAAGAGACGTATTCACCTGATCGGCCACTCACTGAAAAGCCCACGTTCATTGTCGACCCAATTGACGGGACAGTTAATTTTGTACATGGCTTCCCCAGTTCGTGCATCTCATTGGGGTTTGCGGTCAATCGAAAGCCACTTGTCGGAGTGGTCTATAACCCTTTTACTGATACACTATACTCGGCCATTAAGGGCCAAGGCGCCTTCCTTGACCGGGACACACCACTGCCTCTCAAAGGCAACCAATTGGAAGCTCTCAGTGGTCTCGAAAAGGCCTTGATCGCATTGGAATGGGGATCAGAGCGGAGTGGGAGCAACTGGGAGACGAAGGTGCGGACTTTCGAAAACCTTGGCAAGACTCGTGAAGATGGGGGGGAATGGTCCATTCGATCCGCAGCTTGGGATCTGCAGCTCTCAACCTCTGTGCAGTTGCATCTGGCACAATAGATTTATACTGGGAGGGGGGTTGTTGGGAATGGGATGTGTGTGCAGGGTGGGTTATCTTGTCAGAAGCAGGCGGTCTCATGGCAGGGGGTAATAAAGAAGATTGGGATCCTGCTATTGATGGACGAGCATACCTCGCTGTCCGTCCATCGCCTAATGGTCAGGGGCAGAAGGAGATCGTGCAGGAGCTTTGGAGCCATATCCACGGACATTTGACATATTAGATCTAGGTGTCATCATGGAGGCTAGAAAGAATTATAATCAAACAACATAGTAGATGCACTCGATAATTCACACCATGTCATATTTCCCGGTGATTGAGGCTTTCGAATGTGAATATTTTGAATACCTGAATTATTTAATGCCGCAATACATTAAAATATATCGCCGGGCGTGGCTTTCTCACCCTTTATACCCTTTTCGATTTTGACGAGCATCCTAACAACAATCTGTCGATCGGATTTGCAAATTGGCATCGATAGTTTCCAATATTCAAGCAAGCAAAAAAATAAAAATAAAAAGGGACACGATATCTCACTATTCATATGGGCAGCAAAATCCACGCCCCGCGAAAAGTGTTTGTGGCCAATGAAGGATGTGGAAACTCTCAGTCCCCACTATGACAAAATCCATCAAGATTTGTAGATTCCTTCATTACGGGTATTTTATGCCTCTATCAAGAGCGAAAATCCTGGTTCAAGGAATTGGCAAAAACTCCCCTGCTTACCATTGTCAAGATGCCGACAGAACTGGAGGAAGTAAGTGTGCTTCATTTGCTTGGACTCGCGCTTTTGTAATGACCAACGGTCTGTATGCAGCTCGTAGAATTTCTCCATCATGGCAACGCGCAGATTAGACAAATCGGTAGGTCTTTCCGGGCTACGGAATGGACGAAGAGCAATCGTCTTTTTGGTGCTTTTACTGACTCCTTACCCATGAGAACCAGCCGCTGAGAACCTTGTTGGGTACTCTGGTAGCGAAACATCTCTTTTCAAAAGACAAAATATGGAGCCTTTACGAGATTTGAAAATGCTCGTTCGAGATTATACTGTTAGTCACAGTCCCAGAAAATGTGGCCAAAAGTGTTCGTGAATGATTGACACAATCCGTGGATATACGGAAAGCCCATCGCCAAAAGCGCGCTCACCATGTTAATTAATTTATCTGCCGACGGGGAGATCCTCAAATTCCTTGCAGACGATGACATATTTGTGGAAACCTTGCTCTTTAAAGTGACTGTATGATCGATGCCTTTGCGAATTTCTATACTATGTCGCTAAACGCTTCAACAGAACCCTAAGGAGCCAAATGCAGACGACATGACCACGCTTCTGGCCAATCTCGCCAAGGCTGAAAGTCTCACGGGAATTGTGAACCTATCGCGACGCGCTGCAGAGAGTGTGTCTACTTCCAAAAAAGCACTCGACCAGCTAATGGACTGTTTTGTAAAGGGTGCAGAAGGTGCCTTGAACAAACACGCCAACTACGATTACCTGGCGTACTTCTTCGCAGATATCTCAAAGACCGAAGAAGGTCGGCGTTATTTTATGACGCAACAGCAATATGACTCTGTGGTTCCTCTCACCAAACTTCTAGTGTTTACTGAGCACACCAGTGACATTCGCCGACGGGGAGTGGCGTCAACTATAAAGAATGTGTCCTTTGATGTAGCGTCACATCCCGTGTTATTTGATGAAGACGGTGCAAACGTTTTACCTTATATCTTACTTCCTATCATGGGACCAGAGGAATACTCTGACGAAGAGTCGTCAGAGATGCTGACCGATCTTCAACTACTGCCTCCCGATAAGAAGCGAGACCCAGATCACCAAATAATTTTAACACACCTGGAAACCTTGTTACTGTTATCGACGACACGGGAGGGTCGAGATAAGTTGAGACAAGTGCAAGTCTATGCAATCATTCGCGAATGTCATCTCCATGTGGAGGATGAAGAGGTGCGAGAAGGCTGTGATCGACTGGTGCAAGTCCTAATGCGTGGCGAAGAGGGAGAAGAGAATCCAGCGGAAATGGATGCCATGGAACAAGCTAGAGCCCATGCTTTGGGTGAGAAAACGTCAAAGAACCAAGCAATCGAGGAAGGTGAAGATGAGAAAATAGTGGAAATCCTCTGAACTGCACCGTCCGGACGGATTGTCATTGATAGACCGATATTACAAAGCGATTTGAGAACACAAGTCTCAGGGATCAACGCCGAAGAAGTAATTCGCCATTCTAGGGAAGATTGTATGCATGTGGGTTATAATACTCTCTCTATACACAGAACATGGAACCCTTGCTGATCCACCTGGACTGGATACGAGGCACCGGACCTAGACAGTTTGCTGCTCTGGATATGGCTGGGATTGGTATCAAAAATTGCACACTTCTCTTTCAAGAATACTATGGCTAGAATTTTTGCATTTTTTCATGTCTAAGTGAAATGGCTATGGGGTCTATAGTTATTTGACCCGTGTCTATCGATCGACCAAGTAAAATGGCATGAGGCTGCGCTTATCCAAGAGTCTTTTATGAGAGTATGTATAATTACTGATTGAATAATAATAATATAAACTCGCCATCGTTGATCGGTGGCGTAACTGGTCACGTGATCTAAAATTGCATGACGCTAGTCATGCCTGAGAGCCTTAGGCAGCCCCGGCGGCTGACTTCCAACTGTCGCGTTATCTTGCTTTGTCGCTACAACATCTTCCTGACCTCAAGAGCCGTTTCTCGCTCTCATGGCAGCTCCTGGTATTTCAACACCAGGCTGAGAGTTGATTGAGGCTGTGATCTTCACAGAAGCTGTCTGGCTATATCAGCATTTGCCTTAGCTGACGACTCCAAATCGATCACATTCGATATGGCTACACCCACAGATCCGAAAGTCAGTCGCCCATTGACTGGCACTGAAGGCGCTCCGGTTATGAAGATACGACGTCCCAGGGCAGCAGACCCTTTAGTGCGACCCAAGAAGAGACCACCACCTGGGAAGAATGCCAGACCAGCTGCTAATGGCACGCAAGCATCAAGACCAGGCCTAGTTGCCACTCAAACGAATACGAAACCTATCTCCGAGCCACCATTTAGCCGGCCCCAACCGTCGAAATTCCAAGAGGATTTGACAGTAAACGGCTTTAGTGGTACACCTCTTTCTACTACATTCAGGGACTACCCGCTTGTTACAACAAAGCGTGCATTGCGAGAGGGACTCAAGTTCCACGTTGCCAAATTCTTATCTAAGCGATCTATAGATCCTAGAGACGAGCAGCAATTCACGCGACCGGTGCGCCTCCAGCGACGCGACCCTCGGTTCAAACCCCCAGAACCAGACGCACTTAAATCCGAAGATGGAAAGGCGACGCTAGAAGCAGCCAACAGTTTGGGCGACGCGGAACGTGAAGATTTTGAGGCTAGAAAAGCTGCTCGAGAGAAAGAGCGCGAAGAAAATCTTGCCCAGATTGCGCCGTCAGCGGCAAATCCCCAGAAGCGGTCTAATCCCACGAAACAAAAAACACAGCAAGTCATGAAAGCCGACATGACTGCGGAAGAAATCGCAAAGGCCCGCATTAAATATGAAGAAGCTTTGCCATGGCACTTGGAGGACTTTGACAACAAAAATACATGGGTTGGTAGCTATGAGGCAGCGTTGTCCGAGACGTACGCAATGTTCGTGCTCGAGCCGACAGGAAAGATGAGAATGGTTCCTATTGACAAATGGTATCGATTTAATGCGAAAAACGCGTTCAAAGCCTTGACAATCGAGGAAGCCGAGAAATTCATGTCAAAGAAGATCAAAGATCCACGATGGTTCATGGAAAAGCAACAGGAAGCTGTTCAGCAAAAGGAATTGGAGGCTTTCGCCAAACAACGAAAAGTCTATCGAGGCAAGGATGTTGCTAAGGCAGGATTGGACGGCGATGATATGGATTTTGAAGAGGATCGGTTTGCTGATGATGAAGAAGTGGATGTCGGACTCTTCGAAGAAGACGAGGACACCAAGGCCTCCGAGAAACGAATCAAACAGGACCAACTGAAAGCAAATATTTTCAACTTGAAAGAAGAGAAAGATTATGACGAAGAAGAGTCTAGAGAGCGAAAGGAAAAGGAAGCTCGCAAAACTATAGGAAAGAAGGTGCGGAAAGCATTGCAGAGACGAGAGAAAAACTTCGATTATAGCAGTGGCTCGGACGTGAATCCATACTCCGATGAAGAGGTATGTTATTTTGGCCCAATTTAGCCTGGATTTTTACTCACTTACGCGTATAGAGTTCGGAAGAGGATAGTGAAAGCGAACGCCAAAAGGAGGCAGAGAAAAAGATAGAGGAGGAAAAAGCCGCCAAAGAGAAGGAGAAGGAATCGGGGGCTTCAACAAAGGGAACAAGCACACCATCTGGTCGTCCAAAGCATACAGATCCTCTGAAAAAGGTTACCGGTATTGGACGTAAACGCGTCGGATCGCCCAACCTTTCAGATGCTAGCGGCACGGACACTTCGCGAAAGAAACCGAAACATGCACCATCTCAGCCTGGTGCCCTCAACTCTCCTTCACCCTCATCTGTGCTCGCAGTAAGTTTATATCAACGCTCATCGCGATTTCTGGACCTAACTTTCTTCTGCTTAGGCTACCAAAAAGAGGAGTCGAATTGGTGGCCCTGGTTCTGGAAGTGACATAGAAGCAGGCGCTGGATCTGGAGGCGATATGAGTGACACCAGCAAGGCAAAGAAGCTCAAGATCAATCTCCCAATTGGTAGTTCCAGGGGCGGTACTCCCCACGGCTCAAGATCCGGTAGCCCGGCACCTCTTCGCGCAGGAACACCAGAGGGAGTCGCTGGCGTGAAAGGTATGATTTTATATTCCTCCATTGGCGTTACTCAGAAGGAACTCATTTCTAATCATATCTCGTTAAACAACAGGACCAACCAGAACATCAACTCCACGCCCAGTTGCTGCTAGCCAGCAAAGCTTTCCCACCCCGGCCGAAATCCACGCCGCTATTCCTGCATCTGGAATCCTTAGTCGCGATCTTCTCAAGATCTTCCATCCACGCATCGGCGAGTCGAAGGAGAACCATCGTAGATTTATCGCAATTGTCAAGGATGTTGGGGTTTACGGCAAGGAGGATCGACTTTTACGTCCGGGTGTTTTGAGAGACACTTGAGCAGTGAACATTTTAAAACTATCAATTCAAAAATATTGGATCCTACATATATTTTAGTCTTTGATTCTTCTGAGAGAGATGCCGCCGTAATTAATTTTTGGGTTGTCACTGCATCAACCTCGACATGTGATTAGTATTAATAGATTTAAGCTTGACGCCAGGCAGAAAAGAATGTGATTAATGAACTGGAGTGGAGCTGGTATTCAATAGGCATCATCAATTGACATCATCTATATCTTTTAATATGTCCAACAATGGTGGTCGCGAAGAGCTATCTAATATAGAACAAACGACCTCTAGGTAAATACAAGGGATATCCAAACATATATTAAACAGGATTTTCATGAATATCTAGAGATTAGAAGTAGGGATTATAAAAAAGAACTAAACAAGAAGGAAAAGGTCATCATAACACATATATTCCAAGAACAAATCTCAAGATCTTACGCAGTAGTGGTGGTAGTGTTGGCAGCACGTGCAGCACCACTGTCCCTAGCATCTTCATACTTGTCCCAGTTAGCCAAAACATTGGCAATTCGAGGAGATCCTGTCAGTCTGTACACATCTTCAAAGTACTCTTTGGTGATTTCGAAAGGACGGGCGGTGACATTAGGGATGTATTTTCCGATCAGCTTGCTGGGGTCGATAGTTGTCTTGTTGATCTTCTTGAGAAGGAAGGATCGGAAAGGCTTGACACCAGAGCGCAAGAATGTGCTGTGGAAGGGGACATCAATGCCGCGAAGAGGGATCGTGGCAAAGCCGCGTTCTAGTGCCAATGGCTGTGGCTTGGCCTCTGTTTGTTTGACACACTCGTGGATGATTTGGACCAAGTGTGCCTTGACGTCTTCAAGAGACATCTGTTGCATAAGAGCTTGGATGTCAATCTTCTGGGCCTTGAGAACATTGAGGAGGTTCGTCAAGGTATCGAGTGCACGTAACTGTGACATTGTTAGCAAATATTATATTGTTGTAAGGGTGGAAAGAAAGCTTACATCTCCTGCAGCCACATATTGCATATTGGCTACATTATAGTTGACTATCTCCAACAACCAGCCAGTAACTTCAGAGATGTTTTCAACGACGTACTGTAAAGCTTGCTCGTTGAAAGTCTTGGAAATTCGGCTAGGGTTGACAGCACACATGGAGTAATTAGAGCGACCCTGCTCATCACGCTCCACAGCAACTTGCATGGTCAACCCGCGGTAGAACACAACCGACACCAAGCTTTCAATTGGCATGACCTCTGCGAGAGCAGCGAGGGCCGAGTATTCTCCGAGGGAGTGACCCGCAAAGCTGCTGTCACGCTGAACGACGCCTTTACTGCGCATGTCCTCGAAACTGGCTTTCTCCATCAATGTCAGTGCTGGCTGGGTAAATTGAGTCGCAGAAAGAAGACCTGCTGGAGATCGGTATGTATAAGAAGTTGTGTTCTCATCGACCTCCTTGAAAATCTTCTCAGACTTGATAGAGCCATCCGCATTAACGGTCTCGAAAGTCATTGATGTGTAGTTCTGACGAATGGCCTTTCCACGAGGTCCACCAAAGTGAATAGTCAGTTCCTTGGGGTTATTCTTGACGATATCAATGATGGAGAAGCCATAATTCTCGAGGAAATGCTTGTCGGCACGATCCCAAACTTCCTTCGCAACAGGGCTGCTAGCATAGAGATCCATACCCATTCCCTGCTCCTGGGAGCCTTGACCAGTGAAGACGTAGGATGAAACTGGTTGTTCAACTTCTGCTTCACCTTGTAGGACGCTGTCTTCGGTTTCTTTGTTTCTGACCTCAACCTTGATGATTTTGCGGCCAGCAATCATACCAGTATGCTGAAGTTTCACAGTAATCGCATCGTTAGGTAGAACCATTCCGACAAGATTGACATGGAAGCTGCGAACTCGGCCAATGTTATTTTCAGCAGCCCAAGTTTCAACCAGACTACGGACAGCGGCGCTTGAATACATGCCATGGGTGATTGTGCCCGGAAGGTTGGCGTAACTTGAGAAGACACGCGAAACGTGGATCGGATTGTAATCACCAGATACACGCGCGTAGTTTTCATTCGAGGCTGGGGCACGCAGCTCAAGCGGCGTTTTACCGCTAAGTGGGATAGGGTTTTCGAAACTGATGGGCTGTTCGATAGAAGAACCGTTACGTTCAAGATAATCAGTGACAGGGTTTCCATGAGATGTACCAGCCTCATAGTCCACAGAGCCGACTTGAATGACCTCCTTGGTAGGGAGCTCTAAAAGAACCTGACCGATTGTTTGAACGCTGCTGAAGACTGCTTTGTTCTTGAAACGAACAAGACTTTGAAGTCTGAAGGTCAGAGTCTGACCGAGGAGTTCAACATCGGATTCATCCACGCGGAACCATTCCTTTGACCGAAGAACAGCAACATCTTTGCTTGAAGCAAGGTGGAGTTGCATAGGAACCTCGTCCTTTCGTTGGAAAGTGTTCTCGAAGTCAGTATATACACCTCTATACAAGAACTGACTTGTAACGTGCATGATCGGTTTGCCATCGCGTTTAATGGTGCCACAAACTTCGACCATCTTTCCAGAATCCTGGTTGATAACTGCGTTGATTTGCGCGGTTGTATCAAGAACATCTCCAACCTTGATAGGATCAGCTCCAGGGACCATTCTGAAACCATTTGAGAGGTGGACTAGTTTAAGTAGGTCTCCATCTATCCTGCGAGGGAAGATAGGCTTTGTAATGGCCTTCCACCCTACCACGATGGCGAAGTCCATGGGAGCATACATGTCTTGACCAGGGCGGTTGACAAATGCTTCGCCGGTGTTACCAACAGCATGCACAAAGTCAGCGACTGCCTGTGCAGTAACAGTCTCACGGCCACCATCAAAGATCGCGGTAATAGGGGTATCAAAGGGAACAGCCTTTTCGGCGAACCATGCCCGATAATAAAATTCTTTGATGCGGTCGTTCCGGCCGTCCATAATTTCATGGATAGGAGCGTAGCCAGTTTCGGGATGGTACGTGAAGCGGAAGGTTAAAGGCACCACGCTTCCCTCAGCGGTCCGGCCTTCAAACATGGTAAGTGCAATTTCCTTGGGAGCGACAAGCTTGATTTCGAGAGTCTTCACCAATTTGGAAGATTGGCTAGGCTCTCTGACGTTGATGACTGTTTTGCTAGGGTCGTTAGGGGATATAATCTCGACGTACATGCCTCTTGTGGGAGCGAGCAGTCGTTTCAATGGATTGGTTTGAAAGCGTTGACCTTGAGCGAACACTTCGGTAGTGAAAAAGGCATGTCGCCAAGAATAATAATTGCCAGCAAGAAGCTGCAACCAGCCATCCACATCAGGGAGGACTGCAGAGGGAGAGCTCGAAAGCCTGTAGGCTATTTTGTTGGCGTCGTCCGACACGACAAGACCTTCAATTTCAGTTTCTTCATTCTCTGACCGAAGAGGCTGTCCACCAAAATATTCAATTACAGGGACGCTGTCTTCCTTTCCAGCATAAACGTCACGAATCAAAAATTTGATATGGTCGTTGTGAATTTTATCAAGGATGTCTTTGACGGGCTCGTCGATTGTGTTCGAGTATTTGACAGCCATAGGTCCTTGCAAGATACAGGTTCTGCCAACATCTTGACCGTAGACAGCCTCGAGATCTTCTGATTGCCACAACGAATCTTTCTTAAACCAGAACTCAAAATTCTCGTCAAGAGAGGGTACAAACGGAACAGGCTTTTGGCCACGTCGCTGACAAAGCATCAGGAAATGTTGCACATCTTGAGCATTGATAAGCTGGGTCGAAGCCTCAGGATAAGATGACAGGATAGTGTCAACAGTGGGATAAGGTTTGTTGAGTTCTGAATAATTTTGCAGCAAAGAGGCTTGATCTTCATCCGCTGTGAAGCGTTCTTCAACGCGACGAATGAAGTCCCCAGTGAGCTTTTTATGACTTTCGTCAATCCAGCGCGCCTCATGTTTGACATACATGAGCTCAACCATACGGTGAACAACTTCGACGTATGTCATGTCTTCAAGATCTACCGTAACCCCGGCAGAGTTTCGTCCAAACCACACCTTCTGGAAGTCATCGTTCAGCTTTTTGATGATCCATTCTCGGTTCTTTTTCAACTCTGCCACACGTTTGGCCTTGTCGAGGCTGAAGATCTTTTTGTCCAACTCACTCCAGAAGAGTACACCACGAGTGGCAAGCTTGTGGATTGGCTCTCCCATTTCAGACAAGACAGTAATGACACCTCCCGTCGGGGTCTTATATGTGTTTTCCCATTGATCATCATCGACACCAGGAGCATCAGCAATCGCCTTCTTAGCATTCTTTGATGTATGAGCTTCCTTGGCAGTCATCATGCGGCTGCCGAACATGCATCCATCGAATGGCATCGGTGGGTAACCGAATTCAGATGACCAATTTCCGGCGAGGTAGGGGTAAGTGTCTTCAGAGCCGCCAAATCCACTACCAGCAACAAGGACAATGTTGTCGCATTTACGGATCCGGCTGTACATAAGCAGAATAGGTTGGTGGAAGTCTTCAAAAGAATGATGGCCACCTCCGCGACCACCGGTCCATTGAAGAATGATAGGGAATGATGGATTCGCTTTAGCAATGTTTATCACTTGCTGAATGGCATCAACTGACCCAGGCTTGAATGAAATATGTTTAATACCAAGGGTTTCAATGTACTCGTTGGCAACTTCAATAGATGGCACACCGGCACCTATTGTTAGACCTTCAATAGGCACGCCATCCGCGCGAAGTTTGCCAATCAAAGGAATTTGCCAGCCCATCGCACGAGGGTTAACGTAGATTAAGTTGATAGTAATACCACGACCGGGAGGAATTGCTTTCTCAATTTTACTGACTGCCTCGGTCATCGTTTTGGCATTGTAGTAGCCACCTCCGGCCAATTCGATCTGGTAGCCAGCATTCATCGTGGCGGCAACGAAGTCCCATGGTACAGTTGTGGGGGTCATACCAGCAACCATAACTGGAGGTACACCAAGTAGCCTGCTCATTTTCGTGTCGACAAAGGTCTGGCCGACAGATGTCTTGACTAGGCGAGGTCCATGCTGGCGAACCCAGTCGACTGCAAATTTGACGGCGTGCTCATCACGATCGAAGAGTTCTGGCTTGTAACCGATTTCACCATTTGTACCATCAATCGCACCTCCCAGAATCACACGAACTCCAGTGCCATCCTTGTTTCGGTTGGTCAGCACGCCCAATCCTGATATACCGCCAGGACCAAAATCAACGATATGAGTTGCATTGGGAAACACAGTAGCTGTTTCCCAATTCACTGCGTCCTGAGTAATCATACGAATCAATTCAGGAACAATGTTCTTGTCCCCAATGGATCTCAGATCGGCACCAGACTGAGTGTCATAGACTGGGATAGCAAGAGACGTTGCTGGAATTTCAATGCCTTCAACATCCTCTAAAATGTGATCGTATGCACCTGCCAGGTAAGGACTGTGGAATGGAGCGGTAATGGGAAGGAATCGGTTCACAAATCTCGTCTTGCGCTGCGTGAAGGGGACTCGGTTCTGGTCAAGACCAGTAGCTGCCTTGACTTTGCGGAGACGAAGATTAAGACCGTAGAGAGAAATCGGGGGGCCGGTAACCACAAAGTTGCGGGGGCTATTCACTAATGAAATGGCGATATGTCTGTCTGTAGGTAAATGTTGATTCGTCGCATCAATATGTTCCTGCACAGCGGCCCGTGGAAGGTCTCTTATGGATAGCATAGGAGTGGGAGTGCCCTCGCCATTCTCAATCGAGTCTTGGAGCGTGGATGGAGCAAGTGACGTGCGAGGATATGCTTGCTGGCTGCGAAGACCGATCCAGAAAAGCAGGATTATGGCTTGCTTAGCTGCCTTTGCAAACTCCTCCCAGGTTTTGGCAGCCGCAATGGCCGCAGCAGTGACAACACCCTGTGAATGACCAGTGGTACCGCTTAGTCGTTCAAGGAACCCTCCGGGTTGCCTGCCTAATACCTTGCAGGTCACCATGTAGTGGGCCAATTGGACCAATCCAATGAGCGGAAGGCTGACGGGGGCGGAGACGAGATAATCGGTATCGGGTTGCGAATCACGATCATGAAGCCATTGAAGGATATCAAGCCCCTTTGGATAGAGTTTGGCAGCGTCGGGTTCTCGAGATAATGTTTGCAACAGCTCGGCGGAGGAAGAAATCAAATCCTCGACGAAGGAGGGGTAGGTGGTGTAAACTTCTCGTAATTCATCAAAATACTCCTCAATATTGCCTTGACCACCGAAAACAGTGTATACATTGACGTCATTTTCAGCGGCTGCACGGAACAAGGCAGAGTCGTAGGGTTTTGTAGCGCGGCCAGCTGCTGCACGGGCGGCGTAATATGACTTGACTACCGATATTTTCTTTTCTGAAATGCCGGATAGGCCGGCAACAATTGCATGGACATCATTACCTCTCATAAAAGCACGTTCAAATTCGTTAAGAACCACTTTCAAAACTTCTAAGTTGGTGGGGTGGGCGTCCTCATCCCCCTCGTCAACTTCCTGAGCGACATAGCCGACGTACCGAGCAACTAGCTCGACCACAGAAGAGGGTTCATCATCTTGGGCCAATTCATCGGTTGGTTGTGGTAGCGATGCCTTGAATGTGTCCTTCAATTGGGCGGCTTGAAAGTGGAGAGATGTCGGGACTAGGAAAGAGAATTCGAGAACGCCATGTGTGAGGGTCAAAGGGCGGAGAGATTGCGACGAACGAGGAGTATTGATGCCCGTCTGAGGGCCTGTCGAAGGGCCGTACATTGTCTTGATGCAGTAAACGGGCAGACCAAACTGTCCGACGAGGAAGAAAATGCGATGTCACACTTCAGATATCGTGACTTGGATCCCGTTCCGCGTCGTCGATGAGCTTTCTTTATGTCGGCGCGATAATGATAATTATTATAATTAAAAGATCAATTGGAAGCAGACTGCCACAGTATTTGATTGCACGAATCGTTCAGAGAACCCCTCCAGCACCTGCCAAATGCTGATGGAATGTCTGATGTCTGTTCGTGAATATCTTTTTTCAGCTCCTTTTCCACGAGGGAAAGCGATGGTGAAGAAGAGAAAAAAAGAAACAAAGAAACAAGGATGCCACTGCAGACTGACAGTGGTTGGTGGTATAGAATAATGGATTGTGGTGAAGCGAATGCGCAGAGGAAGGGCCGGATGAAAGGAGGCAGCTGGCTGACTGGCTCTTTCCGTGTCTCTCGCGGTGGGGAGCGGCAACAAATTTCGAGGTGGTTGAACAGCCATAGCTCCGATCGGGCCTAGCGCGATCCGACAAGCTCCCCAAAGACCAAAACGGTTGGGCCCCATCGACATAGAATTTATCGTCTTGATTGGCCAGAGTGCTCTAGCGCTGCCCACATAGCGCGCTTGAGGACTCGAAGTCCATATCACAAATTTAATCATAATATTATGCAGGCCAACAGGCAGCAAGGAATTACACAAACATGATGCTGGGCTGATAATTTCTTGCCAAAGCTCATGCCTCGCCACTGTTGAATCTGATATGCAAAGAATACCTAACAGCAGTCCTCGCTATACCGACTCTTACTATTGGTATGCCGATAATTCAATAGTATAGTACGACATATGCGCTATCCTACCAGATGGCCGGCTAGCCCCGACAGCAAGGGCTTCAAGAGTCCAGGCACTACTTATTCAACGCTAAACTCATATGGACTAGCCTGTGCGGTGATAGGTCGTATGGGCCGCCAACAGGGGCAGGGCAGGCTAGCGCGGCCTGTTGCACTCAAGACTGGCCCCACCGCAATCGCCGCCTGGGCCAGTGGGTGTGTGGCAGCAAGGCTAAAGTCCCCCAACAGTTGGCCTGCATAGTCGCCGCTCGGCGCTCGCTCGGAAAACACTATTCTCAACCGCCGCTTGTTGAGCTCTGCTATTGTTATTACTGTTGCTGTTGCTGTTGCTTTTTGTTGCTCGTCACGTCTCATTTTTTCTATCTATCTATCCTCAATAATTCCCGACGGGCTGATACTTCCCGTTAATCCACAGTTGGCTTCGAACGTGGTTTGGTTACCTCGTAACCCGCAATTGGCCTAACTTTTTTTTTAACGCCTTGGGTCCCGCCGGGAGCTACTTCACAGCCAGCAACCAACTCCTTCCCCCATATACTCAGCAGTGTTCCTCATTTTTTTTGTGGCAGACACATTCGTTTGTTCTGTCATTCGGAACACGACTCTTCTCCCTTGATGCCCAGTTCTTTCAATTCGTCATTTTAATACCTTTTAATATATTGCATCAACGACACGATGCGACCCGAAATCGAGCAGGAGCTCGCCCATACTCTGTTGGTAGAGCTTTTGGCCTACCAATTCGCCTCCCCCGTCAGATGGATTGAAACGCAAGATGTTATCCTCGCAGAAAAACGAACAGAGCGGATTGTGGAAATTGGCCCAGCAGATACTCTAGGTGGCATGGCCAGGCGGACACTGGCATCCAAATACGAGGCTTATGATGCTGCGACATCTGTGCAACGACAGATCTTGTGCTATAACAAAGACGCTAACGAGATTTATTACGACGTTGAGCCGGTCGAAGAAGAGCCAGAACCAACAGAATCTCCTGATGCCAGCACGCCTGCTGCTGCTACCCCTGCGGCCGCGGCGGCTGCAGCTCCAGCTGCGGCACCTTCCAACGCTGGACCAGCAGTTATGGTAGATGACGCTCCGGTCGCAGCCCTTGATATTGTCAGAACTCTGGTTGCTCAGAAATTGAAGAAGACCCTGACAGAAATTCCCATCAACAAAGCCATTAAAGATCTAGTTGGAGGTACGTTTCGATAGAAAGTTAAAAAGATCTCCTGCTGACTGATCTCTCTGAATAGGAAAATCCACCTTGCAAAATGAAATTCTTGGCGACTTGGGCAAAGAATTTGGCTCAACTCCAGAAAAGCCGGAAGATACACCTCTCGACGAGCTCGGCGCCTCAATGCAAGCCACATTTAACGGCCAACTGGGTAAACAATCGTCCTCACTGGTCGCCCGTTTAGTCTCTTCAAAAATGCCTGGTGGCTTCAATATCACTGCTGTGCGCAAATATTTAGAAACTCGATGGGGTTTAGGACCTGGAAGACAGGACGGGGTTTTGTTATATGCATTGACCGCCGAACCACCGTCCCGTCTGGGATCCGATGCTGATGCAAAGGCTTTCCTTGACAGCGCTGCGAATAAGTATGCTGCCAATGCTGGCATCAGTCTCTCGTCACCCAGCAGTGGCGGGGACGGTGGTGCTGGAGCTGGTGGAATGATGATGGATCCTGCGGCCATTGACGCCTTGACAAAGGACCAACGTGCATTGTTCAAGCAACAGTTAGAATCCATTGCTAGTTACTTGAAACTGGATCTACGGGCTGGCGATAGAGCCTTCGTGGCCTCTGTCGAGAGTCAAAAAGCTCTCCAAGCACAGCTAGACCTCTGGAACATCGAGCACGGCGATGTGTATGCAACAGGTATATCGCCGTCATTCGACTCTCTGAAGGCTCGCATTTACGACTCCTCATGGAATTGGGCTCGCCAGGATGCATTGAGCATGTATTATGATATTATTTTCGGCAGACTTAAAGTCGTTGATCGAGAAATTGTCAGCCAGTGTATTCGGCTCATGAACCGTTCCAATCCACGACTGCTTGATTTCATGCAGTACCATATTGACAACTGCCCTACCGAGCGAGGAGAAACATACCAGTTGGCAAAGGAGTTGGCACTACAGCTCATTGAGAACTGCAAAGAAGTCATTGGTGTTGCTCCTGCTTACAAAGATGTCGCCATTCCAACTGGCCCGCAAACAACCATTGATTCTCGTGGTACTATTACTTACCAAGAAGTACCCCGGGCTAGTGCACGCAAGCTGGAACATTACGTGAAACAGATGGCCGAAGGTGGTCCAATTTCCGAGTACAGCAACCGGACAAAGGTCCAGAATGACCTTAAGAGTGTCTATAAGCTCATCCGCAGACAGCATAGACTATCTAAATCTTCCCAGCTACAATTCAATGCTCTTTACAAAGATGTCCTGCGTACTTTGGCAATGAACGAGAACCAAATTATGCCTCAAGAAAATGGAAACGCGAAAAAGCCTGGTCGTCATGCCAAGACCAACGGCCCCCTACGTCCTGGGAAGGTCGAGGCCGTTCCGTTCCTTCACCTGAAGAAGAAGGACGACCATGGTTGGGAGTACAGCAAGAAATTAACAGGTGTCTACTTGGACGGTCTTGAGTCTGCTGCACGATCAGGTATCACTTTCCAGGGCAAGAATGCTCTCATGACCGGCGCTGGTGCTGGATCTATCGGAGCTGAAGTCTTGCAAGGATTGATTAGCGGCGGTGCGAAGGTTGTAGTAACCACAAGCCGTTTCTCCCGTGAGGTGACCGAATACTACCAGAGCATGTATGCCAAATATGGTGCTAGAGGTTCTCAGCTTGTTGTCGTTCCTTTCAACCAAGGGAGCAAGCAGGATGTAGATGCCCTTATCGATTACATCTACGATTCCAAGAAGGGTCTTGGCTGGGATCTTGACTACATCGTACCGTTCGCCGCCATCCCAGAAAACGGTCGTGAAATCGATAGTATCGATTCCAAATCTGAACTCGCCCACCGTATCATGTTGACAAACTTACTGAGACTTCTCGGAGCTATCAAGACCCAGAAGCAGGAGCGTGGATTTGAAACTCGTCCCGCACAAGTCATCTTGCCTCTCTCGCCTAATCATGGTACCTTTGGTAACGATGGTTTGTACTCGGAGTCTAAATTGGCCTTGGAAACTCTTTTCAACCGTTGGCACTCTGAGAGCTGGGCCAGTTACCTCACTATCTGTGGTGCAGTTATTGGTTGGACTCGTGGAACAGGGCTTATGAGCGCAAACAATATGGTTGCTGAAGGTGTTGAGAAGCTTGGTGTCCGCACTTTCTCCCAGCAGGAAATGGCTTTCAATCTCCTTGGCCTCATGGCCCCTGCCATTGTCGACCTTTGCCAGTCTGAGCCTGTGTTCGCTGACCTGAACGGTGGTTTGCAGTTCATTCCTGATCTCAAGGACCTCATGACGCGGCTACGCAAGGAAATCATGGATACAAGTGCTCTTCGTCAAGCTGTTATCAAGGAGACTGCCATTGAAAACAGGGTTGTCAACGGCGAAGGAAGCGAAGCCCTCTACAAACAGGTCGTCACGGAACCTCGTGCTAACCTCAAATTCCCCTTCCCTGAGTTGCCTAATTGGGATGAGGACATCAAGCCCCTACATGAACAACTCCGTGGAATGGTCAATCTTGACAAGGTCGTTGTTGTTACTGGTTTTGCCGAAGTTGGCCCGTGGGGTAACTCTCGTACGCGATGGGAGATGGAAGCATTTGGCAAATTCTCCCTGGAGGGGTGCGTTGAAATGGCTTGGATCATGGGTTTGATTAAGAACCACAATGGACCAGTGAAGGGGAAGCCGTACTCCGGATGGGTAGACTCCAAGACTGGGGAACCAGTTGATGACAAAGATATTAAAGCAAAGTACGAAAAGTATATACTTGAACACTCTGGCATACGTTTGATTGAGCCAGAGCTATTCAAAGGCTACGACCCCAACAAGAAGCAACTCCTTCAAGAAGTTGTCATTGAGGCTGACCTCGAACCCTTCGAGACATCGAAAGAGACAGCGGAAGAATTCAAGCGTGAGCACGGTGACAAGGTCGAGGTCTTTGAAATCCCTGATTCAGGAGAGTATACCGTTCGTATCAAGAAGGGAGCCAATCTGTGGATTCCAAAGGCTCTCCAATTCGACCGTTTGGTAGCTGGTCAAGTACCCACTGGATGGGATGCCAAGAGATACGGTGTTCCAGAAGATATTATCGATCAAGTTGACCCTGTCACACTTTACGTCCTTGTGTGCACTGTAGAGTCTCTCCTCGCTGCTGGTATCACCGATCCATACGAGTTCTACAAGTATGTGCACTTGTCTGAGGTTGGTAATTGTATCGGTTCCGGTGTCGGCGGCACTACTGCTTTGAGAGGCATGTATAAAGATCGATTCCTCGACAAGCCTGTCCAAAAAGATATTTTGCAGGAATCGTTTGTTAATACCATGGCTGCTTGGGTTAACATGCTTCTTTTGTCTTCTACCGGTCCTATCAAGAGTCCTGTCGGTGCATGTGCTACATCGGTGGAGTCTTTGGACATTGGTTACGATACTATCGTTGAAGGCAAGGCACGCGTGTGCTTAGTCGGTGGATTTGATGACTTCCAAGAAGAGGGCTCGTACGAATTTGCCAACATGGGAGCCACCAGTAACGCCAAGGAAGAATTCAAACGAGGGAGAACTCCTCAGGAGATGTCTCGACCAACATCCACCACTCGTAACGGGTTTATGGAGTCTCAAGGTTGTGGTATCCAAGTCTTGATGACTGCCCAGCTTGCCCTAGATATGGGTGTTCCCATCTATGGTATAGTTGCGGCAACAAGCACTGCTACTGACAAAATCGGTCGTTCAGTCCCTGCCCCTGGTCAAGGTGTGCTCACAGCAGCTCGTGAGAACCCTGGGCAGTTCCCATCACCTCTTCTTGATATCAAGTACCGCCGCCGTCAGCTGGATCTCCGCCGACAGCAAATCAAGCAGTGGCAAGAATCCGAATTGCTTTACCTTCAGGAAGAAGCCCAAGCAATCAAGAGTCAGAGTTCAGGCTCGTTCAACGAAGCAGAGTATCTGCAAGAACGCGCAGCGCACATTCATCGAGAGGCTATTCGCCAAGAAAAAGAAGCTCAAAGCAGCCTTGGCAATGATTTCTGGCGCCGTGATCCTCGCATTGCGCCATTGCGTGGTTCGCTCGCAACATGGGGATTGACTATTGATGACCTCGATGTTGCCTCTTTCCATGGCACTTCCACCGTTGCTAATGATAAGAACGAATCTGACGTGATTTGCCAACAACTGTCTCACTTGGGTCGACAGAAGGGCAATGCTGTATTGGGTATTTTCCAGAAATACCTGACAGGACATCCCAAGGGAGCAGCTGGCGCATGGATGTTGAACGGCTGTCTTCAAGTTTTGAACAGTGGTATCATTCCTGGAAACCGAAATGCCGACAATGTTGACAAGGTCATGGAGAAGTTCGACTTGATTGTGTACCCCAGTCGAACTATTAAGACTGATGGTGTCAAGGCATTCTCTGTTACCTCGTTCGGATTTGGACAAAAGGGCGCCCAGGCTATCGGCGTGCATTCCAAGTATCTCTTCGCTACTTTGGACAAGGCCCAATTTGAATCGTACAAAGTCAAGGTAGAGGCTCGCCAGAAGAAGGCTTACCGTTACTACCATAACGGCATGATCAACAACTCCATCTTCCAGGCCAAGAGCAAGGCCCCCTACGAAGACAAGATCCAGAGCCAGGTTTTCCTGAATCCTGATTACCGTGTCACACTGGACAACAAGAGCTCTGAGCTCGCATTTCCTGCCGTATCTCCCAAGGCCACGACGGCTGACGATACGGAAACGACTCGTAAGATGATCGAGTCTCTGGCAGCAGCTACTGCCTCGCCAAACACCCGACTTGGTGTTGACGTCGAGCACGTCGAGGCTATCAATATCGAGAACGATGTCTTTGTTGAACGCAATTTCACTGAGAACGAGCAAGCATATTGCCGCAAGGCACCGTCGCCGCAAGCATCATTCGCTGGACGATGGACTGCCAAGGAGGCTGTCTTCAAGTCTCTTGGGGTTCCATCAAAGGGGGCCGGTGCTCCATTGAAAGAGATCGAAATCGCCAACGACGCAAACGGTGCTCCCGTTGTAAACGTAAGTGCTAGCTCTTCTAATTCCCAGCGATACTTTTATACTAATATAGATATTCAGCTTCACGGAGCCGCTGCCGAAGCTGCCAAGCTTGCTGGTATAAAGTCCGTCAGTGTCAGCATCAGCCATAGCGATTCCCAAGCTATTGCTGTTGCTGTATCAAAGTATTAATTTGAGGGTGTTTTTAACTGTTATTTTCATGAGCGATGACTTTTTTTAATTTATTTCGTTTGCGTTGGGAATTTTCTGCAGATGCCCTTTAGATGTATAAACTCTTTGTTCTGAAAAACTTGTATAAGGCTTATAGACTTTCAGCCTCATCATGTTTTTGAGAGATAATGCCAATATTATATGCAATTAATGAATGATTTAATGTTTAGAAAACGCCATACATAATCCAACTGCTAGATGCATTTGTACTGTAGTAATGAAGAGTAGTCGTACATCAAAACATAGACACACAAAATATGCTCATATCCATACATATTGAGATAAATGATTACCCCGAAGCACGATTCATCGGTCCCCAATTCACTTTCGGATTCATCTGATACCGAACGACGCTTTTCTTTGCCGATAATGCCTTGACGCCGAGAGCTTCATCAAAGACGATTTCGAGTGTACTCGGATGAGGACGTTCTGGTGGATGTGAGATGTTCCCGTTTGATACCTTTCCCTGATTATTCGATTTACTGATTTCCTCATTTTGATGCCCCGAGACCGGTTTCGTAGTAACAGCAGAGGTTAAGGGAGGTGCCTGCGCTCCTCGGCGATACAGAGCCGCTTGAAGCTTTGTCGTCAAGTCGCGCACATCCGTTCCAGATTCCAGCGCCTCGGCGATTTCTTGCTGTAAAGCAGCTAGTGCCTGCTGGCCCTCGTAATTAACTCTATTTTTCTTCATGATCCCCGCACCAGGAGAATTTGGGGCTAATGCGCCTTCCTTCAAAGGCCATTTTTGGCGCACAAATTCCCGCAAAATTTCCCAAATCACATCCCAAGGCGCGTCGGTGCGCACGGAATTGGGTTTTGTGTGGCTGCGTGTTGCGCGGTAGCCAAGACCGTATAGAGCACCGCAGAATTGGTCAAGGGAAATGGTTTGAGTGTGCAGGACTCTGGATAAAGCGCTGAGGCTCACGAAGAATGGGTATTTCTCTTTGAGATGTGGGCTGAGTCGAGGGATGAATGGGGAGATGAGGAGTTTCTCTTCGTTTTCGGTGGTGACTGCTGACCCCTGCTGCTGCTGCTGCTGCTGCGGCTCGGAGGATGATGATGATGGTTTCTCGGCAGATCCGGGGGTTTGGGGGTGGACGTAATCTAGATCTTCCTCAAGGGCTGTGGTCAACATGCCTTTGATTCGATCCAAAGTCTGATAAGTCTCCGGATCGAGTTCGGGAATCATGGCCAACACCTTCTGTATGAAAGCGTTGTTGTGTAGTGGACCTCCCCACATAGGCCCAGCTAGATGTCTTTTGAAGCCGCAGTGCTCACAGTTTTGCGATGTTGTTGGTGCCTGTGCTAGAGAATGGTGGTAGATCGACTCGCCGGATTTGCTAAGTTTTGTTTTGGTGTTTATGAGATATTGCTGTGACCAAGCACCGCACCCGGAGTCACAACAGTATAAAAGCATTGTGGTGCCGGCAAGTGCTTTGACTTCTGCAGGAGACTTGTGAACACGGACGAATATTCGTGCGTAGTAATCGATGGAGAGAGAAAGTAAAGGTTCAACAGATAGCCCGTATTTTCCAGCCGCAGTCGCTATAGCGTTAACAATAAGACGCAGTCCAACCTCATGCCCATAAGGCAATCTTGACGGTATACCTCCGTACAAAGAGAATGTCTTCTCTGGATATCCGGTTGAGGCAAAAATTCCTGCATCCGTGCAGGTCACGCATAGCAAACCACCTTCCTTAACTGCCTGAACGGCAGCATCCAGGAAGGGACCTGCAGTGCCATAAGGATCGAGGTCTATAACATCGAATTTCCCGGAAGCCTCTGTCCTCTTCTCCAGCTGCACACTGTACATATACTTCCGAGCATCTCCAACATTCGGACGAACGACTTCTTCGACACCGTTATACTTTATATTAGTTTTTATCGCATCGATAGCGCTATAAGACAAGTCATTGGCGACTATGTTTGTTGCAATGGGCACTTCCTTGGCGTATCGTAGTGCCCGGAGCCCTGTAGCAGACAGCGCATCTAGTATTCGAAAGCTGAGCGCTGGCGATTGTTCATCCGTCGTAGTGCTTGCGGTCAGCTTCCCATCCCCGACTTCCTTATCTCGGACAGCAACCGCCCCGTTTTGTTCACCTTCTGCTGTAACTGGATTTCGCGCGTCCTCACTATCATCTTCTCTCTTCCTTTTCTTGCTCTTCCGATCTTTCTTTTGACGCTGGTACTTGTTTGGTTTATCCCCAGAAGCTAGCACGTGATTTGCATACGCTTTAATCGCAATGACACTCAGGTCACGATTGAATTGCTGAATGGGATTATAAAAGACCGACGCTTGCGGTTCGGAGGCGCCTCCGCGGGGGTTTTGTGGCGGAGGGCTATCCGTGACTGGCTTCAAAATGTATGCCAGCCCTTCTTTGACAGGCTCATACTCCTTTCCATCAATGTTCACCAATGACGGCGTCGAAGTGGTATTCGCTGTTTCTGTGGCCATCGTTCTTGCGATCCGGCAGAAACAAGACGGCGTAGTACGAGGATGTTTGGCAGTGAGAATGCAGCTGAGCTTGCGATAGGGAATATGTTGTCGTATCACAAATGCATTGTATAATGGTATCAGCTTCATTGACTCATAGACGACTGTAAAGTTGAGTGAAGTGCTGGATGAGAGTCACGAGGGGCCTGCGATAGAAGATAAAAAAATTATACGCACGGACCATCTGCCCGGATCCTTAAATGCACGACACTACCAACGCCTATTTATCCTTACTTCTTGATACTCGATTAAACATCTTTCACCCCTCCGGGTTTAGTAGTAGAGCTATCTGTCGCCAGTCTTTTCTCCAACTCTCGTCCCTCTTCTTCAGTTGCATCTGTGACGTGCACAGCTACTTATTCCCAACATTTTTTTGCGATTTCTTCTGACAGAAGACGAGCAGCTCGGGGAAGAAGAAGTAAATAGCCAATTGAGGTTAAAGATTAATAGTGTAGGTTGAGAAATAATTAGAGGTAGGATCTTTACCGGGAGTGAAAATGGAAGACCAGTAGAGGACAACCAAATAGTATTTATTTCCACCCAACATTGTTGAAGCCGAGAGGCGTAGTCTAGAGGAGGATTATAGTCCTGTTTCTAGAATTAGCCCCCAAGGAGGAAAAGGAATAATATCGTGACAATTGATTTCATTCATTCGTGGTGCTATGCTATAAAAAGAAGATATTGATCACTGTCACTGCTTGCAAGTTTTGTTTTGATTGACCTGTTGTTTAGGAAAGTTGGTCTTGTTAGTAGAACACATTATGTGCAGACATTAATCCCGTGTGAAATACGTCTGATGGATGATTGATGTCTATAATATATTAAAATATGGGAGCGTATGCATATGGTTTGTATTCTAATTATTATTGTATTAGGAATTATGTCTTAAATATATATAACGTGATGGTTTAAACGCCACCCGAGACCGTATCTGGCGTAAAATTTGTAGTACGTATCAGGGAGCAGCCGATCACAACCACTCTCCAATTACTGGAACGCTCTTATAGAGCTGGTCCCAATTTTTAGCTTCCCATCCAGATCCCATACCACCGCGTCCCACTATCCCCAGACCACCGGCAAGCCAGATGGCGGTAGTGAGCGCGGCAATCCCATGAACAAGCCATTTATTCTTTCTCCTCTTTTGCTGATCAGGTCTTGTCTCGCCGAGAATCCCAGTTTTGTGCGTCTGGTCTCGTTCGGTGCGAACTGTGGTGACCCGAATCCCCATCCACGTCGCCAGCCCACCAACCATATGCCAGACACTGGTTGCAACGAACAGGATATAAAACAAGTTCCAGAGGAACGGGCTCCGCGCAAAACCATGGGCAACATAGCCCAAGCCAACGCTTGAACTGCCGCCATCAATTTGCAGCGGAATTGCCCGGTTGATCCCCACGTGCAGACTCAACAACGGAATCATTGCGTACCCCAATTTGGCCTGCAAGCTCGGTACCGGCCAGGATTTGATCAGGTGTCGTTGTGACCGTGACTCGGCGCCGTACATTCTTGCTCGTCTGCGCGCGCGAATGCTGCGGAGAGACAGGCCTGAGGCGATGTGTGCGCAGATTGGGAGGGCTACCATCAAAGGCTCGAGGGAGGGTGATTGGTAGATAGGGCGTGTAAGTAGTAGAAACGATTCGCTAGAGGGCACTGAGCGCGTAACCAGAGGTATGAGAGACGTATTAGCGGCATGCAAGGCAAAGAAAACGGTTGGTGGATAGGTCGAATATCGCTGGATTGCTGATACTATAAAAGCCTCAGTCAACTAGAACTGCAAGGGGCGCGTACTATGCGGGTACAGCTACATACACCAATAGTCCCAATTGTGGCTCTTCAAACCTAAGCGTGATATACCAACCGAACGAGGCTCTGACGTGCTTGCATTGTGCAAATCGGGAAAATAGTCCCCAGTCTCCAAGTCGGGGGATAGTCGTCCACGGGTGACGGCTCTAGCTCATGCATTGACATGATCGAACGAGTCTCAATGGCGTCTACGCCGGAAAGCAGGCTGCTACTCCTGCTCCTTGACATGGTGTCTCCGATGCGAATAGCCGAGACGAAGTAATTGTAGACCAGCGGGTGATTTAGTTGGAAGCGAGATTAGGTGAGAGAAGAGAAGAAAATGATTATTCATAGATATCGTAACCGCATAAGCTCATGCCAGAAACAAAAAAAGAAAAGAAGAATATTGCAATCGAAAACAGTTCAGGAGGAAAGAAACAAGCATTGCCGGAAACAGGGATTGGCGCGGGCCATGATTGGTTGCGTCACGGAACTTAATTCCCAACATTATTTTTGTGCTTCTTATTACTGTTATTATTATCGTCAAGTATTACGGTATTATTCTAATTAATAAAACAGCGACCATTTCAATTGGTAGCACAATGTATTCACTCAGATGCTCATCCTATGTGACAAAACAGCTTCAAGCAATCCTACTGTGCCTGCGACGACACTTGCAAGAGCCATCCGCCTCTGAGGAGTAGCTCTCAGGAACCATTCCTTCTAGAGTCTACTCGCGGAGCGGATCTGCGTAGGACCTCGCTTTCATCCTTTGAATAGCGACATAAGAAGATTCCTCGCCGCCGCCAATCTGAAGGAGCGGGTCTGCTTCAAAGTTTGCCCCCTTTGCCTTCGCAATAATATCGTACGAAGACTCATCGCCGCTTCCAATATGGAGGAGGGGGTCTGCTTCGAAGTCTATCTCAGTTAGCTTTAACTTCTGACTTGTCAGGATGTATTGTTTACTTTTCTCGATAGGTAGGGAAGCACTGAGTGTAAGGTAGCTGGCAAACAGGACAGCGAGAATGGGTGGTCTCATCTTGTTGGGCTTGCTTTGCTCCTGTATTGGGTCTTTGAATGAATATTCTCTCAGGAAGAAACGACTTGGTGTTTATTTGATCACGTTCCTCTTCCCAGGACTGTCTTCTCGGTCTTTTATATACCTTGGGTTGAACCTAACTGTATTGAGGCTTACCGACATTACACCGCAACGAGTATCGAGGGTAGGACGAGGCGTCCAATGCATTGTTGTGCGGAGCTATGCCAAGCGCATGATGATTATAAATGTTTAATCATTGACACTGTTGATTTTAGGCAGTAGAACGTCTCTCATATTTTAGCTGTGAATGTGCCAATCCAGCTCTGACGGCCTAGGGATGATTCTCTGAGATTCGAGAGACCCAAGAATAAGTGTAAACATGAACATAAACATCGGAGACTCCTCGGAAAGGCACGTTATGGTAGATATCTTAGTGGTGGTTGGTTACACCCTGGCAAAGTTAGGGTTACATATGAGTTCAACGTGATGTTCACATGCGAAACAATGCATTGCATAATAGAATAAGAGAACAAGAGAATTGTAGGACCAGCAAAGTTTACAGTGTAACCCGTCGAAGATATGCCCAAGATATGCCCAACCTGTGATGGTCGTGTTCATTATTCGCAGAGCCTTACAAGCATGCAACCGTAGCCTGGCATTGAAGATAGGATCCGGCAAGAGATATATATTCACCGAACTTGACACAATGTATAAGTACCGGTATACTACATATGTACTAGAAGAGAATGAAGATATCAGCATGTAAATACAAACTAGCCATTTAATTAGGACTCCAGTACTATCAACTGACAGGGGTCTGATAAAGGGAGCATCCTCTAAACATCAGCCTTCCTCTTACCACAATCTCCTCAAATATCCTCTAGCAACTAGTCATCACTTCGACAGTTTAAATATGCCGAAAACTTCATATTACGACAGACTCTTTTCTCCAGTCTCAACCGACTCGTCGTCTCCGCAGCCCGAAGAAGCGCTCTTACCTTACGCAGACAACAACACCGTCTACCCTGAAACCCCATCACTGAAGTCAAATACCCAATGCTGGCATTGGTTTCTACACGGGTTCAATTTGATCATCATCGTATCCCTCGTTGCGGTAATCATTGCGTCGCGTTCGTCTCAGAAGGTAACCCCATTGGAGTGCTGGGAGAGATCGCACACATTTTGTATGCCATAAAGACCCTATGACACAAATCTAAAGCATTGAATTGATGTGATATAGCTCCTCTAAATCCAGTTCTTGCCAGCATCCCATATACCAAGAATCGGTTTAACGGCTCCCTCTGGTACCAATCACCATTCAAAGGGCCACCCACCGCCGAAGTCGAAGCAGCATGGCAATCAGTAATGCAATACGGAATGATAGCGGTATCAGCAACAGACCTGCGTCATGCACAAAGACTCGAAGACCTAGCAACTGCCGCACAATTCCCCCGCTCAGCTCTGCCCACACCCAACTCGTCGCTAAGCGGCGATGAGGAGAAGAAATACATCGCTGTAGCCCTGGGAACACACCAACTGCACTGCCTGCATTTCATCTGGCAAGACCATCACGCGACATTCTTCCCCAACTCGACTCTCCGCAAGCAGCACGAGGTTCCGGAGCTGTACGAGAGACATTATGAGCATTGCGTCGACTATATTCGGCAGAGTATCATGTGTGGGTTTGATACTAGTCTGGTGTCGTATGACTGGGTGCGAGAGCATCAGACTCCAACACCTAATTCGAATGTAATGCATAAATGTGTGAATTGGGGAGTGGTGCAGGGGTGGTTGAAAGAGAGAGCTCTGATGATTCCAGATGGGTTTGTGTGGAGGCAGCCCGAGGGACAGGCGAGTTTGGCATTTAATCCGTAATTCATCCATGATAAAGGTATATATTTTCATGCCCTTGTCAAAGTAATCAATTACTGTTACAAGTCTAAATCATCTAGAATAATGTTAACACGTCCATCAACACCTTCCTTCTTCATACTCAGCCATTCAACTGCCGGCAAAACGGACTACGAGCCCTTAAAGTAGTCCCCCATCGCAGAAACACAAACGGAATAGGAATCATCAGACAGCACAAACCACCTAGAAGGGTACAAGCAAAGGACGCACCCAGGTTGTGATACAGAGGATAGGTACACAATGGAATGATAATACTAGCGAGAATATTGCGAGTGACAACACTCGAAGCCGTTGCCGAGGCACTGTATATCCCATAAGCATCAGTCAGATAATTGTTCAGCGCCATGAACGTGAGATCGATCCCGATGCCGAGTGGTATCCCAGATAAGGCGGGCACAATCCAGTGGATGCTAGGACGAGCAGCCCAGCCGAGCCAGAATTCGGAAATTGCAAACAGCGGACCGCCGAGACAGGCCAGGGGCAGTCGACGGTATTCCTCTCTTTGTGCCCATGCTCGTCCCTGCTGTACAGCACGCGAGTGGTAGCGTTCCCAGGCTAGGAAGATGAAGATCGCCAGGACGGCTCCCACGCCTGTACCAAGAAACATCAGCGCCGATACACCTGGTGCCATGTTGTACGTGTCCCGGAATACAAGCGGATACAAGCCGAAGTATAGAAAGAAGATGATGTACTGGTAGAGAATGAACAGATCAGTGAAAAAGACCAGAGGCTCTGCGGTAATCCTAACAGGGCGCAATAAAAGCAAGAAAAGATCCTTGGAGTTTGGTACTTTCCGAGCCTCTTGTAACCCTGTTTCATGGGCTTGAATGACTGGAGCGAATGTTTCTGTATTTTCTTTTATTAGCCGAAAGATAAGAGACGAATATATATTTTTGAGAAGGTAATACCTTGCATGAATAACAGCATCGGCCAATTCACCCCTGCCATAGCCAGGACAACCCAGAACTGCCGGTTCCATCGGCGAGAGGACACAAACCCGGATATAATAGGACCAAAGAGAGGCCCGACATTACTCGTGAGTCCCAAAATAGTGACCGCGCGTCCTCTCTGTTTCAGATCCGGGTATATATCAGAGAAAAGCCCGTTGGACACGGTCTGGGGAGCTGCAGCACCACAGCCCTGCAGGAAACGAAAGAAGAGAAAGACAGGCCAATTCGGCGCAAAAGCACAGCCCAATGTAAAGGCGGTGTAAATGGCGAAGGAGACAAGGAAAATCGGGCGTCGGCCGTATGACTCAGAGAGTGGTGCAAAAATGGGACCGATGATGTACCCAATTAAGAAGACAACGACTGGGAGAGGCTTTTGATATTCAGATGTTACCCCAAACGCGTCATTCAATGCGTCACCGGCACCACTGGGAAGAGAAGAGCCGAGTGTTGTATTGAAGTTCATATATATAATGGTAGAAGCAGCAAACACCTTTCTTGCCTGAAGAATATGCAGTCAGCTTTACTCTTGCACCATTGCTGTAATCAGTCACCTACCGAAGACCATTTGTGGGCGAACTGGATAGAAGCTTCGTCGACTGTTGAATGTGGAAGGTTATCGATGGCACCTTTCTCGCTGTCCTGAGCTAGATAGTGTTTCCTACTCAGTTGTATGTTGCATGAGTTGGTAGTATTGTACAACACACCTTTGGCGTTTTCGTTAATGGACAGGTCTATTTCGAGAGCCATGTTCGTAAAATTTCTTGTTGGAGAGAATGGTAGAAAGAGTACAGTAGGGGAAGAAGAACTCGGGCAGCTGCTTGGCACGGGTTCGCTCTATATTGAGGGATGTTTCACCATGCTTCACTACGTCGAAGATCGTGCAACCGTGGTTGTCAGTAGGATGGCTGTGACAATTGAATGTCTTAACAGTTCAAAGCTTCCAAGCCCACTCGGTGAATGTATCAGTCGTGAGCGGGTGGATTTGATCACACATTCCTCGATACGATATCAAATGTAAATAATATAATCTCACCCGTAAATTTATAGGTTATAACTTATCGGAAATTTAAATATCTGTACAATAGTCTCTCTATGAAGTTCCTCCAATGAATAGTTACATTTGTGTAGCGTAACATCCGGGTGCGCCTGACACAGTACGTGAAATGCAAGGCTGGTAAAACATAGATAATGCCCTTCCTAATATATACTAGATTTGAAAGCACACTAGCCGGTTACATATATAATACGTGTTAAGGTGAGTTCGTTGAGTAAAAGCTGGCTATATTAGTGATGTAATGATGGTGTTGGATATCCGACAAGTGACGGAATAAGAGCAAACAGCAAAGCCAAGTCAATTTTCTGAATTTATAAAGAACTAAAATCCAATCCTGAATCCTTATATAGTTTAGTTAGACATGACTCTTGTGCAACTCTACCTATCCCGGATTTATGAGATATCCAGCTCAGAAAATATACTACTGCTCTCTATTGTCACCCGGGATTCATTGCCTACTGATAGTAATATCATGACGAACTTGTACTGAGCCGTGTTTAGGCTCGTAGATCCTCGTCTTGCTGTCAATACTATCATCGGGGTGAGATTGCGAGCCGTAAAGCTGCCCTTCTTCTAGTTCGTAGTAACACGCATTCTGGCCTTTCTTCCGATGAGCGGCTCTTGCCTCGGCAACTCGTGCTGCTGAAGCTTGTAATATGCTTGTCGTTGGTCTCTTCAAATTGGTTCGACGGGCTCGTCGGTTCAGTAATGCGCCAACTTCAGGGGCACAGACGACTAGATTACCGCTGGTGAGCTCCGCAGCTCTACACATAACAAGATGGTCAGTGGAGAGATTGAATCCAAGTAAATATTAAAGTATCTCACCCCCAGAGGAGAATTTCTGGCTGGTTCCAAGTTGTGTCAGGGTTACCGCTGATTCTGAGGCGGACCACGAATCCAATCATGCTAAATACAGGAGCACTACCACAGTCAATATTCTGCATCGACCGAGAGGTTTGCATGGCTCACCAGAGTCCAAAAGTAAAGATAAGAACAATATAAACCTTCTTTATTGGAGTAAGCTGCAGCTTCCACACTGCATGGACTGGGAGCAGTAGAATTAGAAAGTCAGTGATTGTGTTGAACATCCCACTAGTATTGAGCAGTCGAGAAACGTCGATACAAGTTCCCGGAATCGACTTATCCTCAATCCTTGCTCGCGGACTACATTCAAATATTTTCACGAATGAAGTAACGCCGTAAAAGCCGATTAAAATGGTAATTAAAGATACAATGATAATGTCAAATACACTCCATCGAATGGGTGAAAAGTATCGTCGATATAGCCATAGAATAGCTAGCTTTGTGAAGCAAATAATGACTCCATATTCGATCGACGCTACGTTGAACCACTATAGGAACGTTAGATAAGTCTTTCTTGATCAAGCATAGTGGCCAGACATAGGCAGCTTCGTGGGCTTGTTCTATGGTGATATCCCACGCATGTTGACCTCCATGGTGCGTCATGGTCGCTTCCATAATGCCACAATAGGCAATGGTGCCAGCCTACAAGACTGTTAATTAATGCAAAAGTCGAGTTGGTATCGCACATTACCCATGCTATGAATGCGAGCCCTATACATTATGTTAGTAATATCTTCTCAGGTATTGCTCGAGTGGAGTTGACCAACAGTCTTCAAATATCCATGACCTTTTGATAAAGATCCGCACATATGTCCTAGAAAAAAATGCGATAGTAATCAGAGGTATGGCTATGCCAATAGTCAGCCCGCTCTCATAGGCCAGCGACGGCGGATTGTCCGGGCTAGAAACCACTCCGTGGGGGGTTTTAGGGCTGGAGTGAAGGTCGAGAGTGGTTCGGTTGCTGTCGGTGAATTAGACATGGAGTCTGTAGGTATGCTAAGGTATATCAAAAACCGAATACAATATCCAAGCCTTTTGACATAGCGTACAGGAAGCAAACATCAACACTAAGACCGAGAAATAGCTCTTCTTATATGATGGACGTCAATACGCAGATGACATACGACGTTGAGAGTGGTAAATATCATATCGCAGTCTCTTGTATCACAGAAGGGGCGTCATGTTAAGGGTATCTAGAGTACCAAGGCCCGGGAGAACGCCAAACAGCCATTTACTGCCCGTCAAAAGTAACCTCGCTCACTGTGCAGTCAGTGACGAGACATAAATCGGTACATACAGCTGTACTTAGGTTCCGAATATTATTCTCTGGTCTTCCACTAAGTCTTGTAGAAGGTTATTTTTGAAGAACATCTGCTTTCGTCTTACAATGTAATTCCTTGTCCTGCTAGATATTATCTTGGCTTTCGTTTAAGCTTTCGCTTAGATGGCTATCCAATACACAGCAGAACACAGAGATGTAGTTCCTAGCGAATGAGAACCCTTTTGAGTGCATTGATTGCTTCGGTATCGGCGACAATTCATGTGTATTAGTTATAGCAACTTTTGGCCCAGTTATTCGTTGGAGTACTTTAGGCGTCACCAACCAGACAACCCATTTGGTGGCTGAGCTGAATAGAGGCCTGTCATGTGGAAGCTGAACTGTGCAGTGCAGACTGCATAATTTACGACGGAGTCTGACTGTATGACGAAAAGACGTCCAGGCATATACGCATGCATGTTGTATGGCGCGGAGGCTCTCTGAAAACACCATTGCTTTAAATGACATCCATAATAGCAGTCTATGAAATGCCTGTGAAACGGAGGCATGTTACCTGAGTGTCAACTAAGTCGCCGAGACCTTCGAAAGTAAGACACTGTTCTGGGCCAAGAAGGATGACGGCTGCAAACGTGTAACCTTCCCATAAATGTAGCCTATGTGTGCTTCTTGTTAGTAAATGTGTGTCCTACACGAGTACTTGCAAATTATTACAGGACAAGAAGGGAGTTTAGGGTAACACGAATGACTGTAGCTTTTCCTGTGGAACACCACCTAGCGCCTGTGGAACGTCCCGGTGTCCTCGGAGAATATTGAAGGGATGAAAATATTAGTGAGGTGGAAATACAAAGTAGACTGGTCCAAATTAAACGTGCTTTTGAAACAGAATTATTTTGGCCCGGGCCTTTAAATGTAGACTTGTTGGTGGTATTTGCGTCAAGTGTGTGCAGCCTGAGTGAAACCTAACGGTTGAGCTGAATGGGATTTCTGCGACCAGTCCAATGCGGTCGGCTTCCCGTTCTTGAATTGATCTTGGAGATACGGATGTTTTGATAATAAGCAATTGAGATTTGGTGCATTCATTTTCTTGTCTGGTTGATTCTAGGGAAGGCATATTTGCAGCCACCCGCTCCTCGACCTGGCTTTTTGCATAACTGTGGGGGGGAAAAAAGTTCTATTGTTGGTAAAAGCTCGTAGGACAAATAAACAGATAATCGAAGTCGAAGCATTCATGTGGTTGTGCTGGCTGCTGTCATTTACATGTCTATCGTCGGACGGCTGAGAAGTGGTTGAGAATGTAGGATTAGCATCTCACCTTATCCTTTTCGGCAATGCTGTCGATTCCTAAATCCGTACATGAATATCTGCAAGCCAACAATTGTCGGTACGTGGAACCCAAAGAATGAAATACGTGTAGTCAGAAGCAAAAGGAAGTAGCGGAGAGAAGATCGGGTAAAGCTCAACAGCCAAGGAAGCCAGGAAGGAAACCAGGAGGAGGGAAGGACCATGGTTAGGCGCCAACCGGTGACCGCAACAAAGAACGCATCGCCAAAGTTAAACGCACCGATTCTGTCTTCCTCCTGCACCGTTCTCATTCTGCTGGCCCTGTCTTTTCGCAATGTTCTCAAAAGCAGTCCTCCCGAGAAGGGTCTTATCAGCTCGTCACACAAAAACCAGCCGACTTACAAGGATAGCATTTCCAGCACGTCTACAGTCTAACAATGCCCGCTCTTTCGTAACACATGCGCCAAAACGCTTCACTTCTCGATCAAATTCAGCTTTGACAAGCGAAACGTCAGAAGACATGAATTCTGGAGAGTAAGTAAGCAAGCATTGACTGTGTTGCTAGAGTCGTTTTTGACGAATGTAGATATTCTACGGCGTTTGCCTTGTTTGAAGGCTTGTGGGAGGTATGACTACATCTACGGAGATTTTGCTACATTCTAACAGCCTAGGCTGGTGTTAAAAATTGCTTCGTGAATATTGGCTCCGACCATCCACCTATTGTTGAAGCGATTGTCAAGGGCAAACGTGAACGGCCGAGTAACTGGCCTCGGTTTGTAACATGCCCCAGCGAAATGACAGCAATATCTATGGCAGATGGCCATGCTCGCGTGACTGGTCGGCCTCAGGCTGTCATTGTCCATGTTGATGTTGGCACCCAGGCCCTGGCCCACGGGGTTCATAATGCGAGTGTTGGGCGTGCTCCCGTCTTCATATTTGCCGGTCTCTGTCCAATTACAGAATCAGGAGAATTGACTGGTTCTCGCACGGAGTACATGCACTGGCTGCAGGAACCCCATGATCAAAAGGCCATTGTGCGTCAATACTGTCGGTATGTTGGCGAAGTTAGGACTGGGTCCAATGTTAAGGAAACACTTGGACGTGCTCTACAATTTGCTTCCAGTACTCCGAAAGGTCCGGTCTATGTTGTTGCAGCACGAGAGGTGCTAGCTCAAGCCATTCGCCCATACTCTCTTGATCAAGAAAAATGGGTTCCTATTGGGCCCGCTGCACTGCCTGATGATGCAGTTCGTACCATCACCGAAGCTTTGGTGGGCGCTGAGAGGCCTCTTGTGATCACCGGCTACTCTGGTCGTGATCGTCGCACTCCAGAACTGTTAGTCGAACTTGCCGATAAGATCCCTGGTCTTCGGGTTCATGATACTGGAGGAAGTGACATGTGCTTTCCGTTTGACCATCCAGCCTCACTGGGATTTCGATTGGCTTTTGATGAATGCACCCGTGATGCTGATGTAGTTCTGATATTGGATTGCGATGTACCGTGGATCCCTGCACGAAATCCGCCACGTGAGGATGCCAAATTCTTCCATATCGATGTTGACCCGTTAAATCAACAAATACCAGTATCGTTCTTTCCAGCACACGGACGATGGAAGGCTGACTGTTACCTTGCGCTAAAGCAAATGCTCGAGTGTCTAGATAGGGAATTTCGCGGCGTTCAGCAAGACTCCACATATATTGCTCGCAAGCAAGATTTGGTCGTACAGCATAAGGATCGATTGGATAAATTGGCCAAACTGCCGCAAGTCGGAGATGAGGCGTCCCTTGATGGACACAACATTGGGCGACTTCTGAAAGAGTGTCTCCCTGAGGATACTACATTCGTTGTCGAGGCCGTGACCTGTGTTTCGATGATCGCAGATCAGCTTCAGCCAACTCGCCCAGGAAGCTGGATTAATTGTGGTGGAACGGGAATTGGCTGGAGCAATGGAGCAGCTCTGGGTGTCAGAATGGCAATGAATGAGGAAAAGGTACCCGGTATTGTGTGTCAAGTCGTTGGTGATGGGAGCTTCATGTGCGGATCTCCAACGAGTGCTATATGGGCTTCGTATAAGCACAAGATCCCAATCCTCACGGTTGTTCTGAACAATGGTGGTAAGTTGCTATATCTAAATATTATGGTGCATTTTTAACAATTGTTATGCTATCATAGCCTGGAAAGCACCGCGCAATTCAGCGGAGCTAGTGTACCCAAGTGGACTCAACAAAACCGCTACTGACGACGAGCTAAACGTTTCCTTGAGACCATCTCCAGACTATTCGAAACTCGCCGAGGCAGCTGCCACGCAAGCTGGGTGGTTAAAAGGCTCACAGGCTAAGACGGTCAAAGAGTTGCGCGAACAACTCATCGAGGCTGCCAACATTGTACAAATGGGACGTAGTGCACTGGTAGATGCGGTGATTTAGTGACCATTGACATTGAACGGCGGACAACCATAGACAGTTGCCCGAGAACTTCGGCATTTAGGAGAGAGAGTCTATTACAAAAAGTATTTTTTGTCAAATCATGAAACCATCTCCTCTCTAAAGATAGAAAGGGCTAGCATTAAGAAATCATGAAGTCTGCTACCTTTTCTCCCAAACGAAGAGTAGACATCAATCAAAAGATATGAGTAGTAAAAGTAGTCATAGCCGATTTCGCATTGAAACTTAGTGATCCGACTCGGAGATAATTTTCACATGTCGACAAGCTGAAGTGGACTTAAAAATTAACTCCAAATTCCTCCCGGAGCGTTTCCGACTTGACGTCTGCGAACATACGCTAATTAACACAACTCCAACCTCCAACCCACGACCGTACAGATTCTTTACCTGCCAAACAAGCTTCAAACTCTTACCAACACTCCGTCCAGAAAAAGCTCGAAAAACAAGAAAAAGAAAAAAAAGCAAGAAAAAAAGGAAAATGGCGCCTGTACGTTTACCCCTCACCACGACCCCAAGCTCCTCCTCCCTCTATACTAACTCTCAACTCTTTCCAGCGCGGTTTCACAAACCCGGCTCCAAAGGTAATGATATAATATCTCTAACCACACCACACGCACAACGCCACGAACCCTCTTAAAAATCCATACTAACACACAAAACACGCGCGCCAGACCGACTCTGCTCGCTCAGCCTTGAGCTCATTTACCTGCACACTCTGCAACAAGTCGTACTCGCGACACCCCGAATACGAAGCGCACATCGGATCCTACGACCACCAACACCGCAAACGCCTACAAGATCTAAAACAGCTATCGCGCGACCCAAATGCTGCGGAACGAGCGCGGAAGGCGGAGAAGAAGGCGGATGCGGAGGCCGGGTTGCGGGTGCTAGATACCAGTGCCAACAACAACAATAGTGGTGCTGCGAGTGTAGGGAGTGTAGGGAGTAAAAGTGGTGGCGGCGGCGGTAGTGGTGGAGGTGGTGGAGGCGGGTTTAAGAAGGGGGGATTCAAGAGCTCGTTTACGACGGTCAAGGGGCCTGCGGCGGCACCGACGAGGAAGAATGTACTTGGGGATGAGGATGAGGATGAGGAAGGGGGTGGTGGTGGTGGTGGTGGTGAGGAGGAAACTGGGCAGGCTTCGGTAACAGGCCATGATGGCGAGGGGAAAGATGGACAGAGGTTTGGAGAGGTTGAGAGTGATACGGATGAAGATTATCAGAATGATACAGATGGCGCGTATTATGATCCGCTGAGGCCGACGGGTTGCAGCTCTGAATGTCCAGGTGCCAGGGCTGTTTCTATGACATGATATTACGACTATATTTTTGAAGGCTTGTACGTTTATATGGCATAGCGATGGCGTTGGGAACAGTGTTGTATTGATCTATACAAAAGTCCAAGGCGGCAGATGGAAGACAGAATGCTCTTGATAAATAGTCGTACAATTCTAGTATCGGCTCAAATAATGACAATAGGAAAGGGTGGTCCGCAACAATCTAACAGTATGAGACGCGTGATGGAATTAAATATTGGTTCTTTTTCAAAAGTTCGTCTTCTGTCCGCCTCGAATGACACAAATGGAATCGTAAGTTTACAGTCGGAGGAGTTTGGCAGCCTGGCTAACAATGGTGTCTGGCTGGGGGAAGCTCAACTCCTCAAGCTTGAGAGCATATGGAGTAGGAACATCGGCACCAGTGACACGAACAGCCGGGGCGGTCAGATAGTCGAATCCGTATTCCATGGTGATGGCAAGAATCTCAGCACTGACTCCGTACATAGGGAAGCCCGATTCGACGGACATTAAGCGGCCGGTCTTCTGGAGAGACTTGATGATAGTCTCGACGTCAAGAGGCTTGACAGATCGGAGGTTGATGACTTCAGCGTCGACTCCGTATTTGTCCTTCAATTGGGCGGCGGCCTTGAGGGAAAGTCCAACGCAGCGGGAGAGGGAAACGATGGTCAAATCTTTACCAGGGCGCTCAATCTTGGCCTTTCCAATGGGAAGAACAAAGTCGTCCTTTCGGGACGCCTCGCTCATTGGGAATGCCTCACCGTAGAGCAATCTAAGTAATTATAAGAACAAAGTGGTTAAATGTAGGGTTGGAAGTGGTTGACATACTCATTTTCAAGGAATACAACGGGGTTAGGGTCGCGAATTGATGCCTTCAGCAGACCCTTGGCATCCTCGGCGCTCCAGGGAGAGACGACCTTCAAACCAGGGATAGCTCCGTACCAGGCAGAGTAGTCTTGAGAGTGTTGCGCAGCAACACCAGAGGCAAATCCATTGGGACCACGGAAAGTAATGTTGCAGGGCTGGATACCTCCGGACATGTAATGTGTTTTGGCAGCAGAGTTGATAATCTGATCGATAGCTTGCATGGCGAAGTTGAAAGTCATGAACTCGCACTAAGATCATTGTCCATAGTAATTAGCATCTTGCATATACAACATATTTTGAAGTATAAGCTTACAACGGGGTGCAAGCCAGCCAATGCGGCACCAACTGCCAGACCAGCGAAACCGGCTTCGGTGATAGGAGTGTCAATAACCCGCTTGGGTCCAAAACGATCGAGAAGACCTCGCGTTACTTTGTATCTGCATGTCCAACCATCTAGTCAATTCAACATTCCATGACCGCGCAAAACACAGGATAAACGCACGCTCCGTTGTATTGTGCAACTTCCTCACCGAGAACGAAGACCTTATCGTTGCTCTCGAGCTCTTCGGCGAGCGCCTCGTTCAAGGCATCTCTGACGGTCACCTCTTTCGATCCTTCTGTCGCGTATGTGCGCCGGTAGTAAGTCGAGGGAGCACATGCTGGAGCTCTGAACGCAGGGCGGATTGGCGAGGAAATTCGCGATTGCAGCAGACGACCAGCTGGCCGGAGAAACCGGGGAGCAGCCATTGCGAGATTCAGGAAAGCAAGACGAGCAACGATCCAGACCAAGAGACAATGCAGAAGAAGTCGAATAGGGCCGTGCAAAGGCAGCTTCACCCCGAATGCAAGCTGAGTGAATTGGAATGGAGGGCAGGGACGGGGATTATCGGATCGGGGCAGTTGGAGGAAGATTTTGGCCGTGATGATAATTCAGTAGTATGATTTAATTAGTATCACCTACGGCAGCAGCTCCGGCCCGTCGCACACTGCGATTGGCACTGCCAATTCCGTTGGGAGCTGACTAAGGCGCCCCCCAGCACACCGGCGGCCGACTCAGGGTAGCAGGTGTGTATTGCGGATACGGCGATATCGTGTTAAATATATGGATGCCGTTGTTCAAGCCACGTGCTTCGGTATTGTTACCGTTCTCAAATCCAGCAGCTGCCCGTTGCGCATGACAGTCAACCCACCAATCAGCTCAGCCCGCTCGCAAGGTTACTTATACCACCGTACTTGTTGACACCCTAACTTGCTTGTTGTCTATTGTTATGTTATCGTTATTATTAACGTGGCATCCTGATCGATGATACGGCCTGGCTGAACTTTTATCTACCAAGGGAATGGTTGATTCCAGCCCATACGCTACAACTGGTGAATAGACAAGATGGTTGCTCTTCATCTATCCGCCCTACTTATCGCTGCTCGATGCTGCTGGGCAGCACAGCCAGGCAGCCCAAGCCCGGTGCCTGCGAAGCTCAGGGACCTGCAATGGGGCAAGCTGAACTTCCTTCACACGACCGACACCCACGGGTGGCTAGGCGGCCATTTACAAGAGTAGGCGCTCTCTGCATGTAAACGATGTATCCGCTGATGTTTGTTACTAGAGCTTCATACAGCGCTGACTGGGGCGACTATGTCTCATTTGTGACCCAGATGCGCAGAAAGGCCGAGTCTCAAGACGCAGATCTTTTGGTTATTGACACCGGAGACCGCGTTGAAGGCAATGGTCTCTACGACTCGTCAGATCCAAAAGGAAAATATCTATATGACATCCTGAAACAGCAAGACATCGATGTGATGTCGTCTGGAAACCATGAGCTATACAAACAAAACACCTCGGAAGCAGAATTTCTCACGAATGTACCAAACTTCCAGGGTAGCTACTTAGCGTCCAACATCGACATATATGATCCCCAGTCAGGGAAACTCGTAGCGCTAGGTCCGCGATATAAAAAGTTCACCACCAAGAATCAAGCTATTCGAATTGTGGCTTTCGGCTTCCTGTTCGATTTCACAGGAAATTACAACAATACTAAAGTACAACCAGTCGAAGAGACGGTTCGCGAAGATTGGTTTCAGGAGGCCATCCGTGAGACGGAGGTCGATCTCTTCCTTGTTGTTGGGCATGTTCCACTCCGATCACAAGAGTACCAAGCTGTCTACAATGCAGTCAGAAGATTACACCCGGACGTTCCGATACAGTTTTTTGGTGGTCATCTACATGTTCGCGATTATGCAAGATATGACACCAAATCTTCTGGTCTTGCAAGTGGCCGATTCATGGAGACGATTGGTTTCTTATCTATCGACAACGTGAAGAGCAGTAATCCTGTTTTCTCTCGGAGGTATATCGATAATAATTTGTTTTCCTATCACCACCATGCTGGCCTTGACGAAGCCACTTTCCCAACGGAACATGGAAAAAACGTATCTCGCATGATACAGGAAGCCAGACATGCACTCGACTTAGACATGGTACATGGATGTGCTCCCAGGGATTTGTGGGTCAGCCGTACCCCGTATCCTTCCAGTGATAGCATTTACTCGTGGTTGGAAAACGAGGTTCTTCCTCAATCTCTCCGAGACCCGTTGCGCAACAATACTCCAGCGCTAGCAATCTCTAATACTGGTGCTATCAGATTCGACATCTTCAAAGGACCATTTACACAAGACTCTATCTACAACATGTCACCTTTTACTAGTGGTTTTAGGTATATCAAGGACGTTCCTCTGAAGACGGCGAAGAGACTTGTATGGCTTCTGAACAGGGAGACCAAGATTTTTACTGAATCTGAACATCAAAATTATTGCCCATTGGGGCCACCAGAGAAGTGCGCCCATGACCTGGATATCGAGACTAGGAGATACACGCCAATAAATTCCGAGTTGAAACGGCGTGAACAAATCGTCCTCTCTCCAGAAGTCGAGCAAGATCCTCAAGTGCTCCCAGGATACACCACTATCGATGATGCAGGCAATGATGGCGACGATACAATCCATTCCTCTATATCATTTTATGATGTGCCAAATGTTCTCCAAACATTGATTGTGCCAGAGACAACCCTATCCGCAAAAGAGAATACATCCACCGAGCCATCGACCGTTGATCTGGTTTATGTCGATTTCATCGAACCATACATAGCTTTGGCAGCAAAGTTTTCTGGTCTTCACGTTGAGCTGCCCCGGGATTCTGATGTATATATGAGCGGCACAAGCTTGACGGAGCTAATACTTGGCTGGATCAAGGATAATTGGCGGTGTGATAAAACATTCATTTAGAATACTTATATTAAGGTGTCAGAATTAGTTTGTGATAGAATTCGGTTTACCCAAGTTATTCTTAGACATACTCGTATCAATATAAGATATTTATGAATAGACTAATTTTAGTCATGTTTTCAATATTTGTAGTCTGCGTGGTCTTACATACTAGGAGTGAGAAATATATACTTATTCCAATCCAGTATATTTATTTATTATTACAACATTCACTCTTCAAAGACAAAGATAGACTTCCCCCCACGATACCCCGTAAGCGTACCCTGGACCTCCTGCACAAGCTCTGAATAATCCTTGTCCCAAGTCCACTTGACTTCCTGCACTGGAATATCCTTAAACTTGCCATTCCGCGTTAGATCAAAAATATCACGGATCGTGTTCTCCTTCAACTGTGGATTCTTGTCGCCCCATCTACTAACCCAGAAGCCAGCAAAGACAAGATTCTTAAAAATCAAAAGCCCAGAAGGCAACGCCACAGGCTGCTTCGCCATGGCGCCATAGGTGACCAGGTGAGAATCTGGTGCGAGTGCTTTTGCCATTGCAGACGCGTTTTTACCGCCGACGCAGTTCAATGCTAGACGAATGGGTTGTTTGCCCTCTTTAGTCAATTTGTGTACAATAGCTCTGAAGTCTCCGGATAGCAGCTCTGCCTCGGTGATCACAGCCGTTGCGCCCAAATCTAGAAGATCCTTCTTCAATGCCTCAGTCTCTTTCGGATTCTCTCTCTCTCGAATCACATTAAGCGTGTTTATACCCCAGACGCGAGCGAGCTGGATAGCAGCACGACCGACACCACTATTCGCGCCGTTCTGAATAAGCCATTCCTCGCCACTACGAATCCAATCCCAATTACAGAAATCCTTGATCATGCGGTACGCGGTAACCGGGTTGACACTCACTGTCCCGACTTGCAGCGGCGACAAACCCTCTTTGTCCACTTTGATTAATTGTGATTCGTCTAGTTGTGCGTGTGTTCGCCATGTCCCTTGTCCCGTGCGTTTCATCACTACCCAGTCGCCCGTGGAAAGATTGGTTACGTTCGATCCTGTCGATGTGACCTCGAATGCGCCTTCATTGCCGCCGATGGCGGAGGGCTCGGGGGTGCCTAAAGTAGTCTCGAATGGGGGTTTGGAAGGGTAAACGCCTTGGATTTGATTGACGTCGGCGGGATTGATTGGAGCGGCTAGAAGACGGAGATTGACTTGGGTGCCGGTGGGCGCAGGTATAGAGTGTTTATGAAGTCTGTATAGAGCTAAGAATGAGCATTTCGCCAGCATCTGCTTGATTGCTGGACCTACTGTAAGACGTCCTTTGGTTCGCCATATTTCGAGTACGTCAGCACTTTGGCTTGTGTGTATCCATATGCAGAGATATATCTGGCGCCCGCCGCTTGAAGACTACATGGGGATCTTGTGCATTTGAGAGAAGCTTTGACGCCAGGCGAAGACCTGTAGAGAGCTGCTGAGCAGCCAACACTGCTCTTCACGACTCGAAGGGCAAACATTGTCCGCCAATATATCCTCACAAAAAAAGAGGAAAAAAAAAATCAATGGAGCATGGAAGAATGGAAATTATTAGAGTCCCACGTTGGAAAGAAAGCATGCAGCAGCATATTTATGACGTACAGCAGCGGGTATCAGGGCGCTTAACTCCATCAGGTAACGTGCACTCTCCTTCCGCATTTAATATTTGTGACTCGGCAATAGACAATCCCAACCCAGAGCTGCCACTTAAATTGTGCGATTACTCTTGCATCGGTGGTTGCATTATTGCTATGCGTAGAGCCGTCAATGTCACTGCTCCGTGAAGCCGAAAAATGCATCGCTAACCAGACTCGCTTCCTCGAGCTCAATGCCGTGATTACTCCTCTGCAGAGCCAGGCTGGATGGCTGCAACGAGTGCGAGACGCCGATGCGCGAAGGGAAAATGGTAGGCTTGTTAAACACTGCTCCCTATTATTACAAAAATTCCAGTAGCTGATGGCAATGGAGCAATACAGGCACCCAAAAGTCGGCACTTGATGGCAGGATAATTGCTATCAAGGATAATATCTGCACTCGTTCGCTTCCGACGACATGCGCCTCTGCGATGCTTGAGAAGTTTTCCAGTCCTTTTGACGCTACAGTAATCAGCGCCCTGGAGGAATCCGGTGCGATTATTGGGTCGAAAACGAACCTGGATGAGTTCGGAATGGGCTCGCATTCAACAAACTCGCGTTTTGGGGAGGTCAAAAGTAGTTTCTGTGGGAATAGCGGAGAGCCTCTTTCTGCTGGCGGTAGTTCTGGAGGGAGTGCTGTTGCGGTTGCTACAGGGCAATGCTATGCGTAAGCTGCTTATAAATGTCGCAATTGAAATATGCTGATGATGTCCAGTGCTTTAGGGACTGACACAGGCGGGTCCGTTAGGCTTCCTGCCGCGTATACAGGGACCGTCGGATTCAAGCCTTCCTACGGACGAGTATCTCGCTGGGGTGTTGTTGCATATGCGAACTCACTCGATACTGTTGGTATTATTGGCCAGAAGACGTCGGTTGTTCGGGAAGTTTTCGGTATGAACGACGCCAAGCCACTGTAAATTCTTATCTGACATTTGATTCCTCAAGGTGTTCTCAATCATCATGATCCACGAGACCCCACCAGTCTACCAACAAACTCTCGGTCCCGGATTTCTGCTCTTCTATCACAGTCTCAGTTCTCCAATCGCTTAGCTTCTCGACCCTTGCGAATTGGTGTTCCTCTTGAGTATAACTTGACAGAGCTGACTCCGTCACTTCGCAAAGCCTGGCTCTCGGCGCTCAAAGCTCTAGAAAAACAAGGTCACTCTTTGCACCCAGTATCTTTATCGTCGACAAGACACGCATTGCCAGCCTACTACATTCTCGCACCGGCAGAGGCATCATCTAATCTCGCCAAATATGATGGTATCAGATACGGTACTCGTGCCGCCGGCCCAGACAGCGGGGAGGGGTTGAATGGGTATCTCTATGCAAAGACACGCGGCGAAGGCTTTGGTGCCGAGGTGAAAAGGCGGATTTTACTGGGCTCATTCAGTCTCAGTGCTGACGCAATGGACAATTACTTCATCCAAGCACAACGGATCCGTCGACTTGTGCAAAGTGACTTTGATAAAGTCTTTGCATTCAACAATCCATTGAGAACTGGTGCGTCGGGAGATAAGGATGGCGTCTCAAGAGTAGATGTTGTCATAGGACCAACCACCTCCTCTACTCCACCCAGCCTGTCTTCCATTCAAAATGACAGTGATGCGATGGCATCTTTGAATGCGTACGTAACGGATGTTCTCACTGTTCCTGCCAGTTTAGCAGGGTTGCCGGCGATCTCTGTGCCTGTGTCAACCACAAAAACTGACACTAACCCCGGCGTGGACAAGGTAGGGATTCAGATCATAGGCCAATATGGCGATGACGACCTCGTCCTTGATGTTGGCGAGGCGTTGGAGCAAGCGGAAATAACCGTGTGATATGTATTGATAGGCGAAATACCCCCAGTTTACAATATAAAATAAATTATAATACCACACAAATGTCTAGTACCGCTTGACGAAATAATGTTCAATATTCATCTAGCTAACATCAACTACCAGTCATCTCAACATCCTCATTTCTCGTAGCTACATCAACATCTGGCACACCATTCGTCTGTTGGCCCTCTGCAGGTGCAATATCTGCGGCCCCATTAATCCCCTGACTAGCATCTACCGCTTCCGCTGGATTAACAGGCACAGTGGGTTGGTCACTCGTCGACATGGCCGCCTCATAGACAGCCGCAACACCCTGCTGAGCAACGTCCGCATTGACACCAGTCGCAGCGACGACGGCAGATTCGCCCGAGCCGCTGAATTCCGTGTTGATGATAGCCGGGGTTGCAGATTGTGAAGACTTCGCATCATTCGTGGGGTTGTCGCCCATAGTTATGTCTGCATTGTTATTATTCTTTTTCTTGTTGCCCTCGCCTCCCCATAGCAGCATTGCCTCAATATCATCAACGATATCAGCCACGATATCCTCGACGATTTGATCGTTGAATCGTTCGCCAAAGGGCTTTATGACGGTGGGAGGAGGAACATCGCCGTCCTCGCCTTTCAGAGATTCGACCGCTGGTGGCCCGTACCACCACGGAGACTCGAATCTGCACTCGACAGCGCCACCGCCGTAGCAGCTGACGGTTGGGAAGTAGCCGATCATGCCGTCGTCTGCATTCTCTCGCTCGCCGATGCCGAGATTGTTGGTGCCGTTTGTCAGACGGCTTGCAGGAGGCAAAAATGCGAAGAGATCTTTGAATGCGGTCCCCATTTGAACACCATTTTTGAATATTGTGATACTGGACCCGGGGAGGGTGCGGAGAGATGCGTCTTCGCTGTTCAGGGGAGATGGGGGGCCGAATGTTGGGGTTTCTTTGAGGTTGAATGCATAATCACGGAGTTGTTTTGAGGGGTAGATGTTGGACTGTTGCCAGCAGAAGTCTGATTTGAGATGGAAAGGTACTCGGTCACGGATGAAGTTTGTTACTGTAGGGGGTTCTTTTGCTGGCTTTTCGGTAGAAGGGTCATAGGTGCCTTCGACAACTTTTTTGTGCAGAGATAGAGACGGTAATGTTATGAGCAGGCCAATGACGTCGCCTTCATCGACGCTTTCGCCTTTGTCAAAGAAATGCTCACAGCGCATTCGGTTGATCACCTCTCCATTCACATCTCGTATCCCATACCCATAACAGTCCACACCGACGTTGACGTCTAATTCTGCTTCTCGTCGCGAGAATCCAAGACGAACATGGCCTCTTGATGAAGGGGCGGGGTTTGGAACATTGCCATTGGTAGTAGATTGTGATTCCTTGACAATGCCACTTATAACTCGCGCTTCGTAATAATATGAACCTTCACGCGCACAAACATTTGCTCGAGCAGAATGCCAAGCATCACTTGTTGCAACAGCCAGACCATCTTTTGTAAAGGCAATTGCGGCGGGGGAATCTTCGAAACTGAAGCGAGCATGATACGGCGCAACATCGGTTTGTCGATATTTGATGTTCTTGAAGTTAGGATCTGAAATAGCGTAGCTATACCGGAAACCGTTCTTGTTTGTGAGCTTATCCGCGACTTCATGAAAGTCCCAGCTCTTGTTTAACACGCTGGATGTTTTTCGGTATAGAAAATTCATCTGCCTTTGCTGTGGAGGATACATATCCGAGGTACGAGGCTCAACAAGCACCGCAGGTCTGAGCATGGAAAGAAGAACGGATGGACGACCAGAAGCAACAACCGCCATGGCCTTTTTCTTTGGAGGAGCGCTCTCGGCGTCCAATCCTTTGGCTTCGCGCTTTTTGCGACTGTCTCTTTTGTTTCGTTTTGATCGCTCGGCTGCGGTCGGCACGCTAGGAGCTGGGGAGGCCTTCACTTGGGGATCGGTCATTGTGTTAGATGTAGGAAGTACTCCCGGAGAGTTTATGCTGGAGGATGGCGCTGACGAGCCAGCGACAGGTGGAAGAGACGCCATCCGATCATGCCCTCCTAGCCGGGGTTCGCAGGAAGGTGGATGGGATTGAGTTTGGACCTTTCCTGGTATGTCACAGCTTCAGAAAATTTGCGGTGGTGTATGTATCGAATGAATGCTAGTAAATTAGTGTTCACGGTAGTTCTGCGAACAGAGGCAGCTGGTTGAGCTATGCGATGTTGCGGCGGAACAGGATGTTGAGTTGAGCTCTAATTGATGGTTGTCGGGATGCTCTATTTCGATGTACGGCAAGTACAGACAGAGGAGCTGGTCGCAGAGCTCATTCTTATATATCACGACGTTTAGAACGCGCAGTCTCAGCTTGAGTCGCGTAATGGGTGTGCACAAGCTTTGAAAGCTGCCGGGCAGTGACTGCTGTTGATCGAGATGCCGGCAGAATCGTCCCAGCTCTGACCGCCTTTAGCGACAGTCCCTTACACCTGAATCACGCGTATTAAGTATTTACAGATTGAGAGATATTAAAAGTAGATATAGAGGGATTTGAATACGGATATTGATCGATGGTTTACAATCGAAGAAATCCCGTTTATCCTGTTTTGACGTACGTACTCGCGTGTTTACAATCGGGCTGGAGCAACATAATGCAATTGAATTATGAATCAATTCGTGTAAAAGAAGAGTATCAACTCCCCAACCCTATCGTCATGTTGCGAGGTTGATAGCCATGGGCCTAACTAGTGGTTGCTGCCTGTGACTTGCAATCTCATATCAGACAATATAGCGTCGAAGAAATAGTCTTGCTGGCAGAGAAGGAGCAAGTTTGGTTCCATCATGTACTCGACTTCCCCTCGTTTTTTTTTGCTTCCTGAATCTTCACCCTGCAAGTTTGTTGCCTCGCCGCTCCATCATGAGCTTCATCTTCAGTCCTCCATCCCTAAGAAGTACCAGTGAATCATTCTCCTGAAAAAAATCGATGCCCTGGCCGAGTGAGATTTTCCTAATTCCCATCGAAGGGCGGAATAGCGTAGCAGAGGACCAGCATGTGATGGCCTTCCAAAGAGAATATGAGCTACCCTGCTCCTGCTGTTTTTAACCCATCTTCGAACCTCAATTCCTTGGTTGTTGTAATTAATAAATTAAGTATCGTGAGGTGCAGAGTGGGGTTGCTGTTGATAAGCTTATCGCACACACACCGCCGCGGCAGAAAAAAAAAAAGCGGATGCTGAGCGTGAAAATGGAAACACCTCAGTAAAGCGACGACAATTTGCGAGCTGAGAGTTTGGCCCTCGATTTCGATCGGAAAGCATATAGACTCGCAAGCACGAGTCACTGATGAACAATGCCGAAAGCTACCACTCCTCGCACTGCTAATCGCAGACACAACCCCCTCGCAGACGATCTCCTCTCCGCGGGCCATTTACGAACAAAGTCAGGAAAAAGAAAGTCGCGCGGTGATGATGACAATGATGAAACCGAAGCCGGTGATAAGTTTATCGATGCAAAAGCCTCTCGTAAAATTCTACAGATTGGCCAAGATCTCGCCGACGAAGATGCAGCAGAGCGCCGGACTGCTTTAGAAGGGAGCAACGCCGACCAACCCAACAAGGCTTTTGATTTTTCATCGAGGTTTGAAGATGAGGAACAACTATCAGAGGATGAAGATAAGTTTGGAGAAGACCAATGGGGAGACGAAGACGTCGAAGACGCGGTAGGATAAACCGCTAATGCAAATGACATGCGCTCATATTGTTTTTAGGAAATCGACCCTAATGACCTCGACATGTTCAATAAGTTTATTCCCAGTGGAGAGCAAGACCCGATATTTGCCCCTCAGCAAACAGAGGAAAATGGAGATGGGCCTGGCGTCAATCTCGCAGATTTAATCTTGGAAAAAATTGCTGCATATGAGGCGAAAGAATCAGGAGAAGATCAACAATTTATCAAAGGCGGCGGGGCCCCCGAAGATGCAGTTCAAATTCCCGCAAAGGCTTTGGAAGTCTATGAGAAGTATGTTTCCACCTCTTTTATGCTATGTGTTCACTTGACTAATTTTTCCATAGAGTCGGCATGATTCTATCACGATACAAATCAGGGCCTCTACCAAAGCCTTTTAAAATTCTGCCAACTTTGCCCCAGTGGCCTACACTTCTTGATATCACACGCCCAGACTCGTGGACGCCAAATGCCGTATATGCTGGAACGCGGATATTTATTTCAGCTAAGCCAGCCATCGCCCAAGAGTACATCAACACGGTCCTACTTGAACGTGTCCGTGACGAGATTCACGAAACCCGCAAACTCAACGTCCACGTCTATAATGCATTAAAGAAAGCGCTTTACAAACCGGCATGCTTTTTCAAGGGTCTACTATTTCCCCTGGTAGCTACAGGCATCTGCACCTTGCGCGAGGCTCACATTGTATCGTCCGTCATTGCGCGTGTGTCCATTCCAGTCTTACACTCTGCTGCAGCACTGCTTCGATTATGCGAGATAGCAGCTGAACAGACGTCATCTTCACTATCATCTGAAGGCACTGGCGCCACGAATATATTCATTCGCGTGTTTCTCGAGAAGAAATATGCGCTTCCCTACAAAGTGATAGACGCACTGGTGTTCCATTTCCTGCGTTTCCGTGCAATGGATAACAGCGAGGATCAGATGATGGTGGATGGAAACCGCCAGCAGCCTCCGTCTGCTGCGGCTGCAATGAACTACAAACTCCCTGTGCTCTGGCATCAGTCCCTCCTAGTCTTTGCGCAGCGGTACCGAAATGACATCACAGAAGACCAACGCGAGGCTCTTCTCGACTTGCTGCTTGTACGTGGACACAAGGAGATTGGACCAGAAGTGCGCCGAGAACTTCTCGCTGGGCGTGGTCGAGGCGTGGTCGTGCCGAATGCTGAGTTGCAGGCTGCGGCTGCAGCAGGTGATGATACCATGGACGTGGAGATGTGATGATGAGTGTTTATACAAGTGTGGATTGTTTTTCATGACGATATTCATAATGGCGTTTTATTGACGATACGATTATATTTAGTTTGCATGAATCAATATTTTACGGTTAGTCGACGTTTAGAGAACTAGTTAATGCCAGAAAAGGATCGACACGGCTTTCTTGGTGAAAGACTTGTTCTGTAAAAAATATTTTATTATATGAGAGGCTAAATTTCAAGGAATTGATCAAGCCTTGCCAGTAATACAGCCTAGCATGACGTGTATCCATACAATTAGACCGACTATGCATGTACGGGTTCGTATCTGCAGGGTGAATAGCCTAGCTATTTGAATGTGATGATAGTGAGGCTGTGCGGCTACCTCTGCAGCCCCCGCATAGCCGAATCAGGATTATCTGTAGATAATAAAAACGAGTTTCCCTTGGCACATCTTATGAGTGTGTCGTTGAAATAACATCACAGAACGCCTCTTTAAGGAAATATGCGGTATTGGCCAGGTTGGGTACTTGAAGTTTCCGATTAATCCTGGTCTAGCTTGTCTCTCATTCTATCTTTTTTATTGGCCATGACTTCCCAAAACGGCATACTAGGAAATCCTCAAGACGTCCATAGAACGCATTTTGAAGCTGTCAAATATCTCTCCTTGTGGTGGCGGACAATTTTAAATCCTACCAAGGCCCCAGAAGAGTCCGCAACGCCCCCCAAAAAAAGTTGGTGCCAACTTCTTTGGACTTGTCCGGGGAGATTTAATGAAAGAAAAAGAAAGAAATGATAAGATAAATATATTAGTTAGAATCCCAAATTAATAGCTCTGGCTGTTGTCTAGTTGAAGCATTTCGCCCAGGATATCCCCGTTTCACGGCTCTGATCGGAGCATCCAACTCCTTTTATCTTTGTCGACGCTTCTCCATTCTTCGCGCCCGTCTCCTCTTGCTGAAGCAAGACAAGTTATCGGTGCTAGAGCAGAAGCTAGAAAAAATCGATCAAGATGAAACCGCTTCTTTGTTCCTGGGAAAGAGCCGTTGGGACAGAAATGAAGAGCGCCGGTCTGTTCTATCGGAGATTGATGTCTGTTTGGCTGACTACGGTAAAAGAATTCTCATCAAAAATTTACAGTGTCTACAGCTGAAGAGCTGAAGCGTATTTTAAAACAGCCTGCCTGATAGATGTTGACGAATGGTGGCAGATTCCTACGTGGAGCGGACTGCCCGCATGCTTCAATTCAAGCCTGCCCAGCGCCGAGATATATCCAGTTTGCGAAACTGGGTGGAAGGTAATGCGTGTCTCGACAGGGAGGAGACAGCATACCTTGATCATACCTCGGACCTGATCAGTCTGGCTTCCACTAATGACGTGGGCTGGTTGGAGGAGTGGGTAGAGGATAAGCTGATTTCTTATTACAGAGGATTTCGTGAGGTATAAATCTAGGCCAGCTGCTGGTATGCACTGTCAACGCTGAAGTGACTATTAACAATTCACACAGAATCCGGCTCATGAGGTCTCAACGGACTCGAATGTGTATATCTATTCCGGCTCCCTGACGAAACAGATAGCTCACGCCATATTGCTGTCGGCGACGGCGTTCCTTTTATTGGTACCTGCAATTGCATGTAGCACTACTACCAGTACCGCATTCCGAATGATTATTATTATAGTCTCTAATCTCGTCTTCCTCTTTGCTATGTCTAATTTCTGCAAGCCGAATTCCACAGAGCTATTTCTAGCTGCAGCGACGTGAGTTTTGACATCTCCTGATCCATTTCAATATTATATGTAACTTACTCAAGTGAGGGGTTTGCAGATATATGACAATCATGACGGCTTTTCTTTCTGGGTCCAACTCGGTATATAATTAAATTCATGAGAGTATGAAGAGGTAGATTGGGCATTAAATATCATTGAAATTGTACTTGATGAAGCAGTTACAAATAAAACAGGAAGAAAGTCTGCCGATGCTTTTCCAACTAGGCCAATAAACTCCCTTGAAGAACCGAGCTTACCAGATAAATTGGTCAGCTGATAGAAGGTGGTAATACTAGTTTTATATTTGTAATCCCAACCCTAACCCTAACTTGGTAGATTTTATTTACGACTGGAACCAGGCAGCCTTGTAAGGCAGACCTGGTCTTAGGCATCAACCACCTCACTCAATTGCAGTGCTCGTACACCCGTGACATGCTCCTATCAACTTGAATTGATACAGAGATCTGAACTGAAAAATGGATGATATTGAAGGGTTAGTACTGATTATCTATCCTTTTGCCTTGTTTTTAAGGCAGTTCCACCTAACCGTTCTTACTATAGGCCCAACTTCACTATCGACGACGCCGGAGGTCGCGCCAAAGTTGAACAATACATACATGTACGTTACGAATCCGAGCACTATGCTAAAGTTGAACAGTACATACGTGTACGTTACAACCATTTTATTCTATGGGTTGGTGCCATTATTAAATGCATATTGCCGTTTAGATAAGCAAGTTCAGAACAGGGGACACAGTTTACTTGCACTTTTCCGGTACAGCTGCACCAGAAGGCCCCTACATTATCGCATCCGTACCATCGGCTGGGAAATACACTCTTTGCCTGCCTGATGGGCAGACTGTTAGGAATGGAGAAGCGGTAGAAGAGCAATATTTACAAGGAACACAATGCTGCGCAGCATAGATAAAGAGGCCGGGTTTAACGACGATGTAGGCAAAATAGATGTCTAGATTAAGTTTTGGATAGAGGGCTGACTAAAGTGCATCGTCTGAGTTCCTTAAGGGTGTAATCAATTCACATTTTACTGTATCTATCAACTTTCTCAAGAAATATACCGGTAAACGCATCGGACCTGCTTTATATCTTTGTGGCAACTGTACGAACGCGGAAATTGTAAACTGCCCAGTCCTCCAACACATTATCCTCTGGTGCACCGCGATATCTATTAGAGGCTATCTTCTTAAAAGACGTGGGAAGTTCAGGCAAATTTTCCGAGAGAACCCCCCGGATAGTTTGTGCGTAGACAGTTGGAATTGGAATCTTAGGGAGCTCCAAGGAGGAAAACGAAGTCGGATGGCGAGTAATGAAAACCTTGACGACATCTTCGCATTCCTGCAGGCCCAACTTTTTCAGGGAATCTGGGATTGTCATAAGTAATTTTTTGGACATCCTTCCACTTAACCCAATTGAGTCATTCTTAGGTGGTAGAGTGAGATATTCAGCTCTCATGAGATTCTCAACCTGCCAAGAAGGACCCATGTCATACACGTGCACGTATAGACAATGCTCGCTGTTATTTTGTACTGTTAACTGGAGTATACCGTTATCGAGCACGGTTACAGTTCCCGTCAAGCTATCAGCATCAGCGTCTGAGAAGGAGCTTGTGACCTGTACCTGAAATGAGCTGGTGAATGACGGCATCGGGACTTCGTTTTCGAGCCCCTGAATTTGTTTGAATCTGGTCAAATGTTCTAGCACACATTTCAAGCTATCCCAGGCTCCTACCTGATATGTTGGGATTGTCGGCAGGCTCATTATCCTCTCGTAATACTCGTTCTGTATCTCAAACTCGTTCTGGCCGTTAATTGAAACATTGAATAGCACAGGAATGCCGACGGCATTATCCGTATGGATGTCAAGCGAACGCTCACATCTGTCACGGAAAACCATGGTATCTGCGTCGTCTGGCGGGAGTCTTATGGGAATCTTTCGAATGGAGAACTGCGTGACTGGCCTAGCTGTCCACCCGGTACCAATGTGTTGAGGAAGCGGCTGGTTATTCATCTTTTCTAAATCTAAATCTGACGTGAGCCCTCGGACGGCAGATACTGTAGCCACCACAGATACGTTATTGACTCCCTCATTCTTATCATCTCTCGACAACGTAAATGGGTGTAGAGTGTAACGAGAACCATTGGATATGCCATGTGCCTGGCCTGCCTTAAGGCATAGACCAACATCTGTCCGGAAGACTGGAATAGATGTTGGATCCATATTAGATGTTAGCTGCCCGAAAAAAGACAAATTTTTATTTCCGTAGAATGTGGGATTTTGTCGAGGCCAAGAGGCTTGGAATTTGGCACATATGTGTTGATATATAGATTGATTGTTGCGATCTCCATTCCCGAGTTGGTATAATGTCCTTAGCAAGAAATAAGACAGCGCACCATTTCTAGTCCCATCTTCGAATTTGAGCTCTACTGCGACTTCATGAGGCCCACAGGCGGCCAGGATGGTGTAGCCGACAGGGTGAATCAGCCAGTTGGGGAGCATAGAGCCATCACGAAATACTGAATTCTGCTTGTGACGAATAATAAAGCTTGGGTCAAGGTTCGATGGATGTGCAGCGTCGACTTCGCAATCATAATCCAGGAATCTTGCACTATTCTTTTCAGCCTGTTTTCGCCTGAGAACGCTTCCGGAAAAACAACAATCAAGGACTACCGTCAGCTTGACTCCTTTCTCTACCATACGGTGTAAAAAACTTGCGAATTCAAGCCCGCGGAGATAGCGAAGGTTTGCTATATCATTTCCGTCCAGTAAATTCAGGGCCAGATCACCGGTATCCGTATTGCTGTATTCCGACGACCCTTCAATTCTCGTTCCATGGCCCGAATACTGTATATATACCCAATCACCTGACTGTCCCAAATCTGCTATTTTTTGGAGGCAGGACGTGACGTTCTCGAACGTTGGCCACAGTTCCGGTGGCTCATGCAGCACAGAAGGCGAATCTGTAAGTGTGCTGGCAATGAACTTTTCGATATGGATAGGCGTTGACTTGCTTTGCAGATACTGTTCAAGTCTCTCAACATCCCTAACACAACCGTATAGGGGCTTTTCTGTGTAGTAGTTGATTCCAATTAGCACTGCATAATGCTTTGTGGTTCGTACACTTTCGGCCATGAGAAAACAATCTTAACGATCTCTGACTCTGCGTACTACGAGCTGAACAGACATGCAAAAGGAAGATGGGATAGAGAAGGAAGAGGTATGAAATTAGACTTCTCATCACCCAGCCTAAGCAGTGCTTTAGAAAGCCTCACACGTGACCAGCCGGCTATTGGTCGTCTGTTGCTATGCTGTCTGACACAAGGCTACGCTTGTTTCTTTTTGCAGCCTGACTTGCGGTGCCTTGATGCCTGAAATTTAGAATTCAATAACCGTAAGGAAATCCATTTCATCAAATCGAGACCTGCGTTTGAGAGGACTTTCACGTGGACAATTGATATAAATAGATATAACAGCTATAATGGAAGAGGTTATACGACTAGCAACGCTCGTTTCCCAAGCGCCCGAAGGGCCAGAACGCCAGAGAGCAAGAGAGAATCTGCAATCCTTTCTTCAGAATATAATTTCCGGCGAAAGAATAGCTACAAATATCGAGGAGATCGTCCAGCTCGGAGAAATGACATTCAAAGCCCTATCCCCCAACCACCCGGAACGCGCACAACGAGTATATAGCATAGCAGGGTATTTCCGTCAAGGGTTTTCTCGAACTGGAGAGCTGCTGCTGATAGAGAAAGCTATCCATTTCGGCCGTATTGCTCTTGAGACCATGCCAGAAAACCATCCTCGACGCCCGGAATTTCTCAACAACCTCGGCGTGTTTTTCCAGGATCGATTCTCGCGAAAAGGTGATGTAGAGGATATTAAACGGGCTGCTGCGTATACACAGCAAGCGTTAATTTCAGTCCCAGATGGTGCTGACAGCCGGGATCGAATCGACTTCACTAGCAACCTGGGGGTGTACTACGAGAAGCTATTTAGACGAACAGGAAAGATGCAATACTTGGACCAAGCTATTGATATGGGCCAGTCATGCATTGATGGCCCACCGAACCATCCTAATCGAGCGGGGGCATTTAACAATCTTGCAAGGCATCTAAGGACTCGATACCAAATCCTCGGAGATCAAGGCGATTTGGAGACGGCCTTGTCACATGTGAAGCACTCATTAAGCCTAACCCCGGACAATCACGGCAAGAGAGGAGAGCGTCTGAGTAATTTATCTTCGTTAATGTATGAGCGGTATTTGTTGTCGCATAATATTGACGAATTAGATGGAGCGGTAACCCTCGCCAAGCAAGCGCTTGATTGCTCATCAGAGAATTATTCCCATCGTTCCCAGGCACTTAACAATCTAGGAAAATGTTTACAGTTACAATTCAAAAGAAATGGAAAGATGACTGATTTAGAGGAAGCTATCAGACTTGGAGAGCTTGCCGTAGATGCAGTGCCGTTAGACGACTACGCCAATCGCTCTCTCCACCTCCACAACCTGAGTACTTATTATCATGATCGGTTTTTGCGAACAGGGAGGGTAGAAGACTTACAAAACTCCATTCACCTGATGCAAAAAGCAATCGATGCAACGCCAGAAGACGACCCAGATATGACGTATCGTCTGCATGGTTTAGGGATTTTGTTTCAGGAACGATATCTGCGAATAGCAGATTCGAAAGACATAGAAGAAGCAATACGCGTGCAACGAGAGGCTGTTGAAAGAATCCCAGTCGGCCATCGCAGTCGAGGACACTGTCTGAATAATCTAGGCTACTTCATCTTGCTACTGTCATCACGAACCGGCAAGATCGATGATTTGGAGGAGGCCATAGAAGTCGCAAAGAAAGGGCTTGATGTCGTCCCCAAACAGCATTCAGGATATGCAACCGCTCTCGATAATTTAGGAATCTGTTATGCTGACAGATACGATCGAGTTTCTGAATTATCCGATCTTGAGGAATCTATTAGACTTGGGCGAGAAGCTCTGGAGGCCACCCCTGAGAATCATCCGGGCTTGATATACCGGTGGAACAACCTTGGATCGCGTCTGGCAGATCTATTTTCAGTAATACCGTCTGTGGGAATCATAAATGAAGCCATTGACATTGGGCAAAAGGCGCTGTGTGCCCTCCCAGAGAACCACTATTTTCGAGCCCAACTTCTTTACAACCTCGGCGCTCGCTTCAAGGCTCGTTTCGGGCAGTCCAAAAGCGAGAATGATTTGCGAGAATCAACGAGACTATTTTGCCAGGCATTGCATTCTCACGATGGAGAACCGATGACACGCATTAAAGCAGGGATAACTGCTGCGCTTGACATGAATTCATCACGTAAATGGGGCGAGAGCGCGAGTATCCTTCAAGAATCCCTTGACCTGCTTCCGAGGGCTACTCTCCGTACGGGCTCTCGCAGTGACTTGCAGCACACAATTCCAAATCTTGCCGGGGTGTCAGCCTTGGCTGCTTCCGTTTTTCTGAAAGCAGGCAAGAGTCCCTTGCAAGCACTCCAGATATTAGAACAGGGCCGTGGGATAATTGCCGGCCTGGTGATCGATTCTCGCTCTGACGTTTCTCTGCTTAGAAAAAAACATCCTGATCTTTATTCTCGATATGATTACGCAAGAAAGGTCGTTGCGATTCCGTTTTCATCGGGCCTTTCCGGAGAAGATGAATCATTCAGCAGCTTGAAAAACAACTATACGCTCGAATCTCTTCAACGTCACGAATATTCAGTGAAGCTAGAAGAGGTGATTCAAGAAATTAGAGAGAATCCGGGATTTGAAAGATTCCAACTTCCTCTAACGAAGAACGAGATTCTTCATTTGGCCCGTGGCGGTCCGTTGGTGTCATTCAACGTATCTGTTGTCAGCTCAGAAGCCTTCATTGTCACGGAGAACACTATCCAAGCACTGCCACTTCCTGAGTTGAAAAAGTCCGACGTTCAACAGATGATGAGAAGCTTGGTCCATGCCAGTAACGGACGGAGAAGAGATGCTAAATTTGTCGAAGATGTAGATGATGGGTCATTCGGCATGGAAGATGAACTACAACCTGTAGAGATCACCTCTCAAATGTCTACATTGTGGGCTAATGCTGTGAAGCCCGTGGTGAAAAGCCTAGGCTTTCTTATACCTGGCAAAACTATGCAGGAATTACCGCGAATATGGTGGGTTGGTGGAGGCTTGATGTCGGCCTTGCCCCTTCATGCAGCCGGCAATCATCATCCCGGCTCTACAGACAACACACTTACATACGCTGTATCGTCCTTTGCACCAACACTCAAGTCTCTCCAGTTTTCCAGATCCACAGCCCAAACATCTCCAAATGCCGAAGCTTCAAAACTCCTTATTGTATCCATGCCCACGACTCCCGATATAGCAGGACGGCTAAACGTCACCGAAGAGGTAGCCGCGATTGAATCTACAACCAAGCAGCACAGCACCGTCAAGACCCTAAAACGGCCGGCCAAACAAGATGTTCTCGCCGAGCTCAAATCAGCCAGTATCTGCCACTTCGCGTGCCACGGTCGAGCAGACGCATTGGAGCCTGCCAAAAGCGCCCTGCTGCTGGGAAACACCGCCCTTGAGGAGCTATCTATCAGCGACCTAGATGCAATTTACAACCCGCGCGCGCAGATCGCGTATCTGTCGGCTTGCTCCACGGCCGAGCTGGGAGAAATCGGGTTGATTGATGAGAGCATCCACCTCGCAAGCACGTTTTCGCTCGCAGGGTTCCCGCATGTGATTGGGACGTTGTGGGGAGCAGTTGACAGCGCGGCGGTCGACATCGCGAGGGCTTTTTACAGAGAGCTGTTTGTTAATGATATTTCAGTGGCTTATGCTCTTCACAAGGCTGTCGTGCGCCTCAGGAACGAGGACGCGGCGTATATCTTGAAATGGGCGCCTTTTATCCACATAGGGGCTTGATATACTCTCAAGACGGGCTCCTCGCTGGAACTTTCCGAGGCGTCGTTTTGGAGGTACTTACCTAATTCATGTCCTACATAGATAGTCACAGGGAAGATGGTGGGGGCCTGTCCTGATCTAGTTCGTGAGGCTTGCTGCTTTTATGAGCGGCGAACTTGTGGCTTGGGGAGGAATCCAGGCAGCTAAGGTCTAGCTTAGGAGTGATATTTGCATGGCTTGTTGTGATTGGTTACTTCTATAAGATGTTAACCCCTGGATATGTAACCCACTGGCGCCTATATCAATATTCAAGACCTCATCCTTGCCTGAAGCAGGCAATATTCATGTATTCAACCGCGTAAAAGCCATTCATTCAGTTATTCAACAACTGACCTCGCAGATACTCGGGTGGTCTACGTCCGCCGTAGGGGGTCGACCAAAGTGGGCCAATATTACAGAGTATTCAGCATCCGCTCAATTCGACTTTGTTCCATTGCCTTGGCCATTTTTTTCATTCAGTTCTCCTAGAGTCCTAGATAGATTGAGATAGAGAGCTAAGATTGACATTCCTTCCCAATACAGATGGATTATCCGTAGATAAGTAATACTGGTTCATACGCGTCTTCAGCTGTTCGATATTTTCTATGATATCATGCCTATCGAGATGTAACCCTGCTGTTCATAGAGGATAAAGTACCGACCCCCCAGCGAATTCCGGAGGGGTCTTGCAAGCATTAGTCTTGTACCAATTCTACTGCTAGGTGTAGTGATACTCACCTAATTGAAAGGCGTTTTGCCCTATATAGGCAGGTCCTTTACATTGCCGCAGCTCAAATGAACCCTCGCTGGACCATATACTAGGGAGCAGGGCATAAATAATTCGATATATTATTGAATAGAGTTCAATAATAAGGACAAAACCCAGCTGGTATTTCAATCCAGCTGCTCTGTTGAAGAGCGAGCTACTGCTCAACACACGTACACTTGCGCACAGAAACAGGCAAAAATACACCAATACAAGGAGTGTCATCAATAATATACACTTTACACCACGTTGAATACTTTCGAAAGGTTGACACGTTCTTGGCCAAAAGGCAAACATAGAGGGACTTCGAAGCTAGGGTTTCTATAGCCAAATCCCTAGCTTCGGAGTCAATGAGACACGACAACCATTCCATCTCCCACAGCGTTATCGGCAGTAAGGAGGGTCGAATCCATGAGGACGACATATGGTGTCTGGTACTGCGTTGAAGCAGCCGCAACTTCAAAGTCCATTTGCGGTGAGTTTTTGTTTAATTTTTCCACAGCCTGAGCGACAGCCTCCTGGAGATAGAAAAGTGTCTCGGACGGGGATTTTTGTGCAGGTGCTTTAATCTTGACGGTCTGCAATTGTCCATCGAGGAAATTGTGTTTCACCTTATATCCTGTCTTACTTTTCTCATGCAAGACCTCTTTGAGGAACTTATAGCCCCCCCGCGCCACTTTGATTGCTTTCCATGATATCTGAAAAGTGACGAGCCAAACATCTACGGCGGAGGGCTCAATAATTTCCATGAATCTGAATTCCTCCATATCTTTTGCGTACTGCTCTTCGCTATGAGTTGTGGATTTCATCTTGACGTGGACTGCGCAATGCCAAGTGTTGTCAGTTCCCGATCTGCCCATCGGGAGAGCGTAGTAGGAATGTCCAACAAATACTTGACATGATTTATCGTCATTCCGGAGCCCAATGCCATATGTGGAAAGATGATCGTTATTATATGCATCGAAGCTGGATATTTGAGAAGGTGGTTTGGGATAGGTGGGGAATATGGCTTGGGATACCAACTCTGCCACGTCGTCGTCTTTGTCATTTCGTTTCATAATTGTTGGTATGCTTAGCTCGGCGAAAAGTTTTACAAGATCTCGGTACATTTCGGGGACCTCTTCGCTTGTATTTGTGAAGACAGTTGGTCTTATCCATATGCCGGATAAATTTCCTTTTCTAGTACTGAAAGGTTCTCTTGGGTCGTCCCACCCGTACTCGACTTCCTTTGCTTTAACCTTTTTCTCGGCTTGCTCTTGAAGAACGGCCTCTGCCCTTTTGAATATTTTGAAGTAGTCCTTGGAGGTTTCGGGCATCTCAGCTTCTTCGGCAGCATCTTTGGGTATGTATAGTGTAGAAACTTTTGTTACAGAAGTGAGTAGGCCCGCTATATTGCCAGCGTTTGACATTGCCCAATTCACAGCAGAGCCTACGCCCTGAACAATGGAGTTAAACCAAACCATTATTGTCTTGCCTGGTGGGAAGTATGTATGCTGGTATTGATTGATCTGCGAGTTACTTGGTATGATGGTTGGGGAAATATGAAAAGTAATCGAAAGTAGTCAATCCGAGGCCAACGGTCAAGGCAGTTTGAATGCATTTATATACTCATTTTGAGACCTTCTCTGCATAATAATTTCCACCATTTCAGTAAAAATGGACATTGGTATTACCAACCGTATACTTCTACGCCCTGCTTTAGGCAGTAGGTTTCTGGATGCGGGAAAAAAATCATCATAATGCTTGGTGTTCGCGTCATGCATTTCTGTTTAATGGTTGACGTTTACTTTGGGGTTTTGCAACGTCACTGTCATTAGTTCATCTATGACAGCAAGAAAGACCTCATACAAGATCAAAAACCGGTTTTACATACCCTTGTCTGGTGCACTTATCGAACGCGGACGCGAGCGGCAGAATCAGTAACGTGGTTACCCAAAAAGCGGCTGGTCAACTGTGATGTCAGGACTGTGCTGGCTATACCCGAATGCGGTAACATCGTGGATGAGAACCAAGTACAATGGGTCACATGTCAAGCTAAGTTGATAAGCCCTTTGTACCTCCTTGGGACTGCACCGGTTGGTGCTGCACCGCGTACCGAAAGCCGCCTTGCACAATCTTAGATGGCAGATAGTCTATAAATACTGAGAAAGATATCGACTCATTTGATAGAGCTACGATCTACACATAAGATAATTTGTATTATTGATCTTTGTCTGGAATCCAAATCAGCCATGAACCCTCAAGTGCCTTCTCGAGAGAAGTGGCGTCGCGACGTAGCAGACTATGCTGAGCGTTACCCACTATATGAGAGACTTAAGGTCAAATTAGAGAAAGATCTTTCAGATGTATGCAGCAAAGCTTCTATTCATGCCATCATACAAGCACGGCCAAAGTCAGTGTTAAGCTTCTCTGAAAAACTCTCTCGAAAGACATACGAAAACCCGTGTGACGATTTTACAGACCTCTGCGCTGGACGAATCATCACAAATACCGGTAATGAGGTTTCTACCATATCAAAAGAAATTGAAAAGAAGTACAAAGGGGCTATAGATTGGCCTAATTCTCTTGATCACACAAAACATCTGAAAATTCGAGAGTTTGGCTATCGATCAGTCCATTATATCATCACACTCAATACACAGAAACTCGACGAGGATTTAAAAAATATGTCCAATCCCCGTGTTGAGGTGCAAGTGCGAACATTATTGGAGCATGCCTGGTCTGATATCGACCATGAATATGTATACAAACCAAACTTTCCGATCCCTGACCTATGGAAACGAGAATCTTTTCGCTGCGCTGCGCTTCTAGAGAATGTTGACGCAGCATTCAATCGCATGCAAGTTGGTCTGGAACGCTACAGAGTAAGCTACGGTACTTACTTGACTCCTAAACAGATAATGGCGGAGTTAGCTATGCTGAAATATATGTTAGAGGGGAGTGTCTACGAAGCATTAAGCAGAGAGGAGCGTGCGAACACTGCCATCAAATATGGCAGACTGTCGGCAGAGCTTGATGACAGAGGTTCTTGGGAAGAGGCAGTTGGGGTCATTACAAAATACATCGCAGAAACCGTGACAAATAGGTTGCCTCCGGAAAAAAACTGGCCCTTGTATCTGCAACGCGGCATTCTGATGTGCACAATATATAGTCCAAACGAGCGAAAATTCGTCGAAGGTCAAGGTGACTTATTGGAGACTTTGAAGCTATCACAGTTTAATTTAGAAGCTCTAGTCTCTCTAGCAGACACATATGAACTCCTAGCCGAAGAACTCCTCCTAGTCAAGCAACCAACAGAGCAGCAGATTAGTGATCGGCAGGGATTTGAAAAACAAGCTCTCCAGAAATACAAGGAGGCTTATGGCTTGGACCCGTCAGACCCTCGCGTACTTGCACATTATTTATGCTGGGAAATCAAGTTCAGCAAAAGCAGCGACATTATCCGCTATATACGACCGTCGATACTACAGGCCATTTGTCGGTCCCAGGAGCAAATTGAGATGAAAATTTATCTTCCTTGGGCGCATTACTATAAAGGGTTACTGAATCTCCTTATAAACGATGATGATTGCCGCTCTGCCTACTCTAAAGCGATTAAAATGACGGCTTCCAGACATGTCTTTGAGGCAAATATCAGATTCTTGAAAAGAATTGAAAGTATATGGTCAGAAATTCCCCAATACACTACAATAGAGAAACTATTGAAAGTGGCGCTGCAAGGTGAAAAGGCGTGATTATTCTAGGCTAGGTTTTTATAATTCAGCGGGCAAGATGAAGAGACAATCAGTGCGTTCAATTCAAAATATGAAAATACAATTATGGAGGCAGAAAGAGATCAAATATTAATATTAATCTGACAATCAGATCGTTTGGTGTGGAAAAATATCTGACTTGAGAAAGCTGCAAAACTGATTTTTCGCTCCTGAAAATGCTAGGAAAACTGTATCTTGCCGTTGTCGTCTATTTATAGTTGTTGTAACTAGCAAAATTGATTCTCGTCGTTGTCTTGGATATCTTGTGATCTCAAGGAAAAAAGGAAGCCATCTCTTTCGCATTGAATTTTCTTGAAAATTTCTCGTCAACCACAGCCCCCAAAGGACCCAGAATTTGGTCAATTACATCTAACTGCCGGCGCTACCGGCTGATACCAATATCTTTGGGTCAGCGGTGACATGCATGGCAATTGGAGGAGTTTCACCACCGGAAACGGTGATGCGGGATGCGGGATGCGGCGCCGGATGGACCGCATCCCGAATATCGAACCATGGAACAGCTTGGCCAGGCGGCGGAGCAGATGCTTAAACACATTAAGCAGCGTTCTATGATGAACTGTGACCATTTAGTCATTGCATTCATTGAAAGTGTGGGTGAAATCGACCACAGGGTGACACAATACCGGTCCTGAGCCGTATGGAGGAGGCTTTGCGAGATTGCGCCAAATCCAACAAGACACAACAAAAAGCTTCAAGCAGATCCGAAAGGATGCTAACGATATTCGACAGTGTATAACGACAATTGAAAAGCAAATACCAACGGCTACGGCACCTAGAGTCACTGAGTTTCGCCTAGAAGGCCTCCCATCCGAGAAACGTAGTTTACCCTTATTTTTCGATCCCCCTTTTTCAAAATTTCCAACACAACCATTTGTAGACTCAGAAAAATCAATATATGTAGTAAATCATGGGGACTCCATTACCGGAAACTCGTACTCAGCTAGCCATCGAATCGTTCAAAATGGGGCATTTTGCGTCGTTAAGATCCGCAGCCCGTACCCTCGAGGTTCCAGTGTCCCCCTTCTATTACCGGGCAGCTGGGAGAGATCCAACGCGCAAAAGCCAAATAATCAACTTGCCTCGCTTGCTGAAGAGGAGAAGGTTCTCATTGAATGGATTTTCCAGCTCCATCGTCTTGGAGTTCCTGCTCAACCGTCACGCTTCCGAAGGAATGGCCGAACACATCCGCCGAAGAAGAACAGGCGATGATTCGCCGCCACTAGGTAAGAATTGGGTGACAAAGTTTACTAATCAACACACAGAAATCAAAAGTGAAATGGGTGCAAGACTAGATAAGGAGCGCTGGAACTGTGTTTACTCGAGAATCCATGGAAGGATGGTTCAACCTGCTCAAGTCGGTGAAGGAGGAATACCGTATCCTTGACAGCAACATCTACAACATGGATGAAAAGAGATGTTATTCTAAGAATATCAGAGAAGGCTCGACTCCTGATCCCTTCCAGTTCTCGTGTAAAGTTTATAAAACAAGCAGGCGACCAAGAATCGGTCACTGTTATTGAATGTATCAGCAGCAGAATGGCCATTGCGCTGTTCGTGATCTGGAAAGCTCAAACTCAGGATACTGATTTGGCGCTTTATTTTGCAGATGTGCGAGTCAAACGAGACTTTTTTTTTTGGATCACGTTTGCGGCCATAGAATGTAAGAATATAAAATGATATAATCTGATTTATTTCCTTATCAAGAGATAGGAGAAAAGAAGAAAAGCGGAATCAATGAGAATTGACCACCAGTGATTGCGCTGCAACGTAGGTGATTGGCAGGGCAGGCCTAGGCGACAGTGCAGACAGTGAGGATAGCTAGAGTCAACTAGTGTATTGGGGATAATTTGAGTGTACAGACAAGGGTATATTCATTAGATATTACTGTCTATAGTCACACCACATTAGACACATTACAACAGCACAGCACGTACGAAATCGCTGAATAGCAAAGATCAAGATCACGGCTCCCGCTTCTCTACCTCCTCTGCATGCTTCTCAGCGACTGCTCGCTCCTCCACTGGAGCCGCCACCTCAGTAATCTCCTCTTCCTCAGGGATCGCTGGCGCCGGTCTATTCGTAACCTGCGGCGCCGCCCTCGATGGAACCTGCAGCGACTGAGCCGCCGGCAGACCCCCCGACATTGACATTTCGGGTGTCGTACGCGCACTCGGCGCCGCCGCCGCCTCAACATCCACATCCCTATCCCCCTCCCCAGTCGTCGAGGGCTGGCGGCTCACGGCGCCATTCTCGCTCGGCGGCGGAGACACTTGCAGCAGGGGCTGCGTTGGCAACGGTTCCGGCGACGGCCGGCCAACACGCGGTGGCGCAGGGCCCAGCATAGACGGATACCCAAAGGCAAACCCATAGCGAAGCCACAGCTGCTTCTTCTTCCAGAAGCTCATCTCCTCCCACTTCTTGCGCAGCTCAGCGGCGTCTTCGACGGACCGCGCCTGGAAGCCCCTGCGGCTGAACCCCAGGCAGATCAGGCAGGTGACCGGGAAGATCCAGAACCACCATGTCAGCGGCAGCCCGCGACGCGCCTGCCAGCCTTTCATGAGCCGCTGGAAGTGGAAGTAGTTCTCGAACAGGCCCGCGACGAAGATCACGGCAGACCAGCCCAGTACGCTGATGAGGATGATGGCTAGCGGCGAGATACCGAGCGGGTAAGGGTCGTTGATCCATTGGGAGTAGCTGCAGTAGTAGTAGTAGTAATAGCAGCTATCGTCTGAGGATGGGACGTAGGTGGCTGACGAGGATGAGGAGGAGGAAGTGCCAGAGCTCTCGTCAGACGAGTTTGGGTCAGAGCATGATGATGTTGGGTATGGCCCGTAAACCGAGCTGAGTGATGATAGACTTGCGGCGGGGACTTGGGTAGGGTCGATGAACAGGTACTCCTCGGTGATGGTCGAGGCCTGGAACGGGCGGCCGTTTTCGACGTAGTAACTCGTCGAGACGGAAGTCGGGACGAGGGCGTTCTCAATCTCGTATGGTGGGGACACTGGCACAGCAGTGGTGTAGACCCACGAGGAGCTGCAGGAGGTGGGTGCTGAGTAGGCGATGTTGACGACGTAGTTTGTATAGATGTAGCCAGTGGATGTGGCTCTTGCGCTGGCGTAGTAGTCTATTGTGGTGGTGGCCACGTCGGCGGCGTTGTACGGGTGCAGAAGCTGGATGATGGTGTAGGAATCACCGTTTTCATAATACGAGTCATCAGTTCTCGTGATGGTGGCCGTTGAGATGGCTGGTCCAGACGGCGCCGTCACCGTGTATAGCTCAGTATACGTCCTGGCCGGCTCGGTGTAGTCGTCGTAGCGGTCAGTATACGCGGGCTCGACGGTGACAACTTCTTCATAGTGCTCAGTGACGATCCAGGGCGATGCTGCTGCAAAGAATGGAAAGATAGCGAGAGACAGGTACAGAAAGTGTATAGCGGCCGCCATGGCGGCGATGCAAATATATATTATGATAGCGAATGTATTAGCGAATATATTAGCGATCGACTGGAAGAAATTATTCAAGCAAGCTTATGGTAAAATATAACGCAGCACACAGAAAACGAAAAACGACAGAATGCCCGCTCACAGGAACAGATGAGCCTCCTCCCATATATAAATAGGAGCAAGCAAACTCTGCGGCTCCAAGACCCCTAAGAGAACGGCCAACATGTTTGCATAGCGCCGATTGGAGCGAACGGAAATAACCGAGAGGCCCGATGCTGCTGCGGCTGAATTGCGGCGTTCTGTATGGATGCTAAACGATTAGCCTGGGCGCCATGGCTTGACAGAGGTTAGGCTGCCTGGCTAGAGCGTTGAGGGATTTGTCCAGACTGCTCGAAGTGGGAAAATTGAGGCCGAGCTGGCTTGGCGGTTGCTACAGTGTCTTAGCCACCACGATTATTAAATGGAGGAGAGAGAAACTTGCACGTTCTCGGCGGCAAAAGTGCCTGTGAAATTTTATTATTGGTATTGCCAATGTGACTAGTATTAACTATGCCAGCGATAAATCCTTGGCAGTGTATACGTCTGGTGAAACGCGACGCTCGCCTCGCTTCTTCGTTGTTATCACTCAGCGGTTAAGATGTCAAGATATACAGCAAGGTGGATAGCAGAATGTATTCATCATCATAAGTATACAGCCAAAACTCCGAAAATGTGAAAAAACCAACGCACAAGATGTAGATATAACGATAAAGACATAAAAGCCAAGACCAGAGAGGATGAAAATTAACCCTCCGCACGAAGAGCCCGCAGTCGCGCACCAAGAGCGTCCTCGACCTCGGCATCAGCATGCTTATTCGACTCCTTGACCTCCTCCTTGGGTACCGTATCCGCCTCCAGCGCCAAACGCATATCGACGCCCGCATCATCCGCCAACTGCTCCATCATCTTATCGACCTCCGACTCGCCCTCAGCACCATACTCCTGCTGCGAAATGCCCTGGGCGACGTCGGCAATGGCGCTACTCGCGATCTTAAAGTCCTCCGAGCGCGCCATAAAGTTATTCGCATGAGCCAGCAGATGCTCCAGATTCACGCTCTTCGAGGCAGCGTCCAGACCGCGCGATGCGAGCGCCAGCGTGCGTGATGTATCGCGCGTGCTCTGCGCCGCCTTGAGTTCGTTGATAATGACATCGGCGCGGGCGGCTTCGGCTCTGAGGGACACCTGCCGCTTCTTCTCGCGCACCGCCGACCCAGCGTGGATGCGCGCGATCTGGAATTCGTGGTTTTTCATGGCCTTGTCGGCTTTGGCTTTTTCGGATTTGAAGGTAGATTCGGCGCGCGCGGCTTCCTTTTTGAGCCGGTTCGAGTGTAGCTGATGGTGTTATCAGATGGGGGTTTGAGTGAAAGAGAAGTGAGGGAATGGCGACGTACCTTTACATTTGTGCGAGCTTCGAAGATCGGATCTCGGAGGACCATTTTGACGGCTGTTTGTGTGAGATGTAAGAATATGGAAAGAAGTCGAGGTGGAAAGAGTGCAGAGCAGTGTCAGGTAGAGCGGGGTGGTGACGGAGGCGGAGCAGCGGCGAGATAGGCAGCCAAGTCACATGTGTTAAGTACATACAGCCTACAATACAGTCGACTCGACTCGATATATTCACATTTATGGATAGAGTAGGAATAATTTAATGAATACTTGAATTGTATGAATCAATTTAATTTACAATGTGTGTTATCTCTTTGAACTTTCCCACTAACAATACAATCCGCAGAACGCCATAAACTCCGCATGCTCCCGTGTGATGCCTTCATTTGTCGTTTCATTCTTGTCTTGCGCGCCTTCTTGCTGGACTTGCGACGGATCGAATCAATCGCCCATGCCATGGTCATCAGCGACTCCCACGTCGGTCCTCCCACAACAACGTCGTCAACGGCCGAACCGGTCTGGCGAAGAGAGGCTGCATTAACCGCTAGCTGCAATGCTTTGCCCGTCGCATCGCGTAGTGGACGCGCCAAGGCTGGGCTGCATGCCAGTAGTCTGGAGAGCACTCTCTTCCGAAAGACCGATCGACGAGTCGACGCCGCCATCGAGGGCGACAGGCTCGGGGTCGAAATCAACCAATGAATCAAAGGCAAAAGTCGGTAGGTCTCCTCCGTCGAGAAGGTCAAAGGGGAGCCCGCTTTCATAGAGTTCAGTATCTGAAGCAGCGGGAGAATCACCGTTGAATAGGCGGCGGAAGTCATCGTCAGACAGAGGAGCTGCCAGGTCATTGGCAGCGTTATCCAGTTCTGATTTGGTGTCAAATAGGACTCGTGCTCCGTCTGCTCCTTCGAAGCCTTCGACTGACACTGCAGGTCGCACAACACCGCTGCAGGATGTTGTGTCAAATCGGAGGCCTCAGCCAGATCAGCGGGCTTGAGACTGGGGGAGTAATCGGTGAGAGAAGGTGAGGGGAAAGGGATTTTGTCCATGAGGAGCTCGTCTCGCTCCTGTTTAAACAAGGTAGGCGTCAGGGTGGGCGACTCCAGGTCGGACACCACGGACTTGGGGGTTGTACCGCGAGATCCACGGATCTCGGCAGACAGCTGAGCCACCTGGCGGTTTAGTCGGTTGTTTTCGACTTCCATCTGTGTGAGGCGTTGCAGTAAGAACTGGTTCTGTTGCTCCATCCTCTTCTTCTCGCCCTCGAGTTTCTCTACTTCGAGGCGCTTACGCTCTCGTGACGTTTGAGCCGCAGCTCTGTTGCGGAGGACACGCTCAATGCGGCGCTGTTCCTTCTCGTCTTCAGTCTTGGCTCGTTTTCTGCTGCTGTTAGCATGATCTGTCACGACACCTGACATGAAATATATAGCCTACCGAGGCGGCAAGTTTGTCTTTGGGGTCGGGAGTTCCTGGCCCCATGACTTTCTCTTCTTAACAGGTTTCTTTTCTTCTGTTTTTTCCTCTTCCTCTTCCTCGACGTCGACGTCGACGTCAACGTCGATCTCAAACTCGGCCTTGACCTCCGGGGTAGGACTACTCAGGGAGGTGTCGGCGGGGGAGATGGTGAGTTGAGGGGCGTCGAGCGACGAGTCTAGTAAATTATCCATTGTATGTGTGTGATGTATATGACAGTGTAAGGTGTGAGTGATGTGGTAGAGATACAATCACGGTCGGGAAGCAGATCATAGATGTCCACCGTGGGACTTGGCTGTGGGCAATGACGGGCTCAAAAGAAGGCAAAAGGCCACGGTGTCATGCAGGTGAACTCCAGAGTGTGCACTCCGGCGACCGCGAGAGAGGGTAAGAGAAGGGAATGAGTCACGCGTGAAGTGACGTAGAAGAGAGAGAAGAGGCCAGGTGGTGCAGTGTGGGAGGTCGACGGGAGCAGGCAGCGGCGGCGATGCTTATAAGGCCAGCGTGGTCACTTGGCTGACTCTGGCTGCCTCAGGCACCCACGCCCGTTCAGGGGGACGGGGGGCCAATCGCTGGGGGCTGTTGGGTGGGGTTCCCCACAGAGCCAATCAGCGCGGCGCCCGCTGCAGGGGGCGGTGTTTTTGGCCCTTCAGCTTCCATAATTAGGCTCCGTCCTCAATCATCATAATAATAATGATACCATCCGAAACCTAATACTACTCGGCAGTCGACACTCTCCACCCTTCTAGAACCTCACTATTAGACCGAGGAGGCTGGCAATGCAGAAGCTCGGATACAGTAGTGTACCTCTTGAACGAGCTATGAACTATGGACTACGAAGTACAAACTACGAACTAAGGACTATGGACTATGGACTATGGACTATGGACTATGGATAGGGAAGAGGAAATACGCGAAGCACTCAGTCCGCCATTCCGCTTCAGCCTCCCACTCCGCGATGCGACGTAACCTGCATATCTCATATCTCAGGGGTACTCCCCTCCCTTGTGAGGAGGACTGTTCCACTGCTGTGGCGGCTGGTGGATCATTCCAGCGCCTGTGGGGAGCGTCCGCGACACTGATTGCGTGTTCCCGTTCCTCAGAAGATGTGGGATCATTAAAATCATCAAACTGCGACTCCAACTGCAGGTAATCCTCTAGCCTGGTGCAGATCGCCAATGGAACGCCTTTCGGGGTTTCAGCCTTCAGGAGACAATGACTCGGCCGGACTAATGTTTCTACTTTCTACCTTCTTTTCTAGCTGCGACTTTCGACTCTTCCACGCCTTTCTAGTGCCTTGCCTATGATTTAGTGGGATCCTGCAGTGCCCAGTCTGGAGAGGATCTTCACTGCCTTCTTTATCTACACCTCGTACTACGTCCTATTATAGACAACGCATGAAGCCAACCCGATGCGGCTGGCTCTCTCAGCTAAGATTATTTTTAGCCGTAGAAGTGTAGACTGTAGAGAAGCTGATATCTGGCTACACCCGAATGAATTGTATCTATCGGGCTGACCAGTCTGAAATAGGTCGCCGTAATAATGCGCAATTATTCCATCGCAGTTCCGACGATGTGAAACTCAATTTATTATTGATTGAGTAATATTATATTTGATGGTTGGTTACTCCGGATTATCGCTATTAAATGACAGGTGCAACCCTAGATCGCTCACGGAGCACCGAGTGCTCAGTCAGTACACTGATCACGGCGATCAGGGGCTCCCCTCAAACATCTGCGGAGTGGAATAAGATGGTAGGCTGACAGGAGCACTGACTGTCAATCACTGTCAATCACACTGTTTCACCGAATCTTTAGTATTTCCACGTGATATCAGGTGATATATCAGGTGATAGCAGTAGCCCCAACCCTCTTTGACAAATTGGGAAGTCGTACAGAACATCACCTGACCACCAATACCCTGATTCCCTCTGAACTGCAAGCCTTCGCGTGTCATTACTATTAATTATATCAAACGACTATATCGAAATTCAACCCGAAGCAGTCTCTCTACAGTAAGTCTCCCTCACAAGCTGATAAGCATGATTCGAATCCACCTTCCACGGCTTCTTGATATAATACAGAGGTAATGCAGGGTTATGCTCCAGCAGAAGCTGAGCATATTCAGGGCGATTCCCTTTCACCGCAAAGGTAAGCGGAGTCATATCAGTCCACGAATTCTGACCGACTTTGCCACGGATCGACGCATTGACATTAGCCCCCTTTTTGAGAAGCACGGCAACGATATCTTCCCGCGAGGGTTTCTGGCAGGCTCGCAGTAACGGTGTTGAGCCATCTTTGAATTTGGTTTCAATGTCGGCTCCTCGCTCTAGTAACGCCTCTACTAGCCGGGAACAGCCCTCGCTGCCGACGGCGGATCGTAGGGTCTCGTTCAAATTCGACTTCGATGCGGATAACAGCAAATCCAGCATGGTGCTTCGATTCGAGGCCCAGTTCAACAATGATATCTCATACTTATTGTTTATGGCGGCGCCTCTATTAATCAGCGCTCTTGCAGCACGGTAAGAGTAAAAATGGACGGCGATAGCCAGGGGAGTAAACCCATAATGCCTCGTTGTGCAATCGACAACGGCGCCTTCTTTGTCGATTAGATGCTCGATTAAGGCACTATTATCGAGAGCAGCAAGAATATGGAGTAACGAGCAGCTAGCCCCTTTTCCAAGAAACGCAGAATTAAATGACTGACCCAATGACAACTTCAATTCCGTTCTCCACGTGTTTTTCAATGGGCCCCATAGGGTGTAGGGTTTGGACTGGGGATCAACATCGAGGTTAATGGTACCCACTCGTCGATCCAGCCACGAAAAAGTAATCTGTTCAACTCTTGGTATAGAGTGCTTCTGGTACAGCTCTGTTACATCTTTAATCAGAGCAGTAAACGAGTCCTTTTCGTACTTAACAACATAGTCGTCTAGGATTGGTATATCCTCCTGCCTCCCCTGAGCTTTATATATCGATTTCAACAGAGCAGCGGATTCGCAAAAGATCGCATCTTCTTTCCCATTCGCCTCTCGACTTTGCTCCAATGCCAAAGCACACTTATCATCTGCCTCCACTAGAACGCCCTTTTCGTAGTATACCTTTGCTAGAAGATATCTCGCATCAAGCTTATATTTTTCATCGAGGGTGGGGGAGCTGAGAGCGGGTTCCATGACATTGATCACTTCATTCCATTGTTTTCTGTCACTATAGATAGTGGCTAATATCGATCGCAAATCATTCATAGATTTGGTAAACTGCACCCCTGAAATATCTTCCCCGTCTAGGTCGATTCGATAGTCTAGACACTTCCGCAGAAGTTCTTCGGCTTTGTCGTAGTTTTTCTTTTCGTGGGCTTGAAGGCCGGCTTCTTCTGCGCTCTTTGCCTTGGTTGCTTTGAGATTGGAATTGCCAAAGTATATTGGTTTTTCTCGGTTGCGACTTGAATGGTCACGTAAAAGATCACCCTTGTTCTCGGTATAAACTGCTATGCCACTCGAGGAAACATTCCGAAAGTTGGGACTGGATTTCTGGCGTCTGGCAGAGATATTACTAGCACCGCGAATGAAAGTTTCTTTTGTCTGTCTTATTAAGAACTCCATGGGTGGCACAATATCTCTATCGAAATTCCAGCCGGGTCCGTAAATGACATCAAGCAGACAAGTTTGTGTATGCTCGGCCTGGCGGTGTCTCTGCAGCATTTGCTTGATTGTTTCTACCTGGCTTTGTCCTCGACGATGGTACTCGTGGTATAATTTATCAGGAGATAAGAAGGAGGACGAGTTTCGGCTCCAGCAGCTTCAAGCGACATATCAGCCACCTTAACCCAAAAAACGAAAAGAAAAAAAAAAATTTAGGGAGAAGGGGATATACCTCAATATCGTCACCGACATAACATCCACAAGCATCTTATAAACCTGCACCAGTGACGTCAAGACATTAAAATCCACATCGCTCAGTCGAAACCTCAGCACCCATCCCGAGAAAATGCTCAGAACCGCATCTTCTCTTGCCGTTGCCCGACACAGCTCTTCGTCTAGGGCTTTCAGCATGTCTTGACATTGTCTCAAAACATGCAACATGTTCTCCCCAGCATCTAGTCCAGTATTCTGTGAATACAGCATTGAAAGCGCCGCAAGGGATTTCGAAAGGTACCTAAATTATATTGATTAGATTCACGGTGTGTTTAGTGGTACGGTATCGAAAGGGGGAGAAGGGGGGGGGGGGGGGTACGAAATCCAGAGTTTCAACGTGGAGATTGCGTTGGCGCTTCTGTCGGGACTCCCATCGTTGACGTTGCAGAGATAATCAATCATCGTGCATCGTAAGATGCAGGCTGAGCAGAGGGGTATGACCTGAGCCATGCTGGCGGGTGAGTATTCACTGTTCGTATATCCGAGGGAAGGGGAGGGGGAGAAGTGAGGGTAATTTGTACATTAATATATCAAGGTTAACCAAGGATTAATAATATATTCCCTTCGCAAGGCTGTGTGATACATTATATGTGCAAGGCTGTGAGATGCAGGTAGCCATGTAGTAAGTCTATAACAGGAACTATGTACCAGCTTTGGTGTAACCATCGGGCATAAACGTATGATTATTGAGCTGGGTTGGAGCTCGCAAGTACGGATTATGCTATAATGACAGCGGTGGAATAGGGAGGATGGAGGATAATGTTTTTACGCAAAAAAGGAAAAAAATATTATAAAGATACTATAATTAAATATCATTACACTACAAAATGTCTAGTGATTCTAATTGATGCCAATACTATCCAATATGATGCTCTTTACAGAACGTATGGGATATTCTATAGGCCCCTGTTTAAAGACGACGCTGCCTTTGCATGCGGTGTCCAAAGTCGGTAGTTGCTCGGCCTTGTTGCTGTCTTGCGCTAAGGCCAAAGGCATTAATAAACTTTGTTCCTTCGACAGACATTCATACTTAAATGTGTTCTTCCCAATGCTTCCTTGTCACTCGATCGGACACGGCGCATCCTGATGATCTGGCCAAGTATTGAACACCGCCTCGAACCAGTGCAATACGTAGATGTTAGTTACGTTTTGTAAGCCATCTGGGCCGATTTTCCCAACTACACCCTATGACATCCAAGTGTTGTTTTCGTTCACAGGGAGCTGAAAGCGCCGCAACACTGTAGAATATTCTTGAGACCTTTCCATTCGGAAATGCATCATATGCATTAAGTCTTCTTCTTATCCACAACCGAAGCCTCATTTCAAAAGAAGAGAAAACACATCTGCCATTCATGTGATGTCACCATCCAAAGCCGGAAATACTCTATGTTCGTGGTTGAAAGTGAGTGTACGTGATGCATGATAAACAGCAAAGCTTTTTATTGGTATTTATAACTTCGACAGTAAATTAGAATATTGTTGATCACAGTTCTCTAAACGCAATATTAGTTGCGCGGAATGTATATGTATCACCGCGGGTAAATCAGGCTGATATTAAAATTGGTTTGAACCCTCATTGTCGGTGATGATCAGAGATGAACTATCACATATTGTGCAGAATTCAAGATAGTGTTTCAACCTCTGCCCCTGCTGCTCTATGTATCATTGAATTTTTGTTTTCCTCCTCGATGCTATCTGGTGGCTCGTCAAACAAGTTGATTTCTGCATCCTCCACCATCATCACGAGGCAAGGCATCAACGCAATCAAGGCCGTTGTGGTCACAATAATAACCCATGTAATATTGTCACTTTGGTTATACCAATCCCTCCAGCTACTCCACTCGAAGTAAAAAGCCGTCCAGAGAGCCAATTCTCCAGCGACAAGGATAACCGTGGCTAACAAACCAATGACCAATCGAAAGTTGACTTTCTGGGGTACTTGATACGTTTTCATGGAGTATCTCGCACACCAGAAGCTAATTAACGTGGAAAGGAACATGATCCTCATTTCCCATTGATGTTGTGTGAGTTCGAAGACGGGATATCTTAAGATGGAGATTGCGCCTGTCAACGGTAGACTACAGAAGAATATGAAGATAGAGTAATGGAGCGCGATGCTCATAATGTAGTAGAAGAGTATGATATCCCAAACTACATCGACAACATCGCTGCTGCTTTCGAAAAAATGCACGTTGAACCGGACCATGATTTTATTCTCTGTTTGATTGTTTTGACCGAGGGAGGAAATAGGATGATGATCGTAAGAAATAGCTCGATAACTGAACTGTGACTTGATATAGATGGAGAAGATATTGAGGTAATATTCGTTTCTTCAAGTAGCTTTTCAGATATAATAAAATATATTTCGGAGGTTAAGATATATTTATTATTTTCCTCGAGCTGCGTCTTTTTTTTGTGTTAAAGTCACGCTACAAAATCTTAGGTGTCACGCAACGCCGAATCTCCAAAACGAAACTTACCGGTACAGCTAGCTACATTGAGTTGCGGAGAAACTTGACTGGCTCTAAGATACATGCGAGGCAAAGTAAATGGAGAAGCAACATGCTACCTTAGTCACCTCACGGGTTCGTCATGCGATTTTTATTGCAGCGCCTTTTTGCTGACAGTAATGGCGGTTTTTCATCGTTGTGCTTAAATAAATAATTTTGTCCACATCGGAATCTAAATATATATATAGTAATATTGATAACAAATTTCTGACCGATTAATTTTTGTGATTTTGAGGTTAAGCAAGTTATTGCTTCATAGAGAATGCAAGCCAGAAAGATGGGCGGATTGGCGCCCACAAATCCATGTAATGTATGATGTGAGTCTTGAGACCAAATAGGAAAATAATGAACTTTGGTTGGCTATGATTGTCCTTGTCTGAATATAGAAATAAAACATCACACCACCCAGGTCATGACGTATGACTGATATATCCGAATAATTCCAAGTTAGATAACGTAAAACATAATTAAAGTTCTGTAATCTGCTGTCACACTCGGTATAACAATGCACATTTGCATTATACAAAGGCAGTCTAAATCATTTAAAAACCATTGTATTTCAATTCAAAAACGATAAAAACTTGCAACTTATTGTATTACAAAATTGTAAAAATATGAATTAGCTATCCGATCAAATATTGGATAACTCCATGGTATTTATTAATTAGATATCAAAAACCTCAACACTCATGGGAAAGACGAGATTAATGAGGAGATAGATTCCAGGGAAACTGTGGGGAAAAGGAAAACGTATACCATTCTCTATGAGGGCTTTTCTAGTCGTATTGTCCGGGCTCACATGCCCATAACCACCCCTCATTTCACATTCTTTTAGGTATGGTAGGAATTAAACTCAGGAATCGGAATTGGGAGAAAATATAAGTTAGACAGATTCTGGGATAAAAAGTGATTCTCGAGATGAAGTGTGAAATGAACACTTGTATGGGATTATCGCCCGCACATTACCCGTTTGGTGATATTTCATTCTTGAGAAAAAACAACTCGCCTTTTAATCGAGAATTCTCTCCTCGCAGTGAATTTATATACGACAGCGCATTTGTGAGGATCTCGGATCTGCTTTGCAGCTGTTGCTGCGCTCCTTTTCCGACAGAAGTATTCGCTGCGGCTGAGTGTTGGCTTTGACAGAGCGAGAACTTTCTTGACCTCGTATTTGATGCTAATTGGGTAGCAAAAGCCTCCGATTGAGGAATTGAGTTCCCGAGAACAATGAACTTGGTGTTCAAGTTTGTACGATACCTTTTTTCGATGACATTGTGAGCGAACCTTTTGCGTTTCACTGCTACGTCCACGTTGGTGTCCAACGTTGTTGACGAACGGCCCAAAGAGGTCGCACACGGTTTAGATAGCGAAGAGGAGGAGGAAAAAGAAGAGGAAGAAGAAGTAGAATCGGAGCATTTTCGGGGTCGAGGAGATGATTCGATGGTTTTTTCGCTAAGAATGGCTGCAGCAGTGGCTGATACTCTAGGTACCTCTCTAGCTTTGGTGACGGTGGTGGTGACTGTTCGCATCCTTGTGTTTCTGTGACTTGCAAGACGTAATGGTACACTTGCCTCCATGTCAACGATAGAAGTAGTAGTAGTGTTAGGAGGAAACTGGTCATCCTTCTTTTGCACCAGAGACTGAAGTTCGCTTTTTCCGTCCTTAGGCTGTGATAAAATTATTAGCTATTTAATCCCAATTTATGATTGAAGGAACTGGCCAGCATACAGATACAGGTAATACATCTTGTAGTGTATCATCAATATCGATATTACAAGCTTTGGGGTATACGGGGGAAGAGTTATCATTGAGGCTGTACATTCTTAGAAATTCTAGATCGTCAGAGGCTCTCCCTCGTAACGCAAATTCTCGTCCATTATAATCGGCAGACAAGGGCGCAAAAGGAGCGTTGTCGTTACCTATCCAGTCGGCGGTCGAGAAGGGTAACGTTGGTGGTAAGTCTGGCATGAGAACATTTTCCGTGTCAATGTCATCTTCGAACACGGCCGAAGAGGGGATCATCATGGGCCGTGTCGAATTGAGCAATCCTGGTGTTGGTTGAAAGCAGGCCATGTCTGCTTGAAGGATATTGGTCACCCACTTTTGAGTTGTCAATCTATCAACTAAGAGAAGAATGAGATTCAACAGTCAATAAAAATATGAGAATAACCAAAATATGCAATGGAACTTGATGTTCGTTTTCCTTACGTCATAGTAGACAAGGTATCCTGCTAGACATTATATTAATATACAATAGATAGCAATGGTGAATAACGACGATTAAACGTGATTTCGAGAGGCGGGCCTGCTGTGTCATGTGGGTTGACAACTTCGAACCGTGGAAACAGTTGCACTCGATCACATTGTGGCGAGAAGACAAACGTCAAACTACGTACACCTTTGATTACTCAGCAACAAATCGAGCTTAGTAGCAAATTCTAGGATTGATATACAAGCATGAGTTGCCAAAGAAATTATCTATGTAGACACATTTATATGCGAATTTACACTATAATTTGTCATCGGGGCCAAAGGGATGAGTCCTCAAGGAAGGTCTAGAACAGTCGACTGAAAACGCTGTGGGGACTTTTTCGGGGCAACTATGTGATGACAAGTTGAGGAATTCGACACGAATCGTTTCGCCTCATCCGGGCCTTTTTGAAGCTAAATCATTCCTCTGAAAATAAAATCATATGTAGTGTTTTTAAAATCTCTATTGCACTTTTTGCTAAAAATGCCAATAAGTTCGGTATTCAATCATTATGGGACTAAATATGCGGGTTTTCGTGGAATGTAGAGATGATAGGAAATCTCAATTGACAGAAGAAATCTCCCCTATTCTCCAGAAACAGAGTTTGCCCTTTGTTTTAGATCTCGTTCTACATACATTGAATACAAATAATATTAATTTGTATTTGCGTGTACACATATTTAGTTCATTTATGATACAAACATTTCCCAACATTATGTTCAGAGCCCGTCGCTCAAGCAAGCAATACTATTTAACAAATTAACATTAATATATTAAATATAACCTCTAGCTTTTCTACAAGTAGATGTCTACAAACCATTCATAAATACTCCCAAATATAAATAACATAATATGGCAGAATCATCTTATCGCTAACGAAACATGTCATGCCACTTGCGAAACACATTATCCGGATCGTACTTCCTTTTAAGATCCTGCAGCCTTGGAAGATTATCACCAAACAATTTTCTGGGATTAGCTTCATGCCCTAGTGCCTTGTTTAGTAGTAGTTTAGTCGACTGAAGTGGGAGAAATACCAGCATAGTTTGCATATAGGCCAACTCCATCACCTAATTTTTCACCCAGCGAAGCACCCGCACGTTCTCCGATTTTATGCATCATGTCGTTCTGCAAGGATCCCATCTTCTTATCTAGTTCAGGGGTATACCAGCAAAAGATGGAGCCAACGTTATAGTACTTGCCGCGATTCGCGAACGCGGTGGCATCACTCGGTACTTTGATGATTTCGGTATAGGGAATCAACTCAAATACAACGACGGTCTCATTAACGCGGCGATAGGTTTTTATAATTTTATCGAAGTCCCTATACAGCTCTTCCATGAATTCAACCTGAAGTGGAAGAGTAATATTTGTTCCGCTAAATCTCTTGCGTCCTCCAAACTCGGCCGCTCTGTTCATCACTGTGTTGATTTGTGGGTAAGGCATCATGCTGGTTTCGTTAACAATCGGTCCCAACGATAGTATTGGCTGGAAAAACTTTTCTGCTTCTAGACGAGGGCCGTTATAAAACGGTCTCACGAAAATCATGGTGGCCTCCATGTTTATTGGAGCGTTGAACCCGAAGAATAGACCCTCATTTCCTGTTGATAACTGCTCAAAACGATTCGCAAATTCCACAATTTTAGGTAGTTTGTCAGTGGTGTAATATAAGTAGCCTCCAAAAACCAGATTTGGTTGTCGATGGGCTTTGAACACAAGTTCTGTGGCAGCGCCAAAGCTTTGCCCAGCACCGCGAGCGGCCCAAAAGAGGTCGGTGTTTTCTGTGGTGGAGGCATTAACGATCCTACCATCAGCTAATACCATTTTTATGCTCAAAAGGTTATCTATTATCAGGCCGTGTCTTCCTGTAAGCCAGCCATATCCACCTCCTAATGCTGTCCCACCGACACTTGTATGGTTAACAGTGCACCCAACAACAGCTAATCCAGAGCTAGCAGCGACATTATCAACGTCTGCCCATGTTGCCCCTGCTTGAGCAGCTAGTGTGCGAGAGGCTGGATCAACAACAACTTTAGACATTTTAGACAGGCTGATCACGATCCCGCCGTAGGTTGAAGAAGATCCACTTGTACTAAAACCTCCTCCCTGAACTACGACCGGGATATAGCGTTTCGTAGCGAAATTGATAACTTTCGACACCTCACTAGTGGAAGTGACGCGGACAATCGCGCCCTAGCATAATATGAGCAAAGGATAGAATGGCTGCAAAACAGAAGTACTCACAGCCTCCCTCTCGGATGACTCGCTGAAACGAGTGATGCTCTCTGCATAGTTTTCATCATCAGGAGTTATCACCTGTGCATTTGTTTCACGTAGTTCTCTCTTAAGCTGGACGGCGCCAGAATAGCTTAGGTGTGGCATGTTAGGGATTTTCAAGGTTGGTCGGCAGCCATTTGGACATAATTTGCTGTGAGGAGCGAAAGTAGGAAGTATTTAGGTATTATTATAGCCCTCCACCCAATTGTTGTTCCGTATCTCATGAGACAAATGACGGACACGCACGTACCATGGAAATGAAAGCGGGTAAGTTTCGGCCAGACATTCACGACCCATTCTCTTTCATTGCTTCACCTATCAGTAGATAATTGTGTCATTCCAGTGGCACAGGATGGTCGAATATTTTCCGGCGGGCCATGCATTTATTAGCTAATTGGTGTACGTCTGGTTCGTTCACCACCTGATGTATGCCGTTTTCGTATATGTAAAATTCACAGAATTGACGATTTTGATATTATTATTAGACAATCAATTTATAATAACGTCAACTAATAAAAACTGAAATTTAGATCAAATTTATCATAGGGATTTGATATATCCTAATATTTACATGTGTATTTATATCTTTCCTATATACAACACTATACCCTATTTTTCATTTAGGGTTTAAATGAGACTAAAATAATAAACACTAGGCTAAATCTGGCTAAGAGGTTAATATAGAATTACATTCCTGTACATCAATTATGCTTATCGTTCTGTATTAAATGTGTTACGATTTAGAGTCTGGATGGAGCGTGGACAGTCGTATCACTACTTCCTAGGAGGATATGGCTGTGTAAATTAATGTGCCGAAGACGCCTGAGAGGCCACGGGAGGCTACATGGAGGATTACGAATTTTTGAGTCGAATGCTGTTCGAAGCCTAAATTTAAAAAATTTCAACATAAATGTATACCCCGAGACTAAGTAACCGTATATGGAAGCATGTCGCCAAGTATAGGGAATGACCGATGCGTTCCATATAAGTTTGACCTTATTCAAGGAAAAAAAAAGTCTTGAAAGAGATAGTAACCCGCAAGTTCGATAGCCATGATGCCTGTTAATATAGAAATATTGATATTAAATAGATGATCAAATTCGAATAAGCATTCTGCTATTTACATTTAAAATAGTATAATACAAATACATAGAGATTTATTAATTATTTCAATTCTATATTAGGAAATCTTATATCATAAAGACCTGAATGTGAAAGTGGATGTTACGTCAAAAAGGCAGCGAGATGCTGTGGCCTTTGCAGCTGGCAATGCGGTATAGGTCCCTATCATTTGAATTTTTAAAGCTCTCCATATAGACCTTTCTGGAGATGAGTGGATATTAACACAACGTGATACAGAGTTCTATTAACAAAGAGGTCACTAATTAACTCAACTATGTTGATTTAAGAGTATTTGGTGAAAAGTATTAAAATTAAAAAAATGTCGAACGGTTGCTTATTGTCGAAAAATCAATGGATGAATGTATCCTTGATTACGGACTTGGATTTTGTTCCCGAACTTAAAAACATGGTTGGCCACGTAATGTACGCGTAGTACGATGAACTCGCAGACGTAAAATTTGATAATTAACGAAACTCCGTATAATGCAAAATCGCTTTGTTAATATGACACAATTCAAGATCTTTCCCAATTCACAGTGTATTTCAGCAGACTATTAAGACACAAGACCGAATGACACAATGGATACCAGGAAGTTATCCTCAGGAAACCACTGATCTAAAGATTGGTCGTGAAAAGAGTGATAATACTCTTAGATACTCCAACACGTGCTTATTGGGACTGCTGCAGTATATCGGCGAAAGGAAGGGTGAGAAATTCATTCCTGTAGCAATGTGAGTAGAATTGACATAGCCTACACTCCGCTCATCAACGAAGAAACTTAGACGTATTCTCCGTCGTTGTGGCATGGAGAAAAATTCGATTGGCGCAGGAAGTGTTCTTTCATCCCTCCAAAACGTGTTGTTAGGAGTCTAGTATTGTCACAATTATATACTGGAATAGTGGGGCTGTGAAATGAGCCAAGCTTGATGCATGACTGTTATCCTGGTAAGTATCAGGCGATACATACAAGTTGCGAATACCGGCGAAATAAATTAATTTCCAAAGTTCGCACAAAGTATCTTTCGTCACAATTGATCGATCATGAGATCCCTGCTTCATTTCTTATGGCCGTTGGATGTGAAGTTCTTTACCCAAGGGTCGGCCAACCATTCCCTTGGGAAGAGCTGTAACGGGATAGGTGGAAGGGGTCGCTTAACCGTATTCATACTAGGCTGTTCCAGAGAAAGGAAGGTTACGTACCAAGTCAACATCCGCCCAAACCAACTTTGACTTGTATTCAGGGCTCTGGCCGAGATTCAATCGCATGATATGGTCATTATCAGAGAGGACAACCGAAGTTGTGTGACATTTCACCCGCTGACGCTAAAACTTGCTTAACCAGATAATCACGATATAAGCCGTCGCATCGACATGGATAAATCCGTTTATGACACTCACTTAGATTACCTACTAGAAATTTATAATAATGACAACCGTCATGCAGCTCCAACATGGGTGAGAATCAGAATAATATACCGTCAATTAGAAATGATCACCCGAGTGATGTGCAGGCCTGGCTGATCGGTAGCGGCATTGCCTCCATCACGGCGGCAGTGCATTTGATCAGGGATGCTGGCGTTCCAGGATCGAATATCCACATCCTAGATGAACATGCACACTTGGGCGGAGGCATGGAATCTTTCGGGAATGCTCAGGAAGGTTACTTTCTTCCATTCGAATGCCACCCATATTTCCATGGTGGGTGCATCGAGAACCTCCTTGGCGCTGTTCCTAGTATCACGCAGCAGGGAAAATCTCTGCTCGATACGGTATACGCATTTGAGCGTACCGAACGCCCGGCTCCGAAGCAGACTGCTCTAACACGAGCTGTGAAACGAGGGGACTTCGGACCAGAAGCGGTTCGCACGGAGGGTATCAATGTTGGGCTAAAGCATCGACTGGAATTGATTAAATTGCTTCTGCAAAGTGAGGAAGAGCTGGAATCGAAGACCATTGACAGCTTTTTTGACCCACCCTTCTTCGAAACAGTATTCTGGATGCTATGGTCAACAACGTAGGTATTGGATGAACGTTTGATATCAGCTCCTCTCTAAAACACAAATTATAGCTTTGCTCTACAGCCATATCATAGTGTGGTTGAGTTTCAACGACACCTCCGCAAATATCTAGAGGAGATACAATCATTGAACAATCTGAAGGTCATGAACCGAACGCGATTTAACTTGTATGAGTCCGTCACAATTCCTATCATCCATTATTTGGAATCCAAGGAAGTGGACTTCCGTCTCAACGCCAAAGTAACGGATCTCCGATTCTCTTCTGAAAGCGACCTGAATACAGTATCTGAAATTGAACTGATGAGCAATGGAGCGCAGCACCTGGTGCCTGTGAGCCCTAGAGATGTTGTTATTACTACCCTAGGTTCTACAGCATTAGGTGCTACTTTTGGATCTAACATATCTCCACCACCAAGACGATATGGCACAAATAGGCACGCAAGTAGGGAGTGGGAATTATGGGAAAAGCTCTCTTCCAAGTCCGCAAAATTTGGAAATCCAGCTCTATTCCTCTCTCATACAAAGCAATCAATGGTTGTGATTTTCACAACCACTTTCTTGGGCATGGAGTTCTTGCAACTCTACGAAAAGCTGACACAGGATAGCCCAGGAACCGGGGCACTGCTCACACTCACACAGAGCAACTGGTTAATTACTATTAGCATCCCGCATCAGCCGCTTTTCAGCAATCAGCCGGCTGACATCAATGTAATCTATGGATACGCGCTAAACCCGACAGTGGAAGGAAACTATATGAAAAAACCTATGCTTGCATGTTCCGGGGAGGAAATTCTGTTAGAAACCCTCTCACATCTCGACTTCCCAGTTTCTTCGATGCTAGCTACATCAAAGACTATCCCGTGCGCGATGCCGTTAGGGACTGCTCCCTTCCTAGCACATAGCCGACAGGATCGTCCTGCTGTTATCCCTGAAGGTACTACTAACATTGCCTGTGTCGGTCAATTTGCGGAGATTCCGGAAGATACTACTCTGACGGTGGAGTACAGCGTTCGTGGCGCGAAGCTGGCTGTCAATGAACTAATGGGACTGCCAGACGCGTTGCCAAAAATTAGGAAAAGTCTACTTTTGGAAGTTTTTGATTTGATGCTGTAAAATATGTATTCCCAGTGTGAATCTAGGTTAGTTGTATCAGTTAAAATGCGATCTCACTTGACACCGTACGGCATTATGGTGGGTAGTCCATGTATCTACTTGGGCATATACATAGCCCTGTTTATGCTATTGAATTTGTGGTTGAAAGTCCACTAATGAGTTCTCTACAAGTGCTTTTCAGTATGCTATTACTAGCAGAGGTGCTAATTATGGCAATACTCACTAATAGGATATTTGAACCTTAGACAGCGAAATAGCTTGAACTAGTTGACTTGATTATATAACCTAAGACTGATTGCTGAGACTGAAAATCACATCCTAACGTATAATTTTGGTTATGGTTCTATGGATTGATATAGAGATGGTGTGCTGTCTAAAACGGCGATCCAAGGGACGGGTAAAAAGCAAGAATCAAGAATCATATGACCTAAAATGATAATAAACATATAATGCTAAAAAGTCACACCATGATAACTTTGTAAAGCTTTTAAATATGACTAATTGTCGGAAATTTGATAGCGGTCGATCTTTCCCTCAAGGCCAAGATATTTATGAAATCGCAATATAATCTAGATTATAAGAAAACTGTGATGCAATCAGAAACGGTCGCAATTGTCTTTCTAGCGATATGGTTTGTCGCTTGCTTAATTTTGATGTATGTGTTAGTATTAATCTCTAAACTAAGTTGTTATAACAGCTGACTAACTGCCTGTAGAATTACAGGCCGTGCTACCAGATGCCAGATGACCGAAGAAAGATTGGCAATCTCATTTGCTGGCCTGTCATTGATAGACCGTGTGAGGCTTTTACAGGAAGAAATACCCACCCTGAAAATGCGAATATGGTCCGAATCCGCTCCTTATAATACAAGTGTCCGGAATGATATTATGACGAATCTTGTGATTTGGTGAGACATCTCATTATATCGTTGTAGCATCAGTGTTTACAGGGTTGCTCCAGCTTAATTTGTCTCGAGCCTGTTGATGGGGACGATATCGTCTATCCAATTCCCTGCCATCATGTTCTCCATGCTCCATGTCTGGAGACATGGTTCGCACAAGCACATGCGACTTGTCCTTTATGTCGCGAGGTTTTCTATTTTGGCACCCATTTTACATCCATTGTATAGGATACACGAATCGAGACCGAAATTGACGGTTGTTAATGTAGCTCAGAATCCTGTCATGCCATTAAACATTCAAGCAAAAAACATGCCTCCTAGAGATCTCATACCCAGTTGTTTCAATTTCAGCCAGACATGTTTTGCTACAACTCAGACGCTCCCAAGCAGTCAGATTCATGACCTGTGCAGTAAACAGAATGCGGCACATCCAAATAAGTATTTAGGCTTTGCTAGCTTAACAAAGGTTTGATGCCCAACATACATTACCATGTACGAATAACAGTGGCAATCTGGAATACCAATACTTCTTTATTGCTCGATACCAGCAATACTTGTTGGCAAGAGAAAGAAGAAAGGGGAAAGCCCGCTTCTTCAGATAATATCCAGATAAGTTAAACAATCATAAAATGCAGATAGGAAAATGCTTATAGAAAGAAATAATACATACGCTTCGCCTGAATCTCCAAACGCATCTACCTGTTCAAAACAGAGACATCTGGAGTGCAAAGTCACAAGTCAAAAATATACCTCGCACTAGCCGGCCATTAATTCATGTTTGCAGGATTCGAAGGTGTTTTTCAAGTGGGAAAGTCTCTCCGTCACTCAGTAAATTGTTATCGAAAGAAGAAAAAATGCAAACACTATTGAAATAGGTCTGTCTGCGTTTGTTGTTTTAAAATTTTTAAAAGAAGCTTGTGAATATCTGAAGAAGAACCGAGTCCATCAGTTCGCTACCTATAGAATATGATGACCCTTCAGAATTGAAATGATACTTACAAATTGCTACACTCGTAACACCATATGTACCTGTAATTGTTAGAGAAGAGAAGAAGAAAGGCGACTAGTGCTTGACTGGAATGACGGCATTATCCATACTGTATGGGGGGAGTTCCATGGGAATAATCTGTAACATGTGCTGTATCAAAGGATCAACATGACGGCAGACATTTCCTTTTTTGGAATGTTCGAAGGCAATTCTAATCCACTGCTTTCTAAATACTTTTTCTAAAATATATCTCTCTAAAGTCAATCTTACATTTCTCCTAATTTAATAAGTTCTTGGAAAGCAGAATATATTTCTTGATTCAAGATGGCAATCGACATGAAACTCGAGAATGTCCTCGAAATGAACCCAGGCGAAGCTCCTGTATTGTGCTTTGGAACAACTCTCACCAATGCTCAATGTTCAGTTCCCATTAGCACTAGATGGAGAGCGCACGAAGCAAGAATTTCCTACCTATTGCGTAAAACGAAGTGGCAACATGAAAGAGCGCGCAGGAGTTCTACTTCCCAGTCGTCTCATTCCTCGTCTGATGTTATTCGCGACGAGGTGCTCGAGGAATTAGCGAGTTTCATGCTTTGTTTCAGGCACAATGAAAAGCAAGGACCAAAAATTGTGAAGAAATGGAGAAGAGAAATTGAATTACGGCTCGAAAAATCATCGAGATCGCCGGCGTTATCCATGAGTCAGGGGACTCTCAGTTCTAGCGTACACTTACGAGAAAGACTTTCGAATCCGGTTCCAATTCTGCAACGAATGTCAGCACGAATTGAAGCGCGATATTCTCGCCAGGAAAGAGTCACTTTGACAGGGGCGTCTTCAGTGAAAACGACCATTTTGAGTTCTCGTCGACATCAAACTGCGCGGAATTCCTCGGCGGATCATCAAGTGTCTTCTAGGACTAGACAGACCCAAAAAGAAGCCTCAGTGACTAACTGCCTCACTGCGAATAGCAAACGGGCTACAACGACGGCTCTTACTCGGAAACCTATCAGCAATAAAAAGCAGAAGAAAGAACTGCACCCAAAGAAAACACCCGAGGAAAAGAAAGAGGAAAAGAGGACGATCGGCTCACGCTTGCCTATCAAACCTGGAGATGAGTGCTCCATATGCTTCGAGACACTGCTGAAAAGGCGGCGTGGTCGAACGGTTGAAAATGGGAGCTTGGCCTGGTGCCAAAACGAATGTGGAAGTAATTATCATCAGGCATGTATCTCGAAATGGATCGATCATAGCTCAAGACAATTGGTGATAACTGAGGATGGGTATCAATTTGGCAATACTAGTATCGGAGTTATGACTTTGGGGATGATGACCAAAGAAGTAGCAAGATGCCCATCGTGTCGCGCGATCTGGGTGTCTAAATAGCTAAAGAGGGGTTAAAATGTTCTTAATGATATAAAGGTTGACCTCTTGCTATTCTAACTATCAACCGACCTTCAATTATTTTCTTCTTCTTCCACGACCCTTACTGGTGAGGATTGTTTTGGTTGCATATTTTTCTGACACGGATGGCATACCGTATATCAAGAGAACCAACTTTAAGCATGTTGGGAAGCTGTCCTCTACCTTAATCTTATACTCAAGTCTTTAATTTTCCCTCTCCCTTTGGAATTTGCTTATAGGAAAATGTAGACCATCTGGTATCACAGATATTTCTTCATTTTCATGGTGAGCGCAAGTTCTGTAAATAAACGTTTACGCGAGTTTCGGGACCACGCTTTCATTCACGTGTCAAAACCACCATATATTAGTAAATTTCGAACAGAGTATACATGATAGCTCGTGGAAAACAAGAAAATGACACAGCTCTGATTTTCTTGTCTTTCATAATTAAAAATTAAAATAAAATAAAAAAATCTCGTGAATGGATTTATCAATATGTATTGTGTGTCCTTGTAGTTAGGGTTTACGCTGTGTGTTAGGAAAGTCCACTGAAGGACATCAGACGCACAACGGCATATCACTTCCAAACCGCTGTGATGGTTGTTGACAATCTGCTAATGCGGTTCTCGGACGAAGTATCTAAATGTATATTTACTGAAGTCAGTTCCGAATATTGAACTTATGTTCAATTATTTCGCTCTGGAAAAAATTTTACACCTGCCTACAACAATTTTTTCGGACCTCGCCTTAGCCCTGAAGCAACTGTTGCACCTTTTGCAGGTTGTCCTTAAAGGAAACGACGTAATGCAAGCCCGTGCTATCGCAGGAGCTTGCTTTTTGGCCCATAACGGCTCGAAGTAGCACTAATAACTCGGAGTTCCGGAAAATGCCCTCAGCCGTTTCCTGTTGGGTGGAAAGGCGGTACTCGGCCGGAAGGCCCATCACTCGCTCGATCAGGATTAACTGATGCTCCAGAACCTGCAGGATGATCTTGATATGCAGATTGCCATGCAACAATGGGAAACCTCCCAGCCGCAGTCCCGGCAGCGCCTGGAAAGAAGCTACCTCTCTCTCCGGCATCTCCAAGAGAGAGGCATAGATGCGTGCAACTGCCGCATCGTAGAGCCGGACGAGCTGCAAATAGGTGGTAATAATCATCAGAATCGTGGGAGTATTCGAAGGTACAGTTCGGGACGAGGTCCAATGTGGCTGAAAGCCGCCCATCGGTGATGACGGTCTCCCATTGGTGAGACCATTCATCAACTCCAGCGGTTCCAAGCTTGGCGACTTGAGGGATGCGGATGAAGAAGACGAGGAAGGGGACGGTGTGGCGTCCATTGCACGTAAGATGTTTAAGAAGTTGAACGTACAATAGAGCAATTCCCCCAGCGGGTTAGTTTCGGCGGCACCGGGGGAGGGCTCATACAGGTCACTGAAAATAGCCGTCTGGCCTGGTGCCATATTGCAAGGGTCTATACATGGACGAGTGGATACCTGCGCCAACTGGCGAGAAATACTCCCGTTCAGGTTTGCCAGCCATAGCACTGCGTCGCAGCCATCAGGAAGCTCAGGTAATTGGCTGCCGGCGAAGTCGGGATATTGATCGAGATCCTGGGACAAGAATTGATCAGCTGTGTACAGGTCATGAAATCTATCCAAGGTATCCTCTGCAGCCGGTAGAGTACTGGTCAATCGCGGTACGGCTGCTGATTGTGCGTGTGCCCCTGATGTGAGTAGAGGTGGAACGCCATCGAGGGTGGTGGGCTGGGGAAAGTCTCCCTGCACCAGCCCCGAATCTGGCAGATTGGAAGAAGGAGATTTCAGCCAGATAGGCTGATTTGGACCTTCTTCTATCAGCGGCAGCCGAAAGATATCGTCCGAACCGCTACTCTGTTGAAAGGGTTTCTGGATTATCGGAGACACTGATGGGAGGGCGTTCCTGTCACCATGATGGTCGTTGAGAAGAACCGGCCGTGCGCTCGTTCGCGTGGATCGAGGATCTCTTCTCCGGCGTGTAGAGACAGACTCGAGGTGCTGTCTGCTCGTGGCAGAGGAAGCCGACATGGAGCGGTGGTGGAGAAGCGCCGGGTATTTCAAGGTGGGACTTAGGGATGAATTTGAGGCTGAGGTTGAAGTTGAAGCTGTCGTAACCGTGGCAGTCGATGTCACGGCGGAGGGCGTTGTGGTGTTGGTGGTGGCACGGGGAGGACGTCCTATTAGCCTGGTGCAGCCGGTCACACAGACAGCTCCCGCCCGCAGGCATCGAGCACACGCGTCACTACTTTTCTCGTCTCGTGGACATCGGAGTTTCTGATCACGGCATCGATCACACGCAAACCGTTTGGGTGATGGTCGACTCATGTCTACATACCAGAGTTTGGGATAAACTCTACGAAGAAAGTTCAAAAACAAAGAAAACAAAGAAGATGGCAGAGGGATCTGACGAGACTATATATATATCGGTTAGCTTAGTGCATAAAGCCCCTGCTAGATGGATCGGGCACCAATACAGCTCCGGGAAATGTTATCGCCGAGAAATTTCGAGGTATCCCAGGATTTCTTGAAGCAGTCCTAAAACTCACGATCACATATAGAGCAGGTTGATCGCCTGGAGATCTGTTGCCGTTTGAACAAGCAACAAGAACAATGAGATTATATTTGAATTCTCTCATACAAGTTGTGTGTATACTCAAATGATCTGGGCAGATTGCCGTAACTGCCAATTCAAGAGTATCCTGGACATTTTCCTCCTATTTCAGTCGAAACCAGTCAATTCACGCAACATCAGACACCGAGCGGCGCAGTCCTCCGCACCACCGAATTCCCTACTAATATTATTAATTTTTGGGAAATGTCTCGACATTCAAAAGCGATAGCTACATACAAATATTCCAATATCGTACTATCTATTCGTATTCATACAGGCATTTGGAATATTCATTCTCATTCAATGGCTTTTGACAGCAGCTGACGCGTCTTAGTCGCAGAAAGCTTCCTCTCAGTAATCTAAGCTGAATACACCCTTGTCTTCACTAAGTGAGCTAAGGACAGTATCAAGAGAGTTAGAAAGCAAGGAGTTGTGCCACGGCCCACCAATATCCAGAAAAAGCCCTTTTTATGACACATATCATTAAGGCACGCTTGACTGTTGGTACGCCTAAAATTAGCTACAAGGACTCTGGTTAGCTCGGCGCGTTTGGCGGTTGTAGGCTGAAATTTAGCGGCTGGGTATCAGAAATTTGGTCTTTATCCGGTAATTAATGCATTTTAATACGGAGTACCGAAATTTATTTTTCTCAACACGGGTAATCCGAACACCCAACTGATTTTTCTTTACTTTTCAAACCTGCTATTTGCTTTGAAATATTGTTATCATCCAAAAAATGGCTAAAAAACTATATAAAAAAAGGTGTAAATCATGAAAAGAGACTTTAGCTTACTATTAATATGTTAAATAATAAAAAAGCATAGGTTTTTGTAAAGTAGTATATATTTATAATATGCCTATGGGGAGCAGCCCCTAGAAGATAGGGCCTGGGCCAATCCCATCCCTCGGGGCAAGTCTGGTATAGCGCTTCTGCTGGCGCGCAGGCTCGCGGGCTACCTCGATATTGATCCCTCGGAAGGCTTTGAGATAACAGCACCCTCAAGCTATGCCCTCCTATCTCTAAATTTTAGGGTACTAAGCACCGATGAGGCATTATAGAAGGCCCTAAGCAGTGGCATGAGGACGAGGCTCTGGTCAGATGGCTCCCGGTTAGACAGCAGCCGCATAGGGGTAGGGGTGGCCTATAGGTCTCCCAATATGTCTTGGGAGACGAGGCAGGCGCCACTAGGGCGAGGTAAGGAGGTGTTCAAATGCTGAGCTAGTGGGTATAGTAGAAGCTTTGGACTGGGCGCTTGATAGAGGCCTTTTAGGCCCAATCAGAATGTTTTTAGACTTGTAGGTTATTATAAGCTGCCTGTGGCAAGACATGTCTGGAGTAGGCTAAAGCCTGGCGCTATAAGCGCATAATCTAATTAGGTGCCTACTAGATAGGGGGCAGCAGGTCACCATCTATTGGGTGTTTGGGTATTGGAGGGTCCCTAGAAATGAAGAAGCTGATAAGGCTGTTAAATAGACTGTAGAGAAGCTTCTGAATGGTAAATATCTAGGTATCTCACTTGTTTACATGCACTGAGCCTGTATAGAGGCCTTGGGGGCTTAATGTATGACATGGCTTACTAGAGCACTCGCGATCTTTAAGGCCATGGCACAATATTTATATCAATTTAAAACTGGATACAATCTGTTGGGGGCATACCTGTACTAAATTGGTAGATGTGATATCTCTTAATATAGAGGGTGCTCAGAGAGGTTAGAAACTGTGGCGCATCTGCTGCTGTACTGTAGGCAGTGATGGTGATAATAGGAAACCCTCTATAGAGGCCCCTTAAAGGCCAAAATCAGTAGGGCCTCAATGGCTGAAGAGATCTTTAAAACACACATATTAACAGACCCTAAAGCCACTAAGGATCTACTCGCCATTATAGAGGTCATTAAGATCTTAAAGCAGTGGCAGGAGGCAGCCAAAAAGATTTGGAGAACTGGTTTATGGAGATAAAAGGCTATAAAGAAGAAAAAAGGCCTAGGGGGGCTCTAGAGGAAAGAATGACAGCCCTAGATAATCTATCGTTAGTAGATGATGCCCGCACGTTTAGATCCCAGAAAAGAAGCTGGGATTTTGCTAGCCCCAATAAAACTCCCAAATCACTTAAAAAGGTTAGTTATTTTCTTATTTTTTTTAATATATTGCAAGATCTTGAGGATCCAAAACCAACGTTCCTTGCGCGAGATGTGGAATTCCTTTCATAAGGATGAGGGTGGTTATTCCATCCATCACCATCCCTGCTTTGTGTACCAGTCCACGCGTAGGCATTACCATATCAAGCTCAGCAATGGTCTTCAGATGAGCCAGTCGATTGATAGCAAAAGTCGAGACCGTCGTAGTACTGCATGTATTCCACATATGGTTGGTTGTATTCCGTCGCCCAAAAGGGAACGTACATTGCGGTGCCCGCAACGTACCATCCACAGAAGTGGGTTATGTCTTCATATGAAATGGTTAAGTAATTGGCGTCCGAGTCGGATGGTTTGTTGTAATTGTCAATACTTTCAGGCCTGGTACAAGCAAAGGCAACAACATTACCACGGATCGAGTACCAGGCCATGTTCATGGGGATTTGGGCATCGCTGCCGACTTGGTTCTTGAGATCTGCTACAGCGGCGTCACAGTTGCCAGGATCTAGATTGAAGCCGCAGCCACAGTAGATGTCGAGTATGCCGTCACCGAAGCCATATTGGCTGGATTCATAGTATCGCTTCGAGATGGTCTTACGGTCTGGTGAGAAATTGTCGGCACGAGAGGTTAGTGTCTTGAGAGCGTTCTCGTCGGTGACGAACTGGGTGACTTCGCTGGAATCCAGTTTGTCACCGTTAGGAAGTGCCACGAGCTCATGCACTTCACGCCCCAGATGGTCAATATATGCTCGGTATGATCCATCATTGAGCCCTTTGGGTGGGGTCAGTGCAGAAATGTAACCAGTCAAGCTCGCGATACCAAAGAGCTTGGCTAGGACCATTGTGAATAATGTTGACGATTGCCGTTACTGTTAGAGATGGAAGAGAGGAATGGAATAGCGGATGAGTAAGGTGTTTGAGTTCGTTCAAGATAATTTTTTCCACACTACTCGATACGGCGATATATGACTGAATTTATATGCAACTTGGGGATGACCCGATTATCCCCATCGATCTTTCCTTTCCGATCTGCTACTACCCTCGATCCCCGTTTTTTGGGTGGTACGCTGGATATGGGGTAGCGTGGAAGTAAGTTTATTCATGCAAGACTGAGATATCGTCCAGTTTCCCATCATCACGAGGTAATGTTGGAAGTGGTCTGGTAAATTATCTTACATCTACGAGGCACGTGGTGTCATGGTAGGATGTCAGTTCCTAGGCAGATAATGCTAATCCATATGTATATTATTCATAGCAGTGCCAAAGGAGGATTGAAGGGTAAGATATATCGCTAGCTTGCGCTTCGGGGTCTCAAAGCAGCAAAAGCTTTTGGGGTCCTTTTCAGACACTAGCGTAGTGATCTCAAATGCTTCCACTCAAACTAGTAGCCCCAAGCACTAATCATTACAACCGACCAAATATCCTGCTTAGGTTCTCGAATATCCCGTCATCTGGCAATTATTAGATTAGTAAAGGAGCCATATTGTCAGATAGGATGTCAGTGTAACTGTGTAGCTTTACACTATCTTTAAGTTATTATATGAGGTTTAAGAATGATTCAATTAATTACCCTCTCCCTTTTTTATCCTTCGAAACGCAGTCAGCTGTAAATCTGCAATCAACAAACACTAAACCCAGATTTTCGATTATTCCAGATAATTATTAAGCTTGTGAATATGTAATGTTACCTTCGTTTGACTTTTCGAGTCTCCGTTCAACCTTTATTTTAGGTGGCAACGAATCTACTAGTCTTCTTTGGTCGCACGTCTCTAAGATATTGCTACTCAAGTTTCGCACTGACCAGAATGGGTTAGTGCTTTGCCCTTGTGCGATTATAGATATGCTGACAACTATTTTCCAGAAATAAAGTGGCGTTTATCCTATTAATAGCTCGAGCCTCGCGATTAACTGTTCAGGATTACTGAATCGCCTAGGAGGCTAGGACCAGCTTCTAATGGTCTTCTTGAATTCCTTTACTGGATTCTTTTCCCCAATATCGGCGCTGTGGTCTTCTGCGTCGATCACTACCGCAATGCGGTCCAGATCCAGATCCAGCTCTGGATATGTCGTTGCAATATCAACTACATGGTCCAATACCTTCTCTGTGGCGGTTTCGTAGTCGGGCCTCATTGGGATCCGATCCTTTCGTAAGACCATCCCTTGCCCCAGGTCCTTGAAGGTTGGTACAACGTACCCCAATTCAACCCCGTTTACCACATATAAATAATACAACTCTTCATGCGTGGCGTCAGCCCCTCCGCAATTGATCAGTACGGGGACCTTCGCCCCCTTTGGACGCTTGGATGGTAATGGGAGATAGAGGTATCCAGGAAGTGAGCTTCCATCCCCCAGTGGGATCTGCAGTATCATGACCTTTTCATCCATACACCTGATTGCTTCTCGAAATATCTCGATGGATCTTCCTGCGTTCTCCAAGACCCGGGTGTCGGAGCTGGGGGAGCATATAGGAGCACGCGCGGAAGTAATTAGAGGATCGTAGGTAGGCTCTTCGCGCCGAAAAGAAGTGGTGGCCATGTCGTACAGCTGAGCGAGCGAGAACCGACGCACGCTCGCCTTGTTCGCGCCAGGCACCATACCAGCTTTCTGGATCGTGCTTCTTGATCTTACCTATGGCCTCGAGGAATTCCGCCACATCGCAACCGCCAAACGGAGTGCTACCCAGAAGACGCGTGAGTTCGAAATCGTAAAATCTGCTCTGGAAAAATCCGAACATTATTCTGGCAATGCTTCCGATACGCGGGAAAGAGAGAGAGACAGACCGAGAGAGAGACCAAGAAGGCGACGCTATTATTCTGAAAGAGGAGTGAATAACTCGAACGAAATCACTTTTACTAGTCTCGAGGTGTGTGGTTATGAATACGAGGCATCTATTTTTATTTAAGAGTCCGAATGGGAGAAAGGACTCAGCTTGCCTATTCGGAGCTAAAGCTTTATAAGGTATTAAGTTGATGTTAGGTTGGTGTGATACGAGGATTGACGTTTCTCCTCTTCCGCGCCCTTTTTCCTTGTAAAACAACTCTTCCAATATGGCCATTCATTGGTAGAATTATCCAGCAACAGGCTGCCTTTTTTTGGTTCTTTCGTTCTCCTTCGGCCTGTAGTTGATTGCTGATTCCAGAAGTCAACCACAATTCGGCTATTTATTCATTCATTCGGAGACATTTAACTCAAACCCGGAGCCTTTTACCCGTGAAGCATTTTTGGGGGTTCATTTTATGATCGAGAGAATATTTAATATAAGCGCCGTCTATCATTACGAACATGATTCACAGGAATAAAGAAAAAGAAAAGGGGCATAAAATTAATTTTAATAATCACGGAATAATTTACTCCTATAGAGAAAGCGATCAGTGATTCATGATGGTGTCGTCCAGCCTCGTGGCAAGCATCATTCGTGTTGCGCCGCTCGGAACGTCTTCCGCTGCGTAAGACCGCTCTCTCCCTCTACGTAACAATCAGTTTATCTACCTGGACGCAATCACTCTGACTGACTATCTAAATCTGCGGATGGGGGCAAAAACCTCAGTTCATGTGCTCCGCAACACAACATATCACAATGATCTCCATTATCAACCCTCGGATCACGCCTTCCACCCGCCACTCGCTCTGGTATCCATTTTTCAGTAGCTATAAGAGAGTTGTCTTTCTGTCAGCACCATGCCAACTCTCAACTATCTTCTTCAGTTTGATGAATCTTAACTATTCTCCCGCGTCGTCGTTACTTTGGCTAGCAGCCATCTGTTTTGTCTTTGCCCACGCCTATCCTTTGCGCGTGGGGCTGGAGCATTTCAACTTGACGGCTGAAGATTGGCAGAGAAAGATACACGAGGAAGGATATCGCTTCCTTAAGGGCTTTGTGAATGTGAATGGGAGGAGGCTGTTACTGGTCGACTTTCCTGGTTGGTTATGTGTTTTTGCGGCTGTCGTCGTCCATTTGAGGTCCTAGAGCTTCTTATTGTACAAAATGGATAATTATTTCTTCCAAAAAGATATCAACATGGAAAAGATATTATGAAATTATTTAAACTACCTCTACCTTCCCATATCACTAGAGCCATACAGGAGGCGCCAAGGATACCTATGCCATTATCTGGGAAGCCCTACTTTCAAACGGCACCTAGATATACAGTACGTATGGCCTTCTAACGTTGACTGAAGAGCATAAAATCATGGAAAGAACCATTCAATCTGTCTAACACACTGCCTTACCGTAAGACTACACCACACGGACTTATATCTGAGCCTCGGTCTGTAGATTCTCGTCTGTGGGTGGCACCTTTTCGCTCTTCTTTTTCGCTTCCGTCATGCCGTACTCTGTTTCTAATTCTTTGCGCAACGGGACCTCTTTCTGCAAGATAACTAGAAGAAAGCCAAAGGCGGAAAAAGCGATGGCAACTTGCCAGGTTCGTCGCAAGCCGTCGGAAAAGACTGAAACGACTTGTGCGCGTGTATCATTAGAGAGGGTTTCGAGGAACGTGCGGGTTGCGTGTTCATACGCCTTGCCTCCGGTCAGCTCGGCCACGACGGCTGCGTCTGAGATGCGAGCCGAGAGTTCATCGAAGCGATTGTTGAAGATGGCAGCGGGAATGGTCGTACCCCAGATTAGTCCAAAGCTTCTAATAAACGCCCAGGTGGCCGTTGATAAAGCATTGTCGGCGTCGGTCAGCTCGGCTTGAACTGCTGGCAGCAAAGTCGGAATGATCAAGCCGGCCCCGGCCGACTCGATGACTTGAAAGATCACCCACTTGGCCGTCGAGGAGTTCTCGTCTAGAAGACTGAAAAGTCCAAATCCAATGGTCATCAACGCGTAGCCGATATGATGAATGGGGCGGTAACGTCCAAACTTTGCAAGAAGGGAACCGGCGGTGGCAGCAAATGGGACAAGTATAAGAATCGTGGGCAGCAACTGTACACCTGAATAGCTTGGAGTCGATCCTAGCACGCCCTGGAAATAGACCGGAAGAAAGTACAGGGCCCACATAGTGACCACACTATGCAGAAAAGTGAGGATAAATGCGGTGAGGGAGGTTTGGTTGGAGAAGAGATGGATTGGCATGGTTGGGTTCAACGAAAACTTGGATCCTTCGAAGATAAGGAAACCAACGAGCCCGAGCAACCCCAGAAGTAGGGAAAGGATGATGTGATAGGAGGACCACGGGTACAATGTACCAGCCCATGACAGGGCGATCAAGGTGGACACAATTGATCCGGCAAAGATGGCGTCCCCGAGACAATCGATGCGGCCTAATTTGGTTGCCAAGGCGGTCTCCTTTTGGTATTTGACTCGCAAGAATAAGACCAAGAGCACAAGCGCGAAGCCTCCCACGGGTAGATTCAGATAAAACACCCATCGCCACGTGGTATGCTGCACGATTAGTCCCCCAAAAAACGGACCCAGAGCTGTACCAACTGCAATGAGGCCAAAGATTAATGCCAGATAGTTGCCGCGTTCCCTAAGTGGGAGTAAATCGCAGACGATAATTTCCACCATGACATTAATCCCACCAGCACCAATACCTTGGATGGCTCGACCTGCTATCAACGTGGCGATGTTATCGGCACCTCCGCAAATGCCACTACCGAGAATAAAGGCTGCGGTGGCGATAATAGTTGGCCATCGTCTACCGAACACGTTGGAAAGCTGGCCGAAAAGAGGTTGCGTTGCAGTCCTGGTCAAGGATCCGTCAGAAAACTCTTTAATTGGAGTTGGATAAACGTAGATTGATAGAAACGATACGCCCCTAAGAGACTTACATGGTAAGAAAGTAACCATTGACAACCCAGACATACTTGTCTGCTCCGCCCAGATCACTGATAATGGTAGGCAAAGCAGTCGAGGTGATGGTCGCCTCCAGCGCCGTTAACAGCCCTGCAACGCAGATAGCCACGATGATGGCCCAAAATCGTACTCCTTTCTTTTGAGTCTGGCCCTTTTCTGTTGAGATCTCCGTCTTTCCAGGGCGATCGTCACTCTCTTTGTTATTTAAAGAGCCGGCATAATAGTTGTCTTGGCCCGTAGGGACCGATTCGGTGTTGTGCTCTGTAATCTCCATTTCGAATAATTAGAAGAGAGAGAGAATGTGCAAAGTTCAATCTTGGATTTCAAAGAGATCGAAAGGGGGGAACGCAATGGCTTCATTTGGCTTGTGAGACTCTTCTAGGTTTGAGCCACCCGCCACCTGCGTTTGTTCGTTGTCTCTAGGTAGGTGGAAGATGCGTCACCACCGCCTAGCAATTTATCAAGCTCCTTCCTGGTCTCTCTCTTATACCTATATAAATTAAAGGGGGGATTGTTAGGCAAAACATTGCCACTCAAAGTCACGTGAGAAACATAAAAACTACCCCCCCCCCCCACGTATACGTATGTATAATGTCTTAGAGATTCCTTAATATCATCAACCATCCAATAATCTAAACTGTCTTAAATTGCGGCTTTCCACTCAATGCTATGTTTTTGCGGAAATTTCGATTCGGAGACTTTCGGATTCGGAGGGTTTGCTTTCGGAGTCGGAGGCTGTATACTTGGGTAGCCAGTTAGGAACTCTTATATCGAAGGACGAATTTCGGCCGAAAAGGCAATCCAGGAGGACGAAAGAAATGAACAAAGGGTCTACATACGTCACGATAACAAGCATACTATACCTAGCCTCTGGACCCCTGATGTAAAGAAAGTCCTACGCCTTAGCAACAAGGAAGAGAGGCTCGGAGGGATCACAACAGCCCAAGTTCCCACAAGCCAAGCCAAAGAGAGATCTATAAACTATGGCAGCACCTGACCAAGTCACTATGAAAGATCTGAGTGGTACATGGGTTATGGTTCGTCAAAGCCACCTAGCACCCACTCCCTACATCAAATTCCTTGGAATAATTGGATACTAACTAAATTGCTTTGCGCAATTGTTCTATCTAAGAGTCAATCGCTTTCAGACCCCCTGGACCCGTCTCTCAAACTGCAAGGCATCCCATGGCTCATTCGTAGAGTGGTCTCCTGGGCGACAATTACTGGTCGTTTAAAACAAGCTGCCGACGAGAACGGTACAACTTTCATCAGCATCGAGCAGACGGCTACCGGTGGCATCAAGGGTGAGACGGAGACCCACCGACTCGACTGGAGCCCGGTCACGCATGGATCGGCGATGTTTGGTTCACAGACAGTTCGCAGTCGATGGATTGATCTGAAAGACAATCCTAAGAGTGAGAATGGGACAACACTGGACCATTTCCTCACTGAGGGTTGGTTAGATAGAGAAAGCCCGCATGTACAAGTTTCTATACAGAGTGAAAAAGGATGGACAGCGGAACAGATTTGGGGTTTTGCAACGGTCCAAGAGAAGAGATACCATGTTCGGAAGTTCCTTGTGAGGAATAACGGAGAAGTAGCAAAGGCGCAGATGGTTTATGAGTGGCTTGAAAGACAGTGAATGAATCTAATTCTATATCCACTATAGATTGGCCTATGGACATGTTGCAAAGTGAGATGCTGTGGGTGATTCCTGTCATGGTTTGACGGAAAGATTCCGGCCAAAGATATATATATATTGTCTTGTTTAGAAACATTGTTGATGAATTTGCCTTGTTTCCTAATCCATGCCTCAGAATAGTAGCATAAGAGGCATATCACCTATACAAGCAGGGATATTGTTTATCGAGGGCTGTCCAATTAATCATTAAGCTAAACACCTGATGTAGCCTAGCAATTGAAATGCCTTTTATATTTAATAAAGGGGTAAAAACTACACAAACTATATTATCTTTTTTATACTTATATATTACACATCAAGGTTTTTGTTACTATCCCTATAATAGCATACAACTTTAGATTTTAAAGCCATCTCAGCTGATATATTTCTATCTCCTATTTTTATCATATTTTCAAAACTTTAATCTTCTATCTTAATATAAAATTATATTCTATTCTGAAGGTCAAATCTTAGAATATCTCTCAGCTCCTCTTCTAAACAAATAATTTCAGTCTCTACTTATTCTAATTCCTTTTTAGAAATCTCCTTTTCTTTAGCTTTTTCCTTGAGCAATTGATCAACCTATGCTTGCAGGCCCCTATTCAATGACAAGAGTATATCTTTTCCTGAGTTGGTTAAATTGGTATTTTAGTCCACTCAGCATGGGGATGAGTTCATTAGCAAGTAACACAAAAGTGGGATCGATAAACTGCAACGGGCAATTAACAGCAATTCAGCTATTCACGAAAATACTATTAATAACGTGAAAGCTCGTACAAACAAGAAAATAAGAAAGCATGCCCTAGATGATCTTAAACCTACTAACCAGATTAGCATCTCAACTCAAAATCCAGGTTGACAAAAATATTCAAGATTGTCAACAAGGATGCAGGAGACCTCACAGTTGTTCACCAGAATCCTGACAATCCATCGGCTCGACAGCATTAGAAGATCTCAAATGGCCGCCTTAGTATTGATACTTCGCGTCATTGGTCAATGTTGATATGTACAGATATATATCACGCTAACCAAAAGGAGTATATTCCAAACGCTACATATATGCTGCCTTGTATTGAATATAATTTTCGGTAGATATTTAAGGTACGTGTGGCAAGATGGTCGAATATCATTTTTGTATTGAATACTATCTATACATGTATTAAATGTCGTAAAATATCTATTGTATACACATGAAATTGAAATTGAACGAGGAGTTACGCATAATTTGGAAACAACAAGTGCTGATCTCTCTCAAAAAAATACTCGTCCATGTCCCCCATTGCATTCGCAATGTAATGAGTTAGGAATTCGTCCTCCAAATGTCGCCACCATTTATGATGGATCGATCTCAGACCGCCATCATAAGCAGCCTTATCAGCACCTTTCTGATTCCACCCAGGACCCAAATCACGCCAGGGCATCCGGCCGTCTGTCCGATGCGCATTGTTAAGTAGATTCTGCTCCGGGTAGTTTGAATCGAAGCGGTTGGGGATATCAAGAAGGGAGAGGTAGTATTCAGAGAGATTTTTCGAGGGACTGCACATGAAAAACCCTGCGTTCATGTAGTTTTGGGGCGCGTAAAAGTCATTTCCTGGGACGGGAGGGAGGGCCCATTCTACCCAGATGTCGTGGATTCCAGCGATCATATAGGTCTCGGGAAGGGGGCCTGCAGCAGCATCATCTATGCTACTGTTATAGACTGTTCCATTTGATATTATTGTCGTCCATGGCAATGTCTGTTGAGGTGCGGTTGTTGGACTTTCGAAAATATGCTCAATTGGACGGAAAATGACCGTGTCGGCGTCCAAAAACATGATCTTGTCGTACTCTACCAGGTTCCACAGATTCAACTTGGCGAGCACGCCGCTCCAGCGCTCCCATTTTGGGTGAATCCACTCGCGCGAGACATTGTGTACCGGCACCACAGTGGCTCCGTCGTTCTTTAGAATATCTCGGTGCCTCTGGGGTACATCTTCGGTGACTAGTACAAGAAGTGGGATGTCGGTATTATTCCCTCGGGTCCGCGGGTCGTGGAGGAGTTGATAGGTGAGTAGTCGCGCTGCATGCAAATACGGTTCCTGGACGTTGGGGTATTCGATGTCGCCCTCTGAAGTGAGAATAGTAGCATATGCGTATTTTGACTGTGACGGTGGTCGAATGTTTGTCCATCTATCACCGTCCCGCAGTGAGATTAACCCCCATGAAAATATCATAAAGACACAGACTAGTAGAAAGACTCTCCTAAAATAAGAAGAAAAGGTCCATTTATTAAGGGGATGAACAAGCATGCTTTACAATCGGTGTAATAGAGTATTGGGGGCAGAGATACTTCAGGAGAGAGACAATGGGACTTTGCGTCGTTTATCTGGTTTTTGGCTTCGCCAACATGTTCTTGTGATGTTTGAACACATGGTCTACATGCTATGTCCAAGTAGATGAGTTGATCAACAGCGAACTCTTCTCACGTCGTGATTCGGCGTGGTAATTATAGCGACGATTCGGGCGGCAGTCCCGTTGACGAATCAGGCTGCGCTTTTCTGGGACTCCTGTTACGAATTGTGACTTGCATGGTGTGGCATGTACTACTCCGTGGAACTAGCCGTAGCGCGTGGGAGAAATTGCTTAAAAGTAGCGCTCTTTTAGGGAAACAGTGATAACAGGCTACTCCGCACCAGTTAAACCATTCGACAGTTGAGACTGAACGACTCCGTAGAAGTCTCGGAGAAAATAGGATTGGAAAACACGCGGCTTACTATATAGGGAAGACTTCCATGAGACCTGGCTTAAACAAATCAAGGGGCTTATCAGGTGAACAAAGTGTCAAGGCTGAGACTTTGCCAGGGGTCCATCTGGAGCGCCATCTCGATCTAGGAACTACCCGTTGGTTAGTGCCAGTGGTTGATTGAACTCATTGGTTGGACATAGCCGCCAATTTGTGGCACAATTTGCGCTAACTTCGCAGTAAAAATGATCAACAAACTATCAATATGATCCAAACCGAAACCATGTGCCCTTCCTACCCGCTTTACTCCATACATTCGAATACTTCGGCTACAGCACCCACAGGGTCCAAAGTATAGCGGCGTTTAAGCCCTGCATCTCCAAAACTGTTTCATGCAGATTCGTGAATTTGATTTGACGACGCATTACTTTGAAAGCCGAGAAAGCCGCCGACATTCCCGAATAGGTCGTTGCCCACAATAAGATGACAACATAAACCGATACCCAATGTCAATTTGTCTCCGTCCGCTGGAACTACTATATGGAATGTTCATGTTCATATACTAGCACATAGCATGAGCCCAGTCTAGTTGTACTCACTACAGATTTATGTTTCGATAAGGAAAGAGTGCGACATCGTAAAAGTTGCAATTGGACTGTTTTGATATTAGAACATTTTCAGTGCTAGAAATGGTCCCAACATTGGAGCTATTTCGAAAAGTTGCTTTTTGTTTATATGGCTTAGTCATGTTGCTGGGATATAATGATAAACTAATTAAAATGGCTGAATAGTTCTTGAAAAATGCCTGTGGACTTGACCAGCAAGTCTTAGCAGGTTTAATAGTAGTTTCCAATATTTTATTCCACGGGTGAGAAGCTCCATAGAGGTTCACAACCCAACAGGACAGGAAGCTGTAGCTTAATAGTTCGTTGAGTTCAATGACAAGCGGGGATGCGTGTCGGCTTGGTGTGGCGCACGCCTCAGTTGGGGATTCTGATGGGTGCTAAATCTGTGTACGGAGGTCGGCACAAAGAGTAGTGTATGGGCGCTTAAATCTCACTAATGTGCCGGGCATGATTCCGAGTGTAGGGAGAAGTCAGGCGTACTTATCTACTACATAGATGTTTATCCGTCTAGGTAAGCCAAAAATAGGACAGCTAATGCCAAAAGCTATAAAGCGGGCAAGAATTCTGTCAGCAGCATTTATAATCAACATTCTATTTCCGGCCAATTTCCGGGCTTTCTATAACTTGATTTATAATATCATGTATAGCTACAAAATATTCTTCCGTTAATAACAAAGTGAAACGAGCAACTTCGTGTAACTGGAGACAATTCGAAATATTAATTAACATATATATTTAATAAGAAAATAAGAAAAAAGTCTCCTCCAGTGGCCGAAGGAATAATTATAAGCCCGAGCCCGGTCGATCGTAAAGTGACATGGACTTGTATGGGTTTGTATGGTTCAATCAAGCAATGACGCTGGTTGTTGCTCCTACTTAAGAGGACAGTGTATCTATCCCAGAGATACAATCATCATCTCTTGCATCAGACTCAATCACAGAAGTGTCGAGTCTCCCATCTCCATTCACTGTCCTTACACACCAAGCCTCACGCCTACACCAGACCAGCAATATGTCTCTCAAGCCGATCACTCTGTGGGGCCATGACATCGGCCCCAACCCCTGGAAGGTGGCCATGATCCTCGAGGAGCTCAACGTCCCTTACACGCTCAAGCTCCTCGAGCTCCCGGACATGAAGAAGGAACCGTACGAGTTGATCAACCCCAACGGCCGTGTGCCTGCAATCGAGGACCCAAATACGGGCATCACGCTGTGGGAGTCGGGCGCCATCATCGAATATCTGGTAGAAACCTACGACAAACAACACCACATCAGCTTCGCCCCAGGCTCGAAAGAGTACTACGAAGAAAAGCAGTGGCTGCACTACCAGGTATCCGGCCAGGGCCCGTACTTCGGGCAGGCCGTGTGGTTCATCCACTACCACCCCGAGAAACTCCCAAGCGTTGTCGACCGCTATTTCAATGAGATCCGTCGCGTCTCCGGCGTCCTCGACCGCGTCCTGCAGGACAAGGAATTCCTAGTTGGCGGCAAGTTCAGCTATGCCGATGCCGCGTTCGTGATGTGGTATGCCATTGTGCTTCTTTTTGCCGACAGGATCAACCTCGAGAAGGACTTCCCCTTCCTCAACGCCTGGTTGGAGCGCATCAGGGCCCGTCCGGCCATTGCAAAGATCCTGCAGGACCGGAATGCGGCTATGGCGGCCAAGTAAAAGCGTGTTGGGAGTCAAGGGAATTTGTCTGGCGAGATCCACTCTGCTGCTGGGTCTGAGATGGAGTATTAAAAAAGTTTTGACGAATTAAATCAATCTCCATTGTGTCGAAATGATTATATACAGGACGATTTAGAGATTATAGATTCAATATCTTTCTATTTAGCTGCCTATACTAGAGCCATGCAGAGAACTCTATATATAATGAAAAGCTCGTGAATCTTCTAATCCTGTTACATCAATCTCAGGGAGAGCCCAAGTTATAGTGTTGTGTAGACACTATATCCTCGAAAGGCAGCCGACCTCTGCCAATGATCCTAGGTACATTCACTTCCCAGCACAGATTAGCTTTGGGGCTCGGAATACCTAGAGTATTATGTTTCTAAACGGCACATCTTAAAAATAACAGCCAACTCATGTCAAGGATCCTATATACAATCGTTTTCCTAAACAACTATCTTGGAAGTCATTCCAGACTTAACTTAATTCTGGGGTTCACTATCTAAGAAGCAATCTGTTTTTGGAAAGCCTTTTTCTTGCTAGTTGGCCGTATAAGATGCAGTTCACGAGTCTATTTTATTTATATAAGGACTGTGACATGGATAAGCTCAGGAAGCATGTTTATGCCGAATCCGGCTATACCGGGGGTCTCCAAGATATCTTGGGAATCAATTGTGATATATCATAATTGATATCATAAAACCCTGGGCATGATGTAAGTATCTCTTACCTCACAGCATATACCTGTATCTAGTTAGATTAGGTATTATTAGTTGTGTAGGGACTTGAACATGTAAGCTTGATTTCTAATCTAGAGTGAGGAAACTAAAGCAACATCTTTTATATAATCTTTAATATAACCTTTAATATAAGTCTATTTAGTTTTGAATAGCCCTTGGTTCGAATATTTCTATATTTATATTAAGTAAATTGATAATTATTCCCCTATTAGCCTTGCTTTATAGCCTCAATATCGAACGGCGAAGCTTCAACTCACCCACCTCTAGTCTTTCCAGCTTTCCAGACTGCCTGGACCGTGTTACAAATATACCAGCAATTTTAGTATAGTAAGTATAATACTCTTGAGTATAACTGGCCTTAATATCCTAATCATATTAGTAATTAATTTTTTATATATAATTATTATTTCGGATTAGAGATTGGGATTTGAATCGATTATAGATTACGTTTTCAGGCAGAAGTGGCGGCTCGCTTGTGGAATACGGAGTTCGACAGGCTCTGCAACTATCGGGGAGTGGGGCGAGAACTCAAAAGTGTCAGCCATAGCCCGTATCCTAATAGCCAGTGCTTATCCTTAAGAATTGTCTCAACTTCGTTAATTCACTTCTCTAGGTCATTTAAAACGATGCACTAGCATCAAGAAGCCGGTATCAATATAAAAACGACTTTACTTCGGTACTTCACTCTGCAAAAAATACCGCCATGATTGATACTTTTGAGTGTCTAATAGCATCATTGGCCGAAACACTCAATGGTGCCGAGGTGCCATGCATCCTGTGGGGACAATGCCTGCTGAATATTCACGGCATTGCATCCTCCATTGACGTACGTACTTCACCGGCTTCTAATTAAATGCGGCGTAAAATGTCAAGCTAAGTTTTACATGCTAAGTCCATTGATTTCGTCGTACCCACGGCCTATTTAAACGAAGCTAGCAAAGCTCTTGACAATTTTAGAGGCCTGGTACCATGCACTTATGGTCATGACTGTCTCTGGAGCCCCAAGAAGCGGAAAGCAGAGGAGCCGCCATACCACTTGCATCTTGAGGCCTCTACCGTGACGGTAGCTTTATATGTCCAGGCACGGATTCTATGGTTCCTACCAGAGATAGGTAGCTGCCTGACGCTCGAGGAACAGCAATTATACTTGCTTCCCAGACTGATTTTGGCATCAAATTCTACGGCCCTTCCACCTCGACGGCCGGATCGTGGGTCTGGATTCTTCATGTCGGGCAAGTATCCTGTCATTGTCCCGAGACTTTGTCTATTGATGGAGACGTTTATGCGGTTATATATACGTGATAAAAAGAAGCGCGAAGGAGCATATGCGAGAACTGTAATAAGACTTTTGACACCGTATGTCGAAAATGAGGAACACCCTGGCTCAGTTGAGATATCGGATCTGGTTAGAAGACACTACGAGACTCTTGCACGGGGTGACGAACTTGTTCTTCCGAGAGCACCATAAAACTAGCCACTAAACGGATCCTCGGCAAGCAGGAGAAATTTGCTCTATAACAAAGAAATGTATGCCCCAGTTGCGGACCAAGTTAAAGGCCTCGTTTGTTGCCCAGCGCTGTGTTCTATTGGCAGAAGCGCCAGTCTGTTTAGTTCAACATCACATGGTAGATGAAAGCCAGGATACTCAGCAGAACGATTACGCGCTGGAACTATTAGAGAATCGTGAGATTGCCTTGCAACAAACTTCAGCCGAGTTCTACTGTCTGGTAGATCTCTTTACAACCATGTAGAGATCTCCTACTCAGGTCGGGTTCGGGAAAGTCGATCAAAAAAGGAGAAGAAAGTGTCTCTGGTGGAGTATTTACTCCGATTTTTAACCCTTTACATCTATCTTTCTAGCAAATTCCACCCTAACTGGAAGCAAATATTTCCATTTTGCCTTTGCCTTTAATAACAGGGGAATCCCAATACATGCCCTACATGGGATTAAATACGGCTTCTACGCCGGCGTTACCTGCTCGTCTGTGTCGTAATAATCCTGCTTGTGCCCGAACCAAAGAATGCGTGGCCCATATCTTGGGCAACTTAGCCTGATAATCCAAGCTTATCAGTTGAGAAACTGGTGATCGTAGATTGTGCGGAAGTAGATTTAGGGCCGGCGACCAGTAGAGATGGAGATGCGCATGAAGGTTGAAGCCATCAGATTAGGACTACCTATTCGAATACGTATTCATATTATCAGCAACTTATAACAATCGTATCATTTTCCCCCGCTTTTGCCGCTTTCCTATGTGGATGCAAGCTCTAGTTCCAGCTTATCCGACAATCCCGCTTACTCCGCACGGATTGAGTAGTCGCGCTACAAGAGGGTGTTTATATACTTATATCGCTAGAGATTGACACACAGAGACTATTTCTTCGTATATGAATTAACACATAAAATCATTAACCGTCGATCAAATGCCCCCTTTCCGTGCAGCGGTGTGCCACGTCGCACCTATCTTCCTGTCCGCCAAAGCAACGACTGAGCGTGCTATCGAACTTATCCACCAAGCAGCACGCAACAAAGCCAACCTGGTCGTCTTCCCTGAAAGCTACATACCCGCATTTCCAATCTGGAGTTCTATATTACCACCGACGGACAACCATGACTTCTTCAAACGCATAGCCCATGAATCTATATATGCGAATGGCGAAGAAATGCGCGCTATTCAGGCCGCTGCACGCGCTACAAATACTATCGTAAGCATTGGCTTCTCTGAAAAGACACGGTTCAGTACAGCGACATTGTATAATTCCAACATGATCATTAGTGAAAAGGGAGAAGCAGTGGTGCATCACCGGAAATTGATGCCTACTTTTTTCGAGAAGCTAACCTGGTCACCCGGCGATGGGTATGGGTTGAGGGTTTATGAATCTGAGCAGGGATATGGCAAGATTGGGAATCTGATTTGTGGCGAAAACACCAATCCGCTAGCGAGATATACTCTTATGGCGCAGGGGGAGCAGGTGCATATATCGACTTGGCCGGCTGTATGGCCTACTCGTGTGACGACAGCAGCAGCATCAGCAGGTCATGCGTCTCCCAAGAATTACGATAACGTAGCAGCAAACAAAACCCGGGCTGCAGCGCACTGTTTCGAGGCCAAGGCCTTTGGAATTCTCAGTGCCAGCTTTTTGGATCATCAGACAATTGATGCGATTGCGTCCGGCTCCAAGAACCCGGAATTTGTGACTGAAGCCCTGGGGGGAGCTCCACGGGGTCCCAGTATGTTTCTCGATCCCACAGGCAAGCAGATTGAGTCTGCTTACGTTGTGGACGGCGGAGAGAAAGTAGAAACAGGCCAATTGACCGACCGTGAGGGGATTTTGTATGCTGATTTGGATTTGGATGAGACAATTGAGGGCAAGCAATATCATGATGTGGTTGGTGGGTATCAGCGGCTTGACGTGTTTAATCTGAAAGTTGACCGTTCTCGACGAGACCCGATTTCTTTTGTGGAGGATCAGAATGGAGGAGAGGACAGAAAGGAGAATGAGACTGTTGATTTGTGATTGTGAAATCACTAGATCTAAAACTCAAACCCTTAGGTCCTTTACTTAATGCGTCTAAACTCTTATTGAAAGAGTATTGGCGATATATGCATACATCACTATTCAAGTAAATACATACACGAAATGCAGGCTATAGTTACTGTCATTGCAGTAAATATACAGACATTTGTTGACATGATAAATTGATATAAAATAAAATATACTCAGTATTCACCCTAGAAAGTGAATTATTCCTTTGGCTAGCTTGTCTAAACGAATCACGAAATCGGAAATGGCGGGATTTGCGGTTTCTCGTGGAGAGTTGGCCGAAGAGTTGGCCGTTATCTCGAACTGACTCATGCAGAACCGCACAATAGCTAGGATTTATCTACGAGGACAAAATTAAAAAGACTTTCGGCCCTTAATCTATGACCGATAGATGTGTTCTTATCTCTAGATTATTAGGAAATTGGAAGAAATCAGTATCCTTATCTCCAGCTATACGTTTTTATTTGAATCGTACCTATTCAACCATGATATTTATACCTGCTTTTTCTGATTCATTGAATCCATGGAGCTATTTCAGATTCAAAAACCCACAAACTCATTATTCTGTCTACTATACTACAATACAAGCGTAAAAAAAGGAAGAGGCATATATTCAAATAATGTCACTCCTAAAAAACAACATGGAGGCTGCCATTGCCGAGAAACTGGGAGAAGTCGAACCAACAGCAAGAGTGAATGATGCCCGCATCTTACGCAAACTGGACATCCGTCTAATTCCTATGCTTGCTGTGCTTTATCTGATGAGTTTCCTTGACCGTGGCAACATCGGAAACGCGAAGATTGAAGGACTTGCAGAAGATCTCCATATGACTGGTTCTCAATATGCTCTAACACGTAAACACTCTTATGCCGTTTTTTTTACTCTTCTGATCTAACAGCGTGCAGTGACAGTGTTCTTCCTCACATATGCATTTGCAGAAGTACCGTCGAATCTGATGCTAAAGTGCCTCAAACCATCGATCTGGCTGCCGTCGATTATGGTGGCTTGGGGGACAATCACGGTGAGAAGACCTGTTATTTTTTTTTTTCAAAAAAGTTGATCCGAATCTAATAGGAGAAATAAATAGACGTTGATGGGAATCGTGGAGAGTTTCAATGGTCTTCTTGTCGCTCGTCTTTTCCTTGGACTCACAGGTAGCTATTCAACCCTTGATATAAGAAGCAGTGGTCTTGACTGATATATGAGTGCAGAGGGGGGCCTCTACCCTGGTGTCATATATTACACAACTATATGGTACTCTCGCAAACATGCCCAGTTCCGAAACGCCCTCTTCTTCAGCGCGGCCAGCATCGCCGGCGCATTCTCGGGGTTGTTAGCATTTGCTATTAATGTATGTTCTATCTATAAAATTTTCAAGGACCCGCAGCTAAGAAGAAAGAAAATGGACGGAATCGGAAACCTTGCGGGCTGGCGCTGGATTTTCATCATCGAAGGGATCGCCACCGTCGTTATTGCAGTTATGTCTTTTTTTTTGATCTATGACTCTCCCGAAGAGGCATCGTTCTTGACGGACGATGAAAAGAATTGGGTATATGACCAATTGAGTCGTGATGGGCCAATAGCACAAAGAAATGAGAAATTTCGGTGGAAGTTTGTCACTGCGGCATTTACAGATTGGCAGGTCTTGGTGGCCATGTTTATGAATTTGTCACTAATTAGCCCGATTTATGGTATATTGGCTTTTTCACTTGAGCTTTAATATGAACCTGACTGACTTTCAAAGCAATATCGCTATTCCTCCCAACAATCATCAATAATCTTGGCTATACTTCTACCGATGCACAGCTTTTGACGGTATTCCTTGCTTTCGCAAAATCGAAGACATTGTTTGAACTAAATTTTATGGATCAGATCCCCATATACATCAGTGCAGCCATCACAGCTGTAGTGGTCGCCTGGTATTCTGACCGGCATCTTAGTCGATCTCCATTCCTCTTTGTCTTATACGGCGTCATAATAGTCGGATACCTCATCACTATGGCTGGAGCAGCCGCGGATATTCCCGGTCTGACATATGCCGGCGTTTTCATAGTTGCATGTGGTAAGTCTCTTTCTATGTGGCGTGATCAGCATGAAAATTAATTCCACTTTACAAGGACTTTATACGGCATTCCCATGTAACGTCACTTGGATTTCAAACAACCTCGCAGGCAGCTACAAACGTGCTGTTGGCTTGGCCATTCACGTCGGTTTCGGAAATTTGGGCGGTGCCATGGTATCTAATTTCTACCGATCGCAGGATTCGCCCAAATTTCTTCTGGGTCATGGGTTATCGCTCATGCTTGTCCTTATTGGGTTGGTGGCAGTGGTGATTTTGAGGCTTGGATATCAGCATTGTAATCGAAAGAGGGATGAGCTCGGTTATACGCAGGGCACGTTGAGCCCCGAGGAAATTGAATCGTTGGGCGATAAGGCACCGACGTACAGATATATCTTGTAGTTTAGTTTATTCCATTAGTATTCGATAGCTTCGGGATATCACCGCCTACGCAAGATATAGATAATTTCATAGAACAAAAGAAACGGACAAGAAAAAACTACAATATATTGATCTCCCGTCCTCCTCGTCTATAGACTTATGGAAGAAAAAGCATATCGACGGTCTGCAATATCACAGCTAGGATGATACTTTATAATGTAGCTGTAATAAGGCTTGCTTATAAGAATATTCGTTTACTACATAGATAGTCGGGGGGGAGATCGTGGGTGTCCGCCTCAATCTGAGGGGTGAGCCTGAGGCATCCAGGCTGCCAAGGTTGTAATGATCTAAGACATGTATGCATTCTGAATATATAGGAAAGACGGTTCTTTAGGTACACAAGGACCGAGGGCTCTAATATATAGCCGAAGGTATACAAAGAAGCACGAAGATCGTCTATCTATAGTACAGGATGGTTCCACTATGGTGAAAGCTTTCCCTTTTAAGGATCACGACAGATTTACACACTCTCTCTTTGATTCAGCCCCACTGCGGATTCAAACATAACTGATTCCGTTAGCGCTACATACTAGACTAAACGAGTGTTGATATTTACAATACATTACATCCTAATATTTGAATGACATCCTAAACTTTCATCGGGAAATTCTTTGAGACATTTCCCCGATATATTCCCTCTGACAAATTTCAATACATATCATTGAGCATCATAGCATGAATGATCAAGTGCTGCTTCCCTATTTATGATATATGAAATTGATGAATTTTCATCGTGATATAGTCACTGCACGGCGATACGGACAAGGATTCGACCCCGCAGCCGAGTACGCCTCTCCATTCTTAGCAATCGACAAAATTCTATTTCAAGGCGTCCTACTATATGATTCCAAAAATATATGAGATACTGTACAGACAAATTCGAAACCGCCTTCACTTTCTAGAATTTAAGTTGTTCGGGGATAGGTGGCATAATGCTTCGTCCCACGTCAACCAGATCGATCGATCTTGTTAAATCACGAACAGGTTGCGCCACTTGTAGGTACGTACAGGCAATCTCTTTTATTAATCCGAGTGAGTGGCGCGCTATAAATATAGACTCACTAATTCTTACTACTTTTAGGGTTCGCAAAATCAAATGTGATGAGACGAGGCCGCAATGCAGGCGCTGTGAAAGTACTGGCCGTAAGTGTCCAGGATACGGAACCTCCACGCAAAGGGGAGATATCCGAAATTCATACCCAATCCTACAACAACCGTCCTATGGTTTAAATTACAATGGGCAGCGGGAGCGTCGCGCGTTTGAGTATTATTTTATAAATGCTGCTGCGGGAATCGCAGGGGCCTTGGATGTCTCGGTTTGGAAGGGCGTTGTCTTGGAATTATGCCGGTCAGAACCTCTAGTCTGGGATGCCGTCATTGCCCTCAGTGCACTTTACGAACATCCGGATCCATTCATAGGACCACCCTATGTTATGCCGACTACCAAATCTGTGGCTAGGCATAATGAAGCTCTAGCCTGGTACTTCCGCTCAATGACAAACATGCGCACTCAAATCGAGCAGAAAAGGGCTAGTATATTTACTGCCCTCGTTACCTGCGTGCTTTACGTCTGCATTGAAGCCATTCAAGGACATACTATCGAAGCATTCCAGCTATACGAGCAAGGCATGGGGCTAATTACTGCACTCCCATCACAAACCACGTCAGCCCAGATACCTGCTATTAAAGATCTTATCATTCCACTCTTTTTTCGCTTGGGCGCTTCAGCCATTGTTTCGGCAAATTACCCGGTCAAAGACCCTTTTGTTTTTTTGACTTCGCCGCTGGATTGCCGATTTCCAACGATTGACGCTGCGCGGACAGCCATTTATTCACTGGCTATAGAGTCAATGTCCCTGTTACAGGCAGCGAAGAGTGACTTCCACGTTGCTATAGTTAGTTCAGATGGAGTACCAGCTATATTTTCCCGCCAACATGCTCTGCTGTCTAAACTGGAACAGTGGAACCATGCATTTGCCGACTTTAAGGAAGGCCACTTATCTGGAGTTTCGGATCCGCTACAGCAGTCTTCACTGTCAACACTTCTGACATTCTACACTGCATTATTTATAATGGTATCGACTTGTTTGTCACAGCAAGAAATAGACTATGACTCGCATATGGGTCAATTTCAGCTTCTTGTGAAACACGCAACTGATGCGTGCGCTGCATATGATGACTCACAGTGCCCGCCATTTACATTCGAAATGGGCCCGGGCATGCCGCTGTATGTCACGGCTGTAAAATGCCGAGCACCGGAATTGCGAAGAAAGGCGCTGGCCTTGCTTAGGCGTGTACCACAGATCCAAGGGTTCTTTAAATGCGCGTCCTGGGCGGCACTTGCTGAAAAGGCCATACAGCTAGAAGAAGGCGATATACCAGTTGTGCAGTCATGGGTTTTGTCATATGGCATGAATGTGAGGCATGCTCTGTCAGAGTGTAGGAACCATAAAACTGCAGGATACCGTGAAGTCCTGATTTTTGGGGTGTTTACACAAGAGCACCCTATTGTACATGATGTGGTGGTAGTGGAAACTTGTGTTCCAAAGGTGAAGCCTGTCGGGGGACAATGGCTGATTCCTGAAGAAAGGCGCCTCTGTAGTATTGGCGTCACCACAGCGCTGAAAGGTGATGCTATCGAGAGCATATTTACTGATAATCATGGCTTTGAGAGATTACAACTGCGCCAATCCGCTAAGGAGCACCTTTATATACAGTTCAGACGTAAGGAGCATGACCCCGTGAGTGGAGCATGGAAGGAGGCCATATATTATTTACTAACAAATCATTCCGAATTTGACCAATGAAAGCAACATACTATGCTAGTCAATCGTAGAGAATCATATAAAGAACCGTTCAGATACTTATAGTGCTTTTTTTTAAGTCTGTGCTATCCTAGATTAGATAAATATGCTGGTCTGGAACAGACACTCCTGATATGATATACCCTGCATCACTTTAAGAAGGGATTAAGATAGATTTAGTAGTATCTAATAATAATAAAAATATTATATTAGGACTATCTATCAAACCTATTCATTAAAAAATAGAAATACATAGATCTATACTAATCAGTCCTTCTACTGCTTATTATAATGTTTGCTCATCCTCTTTTCTGGCTTTTGGTGGGTGGGATTGTTACTGATGGTCATCTTATCATTGTTGAAGCTTCTCTCCAGTTGGTGTTTCTGTTTTTCATATTTGGTCAGGTCTCTTGCCATTGTATGGAAAAGAAATAGATATCAGAAGAATTAATATTGATGAGATTGAACTAGGATACACTAGTCAAGCAAGAACGTTGAGGGATATTATCAGATTCGTTTCCATGTTGTAAAGGAGTGGAAGAGAAGATAGTACCAGGGAACGCTTCAGCTCAGCTGGAGCGTCTTATAATTGTATCTCGATCCGCCCAAAGAAGACTATCTATGCCCGCCACTCTCCATCACGTAAAATTAATAGTTCCTGCATTCCTGGGCTCGCTGTCCAAGCCAATGATGCAGAATCTATCACGGGTGATTGGCGGGGCATGCCCAGGCTACGTGAGGAAGGGATGAGGATAGTGAGCGGTGGTAGTGAGGCTTACAGCAGCAGGTCGCACGCGCTAATCTAGAAACTACGACCAGGATCTCTCTTAAACTATATATATAGCATCTTGTGTGCAGTGTGCAAAGCAGGAAATGATACACACTGCTCGAGTCACTTTCAATTAGGTTTGCTACTTTCCTGTGATCTATTACATCAAGCATCATATTATTGTATCCACTCGTTTATCACAGCAGTATCTATAATAAGTAACTATATATAAGACGAAGGGATAATTTAGAAATAACTAGAAAGAAGAAAGAAAAGCAAGAGCAAAATTAGAAAGAGATGGACTTGTAATCAGCTTATGTAATATAGATATCAAAACATGACATACCGGCGTGATTTGATAGGCTGTTGGGGCTCTGAGGCTAACTTAACTAGGCAGTGGAAGCCGATCTCCGGCCGCCTTTCGGCTTTGCCTCAACCTCTGCACAGACTGCTGCATTTTTTATCCTCGAATTGATGTCAATCAATCTTCAATTTTTTCTACATTGCATATTACTCTACTTACTACACTGTATTATCATCTCTCCCCACAGAAAAGTAGAAAGACGCGCTATCTCAGCCCTACCCTGGAATTGCTTCAGCAGCAATGTCCGAGCCTGCCCAAGATGCCGACTCATCACAGAGTCGAGTCGGCCACTTTTTCTATCGCGCACTGGCAGAAGTTGGCCTCATCCCTTTGTGGCAGTCGCCGCTAGACACAAAGCTTCTCTGTGCCCAGCGCTTTGTACGGCTGTTTGCCTATGGCGGCTCAACACTAGTGCTCGCTTCGTATCTCTCCGCCCTCGACATCTCTGACGAGAAGATTGGTCTGTTCATGACCCTGACTTTGGTTGGAGATGTGGTCATCAGTTTTTTTCTGACCCTGTTCGCCGACACCGTCGGGCGCAAGGCGGTCCTGATGCTCGGGTCAGCTCTGATGTGTGCGAGTGGTATTGTGTTTGGTCTGACAAGTAATTACTGGGCATTGCTTGCAGCTGCTGTTTTTGGGGTTATTAGCCCAAGGTATGTAATGCATCACATCAACAGTCGATGGCCTAGAAATCTAATTTTGTATTTAGCGGCAATGAAATTGGGCCATTTAGGGCTGTTGAAGAATCAACTATTGCTCACATCACCTCGAAAGAGGACATGAGTGATATATTTGCTTGGTATTCTCTGATCGGCACTGCAGGAACAGCCCTAGGAATGATGGTATGTGGCTGGATCATGACGGTCTTGCAAGACATCAAGGGCTGGGATTTTGTCCCCGCCTGCCGAATTGTTTTCTTCGTGTATGCTGTTGTTGGCGCTATCAAGTTTCTTTTGACTGCCGGTCTGAGTATCAGTGTTGAGGCAGCGAAGAAGCAGAAACAGCAGAAGAAGAAACAACAGAGTACTTCGACACAACCGAATCCAGAACAAAGCTCTGAGACGGCGCCTCTACTTGGTTCTAATGTCCAGGAGAATGTCGCAAATGACGAACCCGCACCAAAGAAACGGATTGTTTGGTTCTTGCCTGGTGTTCAGGCGGAGTTTGTGAGCTTGGTGACTAGCTTGCTATTGCTCTTTGCTCTGGACTCTTTTGCATCTGGATTAGCTTCATTGTATGTTGAGATCGAAAGTTGATCGGGAAGTGTAGACTAACAATTTCTCAGGTCGTGGGTTACTTATTTCTTCCGAAGAAAGTTTGGCCTGTCAGAAGGCGGACTCGGGTCTTTCTTCTCTGCGGCGAGTGTCATCCAAGCCATCTCTATGCTGATCGCTTCATCAATCGCAAAGCGATTCGGAAACGTCAAGGTAAGTTTGACCCACCCACCCCCTGTCACATCCCTCAAGCTGACCCCTGTCTAGACAATGGTCTTCACACATCTCCCATCGGCTATATGCTTAGCATTGATCCCCATTCCATCCTCACTCCCCTTTGCCATGGCGTTTGTGGTCTTGCGTGCCTGCACCCAAAACATGGACGTAGCGCCTCGGTCCGCGTTTTTGGCCACTGCACTTCCGCCCGACCAGCGAACTGCCCTTATGGGCACGCTCAATGTCGTCAAGACAAGCGCATCCAGCTTGGCTCCTCTTCTGACCGGGTTCCTTGCTTCTCGAGGGCTATTTTGGGTCGCCTTTGTTGCGGCGGGTTCTTTAAAGGCTACATATGACATCGGCATGTTGATCACCTTTGGAGGAATGGATAGAAAGCATAAAGAGCAGGCTATACGTCGGGACGAAGAAAACGGATCTGGTAGGAGTTAAATTGACTCTCTTTCACCTATAATTGGGCCATGTTTATATTTCGGCTTGTTGCTATACTACACAGATAGAACTGAATTTCACCCATCAACACAACTCCGTCTTTCATACATATATACATATATATATTTTGTACATATCTAATTCGACCGGAATCATCCATGCACAAAAGAACCCTTAAAAAAATGCACCTGAACCAATAGTGCCTGGCAAAACAAGCCTCGCACATTGGTTGGGGCCGGCCCCTCTCTTTCTACGTCAGCCTGACAGCTCATCTCCAGCCTCCGAGAGACGATGGTCATTGACTCGCCACAAGCCCTGCAGCCCGCCAAACCTGCGAATTAGCAACGCATGGCTAGCCATAGAGAGGCTAGCCTCGCCTGCAGCGCTAATCGCTTCGCAACGCCGATGAAAGCTTGTGCGTCATGCATGGGCCCAGGCAAACCTACAGCTCCGAGCGAGACGCGTCATCTACCTTTGGTGCTGCTGCTTTGGGCTTAATCCCAGGTTTCATCATCGCTTCTTCCTATTGTCTGTTATTATTATCGTATCATTATTATTGGCTCATTATTAACATAGTATTATTATTATTATTATTATCTTCTATTTTTTCTCCCCCATCCTGCGTCTACTTCTAGTTAAATCTTTATCCCGCCTTGCCTGACCCGACCTAGATGCCCTCTACTAAGACTATGTAGATATAATCACGTTGTCCCCAGCTCTATTTATCAATTATCTTACTACCAGTCTGTTTCCATCGACGAGACATGAAGACCTCGCTTCTTCTACTCGCAGCCCCGCTGGCTGCGGCGTTCATACTGCCTAACGAGCAGCAGATTCTCTCTGTGTTTTCGGATGACGATAATAATAATAACAATGCGATTGCTGACGCTCATCATCATGAGAAATCGCTGACTGCAAATTCTCATCACTCGTACGATGGATTGGAGGAGGAGATTGATTCTTATTCCATCCCCGATGCCCTAGCCTGGCATCATGTATCTGGTCTGGTAGATGCCTTGCAAAGCCATATCGCTCAGGATATGAAGGATCTGGAGGGACCGCCACCTTCAAAGGGGGAAAAATGTCATCATTCGAAATACGATAAGAAGAAGAAGAAGAAGAAGCACCATGCAGATGAGCACCATTTCGAAGATGGAAAGGGTCATCATGGACATGGCGCGCAGAGGGATGTATTTGATGCTCCTCCTCCCCATAAGCCAGGGTTCTTCGACAAGGTCAAGGGGCATCTCATGCACTTCTTCGGGCCGCCTCGTCATCATGAACTGGATGGTTATGGATATGGAAAGCCACCGAAGCACGCAGGTAAGGAACCTAAAACATATATATATGTATATGATCATTCAGGACTCACTCACCATCTCAGGATTCCCTCACCACCACCACCACCACCACCACCCTCACAAGTACAATCAGACAATCTACGAACTAATTTCCAGCAGCAACCACACGCGCATCTTCACCAAGATCATCAGCAAATATGACGAAGTCGTCGAGTACCTAAATTCAACAAAGGCAAACTACACTATCTTTGTCCCTCTAGACGATGCGTTCCGACACATCCACCACAAACCAAATGTCAGCAAGGCTGCCGTCCTCAAATGGCTCGAGTACCACGTCTCACCCAAGGTCTTCACTAAGCGCGACTTTTTCGAAGTCCAGACCGTCCCGACCTTCCTGCCTGAAGGGAACGATGGAAAATTCCCGCAGCGGATTAGTACGCAGGTTGGATTCAGAGGATTGTCATTGAACTTTTTCGCTCATGTTATTCGGTCTGATATCGTGCGTGTCCTCCTCCCTTCCCCCATTCTTTTTTCTTCTATAGCCCTTGCTAATTGTGATCAGTTCGCTACCAACGGCGTCATCCACGGCATTGACGAATTCCTCATCCCTCCCTTCGGCGCCGCCGACACTCTTGAACTTCTCCCCTCCGTCTTCAGCACGCTGAATCTGGGGTTGATCAAAACCGGGTTGATTGACATCTTCAACTCCGATGTGCCCAAATCCGGTGGCACGTTTTTCGCACCTTCAAACCACGCCTTCAACACGCTGGGCCCGAAGATCAACGCCTTCCTGTTCAGTCGTGTGGGCCGGCCATACCTCAAGGCGCTGTTGAAATACCACATCATCGCAAACCACACGCTCTTCTCGGATGCTTATTACAAGCCCAAATCTACGGAGAGCCAGGTCAAGCATGGGCAACATGTAAGCTTATAACATAACACTAGTCTGCTCTTTGAAATGTGTGCTAATTGGTTTTGTTTGTGTCTTGTCAAGTTGGATCTTCCTACGCTGCTACACAATAAGCCGCTCAGCATTGATATCTATCATCTCCATCGTCTTGCGCATATTGTGCTGAATGACAAGACGCATGTCGTGGTGCCGAATGTTCCGGTTAGGGAAGGCGTAATTCATGTCGTTTCGACGGTCATTATTCCTCCTCGCCCGGACTCTTCACGCGAAGAGAGTGAGGAACCTGACCACCCTCCTACGGGCGAATATCTGAGCGTGCGTGATCTGAAGGAGCGGCTGGAAGGATATCTCGACTGAGCAGACTGCACCGCTGACCGGCCCGTAACTCCACTCTTCAATTCTTCTTAACCTTATTATTAACGTGTGATTTGATCTCACCACTTTTAAATTTCTTGTGTGAGGAATGTATGTTATCTAGTTCTATATGGCAGGCAGATTTATAAATTGGAAGTCCATTCGTCAATTTTTTGAATAGATATTGATGTTTATTCACATTGATTGTAAGATATAATCTAAAACTATCTCGAATATAGGCGTCGTGTCTAAATGACAGACATCTGGACTCGTGTTCAAAATCTATAGTAGACATGCTCGGTGAGTTTCGTAAAGCCAGCATATTCAACACTGATATATGTTGGGCTAGTGCTCGCCGCTTGAAGGCACGGCGCGCAGACTGCAGCTGCTTACCACGCGCAGGTATTGGGGTTTGCTAAACAATCGACAATCGTAACCCCTCAAGAAACCTTCTGCCTCTTCCCCCCATCAAACACACCCCCTCACCCATCCTCCTCTTCTTCTGCTCCCTCGCTTCCATCTCCTTCCTCATAATTAACTCCTGCTGCGACACCTTCTGTTGCTGCGGCACAAACCCTGATTTTTTATTCCCGGCCAACGGATTGACTTTCTTCGCCGAAGAAAACACGTTTTTCGGCTTCGACGTCAAGCCAGATGAAAACGACATTGAGAGTTTTTCAGCTGGTTTCGCTGGGCCTTCTGGTTTGGGGGATTCGGAGGAGTCTGTCGCAGGGTTTTCTTGGGCTGATGTTGACGTTGATGTTGTTGTTGTTGTTGTTGCTGATTTCGGCGCGCCGAAATTTAGTTTTACTTTCTCCCCTTCCTTCCGCTCGAGAAGCATCTTGTCAGCGGTATTATCATCCTGCTGCGTCTCCTCTCCGCCGCCGGTCCTATTCGTTGCTTCAGCCTTCGCAAGCTCTGCCCTGCGCGCCCGCTCCACCTGTTCCTGGATTTGTTTCTGCTCCCGCTCCTCATCGCCCTTATCCTGCCTCTCCTTCTTCAAGACCGCCTCTCTCCTTCTCAGCGTCTCCGGACTATTATCAATCCAGCTAATAAACAGGCCCTTCTCCGTCTCTTCAACCCTGCAAATCCCCTCCCTGCCCAAATAGCCCGCAAACTGGGACAAACTCGACCATTTGGTAGCGTTCATGTGTATATGGTGGCGATTCGCAATGACCTGTTGGTAGAAGTGATTCAGATTAACCTTCTTCTCCTGATGCGACGTTTTCAGTAGCGTGACGAATTCGCGCAGGAATTCCGCCGAGAAGTTGTCGATTGTCTTTTTAGAGTTCTCGCCAATAACCATCATTTGGCGCACGTGCGACTCGCTTTGGACGTGGCATTTGAACCCGTTTTCGTCCCGACATGGTTTTTCGCTGCGGGGATGTTAGTTTTGTTGCTGGTCAAGTGAGGGAAGGAAGGTAGAAGGGTGTGATACTTACCAGGCTTGACAATACCATCTCAAACGCGTAAGCCCGTTTTGCTTAAGTTTGTTGCTGATGGCCTTGGTAGACCCTGCTTCGGCGCGAGGCATTGTGGTGGTGTTTTGGTACTTGCAACGGTTTGTTGTATGAAGTTGAAGGAAGGCGGAGATGTGGCGATAAGGATTATCAATATCTACTCACGTGACCACCCCACCTCATCAGAAACTGAAAATGTGATTGGCTGAGAGATCTATATAGGATAAGAAAGATATAACATACTGTCAGAATATTTGGCACTAAGCATATTGGGAAACGATTCGAAATGCCCAAAATTACCATCAATATTATAAACCTTTACTTAATATAATCCATATACCAATCTAAGCAATCTTGCAATGGGCTATGGGATCTTATATTTTAACTGGAGTTGGCCTGATGTAAGGCTCTTGCCACTACCACTACCCACCTCTAAGCGCCAAAAAGTAATACTGAGGTAATTAGGCCAATTGCCCAATTCCAGGGTTGGCACGGTTATAAGCCTCTGTGAGCTTGCAGCATATACCTGCGCGCGCTCTCGCGACGCTGCAGCGCTGCTGCCAAGGCTTCACACCTAATTCTTTTTCGTGACAGGTACTCGTTAAACATTAATACCAAGTTAATATTTATTAATTTATTTTTAACCTATTACATATTATAAATCGGTATGAAAATACTAATATTTAAAAAAAGGAATAATATAAGATTCTATATATTTTTAAGATTTTACAACTCCCTCAGGTCCCCAAAACAGCCAAAGCTCTAACCCCGAGCCTTAACATACCCCAAATCCCCATGCTTCCTCCACAAATGTTCTGTGACCTTATCAGCGCGACTATATCCCTTACCTCTCGCCTTGGGACAGCCAACGATCGGGCAATGATGGCCTTGAACGTTTAAGTGAACCGTGTATTGGTGACGAGCTAGGTCGGAAGGACGCTTGAAACGTCTGGTGCAGGTCGGGAAGTTGCATCTGTGGAGATGCATGGATCTTGTTGTTGGAGTTGCGGCTGGGGCTCGAGTTGGAACCAGCACAATAGTGGTAGGAATGGTTGCATTGGTGAGCTGATCATGGTCGTCGCAGACGAAGTTAGGGCCGAGGTCAGGGATATCGAATGCGCCATTGAGGTGTGCACTTCCTGGATTGACATGTTGCATGGACATGCGACCGAAGCCAGTAGTCGCATGCAGGTGGTTCAGGTCATTCACCATGCCCATTGAGTGGTCGTAGATGCCGAACTCATCGTTGAAGAGTGCCATGCTAAAGGGATCGTAGACCGCAGTGGCTTGAGATCTATCGGCCCAAGAGTTGACATGGTCCTTAAAGGGAGGATCGACAATGGAGCCTGTGACAGAGGGCCCTGATGTAATGCGAGCATCATTCTCGGACGCCGTCAAGTTGGAAAAGTCGAACACAGTATCGCCATATGGTGCATAGTAAACAGGGCTTCTAATGGACGAGACATCCTTCCATTCTGACCCATGACCAAGTCCACCATACGCAACAGTATCGACAGTGTCGCATACATAGGTGAGGTGTCGGTCCTGAGTTGGTTGAGATTCATGACTTAGTTGAGGGTCGGATTGATAGTAGAGCCTGTCGGTGATGGTTAGCACTAAAAAAAAAAAAAAAAACTCACGAATCCATTTTGGCGATGATGAATATTGGAGGAAGTCGCGCCCTTAATATACTGAATTTTGCCAGCCGTGTTATGTCATTCAGCCTGGATTGTTGATGGATTTAATCATAGCGAAAAAGGTAGAGCCTGAGCGCCAGCTCAGCTTGAATGTCATAAACTCCCGAGCCTTGCTATTCTAAATGTTTGAGGGCGAAGCAGGGCGAGGGGCGAGAGCCCAACAGAGCGAACGGCGACCAAAGAGAGAGGGATAAAGGAAGATTGAGGCTGAGAGGGCGAAGGCACGAATAACGATACCAGCATACGATTGGAGGATGGAAAGGTTGAGGTGGCGACATGTAGAATGATCGAGGGCAAGAAAGACCGAGAGCCCAAGAGAGCGATGCATGAAGATCGATGGCCACAGGGAAAGAAAGGCTGAGAGCACGACACGATCGCAAACCAAGTAGTCATGGGGGTGAGAGGGCGTAGTGCAGTGGCTTGAGCGAAGATAATAATAAGGCATCATGCTGAAACTTTGGAAGCAAAGAAGGTTAACAAAAGCCTATGCGACGGAAACAAGGCATCAATCAGGCTGAGAAAGCCTGACGCGAGGCTCGCGCCCAACGAGGGTGCCTGGCGTTGGTGCCTAAGGAACGTCAGCCATCACTCTACTTTCAGCTCTAATACAACGCGGACTGAGGAGGCCCAATATATCTTTACGGTATGGAGCCTATATTTAGGGTTGTTATAGCCAATAAGTTGAGACGACGATACCAGATTAAAATTAGCTAAAGACAATCACAATGGAAGTGCTTTACAGCGGAATCTATTGTTAGTTAAGGCTTTAGAGCATATGGAGCCACAAGGGAATAGGAAGATACAACACAACTTTCAGTTTCCCTCAATGATAAAAACTCTTCCAAAGCCATAAGCGAAATATTTCAATCAAGTCTTTTAAAGCTCACTCGGGTTGAACTTTCTGCCAACATCATCATCTGAGTTGCACCTTGTCGGGCAATTGGCACGAGATCCTCATCCATTTTCATCCACAACGTAAATCCTCCTCTTGGATTCGCCCGAACTTCAACATGTTCCCAATCCCGCTGCAGCTCCGCTGTACAATTAAGAATCTCATAACTACCAAAGCCGACATACAGTTTATATCCACCTTCGCAGCGAAAACCCATGTTACCTTCGTACAAAGTACATACAAATTGTTGTGACTTAGAGCCATCGTAGACATAGAGGCGCATTTGAGTCCTATCAACACAAGTGAATGTCTCAGATGTTCCATAAATTTGGATTGCATAGGTGTGACCCTCTGTCGGGCAATCCGTTCCAGCAGGGCGAGGAAACCCCCAATAACAGTCCACGGTGGTGTTGTCAGTACCATCTTGGAGATCGGTAAAACCAAATCCTGTTGCAGTCTTACTGGAATCATCTGGATCCATTACTTTGAATTTGGGGGAGCATGCGGAGGAATCTTCCTGCGCAACAAATCCTTTGCAAGAATGATGATGATTCATCCAGAGCGTAACACCACCTTCAGGATCAGCTCGAGGGCTGACATGCTCGGTCACACGTTGAGATTCCGCGGTGCAGGTTAGAACCCCATCCCAACGACGACCTAAATAGCCTCCTCCATGTTCCTGCGCACTGGAACAGACGAAACCTAGATACCCGCCGTACTCAGTGCAGGTGAATTTCTGGGTATCTTTGTCCTGCCAGACTTCAGCGACAATGAATCCATCGTCACAAGTCGTCACCATCGGAGTATTCAGAATGCTAATAGCATATGTACTTCCCTCTACCGGTGCATCTTCATTGATGAATTGGGGGGAAGTGTCCCAATATTCATCGCTATCAACGAGATCCCCAGGCTCCTTTTATAATCTCTCGCTGAATGTCCATGCTTCGCAATTCCCGGTCCGGAGGCTTTTGTGGGTTGTAACGGTCTCCTTGCTTCGAGGTGCTTGGTGGGGGTCATAACGCTCTGTTTCATCATCGTCAGAAGTATCTGGTTCATCCGAATTCTTCGGAGGGGGCCCAGGCCAATATTTCGTACTGGAAAATATATTTCCTGCTTTGTGGTGTTCACCGCGTGATTTTCCAATGGAAATTCGTTACTCCCTTTTGTTCCATTCTTAAGCCTTTGTAATCCCGTGTAGTGCTGACAGAAATGGTCTTCACACCCGCTTTCTTTCCCTCAGCGACATAGCGAGCGAGGTTGGCCGGCCGGTTACCAAGGTTATCCCGCTGTGCAGGAATGTATTTTGGCACGAAGCCATCCCTGAAAACTTTCCTTGGATGATGAATATCCCAACGCCAAAGGCGTTCTGCAGCCACTGTGACAAAGATCCCAGCTGGAGGAACAGAGATCCGTCTGTACTACCAAGACCTTGAGAAAAAGCTTTCGGAATATTTTATGAATCCTAATCTGCATTGGTCTCAGAGTAAGTGTCGACTTTCGAGGTCAACATTTGCATAATATGTTCAACATCTCAAACTTCTAATTCTAACTACATGGGTATCAATTAGGTTCCATCTCCGCAGATTTTGACCTCATTCCTCGAGCGAGTATTAGCGCTGTGAGCTGGAACGCCGACCCCAGCCCTATATCACTAAATCTGCAAGTTCGCATCCTATCCTTTAAAGCAGAGGGAGGCTTGATAGCAATGAGCTATGACCAGAACAACGATGGCTGGGATGATAATGCTTCACAGGTCGCGGTAAAGTCCACCAAAGCAACAATTGGTGGCACCAGTGCTGTGGCGGCAGTCCAAGGCCTTGATGCCGATGACACTAGACATATGGATGTCTTTTACCAGCCTGTGGCTATGATTGGGCAGCTTAGCTCGAAAACAACGTCTTTTGATAACCCAACTTCTTTCGGGATGGGGGTTGTAATTTTGGACGATGCCGGTAAGTTAAAGCATTGAAGCCAGATATTTTAAAAACAAATACTTTCAATAAATATAGTAAAATTCTAACTGACATAGTCTACAGAACGTCGCCGCATGCAGCTTGTGGATGGCCACGACGCACAGTACTGGAAGAACGCGTACGAGTTGTCTAAAACCGGGACTACGAATGCCCAATTCCAGTTAAAATCGCTTTAAGATAGAATTCAAAGAGCTAGAAGCGCAGCTAGAAATTATGCGGTCAACATACAATCCTCCTCTCTTACTTTCATCACTACTAGTAATCGCACCGAATTTGGGAGAATTCATCCTCAGGGGCGACACGTGATGATTGGATATTTACTCGCAGCGGCGCTTATAGATGTCAGATTCAACGATGACAATTTGAAATGGACTACATATACAGCAACTGATCAAAAGCTTTTTTTAGCACAAATGAAGGTTTGATTTGCTATATTGCCACCAATGAAACTTTCAGGTAGACTGCATCATTTAAGATTTGAAATTAGTAAGCCAACATTACACATCAGTTAACTAACTTAACGTTAGAACTTTCCGGTAGAACCATATTGTAAATTACTGGTAAGTATACAGCATGATACTGTTGGAGACCAAACACATGAAATAGGCAGAAACAAGGTGTTACAAGGTCTAACCATATCTGGATCGATGTGTATTGACATTAGGGCTTGAGAAACAATTAAGATTGTTTGAGGAGCAAGCCACTCTAGTTGTCACTCGCTGTGTCGAGGGGCGATAAAATGGATTGAACCACACAGAGGTTCCTTGAGGGTAACTGGTAACGATATACTAAGGTTGCCGAAGGGGTAAGGTAATTGTAAAACATAACGAAAGTAAGAGAGATGTTTTGAAGTGCCGTAGTACTTCAACTAGGATTGTTCTGCTGACTTTCTCAGTGTAATCAAAAGTAACTTATGTTAACTTATGTTAAAGAACTATGCTAAGGTAAACTAGATATATAATAACGCGTGTGTTTATATATCTGAGTGCCCCTACAATCCCCTTATACTCCGTATACCAAATGTAGATTCAATCATCATTCTGTTCTTGTATATAATCCTCCAACCCTCCATTGTATATCCGAGTGTATACTCTTATGCAATCTTGTAGTCTTATATCGATAGTGAATAAGCTATATGCAGCCATAGTAATTCGTTGGTCGTGGTTTTAGCTGCTTTAAGGGCTGCTTGCCTTTAAATAGTTTATCTCGTCCTTAGCTTCAGGCATTTTGGTTTCGTAGCAGGGTGCACCCAGGGTTAGTTCGCTCGGTCCACAACACAGGAATTTTATATCGCAATCACCAAATCGTACAGGATCCCAGCACTACCCAGCAGGGACAGGATCTCCCATTCATCGAGAGTGGTCGCATGTTACAGGATGGTTTGAAATCAGGTTCGCCAATTTATTCACACTACAATTGTTTCGGTGAATTTATAGTTGTGTTATCGGAGATTAAACACCTCAAGGCATCACTGATCGTGAATATCGTGCCAGGGATATTGACTATCATTTTACAACTAATCGACAAAAGTCTTGTGCTCGTACCATTCAGTCATCGCCAATTCCCACCTATTCTGCTTCTTCGCCCTACCTGTTAAACACGGGAGCCAATCAATCGGGACACAAAGCTTTAAGCGAGTCCAGTTTCGACTCTGTGCAAGTCTCTCCAACGGTGCAAGAATCTCGTCTATCTTGCCATCATTTATGGTTCCTCCCACCTTCTCCCAGGCCGGCATATGCATCGTCAAGCGCAAGCTGTGAACGTTGCAAAAGTAGTGCTCGAACAGATCAAATAAGGCTGGGTAGACCGTTGCCCAAGCCGCAGCCTCTGGCCTTTGGTCTAATTTGTACCAGAAATCAAACGAGATATCCATAGACGTGATGAGAGCGGAGCAGGCGGGCGATAAAAGCCTAGACATGATAAACGGAGTGTCTAGGCCGATCCGTAGAACAAAGACATTAGTCCCATACAGGACAGTTAATGCCTCTTCATATCTGGAAAGCGATGTAAGGAATGCTCAAACTACGTGCCACCGCCGAATAGGCTTTTTAAGACTCACCCGATCTGACAACACCTCAACCACTCCACGCCCCCAAGTTTCGTCCCAGCCGGCGCACTCTTTAACCCCTCGAACCTGTTTGCATACCTTTCATCTCGTCGGTCCCAGCACCGGTCATCAACAAAACGTCCACTCCTCTGGCAAACACCATGCCACCAGTCCCACCGCTCCCCCTCCCGCTTTGGTTTCGGACGAAATGGAGATGGCAACATCCATGCATGCTCGATATGTACGGACCGATTACCCATTAGCTCGATGTAGATCAGTGTCCTGACTTCAATTGGGAGCTGGAAGAAGCGACTTGCTTGTTGACGGTTGCATTGTCGGGCGCCAAGTTTGAGAGCGCGTTGTTCTGGTGGTGGAATCGGTAGCTTCCATCCATTGAAGGGGTCGCCGTTGACTTCGCAGGTGGAATCAGAAATTCCAATTGCATTTGGCGAACCGCATTTCGGCCGGAAGTACGGATCATTCTCTTTCCGCTTCCTTTTGAATAATGTGGTTAAAATTTTGGGTGCCATGTCTTTTTTTTTATCTGCGTGCGCGGGGGAGTGGATCTTTATACGATCGAGTGCTGGTTAGATGGGGCGAGTGCGTGGGCTTGAAATGGTTCCACCAACAGTCCCGCCGAGCCTCATCGCTCTTTGCATTTTCTTCTCTAGTATTCCAGTACAGTTGTAAATAACAGCATATAAATAAGCTTCTGTATTAGGCTTTATATGGTTTCCACAGTTTCCAGAATGTTAGTAACGGTCTAATTACAAAATTGGCCAATTCATTACGAAATATTGAAATTTCGCTTTATTTTCTGATTCCAGTAACATTTCAACATTCCCCGATTTGACGAGCCAGCATGTTGATCCTGCAAACAAGTCAAACAGCCCGGCAAAGCTCTGACCCGGATACATGACTCAGGAGCGGTTTAAGTTGAGCTACATAGCCTTAGACCATAGCTAGAAGGGTATTCGAGATCTTTTCATGAACGGAAGGCCAATAAGGTCGCAACAATCTAAATAGATCCCCAGCTTAAGCCGAATCCGAGGAGAAAGAGCTTGCATCCGTAAACCCGGGTGGATTGTAATAAAAGCGACACATAAAACGCCGGTACAAATATGCCGGTAAGTGCGCGTCAGCAGTCTCGCGGCGTGTTGAGCCTCTGATTTTGCGGAATACATCGAGATTAGTGATCGAGTTAACTGCATCCTCCACAACGCCGCCACAGAAATTAGCTATACGTACCAAAAAAAAAAAAAAACAAAGGGGCGCACCATGAACAGATCCACCACACAAGAAGCTTCACCTCCACCCTCGGAACCCTAACTATAAAAACCAACGCAAACCTCCTCCTACTCGCCTGAACAACAGCAATCTCTCGCTACCCGACTAATTCATGGCTGTAAAGCGGGCCAAATCTCTCTCGTCCGCACACTCCTCACGAAAGAAGGTGTAAATCCCAACAATGATGACGAACAACATGCATGAGACTAAGGACGAGTCAAACTATTTAAGGGCAAGCTGCCCATAAAGCGGATAACACCACGGCCAACCAATTCCTATAGCTGCATATAGCTTTTAACTATCTATATAAGATTACAGATTATACAAGTTTATTTTTCTTTAAATTTAGATCAAAATCACTTTAGTATTAAGTTTGAATTTAAAGCTGTATTTATCTATATTATTTAAAATTAATAATTATTTTTCTAGTAGCTTTATTCTATTGATTTGCTATTTATATTTGAAATTAATCTAAAGTATTACTGAATATCTATTATTAGGATCTGTCTTTATATCTTATGTAGGATCTTGACAGTACTGTTCCCTTCGGCCTCGTCGAGGCGATTCAAAAGGCGTTGGCAGTGGTGGGTTTAACGTTCGCATCCTCAAAACATTACTATCGCGCTGCAAGAATATTTGAGGCCAACCATGAACCATTCCCGTTGGTGCAATGTATCACAAATAAGTATAGGCTTCAGTATACCAAGGAGAAATTGCGGGTTGTAGGAGTAGGAGAAGTGAGATTACATCACTCAAAATAATGTCCACCCAGAATCTGCTCATGGAGGTGTTACATACAAGCTTTGATTGAAGCTGCTAAGGAAGCATGGCAAGCTGTTGACCAAGCTGCTTATAGAAATCTCAGTGACACAATGCCTCAGAGTAGAAACCATGATACGTACTAATATAGATTCAAGATTTTTAAAAGCGGCATCATAACATTTGTTTTTGGGGCTCAGTATATTCCTTGGCAGAAAGGGGGGTGGTCAAAAAACTTATTTTATCCCACTGTACAACACCCCCCATAATTTGCGCCTTTGGGCGGGATAACTTCAGCAACACCAAAACCACAGCTGACTGGGTGTCTAGGCCAAAGTTCAGCCCGGCCAAAGGAAGTACCAAGGTTCGCTCGGCGATCCCGCTATTCGAGTCCTATGATCTTCCTTGAGCCGGTCTCCAAGAAAGGATCAGCCGAGGTTATAGTTGCCAAAGTATGACTCCGTTGATGAAATGCTCGTCAAGGGGAATAGAGGAACATCCTGATCATGAAAGTATCCAGACAACAGGTCTGCTGTACTGCTAATAGGATGATGATCCTGCGCATGCTCGACACCTGAATCATACTGATTGTAGCTATGGGAGGGAATTGCCCCCTGCCCAGGCAATAGACCAGATGTGGGAACCGTAGATGCTTTCTGAATCGTGCTAAAGTCGAACAGGGGTGGTGTTTGAATCATGACATCCTCAGCCGGCACGCTCCACCCAGATTTTCCTGGAGATACCGTGTTACTTTTAGGGTTCTCATTGTAAGATTGAACTTTTGAGGAAGCCTGTAGGTCACCAAAAATGCTTCGGACAACTTGGTAGTTTTGTTGGAGTACGCTATCGTCTCTTCTTGTGGCGTAAATGTCACCAGCTTCCTTTAGCTGTCTGCATACCTCGGCATATTGAGCTGATTGGGTGCTAAGCTCCCCTAGATGTGTCAAGATAGTGATTGCTCGATCAAGAGAGGGACCTAGAGGCCATTTATGATGACCACATGTGTTCAGAGAAGCCAACCCCAGGCATAGTGCCGATATAAACACACTATTGACGACAATAGGTTGGCGCCTTGGGGTATTCATTTTGAAGACATACTCGTAAGCAATGTCGATTCCTTTAATAGACGAGATCACACAGGCGTCTGCGTAGTCAGCAAAACTAGTCCTGGTAGTAGAGCTGTCTACTTTATGAGGCTCTTCCGAACCGTTTCGAACTTGAAAAGTCAGAAACGGCCGTGTAAGTAGCACGATGGAGTAGTAATAAGCCATGGTGACGATTCTGGACCCATGTCTAGGGGACAGTCCAAAGTTCCTTGGGGATTCAGCAGGATCTTCGCCCGTGCATGACTCTTCAAGTCCGTCGACCATCAGCATTCGTGGCAACTCTTCGGTCCATTGACGATGCTGTCGTGAAATACTTTTGGCGAGCTCAAGGCTGACGGCCTTTTCCGCATATATCTCGACCAATACCCGTTCAAAGACATTGCAGATCCTGAACATGGCGGAAAAGACTTGCCCAGCCACGCCGGGGAGCCTGTACTCTCGCAGGGAGTTAATTGGGGCCCAGGCAATGTTGGAAATCGACTCCGACGTCGCAGGTGGTCTGCCCAGAGACGCGGCCAAGAAGAGGTCACAAACTCGCAGCGACTTCCAGGCGCGTTCTCGAGCCAAGCCTTCGCCACCGCCAAACGCTTGATTTGTCTCGTGGAGGTGGATACCAAGAGTGTAAGCCGATCTGGCAGCGACGCCGAGATTGATAAAGGCGGCATTGTATTGGCATGCAGCGATCATGTAGTATGTCATCAACATTACTGCTTGGATAGAAGCTAGGCTGGGGTCATTCATGAGGTTGAAAATAATGAGTTGGCGTCCATACGCAAAGCATTGTTCTGCAAGAAGCTCATCTAATTCTCCTTGGGCTCTCCCTTGGGCTCCTATGGCCAGAGCGAGGTGGATGATGGCCGAGTTCGCCTTGGATATCTGTGAGGGCTGTTCGATCCAACCTTGTAGTTGAGCAATCAGCCACGGCGGATCAAACAGGTCAAGTATGCCGCTGACGGCGAGGAAGAATTGTTTCACAAGACTTGGGGCGGTGACCAAGTCTAGTAATGGCTCCTGGGCCGTTTCAAAGCGGATCTTCGGCGAGCTTTCAAACATAGGATTTCGAACTGGCTCGTTGGTGAAAGCACAGGGGCCTACCGTATCCTGAACTGAGCTTCTAACTGTCTCGAGAAATGAGAGAGAAGCCGACTCGCCTACGTAGACTGCGATATGCGTCAGTAAAGACCGGGTTGTGGTGTTCCCAGTAGCAGCTCGTGAGTCATACTAAATCTGCCTTTGCTGTCTATGAGCATTTGCGAGTCTTTCGAGGGTGGGGGCGAATTAAAAACAGGGATGTCCGGGATGTCCACATTCTTAGGCGATGAGGCCAGTGGCTTGTTGCCCATCTCAAGTCGAACTTTCTCATGAAGAGACTCAGTTGTCAAATGATCGTCCGGCCGAGGTTCCCTTGTATAGCGACAGGCACTCTCGACACGGCGAGCTTTGCAGTGGTCGCATGGCAAGACGCCATTACACTTCGCCTTTCGTTTCTTGCAGCTTTCACATGCGTGTGCTACTCGCCGTCGGAAGCGAGGATCAACTTTTGCGCGAGGCATTGCTCATGTAGACTAGGTGCATAGATAGGGGCATACTCGAGGGCACGAGGACATGAGGATGGACAAAAAAGAGGATTTACAAGACCATTCGGAGAGCCCCAGGCTGGCAGGATGATCGGGGGACCAGAGTTTGTGCTTAAAGATTCATCCGGAGATTCTGGGGTAGATGTGTGGGGGATGTCCGTTGTGGGGAATCATCAAGGGTTTTCTGCAGCCGTGCTAAACCCCCGCACTGCTTCCATCCAACCGGTGGCACGAAGGGCAGTGGTAATATCCACCTCGTGGCTTTCTCCTAATGCAATTGGTCTCCCTCAGCGTCTTCTCCCCGACAGTAGTAGGCTAGCTAGAGAGGATGTGCTATCTGTGGTCAGTGCATTACCCGGTGCACATCCGGTGCAACATCCGGCCCAATGGCTGAATAGGCCCCACCAACTATAGTTAGATATGACAGCTGGGGGAAAACACTGTAGGGATGTTACAACTTGGCTCTGTTCGATGGGGTAGAAACTAGTGCCACGGTATGAAGCGATGATATAGGAGCCACTATGATCTAAGCACCTACTCGTTAAAAAACAATTCAACAAAAGCCAAGCGTATCGTCATGATTGGGAGATATATAAGGTACGAACAATAATAACAGCGTATCATTTTAATTGTGCTCTGATCAAGTTCGGGGCCTAGGGTAAGTATCAAAGGCACACCAGCATGCGGCAAAGCCCTGGACGGATGATTCGTATATGTAATTTAAAAATTTAGTGAGAGAATGGAAGCTGCCTGAATTTCAGAGTATCTTCCGGAAAAGGCTCCGCTGGTATGTCGATCAGCCCTGGTTGCAGGAAATGCGCCAGCTCTCCTTTACCAGCATCAATCTGTGCAATCGACCAACCATTCCCAAGCCATGCTAGACGATTGCTCTCAATCCCCCCTTTGTCGCCATCGTAGACATAGTCGAAATCTTCCCAACGCGGTGACCGAAGAGATTCCATGGCGTGTAACGCGCTGCCCGGCCAGACTCCCGTGATCCGATCACCCTTGCCACCCTTGCTTTTGTACCAGCTGCTGCAGTTGTCCAGATACACGGTGTCCTTGAAGTACTTCTCAATGACCTGCGAGAAGTCTTTGACCCGGACGGGCTTTGGATCCATGCTGGAGATGTTTTCCTTTTGGAGTTTCCGTATGCATTTGATGATGTAGTCCCCAGTTCTTTCGATCATGGTTGTGAGAGGACCAGTGCCAATGGCAGCATTTGGACCTAGCATCATGAAATAGTTGGGGAATCCATCCGTTGCAAGGGACAGGTATGTTTCTGGATATGGGTCAAATTTCTGTTGCATAGTTTGCCCGTTCTTGCCTGTCACGAGGAAAGGTGGAGGAGCAGAGGTTTGGAACCCAGTCGCGCAAACCAAAATGTCCAACTCCTTTTCTTCTCCATTCTGCAGCACGAGACCCGTATCTGTAGCTTTAGAAATCGGGGTGTTAATAAAATCGACATTATCTTCCGCGAGTGCCTCGAGATATCCCGGCCCGGGTGTCAGCCTTCGGCAGCCGACACTGAAGTTTGGCAGTAATGACTCAAAAATATGTGGTTTGTTGGCCAACTTTTCTCGCATGAGTGACGTGAAGTCGTCTCGTGCCAGCCTTTGCGATTGTGAGTCCTTTAATGTAAGGTGATGCATCGAGTTACCGTCTCTCTCAATGGTAGTCCGGAAGTCCAAGTAGTGTTTGGGATCCGTTGCGAATAGCTTCCTCTGTTCTGGTGAGACTATGAAGTGTTAATATGTGTCCCCTTGTTCCTTTCATAAAAGTGAATCATGCACAACTTACAATGCGTACTCTCTATTCCGAGTGTTTTCATCACCGAATCCCCAAATGGCCTAGAGATCCATGTCTTGCTCCTGATGAAACAACTAAGGTGGGCACCAGGCACTCGCCGTAGGGCGGGGATGATCTGAATTGCGCTGCTTCCACCACCAATAACTCCAATCTTTTTGTTCTTGAAGTCAACGCTGAGTATAACACTTCAGTAAACTATTGCACTCGAAATGAGTGCCTCCACATACCTATCATTCCATGCTGCGGAATGCATGACCGGGATTTTCATATCGCATACTCCTGGGATGTCTGGCCAGGACATTTCGTTCAGAGTTCCCCGCGCACTAATGACGACATCTGCCTGGTCCATGATGATCTCTCCCGTGCGCAGGTTCTCGATTGTGACATGCCTAGAACACAGATCAGTCCAAGAGGCCATACGCATTGTGAGCTCATCTTCCCTACCACTGGGAAGTATCCTCGATCCACCTTGCGTCAATTACCTTATGTAGAGGCTTGATGAATCTGTCCACGGAATATCGTCTTACTACTGACTCGAGGTATTCGCGAATCTCTGCTGCTGGGGCGTAGAATTGGCTCCAGTCCGGGTTGGGTGCAAACGTGTACTGGTATGAATGTGCTGTGGGAAAATGTGTTAACGAGTGCATGTAAGCCGGCTTGCCAAACGATGAATACTCACCAGGAATATCGCAGGCGCAACCCGGGTATCGGTTTTCATACCAAGTTCCTCCAACTCCAGCGTTCTTTTCATAGATCGTCAATTGAACATTGCGCAGTCGCTCTGGTATCCGAATGCCGCAGTAAATCCCGGAGAAGCCAGCGCCGACGACGATTACACTCATTGGGCGAAAGTTCTCCACGACTCGCTGCTTGGGTTGAACTCTGGACACTTCCAAATACTGGCTGGTCGCTGGCTCGTTTGGAGTGTAGCTGGGCTGTCCGGCCACTCCTGTCGATACAGTAGCCATGTTGAACACCCCAGGAAGTCTTTAATGGTCAAGCAAAGCAGAGAGTATGGAGAGTTTTGAATCCTTCAACGTTGGACTTTACGAATAAGGGTATAAAAACAAATACAAACAATTGTATACTTATGCTCTCCGTTTGACAACCTATACTCCATCGGATCGTGAACTTTCAAGGATCGGATCGCATCCCTCGCACGGAACCTGTATCCGTACCCCAAACGTTCCCTAGTTGCCATGGTTGTAATCTGAACTGGACCGGAAGCTACACAGCGGAATCACATGTCTTGTGTGCTTCGGATGGAATAGGGACTGAACAATCTATTCCCATTTGGAAACAACACGTCTTTGCGTGTTTTAACTAGAATGCAAACTGTAGCTTGATGTTCGATTTGGAGAACAACATAGGCGGAGGCACAAATGCTTCTGAGAATGCCACAATTTCACTTACAGGATGCTCTCAATGGCTTTGAATAGGTAGGTTTATTCTCTTTTTCGAAGATTAAAAGTCGGACTTCTGGCTAACCTCTTGCGATCTGTGAGCCAAGTCGCACCTGCAGCGCAGCCAGGTAGTCGATTGACCAGCCAGCCTGCACGTCCACCCTTCTATCTCTAGATACTTATTTGTTTTTATTGTTTGCAAGGCTTACTGCGCATTCGTCATCATTACCTCTATATATAGCGCTAGTAGTTAGTAACTTTAAGTAGGCAATTTCCTACAATGCGAGAATTTTGTTAGGGTATGAAATTTAACGTTGTCAGTCTGCTATTCTGGACTATCTGAAGAAGGAAGCAGTAGCGATGTCGGGCAACTACCACCTTCTATTTGGACTTAGCTCCAATACATCTCAGCATGAGTACCAAAATAATAAGCACTTTCTCTCTGTACTCAATCAGGAGCTTGATATTTTCACTGCCGATCAATCAAAAAGCCAATACATTCTTTTCACCGGAGTGACCAACGAAGTCTTTCGCCGAGATTTTACGGATCCTATTGACAGTTTGACTGATTTCGAGATCTATTCAATTACCCACGAGCTTATTATAGTTAAGATGGAGTCACATACTCACGCTCATGCCCATTCCGTTTTCAACGCCCTGCTTATCCGCAAGCTCGTGACCATGAATGACCACGACAAGGATATCAGATATTTTGCAAGTGCCCATGTGCAAGGCGATGATCGGAAGAAAAGGGCTGATCAAATATATCAACCAAAACGACTACCGCGCCATCGAAGCAGACATTGGCCTAGTCTGGTTTTAGAAGTTGGCTATACAGAAGGACAACGGAAACTGGAATCGGACATCAATTGGTGGATTACACAATCAAACGGTGACGTTAAGTCTGCTGTAACAATTGCGGTCAATCCAAGAGTCAAACAGATCGTGATTTGCCAGTGGTATGGCAATAATCCCCAGCAGAGAGTGTATAGAAATGCACTATCCCAGAATGACCAAGGAGCCATCCAGACTAGCAATCCAAATCCTCTGGTCATTCCATTCGCGCATCTATTTCTTCGCCAGCCGTCCGGAAATGAACAGGACATCACTTTTACCATCGCTGAATTGAAGGAGCTTGCGAAGAATGTGTGGGAGGTGCAGTTCGAAGAATGAATATCCATAATGATGGCTTTTGAGTTCGCGAAGGATGTATGGGAGGTGCAGTTTGAAGCATGAATATCCATAATGATAGCATTTTAAAACAATTACAATACCACCTTTTATGGTTACAAGACTCTTTCCCATAATATACAATTATGATAACAAATCCTAATTACAGTTACAGATCATAACAGTCTTTTAAAAAATAGCTATATAATTCTAGCCTTTGAGTTAATATTTTATCAAATATTATATGAATATTTTGGAGCGCTCACTAGCACAGCCAAACACACTGCTTAGATTGACAATTATCGTTCCAGACGACTCACTTAAAAACAGGAGCTCCATTGAGGCGATGGGGCCACCTGCAAGACTGGCAGTGGCACCGTAGGACCAAGCCAGAACCTTGAAATCGATCGAGGACAGTTCAGCTCCCACGCAGAGATAGCTCGGCTGATGCTCTGCCGGATTTCTGGCACACCTGGCGAACACCCAGAAACAATTGTGTGCAGATAGATGTGGACTGAGTGCACAAATATATAAGTTTGCAAATTATCCGGACGGAGCTCAGCGGCTGGAGGGCGCCTTTTGGGGAACAAAATCCGGTAGACGGTGATTTTGTTTCACCCATTCGTTGATTCTATAAGGTACCACCGTGGAATGTAATGGATGTACATGCCATAAACTATGGCTGTTTAACTCCTGATCTCCACTTCCTGTATCACATATATTCCACGGCCTATTATCATTCCACTTCTTGTCGTTGGAGCAGGATGACCTGAAGTAGCTGGCCGAGCTCTGTAAGCTTTATTGCTTCGAATCCGACAAAGGCTTAAGACTTACATTCTGATTCTTTTTGGCAACACATTCGTCGATTGATCGAAATCATGAAGGTCTTCTTCATTACTGCATTGCTAAAATTAGTAGCCTTCAAAAGAAACAAGATTTCCGAGTACTTACTCTACTCGTATCATTGGATTTCAGTTGTTGTCAATTTGCTGAATTTTGGCCGTAACAAGAAGGAGGCTTGCACTACTATCATCAGTCTCCGAACAGCTCAGACTATGTAGCATCACTTACGGAGCTCTTTCTCAACTCTCGAGGATTGGCCTTTGTTTGTGAGCGAATTGCATAACGGGCAAACTACATGCTCGGAAGAATTAGACCCACCTCGACCGTTCAGAAGCCGTTGTAGCAGCGACCAAGAGACATGCGACGTTAATTTAAACCGACATGACCAGGATGCCTTCATTTTGGATCTCATTATTCGGTGACTAGGGATAGCTGGAACGAACTGGGTTTTGTAGTGGATTGTACCATCTTGAGATAAATGATTCAGTATCATGCGAGACGATAGATATTTGGGAGTTTCCAGATTCTATACTAGTTTTTTAAATATTTAAAGCTAAACCCCCGACCACAGCGACCTATGCGTCTCAAGCCCAGCCATTAAGGTAGACCGGCGCTTTTCCTCATATCCGATTCTCGTGTATGGATGATGACGGGCGCCTCGCTTCCGCGTTGTTAATGTGTACTGGACTATTCTTTACAGTACACACTTAGGCGCGAAAGTTCAGTTCCAGGTACAATTCGTAATGAATGAGTGGATCCTCAATGAGGTTGAAGTTGAAGTTGAAGGGACAGTGACAGCAGTGACGGAACTATTCTGAATAGTCTCGCTGAATGAATTAATAGATTATATGTAGATTAAAATTTTTTTATATCCCTGTAACATGGATAAGCTCAGGAAACAAGCTTATGCCAAATCTCGCAAGACTGAGAGGCTGTAAGATATCTTGCGGATCAGTTATGATAGATAGATATATCATAATTGAAAATATTGGACCCTAGATATGCTATATATACCTTTTATTTGATAATCTATATTTTAAATTAGATATTAATAATTATAAGTTAAAGATTTAAATATATAAACTTATTTTTTAATATAACTTTTAATATAAATACCTAGTGAGCAGTCGGGGCTTTTTCACTGGCACTGGCTACCTAGAGCCTGCTACTGGCGGCTAGTCTAACCAGGCTCCTTTCATAACTACGGTAATACTGATTTTCTTACTAAGATTCAGCAATTTAAAATGTGCAATCGCCTCATCAATTAGAGCCATATTAGTAGAAGTTATTTGATGTTAAAAATTGAGTCAATATTTGAAAATCAGGCGCCGAGAGGAGACAGGCGTTAGGCAGTGAACCATACATAGTATTGCATATCTGTGGTGTGACGTGGCGCTCGAGTTCTCACAAGGCTCCCACGGGTCTCTCACAAATCTCTCGCTAGGCTCTGGCTGCGATCCAAATTTTCCTTCTTGAAGAGCAGAGCAATGGTCGTCCTGCTACATTCGAGAATACAAACACATTTTAATGCGAATGATTTAATGTCTACTTTGGAGCTGGCAGGAAAGATCCAGACGACTCAGAGCAATGTGCGCGGCGACTGAACATCTCTGCAGTAATTCATGGGAACCACTTGCTTGCATTTCAATCCTACCTTTCATATTTTAGATCGCGGTCGTAAGTCTTGAGCGAGTCGACGCGGTTGCGTCGCAAACGATACCAGAAATCGAAACATTCATGTTAACCACAGTGTCAGACTCGACACAACGACGGCGTGACGTTCGCGTGCCCAGCGGAGATATCAAACAATGGTGATACCTGCAGGGATGTCAAGCAAAATTCAAGAAGACGATGAGAACCACGTTCCGAAATGGATCCCCAGCACCCAGGAAAAGATAAAGTTGTCGAGTGATGATAAAGATGGGGATCAAGATGAATACGAAGATGAGGATGATCTCGGGCTTTTTTCTACGGCGGCTACAGGTAATTTCTCATACGATGACTATACTGTGGGATGGATTTGTGCTCTTCGTCTTGAAATGACTGCGGCTATAGCCATGTTAGACGAAATCCACAGGGATCTGAAAAAGCGTTCAAATGATAATAACACATATACCTTGGGGAGTATCAGCGGACACAATATTGTTATGACCTGCCTACCAGCAGGAGCGTACGGCATCGCTTCTGTTGCCTCAGTTGCAAGTCAGATGCAAGCTAGCTTCGGATCAGTACGTTTCTGGTTGATGGTAGGCATCGGCGGAGGAATACCCAGTGAAAAAACCGATGTTCGACTAGGCGATGTTGTGGTTAGTATCCCGACACCTAACTTTGAGGGGGTGGTGCAGTATGATTATGGCAAAACTGTCGGAGACGGTTGTTTAAAACGTACAGGCACACTCAATAAACCACCCACATTGCTTCTGACTGCAGTTGCCAAACTGCGAGTAGACCATGAGTTGACGTTCAGTCGAATTCCTGCTTTTCTTTCGGAGATACCCGACAAGTATCCTTCTATGGCAGCTATGTATATGTATTGTGGTCAACAGCAGGATCTCTTGTTTGCTGCAGAATATGATCATGTTGGGTCTAAACAGACATGTGAGGATTGCGACAGGAGCAGATTGATAGTTCGATCTCCTCGTCTTGAAAATAGTCCTAGGATTCATTACGGCTTAGTCGCTTCACTGAACCAATCAATGAAGAACGGCCGTACTAGGGATCGACTGGCACAAGAGCTTGGTATTCTCTGTTTCGAGATGGAGGCGGCTGGACTAATGGATAACTTCCCATGTCTGGTGATCCGCGGCATCTGCGACTACGCCGATTCGCATAAGAATAGGAAGTGGCAGGGATACGCGGCAGCAACAGCAGCGGCATATACCAAAGAACTTCTGTCTGTGATACCTGCGACATCAGGTACTAGCGGAGAGCAACGACGATTTTTCATGGGCGCCTTATATTTTGGTGAGATCGACGTCCGCCAAATGACAATCAAGACCGCTCATGCCAAAACATGTAAGTGGCTGCTCAGCGAACCCCAGTATCAGGACTGGCTCGACTATAACAAAATCTCTCAACATCATTGCTTCTTATGGATCAAAGGGAAGCCAGGCACTGGGAAGTCGACAATAATGAAGTTCGCCCTTAATCATGCTAAAAGACGTTTAAAAGAAGAAACAATTATTATTTCTTTTTTTTTAATGCGAGAGGCAAGGATCTGGAAAGGTCAACAATAGGGATGTGTCGATCCCTCTTGTACCAACTGTTGGAAAAGGTTCCTGAGCTTCAGAATATCCTTGATCCCCTTGGATCACCACCGGAAAGCAGCGAGTATCACCTATGGAACATTGAGATACTTAAGAATCTCCTCTGGGGTGCGATAGTGCAATTAGGGCAGCGACGTTTGATGTGCTTTATTGACGCTCTAGACGAATGCGAGGAAGATCAGGTTCGAGAAATGGTGGAATTTTTTGAGAATCTGGAACAACTTTCAGTCTCAGCCAGAATACAGTTACATATTTGCTTTTCTAGTCGACACTACCCACATGTCACAATCGGGAAAGGACAGCAGCTGGTTCTGGAATGCCAGGGAGGTCATAATCAAGATATAGCCAATTATCTGTATAGCGAGTTAAAAGTCGGGTACAACAAGCAGGCCGATGAAGTGAGGATGGAAATACTTGAAATGGCATCTGGTATTTTCTTGTGGGTTGTCCTTGTTGTCCGGATACTCAATAGAGAGTACGAGCGTGGTCGCACTCATGGGCTTCGTAAGAAGCTTCAGGAGATCCCAACTGAACTGAACAACTTGTGGAGGGACATATTAATAAGAGATAACCAGAATATGGAGAGCTTATTCCTATGTATACAATGGATATTATACGCAAAGCGACCACTAAAGCGAGAAGAGCTTTATTTAGCAATTTTATCCGGAGAGAATCCTCAGGCGCTTACCGAGCGGAATCTCGAGAATATCACTAAACAAAATATGGAAAGGTATCTTCTAAGTTCCTCAAAAGGACTCGCTGAGGTGATGCACTCAAAGGATCAAACTGTTCGTTTTATTCACGAATCAGTGCAAGATTTCCTTCTCAAAGAAAACGTACTTCGCGACCTTTGGTCTGAATTTGGGAATAAAGGGAACAACTTTCCGAGTTTGAACTTCTCGAGTTGGAGTCATGAACAGCTCAAAAAGTGCTGTTGCAATTATATGAAGGTTGACACCTTAAGGCATCTCCCTACCAATACACCACTACTAACTGCTACTTCAGCGGAAGCTGTGAATCTCCGTCAATTGATAGCTGAAAGGCTTCCATTTATTGAATATGCAGTACTAAATGTGCTCTATCATGCTGATATTGCAGAAGGAGGTGGAGTCTCACAAGATGCCTTTATTGAGAACTTTCCTCTGAGAGACTGGATAAACCTCGATAACCTTGTCGAGAGGTATCAAGTGCGTCGCCACACACCTGAAGCGAGTCTGTTATATATTCTTGCCGAGAAGGACTTACCAAATCTCATCAGGGTTCAGCTAAGACGAGTCTCAAATATAGATATCCAAGGGGAGCGTTACTGCTTCCAATATTTGCAGCCTTGGCCAACGGTAATAAAAACGCGGTTAGAGCACTTCTAACATCTGATACCAACCTGCAGTCTAACAGTGATGTACCTCATAATCTTTACTCCCAGAGTAGCCAAGACTTGAGCACACTTTTCGGATATGGACGTGAAATCAAGCCCCAAAAGAATCGGACCTTACTCTCTTATGCGGCGGAACATGGTGATATCCCTATCGTGCAGCAGTTTCTTGCCACTGGTCGAGTCGACCCGGACTCTAAGGATTCTAATGGACGAACGCCGCTGTCGTACGCGGCAGGGAATGGGCATGAGGCGGTGGTCAAGCTGCTCCTCGAGACGGACAGAGTTGACCCGGACTTCAAGGATTCTCGCTATGGACGGACACCGCTATCGTACGCGGCAGCGAACAGGCATGAGGCGGTGGTCAAGCTGCTGCTCGCGACGAGGAGAGTCGACCAGGACTCCAAGGTTCCTGAAGCCTGTCCACTTACAGATTCAGGGTACGCCTCTACTATGGCCAGCAAATTGAAGGTTGATCCATATTTGCATACAGAGGATGGATATATGAGTCAAATGAACGATGTCGCTGGCGATGCACAAGTCAGAACCTACCCAAAATCGGATGACTCCCGCACAGTCTATTCTGATGCATCAAGTCTGCCCAATTTGCGAATAGAGGGATTCATCAGAGAGTTGGCTGATAGCGTGGTCAAAAAAGTACTACCAGAGAAGGTGGGTAATGTGGTGTTGGAGAAAATCCTAGAGGCACTTCCTCAACTGCTTAAAGCTTTTGCGCTTCGGCTTGGGCACCAAGCACCAAGTCAGATGCATCGTGACGTTATGTTCTTTGTTCATAAATATCGGAGGTGGGTCCTAAATGCCCAAGGGGTACTATTCACTCCGTCAAGTTGCTTATCTTTGCTAAGTTCTATTATTCCTCAGTGCTATCGTCGAGTCGATTAGATCAAGGTATCTCAGTGAGGAGGAATATAGTGATATTGAAGCTAGCGATGCCGACGTAGTCTCGCTGAGCAACAAGATGAGCTACTGGTATGAAAAATTCCAGGATGCCGAGAATAACAGCGTGTCGGCTGAGCTTCCCTACGAAATTCCAGAAGATAATCAACAAGGGGACTCTACTAACGCAGTGATATACGATGCTGATCAAGAGAATGTTCACGACGCGGAATCCCTGAGATCTAATGCTCAGGATGGCAAAGTTGAATATGAGGATATAAACACGACAGAGCTGCTGGCATATAGGGAACTTATATATAAAGCGCCTGCATACGAATGGCTTCTGGCATGTTTGCACCGGACGACACTTCTGACACCGTCAGAACCGAACTGCATGGACGCAATCAGGGCAGGGATTGTTTTCTCCCTCCCAAGATCTCACAAGCTCAGTAGACGCCAGCCCTCGACTACATACAGAGTAATATTTCGTATAGACTGGGATCCGCGAACTTTCATCAAGGAGCAAGGCTACGTAGAGGAACCGGCCGAGGTGATTGAAAAGGTAATTACTCTTACCGGCTCTTATAAAGATGCACAGGCCCTTGTTTGTATGAAGTACCTCGAACAGATGTGGCCGTTTGCTGCAAAGTATATTATCAAGCTAGTTAAAGATGTTGTTCGCAGTGAACCAGGGTATCGGGCACACAAGTAAGTCCTGATACATAGAGTCTCCATTATTTATTCTGATCATGCTTCCGTTAGAAATCGACATGATCAAACTGAGATTACCGCATGGATCGAAGAGTGTCAGTTCATAGTCGAGGCTGTCGGTACTGAAGACTTCATTGTTGAGGTCGGCCAGCAATTTGCGTGGCTTGGTGCTGCTCTTCGTTCGTCCTCATGGGACCAAGGGGTCGCCTACTGCACGCCAAATATCAGTTACCTGCCCGGCTATCAGTATCTGCACACTACGAAAGAAAGGGCTCGTTCCTCGGGATACTTTTACAGCATTCACTTCACCATGCAGAAAGGAGAAGAGCATCCTCAACTTGTCAATGGTCAATGCTGGCAAAATATATTTCGAAATCCAGTTGTTGTCAACGGCTATCCTATATTAAATAGGCCTGAGTCTGAAACAGGTCTAGAACTTCCACTCAACGTTATGGCGTCCCTAGCTCAAACCCGATATGCAACCTTTTTTGGTGGGAAGCTATTTATGAAGGGCTTTAGCACCATGCTGATTCCGACTAAAGTAGTGAGAGACATGGTAATTTGGCACCTGCTCTTTAATGAGGATGGAAGTCACATATCCTACATAGACCTTCGTGTTGAAAAGATTCCGGGTTTCTACCCTGTCGATATTAGTATTTTTCATTTACAATCAGCACGGCATGTTCTTGGCTGGTGTTCAGATGTGAAGTACTATGCTGGTAAGCCAACTGAGTACTATTTCAACAAATTGTTGTCTTGCTGACGTGTATTACTGGATAGGTTCTCCAGACGCGGATTATGCTATCAATTGGTCAAGTCTTGATAAGCCGCATGAGGGCTGTGACTTCGCAAATCTCTCAGTTGTTCGTGGGAAGTTTATTACAACTGAAATGGGTGCTACTATTGGCAACAAGGATCGAGCTGTCAACAGACAAGCAGACACATATCGAGGGCAGCTGAATTGGATTTCCAAAAAGTATGTCGTGTTATATGATGTCAAAGACAGGCGAGCATGGCTTGTTGATGGGGCAAGTGCTTTATTGCACCTCGTTCGAGCTTCTCTAAAAGATAATGAGAACGACAACCTGAAGGACAGTTTCCTTTTTAAGTGGGAAGAGATGATGGAAGCACCTTCCGCACAGTCAGGGACGAGGGCTGCTATAAATGTGCTCATGAATGAGGGCAACAGGTGCCTGAAACTTTACATCACCACGGATAGTGGATGGGACGAAGATTTGGAAAGAAATTATAACAAAGAGGATTTGTCTTCAAAGCGACGGACTACCTATTTCCACTTTAAAGATAGGGTGGAGCAGATCTATTATCTTTTGGAGCAATGCTTCACTTATCAACTCCAGATGAATATGGGTAGCCTTCCTGGATCGGAGGTGAACAAAATACAGCGGCTCTGTGTCCTGGAGGGATTTGATTTTATGGATATAGCTACAGATGAGGACCAATTCTGGCCTCGTGTAATTCCTCTTCCATCGACAGACGCAGGCTGGATCGACTTTACCAGAGCTATTCACGCAATAACATTGTTTGGCCATGGATTCGGCGAGCTGATCAAACCAATCGATACAAATGGACTTTGTCCGTCCTGGATTGAAGTTCCCCGGGGCAAAGACTACCTCATTGTCGGTGTCTCCCATATCAAGGAAATTTTGAAGAAGAGAGGAAACACCACTGACCGACCATGGAAGGTTGTCGAAGAAATCTTTTGGCATAATCCAGACAAGATATTCGATATTTGTAACTGCACAGGGAATATCTCTCCAGGAAGACATTGCGACCGCGCGCAGGCTCTTATCCCCAAACACTTTCGTAACCTCTTAGGTAATACACTCAGCAGCCCCCATGAGCTGAAGGACCGTGGCGCTGTGATCTTCAGTCACAGTTGGGAATCTGCGCTCTCTGAAGAGTTTTATCTTTCTAAAGAAGCAGACGTCGCATTGTCATTCGAACATTTTGGTAGCCCATACCAGGACAGTGGATTAGGACAGAGCCTGAGCTCGTCGGCGAGCCAAGATAAAGGCATTAGCACGGGTACTCCACGAAAGCGATCATCTAGCTCTTCAAACGCATCGGGTCGTCCTTCGAAAAGGTTCTTTCCTGACGATGTAAACGTGTCTGCGACTGATGATCCGCCTTTGGCTCTTTCCTCCCTGGAAAGAAGTGGACAGCGCAGAGAGACTGAGATGGACACTTCACAAGGAAAACTTTCCGATATTGTATCCGCAAATAAGGGTGAGTACACGAGTAATGAGCATGGTGCGAAAAATCGCCCATCCGAGGAAAGCTACACAGTAGGCTGGATATGCGCGATTGGGATAGAACTGCAGGAGTCACGGGCTATGTTCGATGAGCTACACGCAGTAGGATATGGACATGGGTCAGACAATAATCTCTACACACTAGGTCGAATAGGCCACTACCATGTCGTTATGTCCTGTTTGCCGAAGGGGCAATACGGGACATGTTCTGCGACTAAAATTGCGACTCGGATGATGAACAAGTTCCCGAAGATCAAGATAGGTCTAGTAGTAGGGATCGCAGGAGGATTACCCAATGAAAACGATGATATTCGGCTCGGTGATGTGATTGTCAGCACACCAGACAAGCAACATGGGGGTGTAGTGCAATACGACATGGGAAAGTTCACCATAGATGGATTCCAGTGCACTGGATATTTGAATGCGCCTCCTGAAAAGCTCTTGGCTGCTTTGAACATGATGCCTTCTCATGGCGCTACGATCAAGAACCGCCCTTCTGTCTCTTACCCAGGTGAAAGTCTTGATAGGTTGTACAAGCCTACCTACACGCATGTTGCTGGTAATAAAACATGCAAGGATTGCGATGGACAGCAACTACTGGAACGAGATCCTGGTAATCGGGGAACTGGACCGCATGTTTTCTATGGAACAATAGCATCGGGCAACGCTGTTATCAAGGACGCGGCAACGAGAGATAAGCTTGTCCAGAGGCATCAAGTTTTGTGTTTTGAAATGGAAGCTGCTGGCCTAATGTGCACTAACTTCCCTTGTCTGGTCATTCGAGGGATCTCTGATTATGCCGATTCTCACAAGAATGATAAATGGACCTCTTATGCTGCCGCAGCGGCCGCAACGTATGCTAAGGACTTTATTTGTACAATTCCAGGAGAGATTCGGAATATCATGGGATCCTAGTTCAACCGTGATTAAAATTACGAGCACGAGCACAAGTTGCAGTACCGTTCGTACTTGCATTTCCGCTACCTTCAAATTCTTAGCCTTGCGAGCTGATATCTTGTTTAAGTGGAGGAAATCTCTTCTCAAGATCTGGCATTCACTAATTCATTAATTGGGCACAGAGACCCGAAACAAACCCACACTACGGCCGCTTTTGTGCCGGATCCTGCAGGATGAATGGCTAATCTTCTGGTTGAGGAACGATTATCAGTCTTGGCCGGGATGGGACGCTTTTCGATGATTTTGCGGCTCTTCACGGAGGAATCGGTTTGTGGTGTTTGTCTGTCCAGCTCCACCAATGGATATCCATGGATATCCTCTACTAAGCCATGGTTCTAGGCTACCGTTCTTCGTCATTCTTGCCCTGGCATAGATATACCCTCAAACTGTGGGAGACGGCACTTAGGGATCACTGTAGGTTCAGGGGGAAAATTTAGTTCGTGTAGAACTCGGTGTTCATGATCCCCTCTCCACTGACTTCCGGCTAGGTATTGGGACTGGTCTCTGGACTGGATGAATCTTACGAACTCCTCAATCTGGAACGGTTCGACCGGATTTGGTGGGGACTGAGACCCTGATAGTCCAGTTACTGTCGGTGATGGACGTTGCGTGACCGATGGGCCATTCTCTGGGCTCCGACCTGTCCTGTACAATCACACTTACTCTCAGCACTGCCTCTTACGGGGATTTCGGGACGGGAGCAAGGCTGGACGCCTTCCTTCCACCCCATTCAGTCCAGAATCAGTCGGTGGATTACTCCGAGAGCCAACATGTGAGAAGTTCGTCCGGCAGATCGAGTTCTCCGTGCACAACATTATGCACCTGTCAATCGCCGGGGATTTTCTGGCGCTGACCGCCGCAAACGGTAAATAGTCTCGGATTTTTAAAATCAATAATAGGAGGGTTGACCGCTGGCTTGACGCTTCAAGACCCTATCTTCTTCGTTCATCATGCGCAGCTCGACCGCTTATGGTGGCAATGGCAGCAAGAAAACCTCGGGAAGCGAGTGCAGGAGTATCATGGAGAGCATATGTTTAACTCTACCAGAAAAGTGAGTCTCAGTGACATGACTATGGTTGGAGGACTCGCCGAGGACATTCCAGTGTCTAAAGTCATGAATACGAAGGATGGATTTCTGTGCTACCGCTACTGAGTATTTGGCTACGTAAACCTTGGTGCTATTACAATGCATAAATTATCGTTGAGCTATCTAAAACGTCTATTTCATGCTAGATATCTATTCTATTTGGTCTAATTCAGCTTTTCCATCGATACGTTCAAGTGTGACAGAATGACTCTACGAGGAAGAATAACGGTCATCGATTATGCTTCGTTCACCTTTCCGTGGTGTCGACGAGTCGTATTAAGTGTCCTTCATCCCTTATCTTCTATACGAGGTTTGGCGAGAATCTTTCATTCCTTCTTAAAAGAAATTGTGGATATAAGGCCCTTTCCAATATCATTTGCTCTATTATTCCACACTAGATCTCCTATTCAGTGATATTCAGATATTCATCATCAAGAAAGTTCGCGCCGTGATACCATGATCAACAAAAGCCAGCTTGATAAGGCCAGGAGGAGCAGCAGTAAAACCATGGGTAGCAGGATTTGGAGGCCAAAAAGCTTCGCTAGTGCCCCTGTAACAAAAGGAAACACACATCCACCAGCACTCCCGAGAGCAACGGCAATTCCAATCCCTGCAATATGCAGATGCTTTGGCAAGAGGTCGGCAAACGCAATAACTGCTTCAGGAAACAAGGGGCCGAGGAAGAATCCGAGCATGGCCACTGCAACAACAGAGACCCCAAAATCCTCTTCTAGCCATAACACCACTTGGCAAGTAATGCACGCAGTCAAATAGGCAAGTACCGCGTATTTACCAATTTGGAGATAGCTGGTCACGAAACCGAGGAGGACGCGGCCTATAGTGAGCCCAGCCCAGTACACAAAGTTCGCTATCCCAGCTGTGAAGGGAGGGATGCCTCGTTCACGGACTAGGAAGGTGAACACCCACCCTCCGAAGGTAATCTCAACCCCGGCATAGAGAAAGATGAATATACAAATGATCCACGTTGCGCCATGTTTCAGGGACTGGATTGTCGGGCTCATGCGCAACGTTTGCCACCAGGAAGTCGTGTCCCCGTCCTGGTGATGCTCCATTAAGAGCGAGTTTCCTCGCGCTGACCAGAACGCAATTGTCAAAGTCAGGATCTCAACAATAGCGGCACCTGCCATTACATAGTAATACTGATACCAGTGCCATCCTCGACCCGTCATCAGCGAGGTAGCAGTTAACGGGGCTAATGCTGCCCCAAGACCATAGAAGCCATGAAGTATGCCCATCAATTGGCTACTGTATTCCATGACTCCGATCCACGCATTCCATGCCGCATCTAGAAGTCCACTGCCTAAGCCAGCCAGGACAAAAAGAGCAACCAGTATGGGGTAGGGTGGATGCTGTGTCGAGGCGCCATAAGCGAAAAGGTGTAACCCAGATCCTAGCAGGGCCACTCCTCGTTGTCCAAAACGAGCATGGATCCAGTTGCTCACGAGAGCAGCGGTGACGTACCCCAGACACGGGAAAAGAAACACCATAGACACAGAAGCATAGTCTAACTCGTAGTGATCACACAGCTAGATATATTATTTAGATAAGCGGATATCCGTCGCGAGACCCTGGACCAGGGCAATTCTCCATGTTATAGGACGAGGGCGTGGATTTCACATACGTAGGGGACCAGTGCCTAAGGGGCGAATGTCAGTGCAGGCCTCGCAAACCCATTGGGGATAGGGATAGATGAATCCAGACGTACACCATAAATTGCATCATTTGCACCGACCACGATGAAACTGAAGAAAGTTGCGAGAACGCGCCAAGTATTGATGATCGGCTCATTCCATTTTTGCACTGCATTTTCCGATTTTGATTTGCGCAGCAGTGCACCATTTACATATCCATCCGCTGCCTCGCTCACCGATTGTAGCAGAGGAGTTGTGGCATCAGCTAAAGGGGCTGTAGACGACATTGTTCTGGAGCTTCAACTACTGACAATCAAATTAGGGGAATCAACGAGGCGAGATTTCTCTGGGGAAGGTGAAGCTGAGTAAGTATGTCGGAGTCGAGATTTCTCCGCCACCCAGAATGCTCTGATTTGGTTGAGCCAACCAGGGAACAGCTTCTGTGTCCACGTTCGTAGTAGAAAGGATAGCTGTATATACCATCGAAGTGCCCTCGATCTGAGACAATTTCCTGATTCTAAAGCCCAGGTTGTAGTGCGCAGATCATCGACAGACTCTTTTTGTGTCAAGCTGGCCAGACTGGAACTCTAGCCTAACCCGGCGCTTATTTAATGATCAATCATGCAATACTATTTTATTTGGGGTTTGTGGTAAGGGAAAAATGTAACCTCGCGCCGGGAGCAGGTCTGGGGATACAACCCTGCAGGTATTGAGAGAGCGATCCAAAGGGTCTGAGATAGAACTGACATACATACTGTTCTTACTTTTATGAAACCAGGGAAATTATATGCCATATTGGGAAATCCTACTTGAATCTACTACAGCGTTGACGAAAACGAGCACCATGGATCCTTGGTCCTAGCACACAGTCCCATTCTAGTCTAAGGAGTGTATATAGCTCTACTCTCACAATTAATGTGGCGTTCTCATGAACCATTGTCCCTACTTCTATGATCATGGAACGCAAGCGTCGCTAGGCGGAGAATACGAAAATTGCCCTCAAATAGGTTATATCTAGATCAACACCTAGCTAATGTACTCCGGTGTATAAGTTTGCTCCAATTCACTTCCAAAATTCCCAAGACAAGAGATCAGTATCTTAATCTACAACACTCAGCATTTTACTGTTGAGAATATCCTATATCATGGGCTCTATCACAGAGAACTTGGACACTTACCTGTATCAATGTGTGGCTGGAGGTCCAGCAGCTCCCACTGTGAAGTCAGCTGAAGGTCTGTACTTTACTCTGGAAGATGGCCAAAAGGTCCTCGACGCCACTGGCGGAGCCGCGGTTTCAGCCATCGGTCATGGCAACAAAACCGTGCGAGATGCCATCATTCGTCAGTTGGAAATGGTGACTTACGCTCATCCTGGATATTTCTCAAACTCCCCAGCCCGGGAACTGGCCGACTTGTTGGTCATGTCGACTGGCGGGCAGCTGTCACGGGCTTGCATCCTGGGGTCCGGTTTGTTACCTCCTCGTGATTTCTTCTTCGTACCTCCCATACATGTACACTAACTTCGGTGAGATAAAAAACAGGCTCTGAAGCTGTTGAAGCGGCGATGAAACTGGCCTACCAGTACTTCGCCGAAATGACACCTGAATCGCCCCGACTCAACTATATTTCGCGACGGGGCTCGTGGCATGGCTGTACCATTGGCGCTCTGTCTGTAGGCGATATCAAGTCCCGAACGACACTCTTTGAGCCTCTTCTGCTGAAGAATGTCTCCAAGGTGTCACCCTGCCACCCGTGGCGCGACATGACAAAAGGGGAATCAGTGGAGGCGTATGTGGCTCGACTGCAACAGGAGCTCGAAGATGAATTCCAGAGGCTCGGTCCTGAAACAGTTTGTGCGTTTATCGTGGAACCGATGGTCGGCACGGTAAGCCAGATACCCTGAGAATCTTAATCTCCGGTGAATGTATCCTAACGAGCCCTATTTCTGCTTCTTTCCAGGCCCTCGGTTGTGTTGTGGCGTTGCCGGGCTATCTACGCGCCATGAAGGAAGTATGTGATCGACATGGTGCCCTGATCATCTTCGATGAGATAATGTGTGGACTCGGCCGTACTGGTGCCCAGCATGCATGGATGCACGACGGGGTTGTCCCTGACATCCAGACTGTGGGTAAGGTGCTGGGCGGCGGATATGCTCCGATATCCGCCATGTTAGTTCACGACCGAGTGATTCGTGGGCTGAAAGAGGGCAGTGGAAGCTTTGTTCATGCCCAAACCTACCAGGCGCAGCCCCTTACCTGCATCGCCGCGCTTGCTACGCAGCAGTACATCCTGGAAAACAACCTGATCGAGAATTCTCGCTGCATGGGAGAATACCTTGGCAAAGAACTTCATCGGAATCTCTTTGACCACCCTTTGGTGGGTGACATTCGTGGACGGGGACTCTTTTGGGGTGTGGAGCTCACGAAGGATAAAGTCACCAAGGAGCCTTGGGATCCGCGGTTGGGCTTGGCCAAACGCATCCGGTCGCGGGGGCTGGAAAAGGGCTACGACATTTGTATTTTCAGTGCTACCGGGGCTGCAGATGGTTGGAATGGGGATCAATTCCTGTTGGCACCGCCTTACATCGTGCAGAAGCAGGACGTGGACGAGATTGTCAGGCGGGTGGTGAAAGTCATAAACAGTGTTTGGAATGATATCGAGCCCTTGGTACGAGTCATATAGAGGTAGGTTAGGGAAGAGATGTGTCTGCTATCGTGAGAACTATTCTTAAGGTTAGTTACATTAATATCGTCATAAATCTAATAGTGTAACTTAATTGGTTCGGATTTATTATTCCTTTAGCCAGCTTGACCATGCAAACAGAGGTATGTTGAGGTGTCCGGGGAAAGAATGAAGGGCTATTGAGGGAGCAATGGCCTTGACACATTCCATATTAACCTCTTGTGATAAATAGCAATAACTGGTTCTCGTTTACTACGATACGAGGGATATTTAAGAGCCTGAAAGTGTCGAATGTTATGCTTTTTTTCGTACTCATGCATAAAGCAAAAAAGACAATAAATACATACATATGAATAAAGTGGCAGTAAGGCAATGACGAGAAAGATCCAGGACTACTAATAGTCCACCGGAACACTATACGATGGGTCGTAGTGCATGGTCCAGTAACCATCCCAGATCTTCTTGGTGATGGGACCAACTTTACCGTCATTGACAGGCTGGCCATCTAGCAACGTAACTGGCATGATCCCGCCGGCCGTAGTACACATAAAAAGTTCATCACAATGATAAACCTGTTCTATCGGGACATTCTGAAGACGGACCTCAATCTTGTTCGCTTGAGCAACATCCATTACACTCTGGCGAGTAATGCCCCGTAGCACACCCCGATCCGGCGTGTACAGGATGCCATCCTTTACTAGGACAATGTTAAAACCCGAACCTTCGGTCAGGTTGGTGTCACCATCAGTAAGGAAAGGATAAGTGGCGCCTCGGTCCATCGCCTCGAAGAGCCCCCTCGTCAGGTCCCCCCATTGTAGATTCTTGATTGTCGGATCAAAGGCCCCAGGGGGGGTTCGCCGCACAGTCCGTGTAACGACTGCACTACCACCAGTACGCTGCTCGTCTGGAAGCATCACCCAGACATAAGGTAGGATCAGCAAGTATAGCTTGTTATTCCAAAGATCCTCCGGCTTGGAGCCACGAACACCTGTGAGACCGCGTGTCACAATGAGTTCTACAAATCCGTCTCGAATGCCGCTCTTGACTGCCATTTGCGTCAAAATCGACTTTACCCTAGTCAGTGGAAGTGGGCATTTAAGTCGCATTTTGTCACAGCCCTCACTGAGCCGCTTCAGGTGATCATCGAGCCTGAAGAAGCGGCCATCCCAGAGCGTGGTCACATCGTAGGTGAGATCACCATGCATGAAGCCTTCGTCAAGGAGTGGTATGCGAGCCTCCTCAGGCTTGACAAATTCCTCTTCGACAAAGGCGATGCCCTTGGCGAACGGCTTACCACTCTTTTCTTGCTGTTCCTGGCGGGCGTAGTATCGCGAAAATACCTTATCCATGGACGCCATGACGAGTGCGGTATCAGTGTATCTATGATCAGTAATGAAATAAATCAGAAACAGGATGGTGGTCTTATTGAAGAGGAATAAACGTAGCGAGAATTCTCCCTTTTTTGTTACAACGATCATGATATGACGCCGACCAGAGACTAGATTTCCCTGGTTCTTCGCACCGAGGAAGACATCATCGGTGGATATGCATGCTCTTAGAGGTTGTCTACAATTGGCTCGGTTGCCACTACTGACGGAAGAAGCAACTCTACTCTACGGTACGCCTATTATGCGATAACCTATGATGTAGGCTAATTGAAATTATGACTACCGGAATAGGAAGATGCTTGGACTCTTCAAACCTTCATATTCGTTCCCTAACCTTCATTTGCCTATAAGCTTTTTATCTCCACCCAGTCGCAATTAATTTGCTAGACGTTCCCCTTTCCCTGATGCGTTGGTGTAGATAGATTGCACAGTGGCGAGGATGGAGGTCCAATCATCGAATGGAACGAAAGGAATTCCACGCTCCTCACAGTACCGAACGAGGCCTAGAGGGTCTGTTAGCGACAGTATTTTGATTTTGCTTTACTACGGAACTGATATACCCATCCCGCGCTTCGCAAAGAGCATGTCTGTTTCCGATGCGGCGGACAGATCAGAAACCCCATCTCCAGCGTACAACAGGACTGGACGGGATGGACCTGTGAGGACTGCGTAGGGTTTGATCGCACGCGATTTGTCATGACCGAAGTGGCTAAAATGAGACCGGATTTAGCAGCACACCCAAATTGCATCCAGAATGTGAATATATTCATCTTCCTACCTATTGTCACGGAAGGAAATTTGCCAGCCACCATGCTCGTTGATACCCTTGCCATTGCGAGGTTGAATGTCATTGGCTATCACTGAAATGTTTTCCGGCTGGCTTCCCAGATGCTTCTCAAGCAAAGCGTGGATGGCGGGCGCCATGCCGGAGGACAGCACTACGATAGGGACATTGTGTTCTTTTGCCCACTGGTAGAAATTGAAGAAGTGTGGGTCGAACTCGATGTTCTCTGAGAGGGCATGAATACACTCATCAAATGGGGCTTGTACACTGTCCAACATTGTCTGAAACGATTCCCTGAGATGAGGTTGAATCTTTGGTTAATACCTAGACATTTGTTTCAAGGAACTTCCATTCCCATACCTGAAGGTTATATCCCCGTTCGAGAGTTGCTCTTCCAGTACCTCGCGCTTGTCGACTCCAAAACCAAGATTATCGACCTGTGAAAGATTTTAAGCTGATATCTTAACAAGGTCGTTGAGGTAGGGAGTTTCCGTACCAGGTAATCATTGGCTATTGTCGTCTCTTAACATTAGTCCGGTGGAAATTGTTGACAAGAGAAAAGCCATTCTTACAATCTTGCAACGTGACGGTTCCATCGAAATCCGTGAAAAAGATAATCTTAGGGTTATCCTGGAGATATTGCAGTTGCTCGTGCATTATGATTGCGGGGTTGGTGTGAATTGATTCTGGAACAAATGAGGGGAAAGTGGAAAAGCCTCGAGGCAAACAATAATAGCAAGTAATAAACTGGAAACAAGCGTTCTACAAATTAGATTCTTCAGTAATTTGTTCGATGTAACGTTTGTGAGTCTATTTCGCGCATTTATGCAAACGGAATGCTATTAAGCTCAGTTCTTGCCCTCAATGACACGAGAGGCCATGCGTTTCCGGCCTTGTTGTACCAAGACCCTTTGCAGCGGATCAACTGACATGTCCCCACAATCTTCCCTGTACGGCCCGTACCGTAAAACAGAGGAATGCTACTCTCTTCGCTGTCACATTCCAGCGTTTCTTTGACAGGAGTGTATTGAAACGACATGAATAAGTATTGTATATCAGACTCTCGTAAAGATTTACATGCCTTATTCACATCTGTCATAAAGGCTCCGAGCTACGACGACCGGACATTACCCTTGTCTCCCCGCCCTAACCCCTTTCTTATCTTCAGTGGTTTTGGGGATGTAGGGCTATTTGTGTCTCAGGTCGGAGTCAGTTGACGGAAAGGGTTTGAGACAATACATTCATATCTGCATCGGGATCGGAAATCTGGCACGAGGATGGCAGTCTTTGAATTTGTCGTACAAAAAATTTTCTGGTATAGGAAAAACGAGAAAACGATAACTCAAGACGTATAAGTCGAAGGAGATCAGAGTAAATATAGTTTGAAATCAATACAAATTACCTCGGGTTAAATCAGCCTATTCCTCCAACCCCGAGAACAAACGAAGAGCAGATATTGAAGGGGAAAAGAAGTACTCTCCTCCCTGATTGAACACCCAGCGCTCGAGGGGAAGTCGAACAGTCTGCTTCTTGCCGTCGACTATGCTCATGTCGGAGACGATGTTGGGCCCGGGCTGGCCGATGATGGGATCCAGCCCCGGCTCCTCATTGTTGGTGGCGCTGTACTTGCCAGGGGGAAAGGTTCTCATGTTGCACCAGCCTATGTAGGAATTAGCCCTGTAATCCGGACGAGGATTTTATGGGACGTACGCTTTTGGATTTTTAGGAATGAATTCACAATGCTCCCTTGATAGCAGACGAATAACAATCCACGATCCTGCTCGGTTTGTTGCTTGAGCAGCTCGTTATCTTCGACTTCGACTCCATAGGGGAGGCCACGACGAAGTATGGGGGATTCGTCCTCTTTCTTGTCTCCACGAGGTCTGGTCTTGCGGATGTGTGCGGTAAATGGGCATTTGTCTTGAGTGTTTATGGGTTTGAAATCGAAGTTATTGCAGCTGGCAAGGGATTCGTCGTCCTTGTCCGGCGAGAGATCAATGGGACACCCTAAGCTTATTGTTAACCCCTTTGTGTCTCTTACTCTTGACCTGAATTGCACAAGTACCGCTCTTCCATCTTCCAAACATGCGTGCTCCCAACTCATCTGCAGACATATGGTACTCGGGACCCTTTTCCTTGCAGAACCTGAACAATATTGTCAACTAACAGGCATCGCAGAATCAAGAAGAGGAAACTTATACCTATCAAATTCTGGAACGTACTGACGTAATTTGCGGAACACCATAAAGCTGCCGTCTTTGGCCCATGGAGCGCCATCCTGTGGAGCAGCCCTGCCCTCGCGGTCGATAAAAATCTTGCTGCATATACAATTAATTCATCGACCAGTTGTCGTAGGCACTTTTGAACTTACCCTGGAAGAACCAGCTTCGGCTCCTTCTCTCCGGTAGGAGGATTATCGAGACCCTCTATGAGGGGTTGGGAGATCAAATCACGAAAACCAAAGCTGTAGCGATAGAGAGCATGACATAACCGATTAACACCCAAATCTTCCCCATTTTATATATATTTAACGTGGTTACTTACTGTTCTCTCCCACTATTATGACCTGGTCTGGGGTGTCCAGATTCGGTGAACAGCCGGGTAATACTATCCCCGAACAGGGCCTCAATCTGTATCACCTTGGCCTTGACAACATTCTGACCAGTGCCAGCGACCAAAAATACCCCATCGGCGGATGTATAGGGTTGCTTGTAGTCACCAGTTTCATCTCGACTTTCCGCTGTCAAATCTGCGTACATCCCTTGGACAAAGGAAATGTCTTTGATCCCCTTTTTACCCAACTGCTTGTGCATTAGCGGAAGATTGGGGCCTGTAACTTTGTGCACTTTACCTTGACCAGGCCCCTTTCGGCAAAACTGATGTTAGAATGAGCCACAGGGAGGTGGCAGGGCTCTTCCTCCCAAACAGTTACTTTCCCTTTGTGCTGTTTGATATTCTCTCTTGCCTCTAGGGCTTGTTGAGCAGTGGTGATGCTAGGGATTAACTCCTGAAGGTGGCCTTTGAACGCTTCATAGTTTTCTTCCGGTCCCTTATCCTTATTTATCTGGAAGAAGTAGAAAGTTTCATACTTCTTGGGCAGACCCGGCCTGGAGGTTTTGATTAGCTATTTCTAGGGCCCCGTTTGTTCGCTTCTGTGATATAATTTTGTTACCTACCAGATATCACCCTGGATATTGTCCTTCGGAATGGATTCAACTGCCATGGCTTTGGATGTTGTAATTTGCAATCTATAGATCTAGAGAGTGGGCGGTCGTTGTAAGATGCTAGTGTCCTTTGATTGATGAACAGCACCTTCTTTTAAGTCTAGTTCTCTGGGACTAGCCTAGTTTTACAAATGTGGAGATAAGTAACATTGTACTTTTCATCGATGTGCTGCATCTGGCACGATATAGCATTGAAAGGTACCGTCTGTTTTCAGCCCAATGTTAGTCAGCTCATGAGAGCAATCCCGTGGTCTGGAAGCGCCTTCGCTCTTTACGGAATGCAGCAGTTAAATGAGCTCGCATCATAAATGGGCTGTTTAATTTTGATGTAGTATCTGAGTTTACGTAAGGAGCTGCATAATATTCCCCCCTGTTAGGGCATCCAGAGTCACAGTCTCGAGTATATGAAGCTCTCTCCAACCTGCAAGTACAAGGTAACATTTAGGAATACAGGTAGCCTAATTCCCTATCCCTGTCTGTTTAATGCACATTCTTGAAAGCAACATCTAAATTTACATAGGTCAAAGGCTCTGTCATGTTATTCTAGTCGCTCATGAAGAGGTAAAGAATGGGAGAACGGGAACTAACTCAATCATCGCCTGCAACGAATGATGCTAGTAGTTCCTCTGTCACATACCTCAAAACTTTGCAATGCTGAGCTTTTCAAGTAACACCGAGAATCCCCCGTGCAGCTAGAATAGCCTCCTTCATTCCAGTAATTGGATCAAATGACTTCCAGTATGATCAAAGATTAAAGTTCCTTGAGGGACCAGTCCTGTATATTTAATATATATAAATACACATTTTCTATATACGTTGACCTAATCAATCTGATATTCATTACTAGCATTAAGATCCATTACCATTGAACGTAAATAGTACCAGGAAAAGATGAGGTTTTCCGAGTGGACTTGGCCCTCTCTCATTTTCGCTGTGTTTGCGCAAGCCCAGGTCGACTCGTCCGTCATCGGCGCATTTACAGGGGAGGGAGTGCCAGCCAGTGAAATCCCCGCCGATGCAGAGGGGGCTCCAGGGCTCTACCAGGCCGAGCCCTATAACAGTGTGAGACTCAACCGCACCAACTGGATAGCGTTCTGCGACAGCGAAAGCACAGGGAACGAATGTTCCAACGCGATTGATGGCAACAACGCCACCTTTTGGGCGACGGCCAATAATACGACCTTCCCCCACTTCATCATCTTGGATCTAGGATCTACACAGAACGTAAGCGGGGTTGCGATGGTCCCTCGGCGTGACGGGTCGAAGGACGGATGGATTCTCCAACACCAGGTCTTCACCAGCAGTGACGGCACCAATTGGGGAGAGCCAGTGGCCTATGGCATGTGGTATTCCGATGACAGCGAGAAGCTGGCCGTCATCGAGCCCCAGCCAGTTCGCTATATCCGATTGGAAGCTTTATCAGATGCTACCGACAGTCAGACCACCAGCATTGCCGACCTCAACATCTACGGTGCTGCCAGTTATCATGTAAAGAACCCTAGCCTTGGAGAGTGGGGACCGACAATAGATGTCCCCATCGTTCCTGTGGCAGCTGCTGTCGAACCCAATAATGGCAAAGTTCTCGTGTGGTCGTCCTGGGATAAGGATCGCTTTGGCGGCACCCCCGGTGGAGTTACACAGACATCCATTTGGGATCCTAAGACATCTAACGTCTCCCACCGAGTGGTCACAAATACACATCACGACATGTTTTGCCCCGGAATTTCCATGGACTCCCGAGGCTACATTGTGGTTACCGGGGGAAATGACGCGGAACGCACCAGCATCTACGTGCCCTTCAACGACAGCTGGGTCATCGGTGCAGATATGACCACCGAGCGTGGATACCAGGCTACCACTACCTTATCTGATGGCCGTATCTTTGCAATCGGTGGCTCTTGGAGTGGTGAGGTGTCAGACTCTAAAAACGGTGAGATCTACGACCCAACCGCCGATGAATGGACTCCTCTGGAAGGTGCTTTAGTCAAGCCCATGTTAACCAACGATGCGACGGGGCCTTACCATGCGGACAATCATGGCTGGCTATTTGCCTGGAAAAACACCAGTATCTTCCAGGCCGGACCCAGTCGGGCCATGAACTGGTACTCGGTTGAAGGGGACGGGTCGGTTTCTCCTGCGGGGAACCGTCTTAGCGACTCAGACGAGATGTCTGGGAATGCGGTCATGTTTGATGCTGCCGCGGGTCAGATACTCACGTTTGGGGGCTCCCCAAACTACGAGGATAGTGAGAGCGTCAATAGCGCCGCGTTGATCACACTCGGGGCTCCCAATAGCAGCATCGAGATTGTCCAGGCTGGGCAGAACATGCAGTACAGTCGCGTGTTCCACACCTCAGTCGTTCTCCCGGACGGTAGCGTCTTCATCGCAGGGGGCCAACGTCACGGTATGCCCTTTTCGGAGGATGCTTCGTTGGACAATCGATTCATCCCCGAGCGATACATCCCGCGAGACGACATGTTTATCACACAGCAACCAAATAGCATTGTTCGTGTTTATCACAGCATCTCTCTCTTACTACCCGATGCCACAGTGATGAACGGCGGTGGCGGTCTCTGTGCCAATTGCTCAACCAACCACTACAACCTCCAGGTCTACACGCCCCCCTACCTGCTTATGGGCGACGGTAGTCGCGCTCCGCGTCCAGTCATCAAGTCTGTCTCCTCTACGAAGGTCGGATTCGGTGGCCAGATTGGCATTGTCACCGAATCCTCTGTTGACACCGCCTCGCTGATTCGGTATGGTACCACGACCCATACCGTCAATACGGACCAGAGACGCATTCCTTTAGACCTCGTGCCAGTGGACATTAATACCTACTCTGTGAATATTCCGGATGATGGGGGGATTGCCCTGCCAGGGTATTGGATGTTGTTTGTTTTGGATAGTTCAGGGGTGCCCAGTGTGGCGACACCTATTCAGATCACCCTATGAGAGTAGGATGATTTGACATTTAAGTGTACTTCTACTTCTATCTCTCCAGTTTTCATTCTGCTCCCTTAATTATAATATATAACGAGATAAATGAATTTCATACACTAGATTCATCTTAAACATCATTTTCTTTTAATGTTATTATATTATAGAATTGAGAAGTCATGCATGTATGGATATACATAAGTATATCTTGTATATTGACGAAAAAATCTAATAGCACGCCTTTCCATAGATAGGTTAGTGGAACGTATCACTGACAATCTATGAGGATAATTATACATATACTATTATGACCTTATATAGGCTTTCTAGGCATCTTTACACAGTCATAATCTTAATATAACAGATTAGGTAATCTATTAGTTAAATAAAATATCTCTACTTACAGTAGGGTGACAAAAGTTTGAATATAGCACCACAATAAATGGATAGGTATGGGTGCCCTCCCCATGTCAATACTAATAATATCTCAACTGTTGCATTATTTACAGGCGATCCCCAAAAGGCCTAAATTAATCCGACATAAATGGGGTAAATGCAGATGAAAGACAGGTAGGAAATCTTAATACTATATTCAAACCTTTGTCATATTAGTGTAAGATCTAAGATGATAAGATCACTTAAGCATATAATATACTGATCATATATTATAAAAATGTGAAAACTAATATAATTATCTAAGATTATTAAAATTATAAAGAGTGCTCTATATATGCCTTTATCTAGTCAGGTTAGGTATCAATGACCTGAGGCAGGAACTCAGGCATATAAGCTTGGTTCCCAACCCGAAGGGAGGGAACCAAGCAATATCTTTGTATAATTCTTGACATAACTTTCAATATAACCCTTCTATATCTATATAATCAAGGCCAATAACTATCCACTTTCCGTGCGTAACGGGGGTTCGGCCGTCCACATGGCTTTCTTGTTCGTACGGCACCTTCTTCCAAATTATATCCTATTCCGTATGTTATTCCTTTCTAGACGTTGTTCCTCTCTATATGTTATTCCTCTCTATATTATGGCGGACGATAAGGGGTTTAATGACATAATTCGTATTTCACTAGTAAGCTTTATTGACACGCGTAATTTCAATATTTCCACATCTAATATTTTTAGATTTAAAGAATTTACTACTTCAGCATCTACCTTAAGATCTGCTTTAGGACCTACCTAAGTGCCTATCTTAGAAACCACCTTAAGACCTTTCTTAGTGCCTTTCTCAGTACCTTTTTTAAGATCTGCCTTAATATCCATCTTAGTATCTATCTTAACATCTGCCTTAGTGCCTATCTCAGAGTATTCCTCACCACCTTTCTTACTCTCTTAGGGCCGAGGGCACACCTTGAGAAAGGCGTCGAGGTACTCCCTAAGACAGACATTAAGATGCATTCTAAGTATATCCCAAGCACACTCTAAGTATGCCCTGAGATAGAGTCTAAAGAATGCACTAATATAGACACTGAGACAGATATTAAGATATATATTAATGCAGATGTTAAGACGGGCCTTAAAAAAGGTATAAAGTATTCAGGAGGGCCCTAAGGTAGAATCTAAAATAGGCGGTGAGAAAGGCAGTAAAAAAGACCAATGACTCTGAGATAAGCTCTAAAACAGAAATTAAGATAGACATTAAAATAAATATTAAAACAGACCCTAAAATAGGTACTCAGACAGGCTCTGAAGCAGGCCCTGAGATAGATGCTGAGGTAGTAAATTCTTTAAATCCAAAAATATTAGATGTGGAAATATTGAAATTACCTGTTTCCCTATGTAATAAATGTAAAAATCAGAATTATGTCGTTTAAGACCGCTATCAACTGCCGTACATATGGCTCTCTCTTTCGTATGACACCTTCTCCCGAACGATATCCTGCACGTGCCGCGCAGAGCCTCGATCTTAGCCTGCCTCAGGCAGTCTAGACTGAGATTCAGCTTCAGGTATCTAGGTCCCGAGTCGGCGTTATACAAAGACTCGCTAATGACGGTTACAGCTGCATGTGGATATTAAACGTGATTAAGTTAAAAAAATAGTAATTGCGTTATTCAGGCTATGACAATACACCCGTCAAAATGGCTAGAGAACGCTGGTTCTGGAGGAATGAGCGGTTGAGTATGAGTCCGCCAGCTTGTCATTTACATCTCCAGTAAGAATAAGGTCACGAGGCACCGCAAGTCCTTTGTGATCGTCGCCTTTGGTGTATGGAGCATGGGCCTTAAACACATGTTGGCCTGGAAAGAGCAGATTTGTAGTGAGGAAGTAGTCCAGCTCGGCGATGGGGATGTCAATGTCGACCTTCATCACTAACTTCTCGTACACGTTAGGAAGACGGTCAGGTTCATCAGGGATCCACCAAGGCGGCTTCGACCCGGACACCTTAACAATCCACTCATTCGTATTTTCAAACCGGAGCCTGATTTTGTTTGGTTTATCGCCCTCCGCTGCCTCCCATTTGCCGGTCCCCGCCCACTCGAAGTTGAAATACATATCATTATATGGTATGTGTCCTCCCGTTCCTGTGTCGGAATACCACTCGCTCTGTAATCTATCGCTTTCGTATGATAAGGTAACAGAATCTCCATTTGAAACGGGCCGTGGTGAAATAACTATTTTTGTTTTGGGCTTGTCGCAATTTGTTTTCACACCATCGAAGCCCTCTTTGCAGACGTATTGATTGAATAAACCACATTTATATCTTTTTTCATACCGCCCAATACGTATTTCCGTGTTGCGGAGGCTCCCGGTCAACTCCATCCCTTCTGCAAGAACAGAGTCAATGTATTGCAAGAATAATTTAAAATAGAACAACAAGGACCGTTTAGCTTACTCGTTCCTTTCGTCGAATTCAGGCAGACATTATCAAGTTTTGTCTCTAAAGCGGGCTAAGGATAGATGGATGAGAATATCCAGTGATTAGCTCTGTATCGCATCAAATTTCCGGATCTGTGGAATTATCCTTACCATGAGAAACTTCCTTGCCAAGAGATCATGCATAATTATAATACTGGCACTGCTTTTTTGAGGGATTGGATTAACCTCCCGATCCCCTGGTTGGAAATGAAGCGACGTTGAACCTTCTTCATGGTCCCCATTGTTGTAGCCTCCATCGACTCCAATCCACATTATCAACGCCCCGGGTCGTTTGTTCGCTTCATCACGCTGATAGAACGAGAAACAGAAGGACTTTGGTCTTAGGGTCACAGATGTAGTCTCCCTTACTAAAGGGACCGGTGCGTTGACCGCACTGACGACGTAGTGGAAGCCGGATTCCGCCATTTCATCCGATATGTTTTGCCTAACGGCTGCCTCAATACTTGCTACCCGGCGTTGAACTGTCTCGTCTTGACTTTTATTGTGCAAAGTAACCCTGCACTTTCGGAAAATAATACAAACTCCCTGAGCATGTCCTACGTCGGCGATGCGCACAACATAATTAGGGCCCTGCTTAACCCACTGGTTTTCGGGAGCCTCTATAGCCTCCTTGTATGGGACAAAGCTCGGACTCTTCGAAGTCGTGGTTACCTTGCCTTGGAGACTAGCAATCTTTGCGGTTATCTTCATCGTTGTATTATCTGGGACTTTGATCGGGAGCTTGCCATAATCACCGGTTAACTTGTAAGACACTTCTGCTTCGCTGTCGGTGAATGTAAACTGTAGAGTTGGATTGGCGATTTTGAGTCGGTATTCGATATCAATTAAATCACCGGTATTTGGGTCTTCATCCTTCTTTGTGATCACGAAGTCTTTCGAAGTTTCCTGCTCCATCTTTTCCAAGACTTTGTTGATTTTTTCCTCATCGTAAGAGACGAGTACATCCCAGTCCCTAGTAGTATTATTTCCCTCCATCTCCCTAATGAGGGTGCTGAAGGTCATTTGAGGAACTGACATGGTGATAGATGATCTCCGTATAGCGAACTACTGATGAAAAAAAATGACTGGAGTAAGAAAGACTGAAGTGTATAGCCACCCACGATAGTCAATGGTGCGGATATCCTGGCGGAAAATGAGCTGGGCATCCACCTGAAGAAATTTCTTGTAAATAGTTACATGAGTCAAAGTCATGTTGCACCAGTCGTAAGGGGCATTGATTTCCGCATGTCCTGTCCTGTCTCCTTGATGTGATGCACATTCCATCGCGTCGCCAGCCCAAACTAGTAAGTGTGCAATTATGTTCCAGCCGCAATCCTAAAAGCAATGTATTGCAACCTTTTTATTGCCCAAGGTGCATGAAAATGGATCGGCGATGAAGGTCGACAGGGACCGGGAGCGCGCCGTGCCTGAAGTTTGTCATTCAGCCAATCATAAATAAGTATTGTCAGATCAATTAGGCGATAGGCATACCTCGGATATGTTGTTCCGGAGGGCTGTACAGGTAGGGGGCTATAGCCAATGGCCATGCGCGTCTCACTCCTGTCCTGTGACCTGCTGGACGATAAGTGAATGACTTGTCGCAAAGGCTCCTTGCTTTTTTCACTGCTGAAAGTGACGCCTTTGCGTCATTTATACCCAATAATAGGCAGTCATTCCAAGTCCCTGAAGAATTGAAAATCCTACAAATTCTCTAGTTTGTTGGAAAAAGAAAATTGATGGTTGCTATGATCAGACCAGATAATTAAGAACAAGGAAAGCAATTGGTCCAAAAAGATAGATCGTCAGTTTGAAGTATTCGGAAGGGCTACAAAAAAAAACAAAAAATCGCATGTTCTCTTTGTACTTGGCCCAGTGAACAGCGCATTCATAAATATAGCTCGCTTCTGATTGTTCATTTGGACGAAATGTCGGGCCATGCTACCCTCCCAGCTAGCGATGATTACGCTTTCGTGAGAAAGGATGACTATGTAGTCATCCTGAGCACCTCTGACCAGCCTTACCAGTTGCAAGAAGAACAATTGGACAGAAAAAACTGCCTTGTTTATGCTGAGCACGTTATTCTCAGTGGAAAGCTAGAATTGCGGGGAAGAAAGACGTTCGGATTGTTCTGTTCCCGGTTAACCATTGAAGGGCCCTCTTCGATCATTATTTCGGGAGAGCAAGGAAAGAACCAGATGCCAGTTACCAAAGGACCTGGGATAGATGGTGGCGATGGAAACGATAGCGGAGACATCTGGATCTTTGTCCAAGATGTTCCCAGTAACATAGAAAAGCTGACAGTGATGGCCAACGGAGGGAAGGGAGGTCGAGGGGGAGATACCACTGAACACGGTCAAACAGGCGGAAAGGGAGGAAATGGGGGAAAGTCTGGTATGGCTGCGATCAGAGGTAGATAAATGATGGCTGATTTGTTGATAAATAGGTAATGTGGAAATCCTCTACGGCTCGGTCCCGATGCAAGTGTACCTGGACTTTCCAACACTTCGAAAGCAGTTTTGGCTGCAGAGAGCACTTGACTTCCAAAAAGGATACTCATGCCGCTATCTCCCCACATATGTTACAGAAACGATGCAGATGACTCTGAACCTGTATCTAGGACTAGGAAATGCAATGCGAGACCTCGCTAGTATCCTGAGCGACCGGCGACTAGCAAGCCCAGTGGTTGAGACCACGCTGGCGAAGCTAGAAGTTATTCAACATTCGACCGACGCACCGCCCAGGGTTCATTCCTCAGCCATCTCTGAACTTATCAACGCCAGAAAAGAGATTCAGAAAGTGGTCCAAATATATCGCCATCCCAATGTCGACCGCATTTTGCAAGACCTTTCGAGGCTCTTGGAGGATCTGACCCCTCAGCGTCCGTCTGACCTGAGTGAGATACTCGGGGATATTTTCCAGGACGTGAACCGCGACTTGGGAAAGCTCAAAGACCAAATCAAATGGAAATGCGAGTCAATTCCAGGTGTGTTGCTTCTAATCAAGACCATTTCCTTTCCTGCTCTCCAAAGCTTTAGTCTCTGATGGTTTCTAGGCCCTGGTGGCGTCGGTGGCACAAGCGGTACTCCAGGGGATCCACCAGGGGAGCATGGCAAAGAAGGGGAGGCCACTGGTCGCATCACAGTCAAAAACCTTCATCTGAACGGGGATGCCGAAGACCTGGAGGCGACCCAGGCGTTTGCATTCCCAGATCAGTGCCAGATGCTCCTGAATAGAGCTAATCGGTATTTCTTCGCCGATAGCAATTCTGCAAGGGAACAAGCCTCGGACATGTACCACACACTCCTGAACCGATTGCAATTTCTGGACAAACTGGATGAGCAGAAAACCTCACCCTTGGCTAAGGCCTATGATGACCTGGAGCGCACATGGAAGGTGACGATTAGTGGCACCACGCAGCTCCGTTCAATATTTTCAGAGGGTAAGAGTCGGTTTAATAGATTATTGCTTGGACAGGATATGTTCGGTCACACAGCTCTATGGGTTCCGCGCATGTCATTTCTCCACTACCACACCTCAGTGGGGGACCAACTGCGCTTCTTAGAAAAACAGGAGGGCACTGTCGCTGCGTTTGAGAAGGCGTTAGAGGAAGGCCATGAGACGACAATATTTATTAAAGACAGCATTAAGGAGCTCGATTCCAGCAAGCAAGCAGCAAAAAGCCAAATCAATCTCCTCGAGGGCAGCAATGGGCCATTATCCACAGTGGCTTATAAGATTGAAACATTCACACCAATACTAAAAGAAAAACGAGAGAATGTTAGGAAGAAAATTGACGAGATTGAATGGATCCCTCAGTTCAACCCTAGCCTACTTCTTGACGGCTTTACAACTCTTATTACGGCCTCGTTTGACCGCGCCACTCTTTCCAAGTTTATCGAATTTGGGTACCAGGACTATTTGTCTACCACCCAAGAAAAAGGGATGTCAACGGTGGTGGAAAAAAAATACATTATCCATCAACTAACTACAACTGCTGATACTCTGGAGTCGTTTTCTGAGGCCCTGAACACCAACAAGGATAATACCATCCAGTTAGATGACCCTGGGGCTTTGAAGGTGTTTGCGACCAAGAATGCCATCGAGAAATTGCTTGATGAGTTTAGTAGCGCGATCCCGGAGGAGCAGAGGAAAGCGATCAGTGAAGCCTTAAAAGACTATGTAGAAAGCGTGCTCACCAGAAACAATGCAGTGGTTGAGTACAACACTTCGGTCCTCCTCCTCCTCGACTCATATCAGACTCTAAAATACTGTGAAGAGCAGATCAAAAACCTGGGCAACCCAACTATCAAAATCGACCCGAGCCTTCCATCAGTTATCTTCTGGCTGAGGAAGATGCGGGACGCGTTGCGACTACGATTACTGCAATATCTTAACTACGAGAGTCGGGCCATCAAATACTGGGGGCTATTTGACAACCTCCCTTCTTCCTTGCCGGGACCGTTGATAGACCATATTGCCTTGGGAAACCAACAACAGGACCTGCAATCCTCTTTCGAAAGTGCTCTAGAGATTTATTCAATTAGCGCGCGAGGCATATGGCCACCCAAGGAGGATGACGTGGGCAGAGTATATCAACTAACCGCGGAGCAGCGGAGCGCCTTGACTACCCCTTCAGACGATGGGGACTACATCACCTTTGTAACCATCGGCCCGGATAACGCACAGGGTATCTTCCAAGACTGGATAGATATCCGTCTTCGGGAGGTGCGTGTTTGGCTATTCGGAGTTGAAATCCCCGTCCCGGACTATGTTGGAAGAAAACACCTGTCCATCCACATCACCCACCAGGGCGATGAGTCCATTATTGACCCTCGAGGGGATCGATTCGAGTTTTCACATGATTCTCTAAATGTGCCATTTGTATATGATATTACTAAGGTGTCCAACATTAAAGAGGTCCCGGGTGGATCGGTATTCACTCGTGCGGATCTCGAGCACGACTTTAGTATAGGTGGAATACCAAAAGAGAGCAGCCGTGCGCCTCTAGGACCATTCGCCACATGGAGACTGAGGATTTCTACCAAGGCCCATCCAGGGATCAAAATGGATGGGCTCACAGAAGCATACATTGAATTTCGTGGGTCCTACAGATTGCTATGGCACTAAGCCAGCGTTTAATATCTAAGCTCGGTTGATTAATGACCAAGAGTCCTGATATTGACACTTCAGTAAAGGAATTAATCCCTTGCGACACAGAGTAGAAACCGACAATCTCAAAATTTCTATCTCCTTTAGTTCCGAAGTATTTCTAATAGTACACCAGTTACCTCTACCCACTCCCCCCACGTTCTAGCCGCGTAAGCAGTTGCGGGGATTTAGGTCAATAAAAATATCAAGTAAGATTGTTGGCTCAGGAAACCGTGGAACTTATTAGAGAGAGGAAACTGTGACAGTCTAGATGTGACAGCCACTGGCTTGTCTACGCTTGCTTGTCTTAGCGGGAGAGACAGGTTAGTATAATTCACGTGCCGGTAAGGATATCCGGGATTTTGTCTTGAGACAAAATCTAAGCTGTGCCACGCAGCATGGACTAAGGTAATAAAGGTAATTTACAGTATTCCTACATTTGCGAATGGTCCTACACTTGAAACAATCTTACATTAATCCATCATACGACATCCTCTCCTAAACCGACCCGATTCGACGTACATGCAAGGAGAAACTAGTACACGCTCCATTAAACGCTGCCTTGAGCCTGAAGGAGGCTGGAAACCGTGAGCCCAGGCTCCTGGCGGACTGGTGCCTCACTGGGCCAGAGACACCGCGTTGTTTCTATAGTGGAAATTGACGGCATCAAAAAGGTTTCAACATCATAAATAAGAATTAATCAATTATAAGCTCATTTTCTATTACAGGGAAACCAAAATGGTTTACATAATGTTACTATAGATTATACCATCAATAAGGGGTTATTAGACCAACAGATCCATATCATCTATAATACAGCTGCGTTGCAGGCTAGCCTTGGTGGGAATCAAACAGGTGAAGCGGTTAGGAAGAGTTGTGATTACTTAAGAGGAGGCAGAAGAAGGAGAAAAAAAAGGGTATATATGCAATCTGCTCTGCTCATTTAATGGGTAAACAGTTCTTGGTTTTTCAAATGTAATTCACTTTTCTTAATCCTTAATAAAGACCTGTATCCTCTATAAAAGGATGATCACATTGCTATAGAAATCTAACCTTATTATTTGCAGTTCGTTAAAAGTCATCGTGAGGAGAATAGGTGGTGTGCAAACCATATAGGCCCTCTTAGATCAGGAGGAAATATAGGAAATAAAAACTGAGATCAGCAATGACAATTATGTTAAGTGGCTGGATTATAACATACTATGCTAGAAACCGAATAAAAGGAATGTAGAAGTGAAAAGTGCTTTGATTATTAGGAAACACACTCACAGCGTAAATAGTTAATATATGGTGGGGTGGGGCTGTTAACCTGGTGATAGGTATTACTAAACTGTATCAGTACTGCGACGGCCGCCTCAGAACTAGATAGGATTAGACAATTCTTTCTCACTCTGACCCGTGGTTGGTCTAATGCCGTTTTTCACATCCCACTGACCGGCACAACGTATACTAGATTTTACAGTATTAAATATTCCTAAAGTTGCTTCACGTACTATAGTCAGATATAGGAATCTAAACGTTGAAGTAATAACAGGCTAGCTGTCCGGAAGTGCTCTACGCAGACGCCAATCTAATCTCTTACAAGAAGTGCCCACGCAGTATCAAGACGATCAGCTTCCCGACCACAGTGGTAACCGAAGCCGATGACATACTGCTCGACTTTGTGTCCAAGTTGGCTGCGTTGATCAGCAGCAGCTCAGGAGAGAACGTGTCCGTGTCTGCACTGGACTATAACGGTTTGTGGAGTTCTACAAAACCGGCCAGCGCTGGGAATGCGACGCTTAGAACCCTGCTGAATCTGACATACCCTATGCTGATTTCAAAGCAGCAGTACCCGCAGGTCGCCGCGCCATTGTATGCTGATTATGCTGCTGCCAACGGGGGACGCAGGCCGTTCATCGACCCTGTTCCCCTGTCGTGCTGGGGCTGGGGACTGCAGTACACGGAAGAGGACCTAGAAACAGAGATCCAGCACAAAAACACTTTTGCAGCATGGTGGAATAGCACGGTTCAAGTACTCGACGCAGAAACGTGCTCGGACAACTTGATGAACAGGTGGCATCGACGCTCTATAGTAATGGTGGCACTTATTACTAGTTTGTACGTGTGGCGGCGTGCTATATATATCTTTCAATAGGTACATGTTATATGGGCTAAGTAGATATGTAGACTATCAGGTGGTTAAAACTGACATCCAGGTTGAATATAGATTATGAATATGATGATCAGCCCATCCGATATGATAATTAGGAAAGAGTTATTGGATTAACTTTATAAAAAGGAGCACGCGTCTGCTCATCCTTGTATTTTTCTTTCACATCCCATCCGATTTCCGTCGGTTTCTGAAACTGATTCACTCGCACGCCATTTAAGATAAAGCTAAGCTCACGACAGCTCCTCAACGGTACACGTGGAGGCTTGTCATCCTTAGATCTAACACGTGGGACAAGCCGCAAGACTATACTTGGCGGCTCATTCTTAGTCGTGATATCGACCATGACGTTGAAGCGGACATTTGTGATCATCTCGGCACCACTACCTGAGTAATTCTCCATCAGACACGGTGTTCCCTCTCCCGGTTTACCGAATGGAATCGTGATTCGTATTTCCTCGAGCCTGTAGGACCCTTCGGTGTATGGCTCGAGGTTTATGAGAAACATTATGTCTTGATCGATGGGGAGCATGGGAATGCGTGTCGTGATAGGATAGTCTACCGGGCATACGCGGTAGTGGTAAGCGGGCTGGGGGGGATATTTGCGTTGAATTTTGTGTTTGGTATGGATAGATGTCGTTGGATTCGACCGACGTTGTATATTTCTGGATGGGTGGGAGTCGTAGCCCCCGGTGGGATAGAGAAGACGATCTGGTAGCAAACAGAGCCTAATTGGGTGGCCATGAGGGTCGATGTAGGTGTGTCATCCTTGAAGAGACTCTCAGGCATTTTGTCCAAAAGGGTGTCGAGGTAGTCCTTTGATAAGTTCTCCATCAACAGTCGACGAACCTCAACACCAGACGAGTCCCAGCGGTACACAGGGACCACCGAAGCGGTCTGGGGCCTAGTCCATTCCTTGGTTGCATCGAGAGGCTCACCATCTGGTTTGTCCACATGCACAGTGTACGCCTTTTTGTATGACATTTTAATCGTCCTTTGGTCCAGATCTGTTGCCGCCACGAATGTCTGCTGGTGCGGGGGTTGAATCAAAGACATACCCTTGAAAAATTCAGACCCCGGTTGGTGACTGAACAGACAGAGCATAGTGTCTGGACTCACGATCTCATGTCTGAGAAGAACGAGTGGTTTTGGAGGTGCCTGTGGTGGATCCAATTCCACCCGGAGATCAGGGAACTTGGTGAGGAGTGTAGAGCGAATGTAACAGCCATACTCAGGAACAGGAGGCAAGCAATCCCCAAGATCAGGGATTTTGGTTTCACGATACCGCTTGATAGCGGCCCAGATCGCATCGCGGACCAAGTCGGTTTTCTGATCGCGGTAATTCGCCAGGCTGAGGGCCCCATCGACAAGAGCGTCCATCCAATGGTGGTCGATGCGGAAGAAACGCACTGACTCCAATGGCAAAGAACTAGACTCTGGAATCAGATAATGAGGAGGTATTGTGGCTAAGAAAAGACGATTCATCACCCATTTGAGCACCGCCATCCAGTCCGGTGAATAAGGGATGTTGAACTCGTTGTAGGGGACGTCAGACGGGTCTCCGTCCGCCTTGGCAGCGCTAGAGATCTCTTTTGCTGCCTCAACGAAGTGCTCCTCGACGGATTTCTCATTGATGGAAGCAATTTTTGCCTTTCGACCTCGATATGAAAGGTCTACAGGCTCAACAGGAGGCCGGAACCAGCGTTTTGTGTGCACATTCGCTTGGTCTGTATCTATCTCCCTGGTTTGGGGCAGTTGGTGTAATCTAGACACAATTAAGGGGAGGTTGCTAAGCAGCTCAGGACGGGATCGCACCCCATGGGGCCTTAGGGCTTGCTGTTGGTTCAACTCCATCCCACGGTCATAGATATGCTTGCGGACTAGACCGATACGGGTGATAAATTCTTGGTCGGCGATAGCCAATGTTCGCCCTAGCTGCCATGCGGCCGAGTATGTGATATCGATCAACCCTAATTTCTGGTCGAGTATCTGGAGATCCTGCCCCGAGGTGGAGAGCGAGCGCCAGCGCTGAGAATCGGATAATGGAATCTGTACGGGGATAAAGGGCCCGCGAAAAAAGCAAGCTGTAGACTCGCCTGTTTGGGTTCGATAACGAGTCAGTGTGTACCCATTGCCTAAACGCTGCGTGACGCGCTCCTTTAAATCTGCAGGAGCATCCGGATCGAGATCATTTTTGGTGACGGGAGGTTGGAGCATGGAGCTGGATTGACCCAGAGCGTTGAATAGATCCCAAACACTGGGTGTGTCTGGTGGGAGCCCCGTGTAGGTCCAGCTATGGAGGCTGGAGAGAGCCACAAATTGCTCATCACTGGCCGGCCAGGACATGCCTTCCACGCCGCGAATGGAGACGAGGTGGGCAATGCATGCCGTCGGTTCCGTGATATTGACAGGACCCGTGCGATGGGAAAATACGACACCGTAGGAGGCTTGGTCATTGTCATCAGCTGTGAGGGCGGCAACCGCCATGCCATCGGTGTTTATATCACGCCGATGGGCAAGGAATCGATAAGGCCGTACGTTGGGATGGCTCGCTGAGATGGACTCTCCCTCCGCATCATCTTCTGAGAAGAGAGCATTAAACAAAGCCTTTGAGACGAAGATTACGTCTGTAGAGACGTCCGAATCGGTTTCTGGTGCTTGGTCCGGATCAGTGATTGGACTTGTTGTGTGGTGTAAGTTTTTAATGTCTTTCACTCGCATGTTGACGGTAAGCGTCGCAGTTTGAGTGGCACTATTTTTCAAAGCTGGGATATTTTGAAACACGCTCTTGTCTCCTCTCAGATCTTCTGATACAAGCTGCAATTCCTCCTTTGTAAACACCAGTACAGCAAGCCATGGGACTCGATTGCGGTTACCCTTATAATCGGGCACGTCGGTGATTTTGCTGGCCGTCCACTCCCACGGGAGAGTTGGGGTCTTTAACACGACATGTGGCAAACACTCGGCACGCTCCTCGTGACCTGATGGAGGATATACCGAGTGTACCTCGCCTTCAGGCAGGTTAAATTGCGGGGAGTCAACATAGAAACGCTGCTCGGTTACTAGATTCCGGGCTGTGTTGTTGGCCACGACCTCCTGCTCGACATGTACTGTATGTCCTCCCCCAGGCAGACCAGGCATAAGAAAAGCATGGAGATGTTCCTCTCCCGGTTTCAGGCGAGGCTCAATCCCAGCCGCAGCCTGTCGACAGCGACGAGCATGGCGGAAGACGAGATATCGCGGGTCGTCTCTTCTGTGAGGCATGTCTACGTGCAGACTTAAGGAGATGTGCGAATATGAATTGGAATAACAAAGGCCAAACACGGCGGTATAGCAATAGGAAATAGGTAGAGAGAAAAAACAAGATGGGGCAATGGAGAGGAGACCTAGCTTAGCCAGCCACCGAATGCATCGACTGTCCAAAGTAAAGATCGCTTCAGTCACTTCCCCTCTTTTTCAGCTTCCCTAATTTTGCCCTGAATTTGAGTACTTTTCAGGATCATATGTGACGCCCCACATTTGCTGCTGGCTGCAGAATCCCAGCTGCACACTAATCACATAAAGAGGTATCCATGGATCGCGCATGTAATAAGGACACAAGATACAAAGGCCGACAAGTACCTCGAGTTAAAACAAGATTTCATTAAGAACAATTCATCAAAGATATCCTCTCGTCCTAACTTATCAATCGAAGTCTATAGGCTCTTATCCCAATTATGGCTCTTGCTGCAGTGTTAGATCCCGTAACCAAATCCTCAGCCGCGGTATTCTACTACTCGCAGGTGAAGGACCGTTACAATCTGGCGATGCGATTGTTCTCGCTGGTTGGCGGTAGTGACTCCAAGTACACCGACTTCAACACCTCGAAAAGCACCGCAACGGCATCCTCCCACCTGGCTGCCGCGAATTTTCTTGGAGCGGTTAGTTATTAATTTGTCTCTTATACCAAGGCTACGACTGATAACTATGACAGATGCGTGTCTACGGGGTGGCCACAATCCCTAAAGTGGACACAGCACCCGGAGATACAACAGAGGTGATCACTCAAGTGAGTCCCGTTTTCAACCCGGTGGATAAACCATCAGAAAGTCGCGTGCAGGTGCCGGCTCGAGTGCCACTTGCTGTGTGTGAAGTCACCAAGGGTTCTGTCAGCACTGGCTATATGTCGTATCTCAAGTAAGTCTCAGAACCCTCTCTTCCATTGATAATGGAATTCGGTTAAATTAATTCTCAAACAGAGAAATTGACGGCCGTCTCCAAATCGTAACCTATACTATAACAAGTTCTAGGAGCACTTCTCGCATCACTGATCGTGGGTTGCACGCACAATCCAAGCTGGCTTCTTGTTCCATTCTTCAGAAACCATGCCTTTTCTACCAAGGCTCCGGAAAGGACGTGAACTTCTATAACCTGACCGACGGCTCCAGTAAGTTTTGAACATCCTCTACTGGCTTTCTGTATGGATCAAGATTTCTAACAGGGTTATAAAGCCACTACGGTGAAAAACACTGGCGGAATGGCTTTGGGCTCGCAGCTTGCCGCGACTACCGTGGGAGATGCCATCTACGTATACTTCCGTACTGACGACAACAAGCTGGTTCGGGTCCAGGGGTCGGGTCTCAAGTGGACTGGACAGCAGGAAGTGTCTAGCCATGAAATTAACGCCGACTCCAACATCAGTCTAGTGGTTCATGCAACTCCAGAGGGAGAGACTGACATCCATCATTTTTTCTGGAGCGGCACGGAGCCCATCCATGAGTCAGTCACCAGTGATGAGCAGGCTTTCTTGGACATGATGGAACAGGATGACGATGACATAGTGGTAGTCGAGTACTGAAATTAGCTTGCTTCTTGACCTCTAGTAGACTTGCTACTGATGTGATAAAATTTTAGTTTGCATGAACTCAGAAATGTGAACCTTTTGACCGATGCTGCATATGCATAGCTTAGCACAATTGAAGATATATGAAGCTTCAAATATTGAGAAACTGAAAAATGAATAAGTCCCTGTCTATTTAAACCCTGTTTAGAATGCTAGAATTTCAAGTGAAAAAGTCCACCAACTCCATCCACAATGGCTTCTCCTCTTGCAATCCCCCTCAAGCTCGACGCATTCGTGCTCAATCCAGACACCTGCGATGGCACAGACCGTGACCAGGCCAAGATTGCCCCTCTGCAACAACCCAATTACAGCTATCTGCGTATGAAGGACTTTATGACTCGTAATGATGTCCTGCAGCCCCTCGATCTGCACGCTGCAGCTCCCCATCAGGCGAATTCTCGAGTCACAAATCTTGCCACTGGACAGCTCCGCCAAAGTCGTCTAGGCGTGTATCTGCACTGGATGATCCCTCGTCCGTATCGCTCGGGAATATCCTCGATAAAAAGTTCCGATGCTACTGCAGCTAACGACACGGACCCTCAGATGCCCGTGTTCCCTGAATGTCCGAATCGTTGGCTTGTCATCCGCAAGCTGGCTGGTCCCACGGATCCAACTGATGTACTCCAGCCCGTGCGTGCATGGATCGTGTACAGCGACTGGATGCGAACTATTGATGAACTAGATGATACGGACGAACGGCCCCTTGATCTGCAGGTGGATGTATCTCCGTATCTGAGCACCGGCTCAACTGTGAAGGATCACCAACCCAGCATAGACCAGCAAGCGGAGGTGTTCATCGGCGGAAGAAGCAACGCTACGAAAAAGGAAATGGTGTCTCCCAGTAAGAGCGTATCGCTGGGAGTTTTGAACTCTTCCAATCAACTGTTTCCGGACTACCAGCCACATAATGGGAACGTGTTCTCCATGCTCGATGATTTCAGCTACAATGGTGCAGAAGGTCCAACCCAAGTCGCCCACGCCATTGCAGACTATTATGTTCTGGGATGGCACGAGAACCCGGCAGATGACCTGCTGGTCTTGAAGTCAGGGAATCGCAGAGACCGCCTCAACATCCTGTCTATGAATCTGAAAAACGAGACCGATCCCGCCATTCAATCCTGGCTGGAGGAAACCACAGGGGCGCGAGTGCTGTGCCATGGCGCCATGTACGGTGTGCGGTGGAATTCAACCTGGAACAAAAGCCACGACAAGCCGACAATCTTAGCTGATCAGGCTGCGAAAGCCCTAGCCGATCGAGTCCCCGTTTCTCTAGGTACAACGCCGATGGATGCATTGTTGGCCTACGTGGCAAATCACTCCGGCGATACAGAGCATTTGCTCTCACAATTAGGTGCCTTATTACGAGCTCAGAGCGAGAGCATTGAAGACCGCCGTGCGGGGAACGACGAAGTGCAGAACTATAACTTCGAAAAGACCGCAGGAGGTGCGCGATACATTCTGCAGGCAGACACGAAGAACCCCGCACAGCCTCCACCAGATCATGCAGCTAGGGCATTGGTGGAGCTGAATGACAGCCAGACTCTTTACGATGCAACTTCACGCCAGCTGCGTCGGGCACAGTGGAGCATTTTTTCCATCTGGTGGCAGTATGTCACAGATCTTGACCGCGCGGGGAAGCAAGAAGCATATAAGCGAGAAGTCAACGAGGCGATCGCTGAGTATGGCCGTCTCAATGGTTTGTTTATAACGCAGAGAGGGGCAGTTGACGCCGCGAAAAAGAAAATCGACGCCATGCAGCTGGAAGTCAAGGAAGCTATTGCTCCGGACTTCAGCCAGCCTCGCGATCCTACGCTGTTTGTGGGGGAGGTGCAGGCTGGTTGGCCAATCGACTACCTGGCTGCTCTGCAGGTGCGACTCGCCCCGCAGATCGCGGGAACGGCACGGGTAGAGCCGATCAATGCAGCTTACGGGCTCGAGTGTCTACCGGAGGAACTACAGGCGATGGGCACTCAGCTAGTGCAAGAGTTCGAACACTATGCCGACGCCAAGAGCAGTCACCGCGCAGTAGTCAACAGTCCAGAAACTTTCCCCCCGCTCTATCACGATGGGCGAGACCGCTGGAACAACACGCAGCCCTGGTTTCCTCTGTTCCTGGAATGGGAGGCCGAGTATTTCCACGTCCCTTACGACCAGTGGGATATGGAGGATATTTCCACTCACGCAGCCAAGGATAAGAAATTCAGTTACACCGTCAAGCAAGACGATGGGCCGTTGTGGGAGAAGGACAATAACGACAAGCGAACGGTCTCGGGCCGGATTCTACTGCTTCCGCAACCGGTCTTCTCGCTCCACGCTCAGGTTGAGCGTCTGTTCTCGACCGTTCCGGCCGAAGTGTTGAACCCAATCTTGGACTCCGACCAGAGAGCCCAGCTCCTCAAGGATATACAGAAGCTACCCTTCATCTCCGCTCCGTTGGGTGGATTTACAGACCATCTCGTGACCGTAGTCGATGGGAGCCATGTCAAACCGACGGTACGCTATCCGGGCAAATTACCAGAGCCTCTAACAGAAGCAGCTTCCGAGTCTCATTTGGTAGGACTCGATATAGATGCGTTGAGGAAAATTGGGGTGGAAAACGATTTGACTCCATACGGATCACTCGTGCGACTAGGAGATCTTCAGCATCCAGCCTTCAAACCTGTCACGCACGGTCAGTTCCGTCTAATTAAGCTCAATATTATCGACAAGTTCGGTCAAGCCGTGGCTGCCATCGATCCAACACGACGCGTTGAAGGACCACCACCTCTCTACCCCCATATTGGGGAGTATTACAGGCCCCAGGCGTACCAAAATACGAAAATACCGAATGTTGTCATTCAGCCCGAGGAGCCTGAAAAGTGTCCATTCATTCAAATTCCGCCGAATATCAACCAGCCGGCACGACTGCACATGAACTGGGTGCAGCTGGAAGAATACAACAAGACCTACGAGTGGCGACCCATCACCGAATGGGAGAATCCAATCTGGGGGTGGGTTGTAGTAAATTATGTCAACTATGGGGTTCAATTCTTTCTTAGAGACGGCACCTTCTATCGTGAAGTACGAGTCGCATCCCCTAACAACCCCAATCCAGGGGCTGTAGCGAGTGATAAATGGCTACCTTTCCAGCCACCGAAAGAAGACCCAAAACGGCAGCTTGATCAGCTGATCAAAAAGTTCACCGACGATCAGAACTATTTATTAGGGTTCATGGAGATGATCAACACTGCTGTTGAAAATGCGCGGTCTGTCCCTGGGGCATACAGTCAGTGCGTCAACTCATTGATTGGGCGTCCTTTGGCTTTGGTGAACGCCGGCTTTTCACTTGAACTGGCAGAAAATGCAAGAACAAATCAATCCACCGTGGGAAACCAGCAGGGAATGCTGCCCCCAATAAGTCTTCTTCCGGATTATAGGATTCCACAGTATGACTTTGCAATAAAGCTTGGAGACAGTGTGCGACCTCATGATGGGCTAGTGGGATTTTTTAAAGCCAAAGATAAACCGCAGCCCACGGACGAACTCGACTTGACTGATGTTTACACTCCATTTCCCAACGACACCAAACAGATCCATCCCATCGACTCTCAGGGGGGTGGCTTCCTTCGTTTGAAGCCATTCTGGCTAAACCCTGGAGATTACACTGACAAAAGCCTCGGAAATCCTAGCGAAACATACAATCGAGATCGGAATCGACATTTGACTGTATGTGGGCTACTAGTCGATCCTTTTACACCAGTCAATGCGTACTCGAGCATTCTTCCCGTGGAGCCACTTGCACTTTCTCCATGGACGTGGGAATCAGCCCTGCTGAAGATGACGGCATTCTTCCATTTTGGTCCCTTGGTTGTTGAGGACGATGTTCCTGAATTGAACCCGAAAAAAGTTCTGACTGCCAATTACAATTTAGAGAACGATACTGTCAAGGAAAAGATCAAACTTCCTGCCCTAGCAGCAGCGGAATGGAGCTGGTTACAACCATACATCAACACTGAGACGGAAGTTACAGAGCAGGATGAGACAGAAGCGGAGGGGAAAGAAGTCTACATGGCCTTGTCGTTGGGCAAGATTGACCCAGTTCCTCAGTTCAGCCCGGGTCCGTTGACGGCGGTGGAAGGATATTTGCAGATGAAACGGCCCATTACAGGCCCTGATTCCAAGTAATTACCTTGAATTTTGACAATTGCTATTTAATCCGGTTAGTGTTCCTTGGGGCTAGCTCTAATAACCTTAAATCAGACTATAAATGGTTTTATTGCGAGGTTTTGTGATACGTTTCGTTGTTGCTTTTAAAATAAAAAGTGTCATCCGATACGGAATATTAGCTTTTACGTTCAGCAATAGCAGCTTTTTAAAAACGTACGTGTACGAGGGTTTTGAGGACGTGGAAAAATCTGAGAAAGAGAGAGTAAAAAAAGCCCAAAGTCGAAGACAACAGGCAACAGACAACGAACAAACCCGTTTGCCGATCAGATTTAAGATCTGCATGGTTCCGAGTCAGTCAAATTATGCACGTTTAGCGAGCGACCTGCACCCTGTGTCCTCTGCATGTTCGTCACAGCCTAGTGTCTGTAGTGTTGCAAGGGTTTTGCTTTCCCCCCCTCTCTCTTCCGCAAAGCATCAACACACTTGGTGGGTAAGGTTATGGGATATATCTCATAAGGACAGATGGCAAGCCACGGGTAAATAACTGGAATCAGTAGTAATAGTAAAATCGGAGAAAGAAAAAAAAAATGTCGTATGTTGACTCCCTTCATATTTCCATCCGCGAAGGGGACTCTGCTATTCACCTGCTCGTCGACGCGACGGGCCCTAGAGACCAAGTACGGGCAGCTGTTCTCATCGACGGCGGCAGAACACACAGAGACAGAAACAACCTCGCCGGTATTAGACAGGTAGTGCTTCGGGATCCTCCCATAAAGCAAACAATCGACTGGATCAGTAGGAATTATGTTTGCCAGGGTGGACAGTTGAAGTTCGATGCCATCGTTATAACTCATTGGGATGGGGACCACTTTGATGGCATCACGGAGGCACTGCAAAATGAGGCGACTGCAGTTCCCCCTCCCCCCGCAGGCCAGATCCCCTGGTTGAAATGGGGAGCGAACAACGAGCCTCAAACAAGGCTCTATTGCCCACACCTGGGGAGATCGGGGATCTACCAAGTTGATGTCTTACACGATCCTCCGCAGGTGTCGGTCACAACTAACAATGGCCGATACACGTTTGCCCAGTATTACGATACCAGCACCAATATTTTTGACGTACTCGGGGTTGAGCTCTTCAGCAATCACCCCTTGGATCCTGGAGACCAGCATGCGCTGTCTCCATCGCAGTTGCTAGCAGCGCATGGTAATCTATCAGCCGGCATCTACTGCGTGGGCGTTTCGGAGCGCTCACTGGCACAACCAAACGCACCGCTCAAGTCGACAATTGTCGGTTCAGACGATTCACTTAAGAACAGGAGCTCCATTGCGGCGATGGTGATGTGGCCGGGCACTCCGCCGAGAATCTCTCATTACTTTGCCGGAGATCTGGACGACGGTCGTGAAATAGCCATTCTAGCATGGTTGGAGGCAGAAACACCAAGGATCGAGAAAATCACCAGCGTCAAGCTCAATCATCATGGATCAGCTACTTCAACCCCCTTGGAGCTGTTCCGTCGGTTCAAGCCTCTCAACACTTTCATCCCAACTCCCCTCAACGCCAGACACAAACACCCTAGTATGTTTCCCAGTCTTTGCTTCCTCCATTGTAATTAACCCAATATACTGATTATCAGCCTGGCCCGTGATCTTTACCTGGCATGCCTGGGCCCAGTCCGTTTTACCTCCGCCTCGATTGATCGCGGGGACTTTTCCTGCCGCCATCACTCGCGAGGTCGACGAAACAGGTCAAAGTCACTGGGTCAATCTACATAAAATATACCCTCAGCATTTCGACGTTCCGGCCTTCCGAGACTACATAATAGCGGTCAACGACGACATCAACGCACAACGAGCAGCAGTGGGCCAACCGGCCTTACCCAATGAATATCAGCTGTTTCAGCTCGTTCCACCCGATCTCCAACGCCAGAGTAACTACCTAGCTGGCCGTTTCGCAACCATTTGGGATCATCACGGGTTCCCTGACATCAATTATCACTGGGCATCTTGCGCAGCATATTCTGTAACGCAACGAACCGTGCTTCGAAAATCTCTGCTTTTTGTGCGCATTCGATCCGCCCCCACTGACGTCGCAGACGGGCAGCTCCATTATGTGAACATAGATGATGATAACCTTATCCTGCGTCTGTGGGGGAGGTTGCCGGAACTCACAAGAGTTAACACCCTCAGGACGTTAAGTCACAGTGTCCTCGCCATCAGACTGATGTTGCCACAGCCACCTGCAGCTCCAGCGGTGCTACCACATGTGGTGGCACCTCCAGATATGCGCTCTACAAACCGATGCTCTCGTTCCCTCTTGGCGGCAGCAGAACGGCAAATTGATGATTCCTTGCTGGAACATGCCTGTGTAGAACCAGGTAGTTACTACGTACCGGACGAAACCAACCCTGACGAAATGTCTGGTGGGGAAGAGGAATCAGGAAAAGTCATGAAAAAAAGGATGTTTGAGGAACAAGAGAAAGAAGAAACAGATAAAGAAGAACCCAAGACACCAGAATCTCCTTGTTCTTGGGTTGAGCTGGATGCTAACGAAATACCACATCTGAACGACATAAAAGGATGGGCCATCTACGCCAGTGACCTCTCGGTTGAAGAGATTAGAGCAAAGGGCGTCAACAATTTTGAGCGTCTCTCTATTGGCATTTTGGATGATTTTGTGATGGATCTACACTGTCATGTCCTCTGGCTGCAGACTAAACTCCCCTCAGAGCCGGAAGTCGGCAGCCGAACTATGCTAATGGAGGACGATGAGTGCCGCTGTTGGTTTTACGATACCCTCAATGCGAAGGAGGTTTCTATCATCAACGCGGCGAAAGGTGAAGTTGGTGGCTTCTACGTCCGGGCTTCTTTATCTTCAATGGGCAATGGACCGACAGAAATCGCACCCGCGTGGATGGAGTTCTCGACAGACGAGGCGACTCTCAAAACGACGTTTGGGTCGATCGAGCCCATCCTTCCCACAGGTCTCTTCAAAAGACATTGCATGCTGGTGATGGGACTAAAGCCCGTGACTGTAAAACCGTCCAAGACCGTTTATCTGCATGACTTGGTGGACTTTATCGGCGTGGAAGAACTGAAAGAAAACACTCTAATCAAATTACTCGGTTCATTTCCTATGAGACCCCCATCAAATCACGAGGAACTTCAAGGAAAACGCAACGCCGTGTGGTTTTTACCCAGTAACGACTACCGAACCACCATCCGGCTCGAGTGGCCCATGGATTCGACAACCCAGGCAGAACTAAATAAATTTCTCAAGCCCTTGAATCTAACGATAGGCGCTACTTCAGCAATCGCTCGCCGTACCAGTCGATGGTCCACAACCGGGCCGAGCTGCCAGATGCTCACGCATGGGAGCCTCGTCTTCCGCACTGAAATTACTCTCAATCAGATCAAACTAGAAGCGACATTCGAGTTCTCTACGGCAGTAACAACCATGACTCTGACTCTCAATTCCAAGACGAGCCAGGCACTACAAAGTCTCCTGAATTGGGTCCAGAGTCTCGTTCCGGGTGATCAAAAGTTTGACTTCGGGGATCTCCAGGGCCAATCCTTTGGGTCTAGCAATCTGGGTGAATTTCACTTCCGTCGTATAACGATTGGGCTCGTTGATGATGAGAGAGGAAGCGCCAAACTATCCACTTTCAGCATGGACATGGAAGTCGGTCTGCATCATAGCCCAAATCCCTCAACGCTTTTCCTTCTCACATATACCTATCAAAAAGGACAAGGGAGCACTGTGAATGCTAAACTATGGTGTTGTTCGTCTTAACCTTTTCCCCAGATTAAGACTTGAAGCTCTAACATTTAAACAGCTCCGCCCACATTTCCCCAGGAAGCCCAATGGCTTCTACTCCCCGAGTATGAAAAATATCCCACCATGACGCCCGTGTCAATTGAACCCTCCAACTGGCCGAAATCTCTTGACCTGGCTGCACTCGGGGGGTTCGAAGATCTCCCCGACTTCCTGCCAACGGAGATTCTGACGGCGGAGTTCCGCGCCAACAAAAAGGGGATTGCCTTTGGAGGATCGATGAGACCGAAGCCAGCAAAAGGAAAGGTTCCTACATTCAGTATTGCTGAAATCACATTGGAGGTCTCGTATGAATGGGGAAACGGTGCCGGTGGAACATTCAACGGCGCTTTTTCCATCAAAGCGCTACTCCAGCAGCCCAAGGGAGCCAAGTATGGCTGGCCCACGCAACTCATCGGTACAGTCGCCTACTCATCGAACCCATCACGGTGGACGCTATCTGGCACTGTATATGATCTGTACGCATCTACACTCGCACAGTTCTTTGATATGAATGAGTCAATCCAGGCTGCGGTTATGCCCATTCTGGAAAGTATCCGCGTACAATATTTGGACATCACATACAATTACGCCAGGCAGGAGGCCTCATCCTTTGATATCACTGGAATTTTGGTCATCGGATTCCACCTGTTTACTCTCAATTTCCACCATTCGGAGACCGGTTGGACGTTCGTTGCTACAGCTGAGTCGGCCAAAAATCACAACGTCAAGTCCACTGTCGGTGATCTGGTCACCAGCGTTGCCGGGCGCGATATGAATCTTCCCGACTTCATTTCCAACATCGGCGTGCAGGTAAGCAAAGATAACAAAATGGAGTTGGTGATAAAAAAGTCTCAACCGGCTGCCGGCCCAGAGAGCATGGTCATTCTCCTCACAGTAAAACTAGGAAATTTCACCCTCCGCTACATTCAATTTCGTGAAGTCGTACCTGTTGCACTCGCTGCTGCTACACCTACTCAACGCGTGCTTATTGCTTCCATGAATCAACTTCCTGGCTCTGATATTCCCCTAGTCGGGCAAGTTGGTCAGCCTTATGACGAGGTCATGTTCGCATGGGTACAGGGGCAGGATGGACTCACAGGTCTCACCAAACGACAACTAGATACGGTAAACAAGGTCCTCCTGGAGCTCAGCCAGCAGCCACTGCCATACAAGCCTGTGAAAAAGGGAGAGCCTGTAGCTACAGACGTGCTACTGCTCCAGGGGATGCATTTCATGCTGATGCGAAAGGCAAACACAGGGCCATCCACTGTGGCTTTAGACTACGCCTTCAACAAGCCCAAAGAGAAGGCCAAGTCACTTGCAGCAGATGGGGTGGAAGACAAAGGATCTCGAATGGCGCCATATGAGCGAAGTGAGGGTCCACTTTCGATCAAAAATATCGGCTTCAAATACTCAACTGGGTCCAGTGGCAAGGAATCCATACTCGCCATCCGGCTGGATGCGTATGCGAAAATTGGACCCGTTGAGTTCGCTTTACTTGGACTCACTCTGGGCCTGAACTTTGCCGGCGCCAGCCGTGACGGTGCACCTTTAACACTTGACAATCTACCAGATCCCTATATCTCACTTGATGGTTTACAAGCATCGTTTGACAGGCCTCCGATTGAAATTGCTGGAATGCTGCAGTACAAGAATACCGACAAGGAGGAATCTTTCGCTGGTGCTTTAGTGGTCAGCTATGTTCCCTGGCGATTCCAAGCGGCGGGATATTACGGAGTCATCAAAGACCCTCAATCGCATGATGAATTCAAATCATTCTTCTTGTATTGTGTCCTACAAGGGCCTCTTATCACCTTTCAGTTCGCCACAATTGAAGGTGTCTGCGGTGGCTTCGGTTACAACTCCAACTTGACCTTTCCCACCCCCCAAAACGTCAAGCAATTTCCTTTGATCTCCGACAGCGGTTCAGCGCCTTCGCCCGATGGTGGGCCGAATCAAATCATGGAGCAGCTACTCTCGACCCGATGGTTTTTCCCCCGCAAAGAATCCTTCTGGGTCGCAGCCGGATTGACCGTCAAGGCGTTTGAAATACTGTCTGTGCAGGCGGTCCTAGTGATCCAGTGGAATCCTGAAGTGGAAATCGGCATCTTCGGGCTTGCTGTAGCTAGCATCCCCGGAGGCAAAACGACAAAGAGATTCGCTCACGTTGAGCTCGGTGTCACAGCAACGCTCAGCTTCCGCACGGGTGTAATGAAGATAGAGGGCGAGTTAACCCCAGCCTCCTTCATTCTTGATCCTAGCTGCCATCTCCAAGGCGGATTTGCCCTGTACACGTGGTTCGACAGCAGGGATGACCAAAGCGTCAAGGGTGACTGGGTGTTCACTATCGGAGGCTTCCACCCTTCTTACAATAAACCACCGCAGTATCCCAACCCCCACGACTCGGCATCAGTTGGCAATTTGGAAACGCTATCAGTATCTCGGGACAGGCTTACTTTGCCATCACCCCAAAAGCCTGTATGGGTGGTGGACGCTTAGATGTAGCTTTATCTCTGAATCCGCTCTTTGCGTATTTTAACGCGTTTGTCGACTTCCTTATCAACTTCAAGCCGTTTTCGTTTATTGCTGAAGGTGGCCTTACCGTCGGCGTTCGATTCACCCTCGACTTGTGGCTTGTATGTATCAATATCAAGGTTGAAATCGGCGCCCGGTTGTACATCGAAGGACCCCCAATCCGCGGCCGTGTTCACGTTGACTTCTGGGTGTTTGGATTCGATGTCAATTTCGGAGCCGAAGATCAAAGTAAACCGGAAGCACTTTCTCTGGACGAATTCATCGAGGTGGTTTGCCAAACCCATACCTCGGGAATCCCGTCTTTCAACGCTCTCCCTACTTCTTCCGGTGCTGAGTCTGATGCCGACAAAGACCCTGAAGCTCACGTATTTGCCGTCCAAGAAGGACTCATCCCTCAGGACAAAGTCAAATCCACGCCTAGTGGTGAGATGTGGGTAGTTCGCGCCGCAACGTTCGAGTTCTCGGTTACCTGCAAATTCGCCATCGACAAGGCGATCGTTATCACTCCAACGTCCCAAGGTGATATCGAGAACGAGGTCCCAGGAACGAACAAGGACATCTATGCGAAACCTATGTATACCGAGTCACCCATCAAATCCACCCTGCGGATCAAAATCAGTCCAGATAGTGCATATTTAATGAATGAGGAATTTTCCACCGAGCCGCTGTGGGATTCAAATCAGAGTATTCGGAAAGATGTTCCATTAGCATTGTGGGGGAAATGTACGTATTCTTCCTTCTATCTCTTTTTTGATATTTTGAATGGTAATGTGAGCTTACAAGGATGATTAACAGATGACCGCTCATCCGATCCCTCGTATAACAAAAACCCCGAGTCTCTCCTAAAGGGTACAAGTGAAAAATCCGTCGACCTAATGATGGGCGTTCATCTCATGAAGCCAGAACCTCTTCCATCCCAAGACAAAACCGTCCCATTTGACGTGGAGAAATTTCAAATCCAAAAAATGGCTGCGGATACACCGATTGCACTTCCCTCGGAATCAACCAGCGCATTTAAACCTATTCCAGATACCGGCAAAAAACAATGGGAAGACGTGAGAAAAGTATGGACCGAGAAAGAATCCGCGGCCCAGAAAACCGTTAATCTGTGGGAATCGTTGGGATTAGCAAAATTAGGCTGGGCGAAGAAGAAAATCGAGTCTGCGGGACATCAAGTCTTGACTGGATCCAAACCGCAGAAAGTCGTCGACAATTTACCGAAGTATTATTTGTTCGCGCCGCAGCTAAGTGGGCCATAACTCTGTATATGTTAGTTTATTTTTCAATTTTGATCCTGTTTCTCTCGCAATTATTACTATATCCTGAATGAATGCAGGCCACCAACATTGCTATGGTCCTATTTGTGCCAACACTGCTTGGAACTTGTATAAATTGAGAACTGGAGTCACCTACTACTGGATTTCAGATTCACTCTGTTGAATCTTTACCAGGAGCCATTCCGCACCTAATATTTGCTATCTTGTCTTCAAGATATTGACAAATCTCCAGCCTGTTCAGTACATCCTTCACTTCAAATGTTCATTGGAGGAGTAGAGTAAGGTAATTTCCCCTACCAGTACCCGGATCATTTACAGTTCTAAATCATTGTGTTTATGGTAAATGTTGATTATACCTTGGTGAGTGCTTCAAATATAAGCAAAAATAATATTTAATTTCTTGATAGAATATTTCTTATGATCCTTGTATTATCCATATAGTAGTGGACGTATATATAAGCTAGGTATACTAGATTTTTATAGTATTAAATATTACTAAAGTTGCTTTACATCCTATAATCAGATATAGGAATCTAAATGTTTAAGTAATTACAGGCTAGCTGCCTGGTTTCGCGCCAATCAATACTTACCCTCTTTGCCAGTCGGTCTCGAGGTTTTTAGGGTAGTGACAGTCTCCAAAATATCCCCCATAGATGCCTCTCTCGGGACCAACTCTTGAACAAAAGTTAAGTCTGAATTGGTGTCATCCTTCTAGCGCCAGCTAGAACCGTTCAACTTGATTTCCATTCCATTGCAGGGCTGGGAGTAGTACGTGTACACTAGATTTCATGCACTACTCCCAGGCCTGTTCCATTGGGTAATTGTGTTGGAAATTTGCACGACACCCTGCAAAGACGCTATACCATTTCGGCAAAATGAATAGCTACATATTCCAACATCTTAGGAAATAAAATACATTTTATTTAAAAATAAGTGAACAAAAAGGAACCACCTTCCCAAACCATGAGACTCCATTTTCCGATATTTCCGAGATATCGCACGTGCCTTGAAAAAGAAAAAGACCAGACTAGACATATCTGACAAAAAGAGACTAGACCAGCGCGAACTCATGGATAGCTGAGGGGCCACTCTCGTTATACTCTGGCCGCGGAAGATAGCCCTTATATTGTCCTTGACCGTCATTAACAAAGACCATTTTAGCCGCGATCTGAGCACCGAGGAAGACAGATTCTTCCATGCCAGGACGCGGAGAACCCGTCGGATTCGATGCGGCAGTCGTTCCACCGGCGCCAGTCGCTCCCGGCGCATTAGTACTCCCCTGGTCCTTCCATTCGGGGAAATAGTCTGGCGGCTTGACGGTTTTCACGGCCGTGGGGGTCTGTGAGTGGCCTGTTGAACGGTGCATGGACATATACATGGGATCATTCATGGGTGTGGGCGGCGTGGGTGCATTGGCGTGCGTTGCAGCAACGAGGAGTGGGTTGACGCCGTGCGCAGCTGGGTGGTTGAGAGGACCTGGGTTCTGGCCCGGGTTGGCTGGGGTGTTTGTTCCACCGGTGGCTAGAGGCGTGGAGAGGTTAGAAGGCAGCTCGGAGGTGAAGATGCCTGTTGAAGGGGATAGGATATATTTTTGGGTGATAGTTGACAGAAGCGCAGGAACGAATCCTATTCTGGTTGTTAGAAGTTTCTTGGTTGGTCTTTCGGACAACTGGTTGGTGCCTACCTCTGATTCGGCTGCCATTGCCGATAATAATCAGATTATCCCACAGATCGGCTCTTTTAGCTGCATCTGGTACAGATAGAATAGTGTGATGAATCTGGGCCGCGAGATCCTCCAAAATACCACTGCTGCCACGCTCTTTTCTTTCCTTTCCCGCCGTCGCCAGCATGAACCGCTCTACGCCAACCTCAACCTCCCGTCTTTGGCGCATATACTGGGCAGTGTCGTTGATGCGTACAAATTCCTCGAACTGAAAGGTTGCCTTTGCGCGTTTCGAATTCGGCAGACGCGCCGCCTTGTTTGTCTGTTCGCTGTTTTTCTTTGAGGTGACTTTCTCCTTTTCGCGTTTAGCGAGAAACTCGTTCGTATTGCCGCTCGTGACGATTGCGGCAACATCAAGCACGCCTTCATCTTCGTCACCATTCTCGTTGGTTTCAGTCTGCGTTCCACGTCCGGGGCCACGTGGCACCTTTGCTGAGTTTCCGTCCGTTGCGCCTGTTGACGCTGCAGAGGCCGGGTTGATGTCCGGGGTAGTAGGTGCGATAGACCCGGGCAACGCGGTTCCAGGTGGGAGAATCTCGGTGATATTGCTGCGTTTGAGTTGCTCGCACATTTCTCTCGTAAAGCCCTCACGCTTCAGCAACTCTTCCAATCGATCGGTTAGAGTCTCGCCTCCACAGCCCTGCAGAGCAATTCCTCGGCCATGGTCTTGAACGACCGAGTCGAGAACAGCGGTAACATTTGCCTTGCCATGGCCAACGTCAACCACAGTAGCATTGATCGTACCATAAGCATAGCAGGCAGCCAGCGCAGAATCTATCAGACTGAAACCCGGTGGCTTGAACCTTTCAAAGACAAACTGAGTCAAGATCTCGCGATCGCGTGCCGTCCAAGCGGGCTCAGAAACAATCAAGATGGGCGTATGAAAAGGTGGGCTGAGCGTGTTGTAAATGTGTTCAAGAAGGGCTAGAAAGCATGGCCAATCGACAACCTGGCCGTTCTGGATAGGATACACAGCGCCTTCATCAGATATGATGTCTTCATCGAGCAGGATTTCCTCCTTGGGTTCTGCCGCCTCTTGCTCTGCCGTAGCAGCATCAGCAGCAGCGGGCGCAGCTTGCTCATTTGATTCTGGCTTTTCAGTCTTTTCTGCGCTGCCTGCATCTTCCTTTGGAGCCTCCGTCATCTCCACATCCGGCTTGCCCTGGCCATTGCTTTGAGCGGGCTGCTGGGCCGCGCGTTTTCGCTCGCGAATCTTGAATGGTTCAAACTCGCCTTTCTTTTCAGCGGGGTACATGCGCGTCGGGAACCGATGGCTAGCAGGGGTAAATGATTCAGGCAATCCCAATTGCGCCATGGTAGTTTGAGAGCCTGGCGCAATGAGCTGCGAAAATAATGATTAGCTGAAGACAAGACAGAGTAGATAAAAGGCATGGAAAAAAAAAAGTAAAATTGGGACTCACCAGAATATGCTCATCCTTGAATTGAGGCATCTCGCTCTGCCCGATTGGCCGTGCCTGCGCGCAGAAGTAGAGAGTCGTTTGGGGATCCTGATGATGGCTGCGACGCGCTGTGGTGCTTGCTTCTCAGCAGATGTCGACCTCGGGTTGCCGACCGCCTTCCTTTCCTGGCTTGGCGCGGGTCTAGCAGAGCTGGCCAATCATTGCTCACCGCTCACTTTTATTGAGAAATAATTTATTAACTCGTCAGTAGAAAAGGGGTAGAACAAGATGCGGTTAAGGATGGTTATTGCGAAGAAAAGTCTTTAGGAGAGTCGTGTTGATTGTTGAGAAGAGTAATTGTATTAGCTGTATCGTCTATCATGATCTATATACAAAACTTCTATCACCGAATGCATATTCTATCGCTTTACTAGGAGCTAGTCACGTCCAACCATGCCCGCGAGGACACCTGCTCCAATAATAACTCCATCATTAGCTTCACGCAGAAACACGCTCTTCCCACCATCCTGTGGCCCGCCTTGGATCACCAACCGATCTATATACCGCTGACAATTCTCTATAAACTTGGGATAATGCTGAATCACGCCTCCAATGCACGCAACAACCAGTTCTTCCGGCCCGCCATGCCAGTCTGGCCGTGACCCGAATGTGATTTCGTGAAAGCTCTTTGAGGGCGAGCAGCTCAACAGCTCGTTCTTTAATGGCGTTGCCGGATCGCGCAGTGACACCTCGTGGTTCGACGCCAGTAGTGCCACGGTGGCAGCAGCAACCAACGCAGCCGAGCGTGTTTGTACTGCTTGCACGATCTCCCGTAGCACGTTGGCCGTCTTCGCGGTCCATGTCCACCCACTAGAGCTTGGTGGTGGGAGATTCCGGTTGAGGCATTCGCTGAGGGTTGTGGTGGAGGGGTAATTTGACATTATGTCGATGATGAAGTCGGCGCGTAGGGCATACGGCACGACGAGGTTTGTAGGTAGGGAGCGGTCGGAGATGCCTAGAATGCTAGTAAAGTAGTCGTGGCAGATAATGCGAATCAATTCTCCAATATATCGGCCGCCAGTCATATACTCCAGAGGCTGGAACCCTGGTTTTGCGGATTGCGAGTCTAGTTGGAGATCCCATTTGGTGATAATGCCGTGGTCGTAAAGAGGCGATGCAGCGCCGCGGAGGGTCCATTCTGTACTGACTAGAGTCTGGGCTGCGTCTGGATCCTGGGCTGTAATGTGTCGGGTTTTTGAGGGGTGTAAATCAGACAGGATCATAGGGATCGTCGCGTTACAGCCCTCGTCGAGAACAATTCCCATTGCCACGCGGCTGTTGGGGTATGATTTGATAGAGTATGAGAGAGACAGCAGAGTAGCGACAGCGTCGTTGGTGAGTGCAGTAATCTTGAGCTGGGGAAGAACAAAGTGTCGCTGCCGCTTGGCTGCTCGCTCTTCGTCGTCTCTTCTCTGAGTATGCCGCTCATAGCCTTGCAGAATAGAGTTTCGAAGGTCCAAGTCGCTGCTGATAGTAAACCCTTTTCCTGTCTGCATTAATGTGGCTTCCTCGAGAGAGTCTTGTCTGCGAAAAGTCAGTAATTGGTTCTGAGTTAACTATATTGTTGGACAACGAACTTGATGGGAAGACTGAACGCAATGCCAGTTTCTATATGTGAGGGCGGGTGCTCAGAAGATGCATTCGACAGCAAATCGTCCTTGACGACCTCGGCAATACAGTTCCCAATCCACAGAAACAATTCATGAGGCTGATCGTGCTTCAATCGCTCTTCGATCCTCCACGCCTTCTCAAGCGTTCGTCGCACCCGCGAATGTCGCGCTTTACGGATCATGTTACTCATCGACCTCGACCTCATAGCAGTCTCACCCAGCAGGTCAATAAAAGCCACCTTCAGCGTCGTGATCCCTACATCGACGGCCAGAAAGCGACCACACTCCCGGCCGCTAGGCAGATGGGTTACAGGCACGGGACTGAAAAGACTGTCATCCTCACTGCTCGACGCCAGCTCGCGGAAGACATTTGAAAACGAGCAGGCTACGTCGTAGAGCTGCGGATCAGTCGCGCGCAGCGGAGTCAAGAAATCGCGCAGCGGTTTGCTCGCTGCAAGACTCATCGTCGTCGTCGTTGTCGTCTGTTGGTGGCGGAATTTTAGTGGTGGCTGTGGTAACGCAGTCGTCCACACGGATGTGCAGACTTGACAATTGGGCGTCATTGCTGCGAGAAAAAAACAGTTGATCTGTGTGTTTGTATTTTATGTCGACATGTTCCCGCTCTTTCTATTACGTGCGAGATTGTAGACGAAATAGCATCATGCATGATATTAATATGCATTGTGTGATCATTTGCATTGAAATCTTTTTTCCCTGTCCGATGTAACGGTGGCCTGGCGGGTTGTATTTCCTCTCTGTCGATAGAGCATGCTGGGCTGGCAGAAAGTGGAGTTGTGTTTTGCAGTGAGACAGAGGGTCGATGAGGCGATTGGCAGCAGTGATCTAGATGGATCTAGTGTGATGGTTACAACCTTTCGTTGCCTTCACGCTCCACAGATGTAACTGGCAAGCGGCCGCCGTGTGATTCGCCGGGCCAGCCGCCATGTGCTCGCTGGCCCTGCGGTTTGGTTTGTCGATCGGCACGACATAACAATACTATTACTAATATTACTATTGTTACTATATTTATTTATTTATTAATATATACGTAATTAATATATAAGAGATCAGCCCATACCAAGTTCTCGCTGCCAACGTTGATGTTCTGGCAGGATCCTCTGCCACGTAAACTGCGTGGAGGGCCCTGACGAACCTGGCCAGGGCCCGGGCTTACTTCTCAATCCAACCTGCGTTGCACTATGCTACCTCTAGTCCCGTGCCTAGTATAGTGGCCACTGGCTATAGCCAGCGATTATGATTTATGCGTTCCGACGTCGTTTCTCTGTAAGTCGATCCTTGGCGCCTGGTGGTGCTTCTCATAGGCCTACTCTATAAATAAGGCTCTAATAAGCTCTCCCCTGGATGCATGCCGCTAGCAGCATAGTCTTACTAGTAGCATCGCGGCTGTCCCTATTCTTGGGATGCAACTCATCATAGGCTATGGAGAGACGCTGGAAGGCGATCGCTCCGTTTTGGGAGAAACTAGCCCGAAGAGAATTTCTAGAGCATTGTTGCGGGGCCAATAGGACGCCAAATGAAAGACAGCAGCAGATCTGCTGGATCATCAGATGCATTTCCTCGATATTGTTCGCCGCCACATGTGCTGTATTCTCAGCGCTGTCTCGAAGTTGATCGCTCTAGCGTTTGAACTTGCGTGGCCTGATTGCGACCTGGCTGTCTCGCTATGGCTCGCTGTACCCTCGCTGTCAACGTAGCACGGTGTATGTAGTATGATCGTCAGTTGAGCTTCGGTAAAGCCGAAGGAATATATCGAGCCATGTGAACTATCCACAGATCCTATCACAGATCATAATCAAATTCTCATCCAGAGCAAACAAAGTCAAACTAACAACTACTCCCAACGCCGGGCCATTTATAACTCCATTCGCTAAAATTTGATTCTTGTCACTGATTGCCACCCAATTTCCACTCCATTCCATTCCTTCCACGTATTATTTGTCGACGGCAGCAGTGAATCGGGCATGGACATGGATATTAATATAAACGCAGTTGCTAATCCTACTCGGCTCCACCGTTGAATTTCTGTCCGGCCGAAGCAAACAGTTCCTGCTGCTGGCGAAGAAGCTCCTCCGCCGTGAGACCGCTCTGTTCCATCTTGCTTGTCTTCTTCTCTCGAGTCTGTTGTAGATCGGTTAGAGATGAACATGGCAAGCGAGAAGACGAGACTAACCTTCAGCGCCTCTTTGTGTTCCTCGGCAACCGCGAGCACGTCTTCGATGTAGTCACCGAACCCGAGATCCCGCAGCGCCTTTTCGACATGCTCACATGCGATCGTCTTCTTCGCGTCTTTCTCGCTGATGTCGTTCGCCTCGGAGGAGATCAGGGTGATAAACTCGACGCAGCATTCCATCAAGAGGTCTCGCGCATCTTTGGCAAAGGTCTGGCCCGAGGAGGGCGGGAGGATTTCAGTAATGATTTTTTGGACGGTCGCTTGTGTGGTGTCAGCGGTGTCGTCGTCATCTCAAGACTCCTGGACTTACCTTTGGGAAGCGACAAATCGTCGTTTGCTATACAGGGTCAGTTACTGCAGGGGGGGTGGATTGTTACGAAAGCACTCACAACTAAATTCACGGTCCGACATATTCTCAGGTATATCTGACTATGTTCTTGTAGCAGTTGGCGCTGTGGTGAATGGAAGATGTCGAGGGCGTTGCGGGGCGCTCGACTGTTATAAAGAAGCGTGAATCGACGCGACAGGCGGCAGAACCCGTGCTCCACCGCGCTCACCGCCCTGCGCCTTCCCGCATCAAATTTTCTTTTTCAGTTTTTTGTTTTCTTTCTTCTCCTTCATCAATTCTTTTTTCTCTCATCTTTCTCTCTTGACTTTCCTCGATTAGCATTTGTTTCGATTGCCTATTGTGTTGACTCAAACTAATTAATACTTATTAGTATTGTTCTCTATGCCTGCAGCTCTTTGTAATTGGTAAGTCCCATGCCCATTGTCTTTCTCTCAACATGATGAACAATTGTGTCGCCCCTATCATACAAAACCGTGGTGATTACCTGTCCCGCCAAAGGACTATCTGATGATGCTTCCTCGAAGAATATATCTCAGCAATTGTGTCGTCTATTGCTAATTCTTAGATATTAGATATACTTTCCTCCTAATTTCCACAGTGTCTCGGCCAGTAGTGCTCATGATGTAAGTCTGAATACTCTCTTCTAACCCTCGACGCGTGATGAACCCCATACATTTCCATGCTAAGTATGAAGATGGTTTGCATCTAATGCTTACACTATGTATCTGCTTTTCATCTTTCGGCTGATGTCTCCCAAACTTCACAATATCTATTCATACCTCTGCCAGAAAGCGGACTGACCAGAGCAACCAGATTTTACTCCTGAAATGCCACCAAATCCTTATCATTCCACCTAAAAAAAATTAGCTCTTAGTCTCAATGAAACAAACTTGGCAAAAACTCAAACTCACGTTATAAATCTCCCACTCAAACTCTTCGGTGCATCCAGCACCAGTTTCGCCATAACATGGCCCGGCTGCTCCGGTCTCAGAAGCTTCCCCGTCCTATGCGCCTCCATAAACCTCTCAAACGCTTCTGGCGCCATATTCCCGCGGTGACCCTCGCGTATCTCGCGCTGCATCTCCGTATCCACCATGCCCGGCCGAAGAGACACAGAGGTAACCTCCGGCTCCTCGTTCGCCAACGACAGCACCAAATGGTTAATCGCAGCCTTTGTAGCGCCGTACAACGCCCACCCGTTTGTCGCCGACGTAGATGCCCCTGACGACGTAAAGATGATTTTCCCCTTGGACTGCCGTAGCGCAGGTAACGCCGCTTTTGCCTATTGACTATCAGCACCCGTTTCCCTTCCCTTAAAAAGAAAATTTTTGGAGTGTAACTATAATTATGGGGTAAGTCTTACGAAGCCCACTAAGCTGATAAAATTCACGTCAAACGCGCTCCGCCATTCCTCTAGCTCTGCGCCTGCCACTGTCGCCACCTGTCCGAGGACGCCATGGTTAAGAACTAGTCCATCCAGTGCCCCGAAGCGTGATAGCGCCAGCTGCACGGCTTTCTCGGGGAGACCCGGCGCTGTCGCGTCGCTGGCGATGTAGTCGACGTTATCCGGGTATTGAGACTGCAGGGCTTGCAGGGGTTCGGCGGTGCGGGCGAGGAGGATGACGTTGTTGCGCGGGCTAGTTGTGAGGAGGTATTTCGATATTGCCAGACCGAGGCCTAGGCGATTATTAGTTAGATGCCCCAGGTGGTATAGCATTGGGAGAAGGATAAGAAATGGGGGGTACCTCGTGAGGCGCCGGTGACGATTATTGTTTTGGGAGACATTGCTAGTATGTCGTTTGGTGTTGTTGTAGGTGAGTATATTTGAGTAAAATCGAATTGATTGAGTGTCTTTCTTGAATGCGGGGCTCGGCTCGCTTTCTCCTCTTTTTTCTCCTCTTTCTAGACGAATGATGTGATTGTAGATCAAGATTATTACATAAAGATGATATCAAGTTTGAATATATTAAAAAAAAAATTAAAAAAACCTATTGATCTATTCGATATAGTAGGATGGTTGGTTGGGAATCGTGGTTATCATCTCCAACCTTGACCCCGCTGCGGAGAAGATATATATATATATATGGTCTAACCCGTTGAATATTACTTGATTAATATCCCATTCATCGTGTCAGATCATGTCCACAGTCATCATCGGCGGCGGCATAATCGGCGCCTCGGTTGCCTACTATCTCAGCAACGATTCTGCTGAGAAGGAACAAGACGTACATGTTATAGAGTCATCGTCGCAACTCTTCAGCGCCGCGTCTGGGTATGCCGCGGGATTCATTGCCAAGGACTGGTTCTCGCCGGGTGTTTCGCCATTAGGCGCGCTGTCGTTTGGTTTACATCAGAAATTGGCGGCGGAGAATCACGGGCAGCGTGCATGGGGGTATATGCAAGGGACGGCGCTGAGTCTTGATCTTGATGAGAGGGAGGCTGGTGTGCGTGGGAAGGAATGGGTTAGTGAGGGGGCGAGTCGAGCAGAAGCTGTTAATAAGAGGGAGCATACGGTCGTGGAGGAGGGTGAAGCGCCGGCGTGGTTGACAGGGGGGCGAGCGGAGGTTATCAGTGATGAAGGCGTTGGTCAAGTGTGAGTTGCCCAGCTGTATGCAACTCAGGAATATTAATATTAAAATAGTCCTCAGGGACCCGTTGAGATTGTGTCAGTTTCTTCACGACAAGACGGTTTCTCGAGGGGTAACATGGCATCGTCCAGCGCAAGTGGTGTCTCTTACCATAAACCCAAGTACACAGCTCATCCATAAAGTCACGATACTGAACTCCGAGACACAGACTGAATACACCATCCCCTGCCGAAATCTTGTCATATGTGCCGGGCCCTGGACTAGTGTCGTCTATAAAAAGCTGTTCCCATCAGCATCGATTTGGCCGAGAATTTCCCCATTGGCTGGCTATTCGCTCTTGCTTCGATCACCTCGACATACGCAAATCCACGAGCAGGAGAGATATAAAGGGAAAAGCCACGCTATTTTCGCATCATCAAACCCCCATCTAGGCGGATTCAGTCCGGAGATTTTCTCTCGGCAAGGCGCAGAAATTTATATTGCGGGCTTGAACAGCAGTGACCTTGCGCTGCCGACAAGAGCAGAGGGGTCAAAGTTTTTGATAGACGCGCAGAAAATTAATGAATTGAAGAAAGTCGCTGTGAAGTTAATGGGGAAGCTAGCCTCAGGACACTCAGAGTCTTCTAGCGAAGTAGTCAACGACGATGATCTCCAAGTACTTCGAGAAGGGCTATGTTTTCGACCATTGTCAAAGACAGGTACCCCGATTGTGTCCAGAGTCAAAGATGAATATCTCGGCGCCAACATCAAGTCAGACCACTCAGCTGTGGGCAGGAATATAGGCGGCGTATTCATTGCCTCAGGCCATGGACCATGGGGTATTTCGTTGTCGCTGGGGACTGGCAAGGTCGTTGCTGATCTGATAGATGGTGTTGAGCCATCGGCTGATGTTAGCGCGTTAAGTTTATAGTAGTAATGAAGTTCTCAATTGTTGAAGTATGCGAGGAGTTTAATTAATACATTGTTCGTCAATTTCCCCTTGTTGGGGAAAACGTATATTTTAAATAAAGTAGTAGGTATTGTATTGAATATAAGTAGACGAAAAATTTATCCATACAGAGCAATTGGAAATGGAAATAATTTCGCGACACTGATCATCTAGTGTAAACGGGTAATATTAAGTAAGGTCAAAGGAACTTCGGACGCGTCTTCCCCGCGTTTTGCATCTGAAAATCCAAAATCCTCCAGTCAAACGCCCAACCAAGATTATTTTATCGCAAGCAGGACTTGACCTAAAATTTCACTACGATCGTTTTCCTCACTTATATTTTCTTTCACCATGGCGAGTTCGATTGAAGAGGACGGCTACAATGACAGCAATCGCGCGTTCCTGCAAGCTTTCATGGCCCGGTCCAGCATGACCTTTGAGGAGGCGAAGCCCGTGCTTGCTGCTATTTTTTCAGCTCATGGTGAGAGAACTATAAAAAGGACATCTGTTGGGAAATGACTATGCTGACTCTACTCTTCTTGATACAGAAAAGCGAGAAGTGCTACAAGAAGACATCACGCAAGCCGATTTCAACTCGTACATCGCCACCGCGAACAGCGCAATATCGCCGTTTGATTTGGAAATCAAGGCTACGAAGCGACAGACTGTTATCAACGGCGAAAGCAACGGCCAGACGCCATCCCCGTTTGTCTATGCCTTGGTGAATACTACGAGCGACCCGCTCACGCAATTGGCTACGATGTACACTGTCGACGAAATCGCGTTTGTGAAGCGCCTTCTAGACGCCATGTTTGAGACCTATAATACGAGGAGATGCGAGGCCATGGTTGTGTCGAGCATGCAGGCGATACAGTTGGCAAAGGTTTCGTCGGGAGATACAAGTCGCAGAGATTCGACTGACCTTCCGGGGACGACGCAAGCTGGAGCGGCGCAGTCGCTGAGTATGAGCCAAGCGGAAACAGTCCTGTCGAGTTTGGTGGATGAGGGATGGCTGGAGAAAAGTGCCAAGGGTTTCTTCAGTCTTAGTCCTCGCGGTCTCATGGAGTTGCGTGGTTGGTTGGTGGATACATACAATGATGAGGACGAGGAGGGGCCTCAGTCGCGCCGCGTCAAGTTCTGTGCTGCGTGCAAGGAGATCTTGACTGTTGTAAGTGTTTTGTTGAAGATGTCAATATTTATTCACTGGTTTATTAATACGTTATGTTAGGGCCAACGATGTGCAGACCGAAACTGTCCCGGACGTCTCCATGACATGTGTGTGCGCAGCTTTTTCCGGCTACAACAGAGTGAACGCTGCCCAGTTTGCAAAATCGAATGGCCTGGAGATAAGTATGTCGGCGAGAGGGCTTTGGCTGCCAACAATCAGGGAAGACAACAGAGCAGAAATACTCAAATGACGAATGGAACGAGCCAAGTTGATGGTTCTGCAGATCAGCCCAACGAGGATGATGCAGAAAGTTGAACTGGAATAGCCCAGCTGTTACAGAGATAACACCAGCCGGTGTTGACCTGAGAATACGCTGAAATACTTAGTCTATACAAATGGGAGGAATGCTTCGATGTCATGTGCTGCGGCAATACTGGACAATATGGATGATGAAATGTGTGGCCTGGTCTGGCTGCAGGAACAGCATCCTGGCTAGTGCAATTCATGTTGATGGACAGTGTCTGGCTGCCTGGATATCCGCCATGGACGGCGCTACGTGGGCAATCGCTTCAGACTGCCCCAAAAGGTACACCGTACAAAAACCGGCCCGCAGACTCCGATGCTTGGATTGTGCCACTTCTCCACTATCTGGCAAAACGGATGTCATAACTTACGCATTGTTGTTTTGGAAGCACAGACGATGTGTCAAGTACCGTATATAGTGTATGGAGTTGGTATCTGAGCAACACATCGAGGATTTTCGTGTTAGATCGTAAACGGGACTAGAGCTTATGTCAATCTTGGGCTAGAAAAATTGCTGCGTTGCTTTTTAGCCTAGTGGTAAATTCGAACAGGTCGCACCTACGTAATTATTTAGTAGCTGAATACCAATAAAGCCGAAAGCCCACCCTAATTACCGAGATGGGACATAGCGTTGTAGTTTCGTGAGATCGACACAAAACACGAGGGCCGATGCAAGCCCCAACACACCAGACGCCTTTAGCAGTGGGACTAGCAGGCACAGAAACGGGCTAGAAGCGCCTCGAAGGCTGCGTCGAAACTCGTATTATTGCCTGCGTATTGGGATGTGCAAGGTTCAAGCTTATTAGGATTGCGCGCCCAAAGCCCTCGCGCATTGGTAGACGGGCGTAGTTGGCTTATTGGCCGCTGCAGCCACCTCACATGTGGCGCCGTTTCTTGTTTCCCCGCATTCGCCGTTTTATCCGGTTGCTCGATTTTGCTACGGAGATGGAGGATAGAGCAGGGAGTAATGGTGATGCTGAGTTGTTTCCGCTGGAACTTATTAGTATGTACTTAGTTCTAGGATTGTTAGGCTGTGAGATTTCAACGATATGTGAATATCCATGTCCATGACCAGCAGCAGAATCGCCAGGAGAAAACTTGCTCCTTCAAAGTTGAAGCCATCGCGAGAGCTAATGACGCACTGGCTCGGATCGCCTCGTGGTGATTGGGCCATCCGGTGGGGAGAGATAACACGAGCCTCTGATTCGCGACTAGAGCTCGGAGGAATGACGGGGAAATTTCTGGGGGAAAATACAATTAATCATCGTTGTAATATTCATATATAGGGATGGGTAGTTGTTTCTTGCAAGTTGATACCTCCAGTGTTTGCCAGGGTTAAGAAGGATCGACCAGGCCGGAGACAACCGCTGCTTCCCAATGCGTTATTCTGCCGTAAGTCACGGGATTCCTACACAGCATAACACAACTTCACACTTCCCAAAATTCCCACGCTGACTGCTGCAGTTTCTCCAGCAGGGCCTTCTGTGCCTTCTGCCCTTCTCATCTGCGCTGTCTGCCGAGGAAAGGGTTAACCAGGTGCTCGATAACTATGGTACCGATAATGCCAACAGCTTTGCTCCATCCCATAACTCCTACCAAACGCGTTTTCCTGGCGTAACCTGGGACCAGCGCAACTGGCGTCTCCGCAGCACAGCGCTCGACCAGGGTCACTACCAGTCGCGCGGGTCAATTGCGAATGGCTACATCGGAATCAATGTCGCCAGCGCCGGCCCGTTCTTTGAACTCGACACCCCCGTCGACGGCGACGTGATCAACGGCTGGCCACTGTTTTCGAGGCGACAGACTTTTGCCGGTTTGGCGGGATTTTACGACGTGCAGCCGACCACGAACTCGTCGAACTTTCCGTGGTTGGACCAGTACGGCGGGGAGAGTGTGATCAGCGGTATCCCTCATTGGAGTGCCCTGGTCCTCGATCTTGGCAACGGGAATTACCTCGACGCGACGGTCGATAAGTCGACGATTTCAAATTATGCTACAACATATGATTACAAGGCTGGTGTCCTTTCGTGGCATTACACGTGGACTCCCAAGGGCCAGCAAAACAACTCATTCGTTATCAGTTACAAGCTCTTTGCGAATAAGCTTGATGTCAACCAGGCTGTTGTCAAGCTTAGCATTACGCCCTCAGCAAATGGCAATGCGTCAGTGGTCAATGTCATTGATGGGTATTCCGCTGTGCGCACTGACTTCGTCAAATCTGGCAGTGACAGTAATGCTATCTATACGTCTGTCAAGCCAACAGGAATCAATAACGTCACAGCCTGGGTGTATGCTGTTCTTGATGGGGATAATGCCTTTGACTTTGCTTCGGCGATGCTTGTTGACAACAAGCCATATGTGCACCAGAACGGTTCATCTATCGCCCAATCCGTCAATGTCAAACTTAGCGCTGGCAAAACTGTCAGTGTTGTCAAATATGTTGGTGCTGCTTCCACGGATGGGTTTGCTGATCCTCAGAAAACCGCCAAAAAGGCTGCGCTGGATGCGAAACGCAGGGGATTCGATGATTTGTTGCGCTCTCATGTGTCTGAATGGGCGCAGGTAATGCCGGATGAGTCTACTGATGACTTCACCTTGGCCAATGGAAATCTCCCTGAGGACCCTTTCATCATTGAGTCTGCTATCACAGCTGTCGTCAACCCTTACTATCTCCTTCAGAACACGCTCGGTGAAAATGCTCTTCGCAGGGTGAAATATGCCCCAATCAATGACTGGAGTATCCCTGTTGGTGGCTTAACTTCGGATTCGTATGCTGGACTCATTTTCTGGGACGCAGACGTCTGGATGCAACCTGGCCTGGTGGCTGCGTTCCCTGAATCAGCTAAGCGCATCACCAACTACCGGGTGGCTAAATATCAGGAAGCCATTGCTAATGTCAAGACTGCCTATTCCAGCTCGCAAGCTAACACCAGCTTTTCTCCTGATGCCGCAATCTATCCTTGGACCAGTGGACGGTTCGGAAACTGCACCGGAACTGGCCCTTGTTTTGATTACGAGTATCACTTGAATGGCGACATTGCAATTTCACTTACCAATCAATGGGTGGCAAGTGGTGATACTGACACATTCCAGAAACAACATTTTCCAATCTACAACTCGATTGCCACAGTCTATGCTGACTTGCTAAAGAAGAATGGAAGCTATTACATTCTGACAAATATGACGGATCCTGATGAATATGCCAACCACGTTGATGCAGGTGGATATACAATGCCACTGATTGCCCAAACCTTGGTTAATGCCAACGCATTCCGCCAACAGTTTGGCATGGACGAGAACACCACCTGGAATGAAATGGCTTCCAACGTGTTGATTATACGAGAGAATGATATCACTTTAGAATATACCACTATGACCAACGACGTGGCCGTCAAGCAAGCTGATGTTGTTTTGAGGACATATCCTCTAGATGATACTACCAATTACTCTCCTAAAGCAGCTCTCGATGACCTTGACTATGTAAGTCTATACCAAGAGATTGTAGATGTCAATGCTAATATGTGCAGTACGCTCTCAAACAATCTCCGGATGGACCTGGAATGACATATGCCATTTTCTCGATTGTTGCCAATGAGGTTTCACCTTCTGGATGTTCGGCCTATACATATGCGCAGTATTCTTACGATCCTTATATTCGTGGTCCATTCTTTCAATTTTCAGAGCAATTGACCGATGATTACACTACCAACGGAGGAACCCACCCAGCTTTCCCTTTCCTCACTGGCCATGGAGGTGCTAACCAGGTCGTCCTGTACGGTTATCTTGGACTGCGTCTTCTACCAGACGATATCCTTCATATTGACCCGAATCTCCCGCCTCAAATCCCTCAGGTCAAGTACCGTACTTTCTACTGGCGAGGCTGGCCGATTCAGGCAGAGTCTAACTACACCCACACGAAGATTAGCAGAGCTACTACTGTTGCCCCGCTGGTATCCGCTGATCCTAAATACGCCAACGCATCAATTACTGTTCAGGTTGGGCAGCAATCTAATAGCACTTCCTACAAACTGCCAGTTGACGGGACATCTATCACAATCACTAACCGTCAGATCAGCTCCATTAACACTGTTAGCGGTAACCTTGTCCAATGCCAGGCTGTTCAGTCATCAGATACCTACCAGCCTGGCCAGTTCCCAATGGCCGCTGTTGACGGAGCTGCTTCTACCAAGTGGCAGCCCGAGTACGCCAACAACGTGAGCTCAATTACCGTGACCATCCCCTCTTCCGAGTCCGGCAAGACCATTTCTGGGTTTTACTTTGACTGGGCCCAAGCTCCTCCGGCCAATGCAACTGTCATCCTCCACAACAACTCAGTCAGCAACCCAACCATTTCTGGGTTTGGACAGACTGCGCAGCGCACGACCATCAATGTCGAGGTGTCCAACCCAGTGAATGCTTCGTCAAACACGAATGGCTCTATTGTACTTCCAACGGGCAACACAACCAACTTTACTTTCCCCCACCCTGTCCCCGTTTCAAAATTTGCGACGCTGTTCATTGAGGGCAATCAAGGTCTCGACAGCATTGATATTAAATATGAAAACGGTACGGGGGCGACGGTTGCTGAATGGGCTATTTTGGCAACGACCCAGAGCAGGCTTAAGATAAGAGCAAGCAATTCTTTGAGTGGTAGACATGCTATTTAGGTGTATATAACAGCTTAGATGACCATATATTATCTAATTAAGATTGGACCAAATTACATTCGTCACTAACCATATAAATGTAAACTAGACTAGTAATAGACTAAGCGGTCTAGAATGTTAGTTGAAGCTTACTTGTATTTAGGGCTTAATGTCCGAATATGGTAACTCTCGGACTCGGAACGCCCAATTAGGAAGCAAAGTCTCCGAGTCCGAGCATTCTATTTTTCGACTTTACCATATATAAACCAAGCAAAACCATACCTAAATTCATTCCGCACAATCAAATCAGACCAGATGTTACGCACAGTCCTGATAACAGGCTGCTCCGACGGCGGCATCGGCTCCGCCCTCGCCCACGCCTTCCACACAGCCGGCCTGCACGTCTTCGCTACAGCCCGCAACACCGCCAAGATGCACTCCCTATCCTCCCTCCCTAACGTAACTTTGATAGAGCTAGACGTGACTTCCGAAGAAAGTATCTCCAGCGCCGTCGCCATTGTTCGCAGCCAGACCTCGCGTTCTATCACTAACGAAGAAGGGGAAGGAAAAGGGAGACTGGATTATCTGATCAACAACGCTGGCCAGGGATATGTAATGCCGTTACTAGATAGCTCTATTTCCGCCATGCAGAAAATGTTCGAGATCAACGTCTGGGGTCTTGTGCGTGTTACGCAGGCGTTTGCCGAGTTGGTGATTAATGCCAAGGGCACGATTGTGAATAACAGCTCGACGGCGTCGTGTCTTGCGTTGCCGTTTCAAGGTTCGTTACATCTCATCCACTCTATCAATTTTCACATATATTGATGCTAAGGGTATATGGATAGGAGGCTACTCCGCCTCCAAAGGAGCCCTCGACATGCTCACGGCAAACCTGAAACTCGAACTCGAGCCGCTCGGCGCAAAAGTAGTCCTCCTCAAAACGGGGAATATAGCGACAAATTGGTTCGATTCTGTACCCCAAGTCACATCGCTTCCATCCTCATCCTACTATCGCTCTATCGAGGAGCAGGTGAAGATCCGAGCGCAGGGAAAGCATCCTTATCCCAAAATGGATGCTAATGAGTATGCGAAGAGAGTGGTTGGGGATGTGTTGGGTGGGAAGAAGGCGGTTATATGGAGAGGAGCGCAGTCGGAGATTGTGAGTTGGGCGTTGATGGTTTTGCCCGTGTGGTATTTGGTTAGTTCTTTCTTTTTCGTTTTGTTGGTGTTGTTTTTAATGGGTGAGGGGGTTGCTGATGTTGTGTGTAGGAGAGGGTTGCCGCGAAGGGGTCGGGGTTGGATGTGTTGCATTGAAGTGAGAATTGGATAAATGGGTGATTCGATGTAATTATAGAGAGGATTGTATATGAAAGGATGTTGAGGTTACACTACATACATATATGTACACGGGATGTTGTGTTTTATCCTATTCATGGAACTAACCACGTTGTACAGATCGGCGCAACCCCGCATCTATTCACTGCATATGCAACTGGCAGATCTTGCCAGAGAAATAACATTGACTACATGTATGGTCACATGGGAGATCGTGGGTGCCCGTCCTGATCTAGTTTGCGTGGCTCTTCGTGATTGGACACCCCTGTGAGGTGTGAGTAAAACTATCTATTAGTATTTATGGCTGCATCATAGAAAGTAAAGACCCTCATATATTGAGTACTTTAATCTTATATACTTTTACCTCTATATGACGAATTAATCATGTTGTGTTCTATCCCTTATAATATAGTAATTATAAGTAATTTTTGTAATAACTATATATGTAGGAGTATTATTCAGTAAATTTCTGCACCAAAAGACTAGAATATTAAGAATGGCGAATACTCACCACTTCTCACCCATGTAGTAGAAGATTACCAGAGACATCACAATTTTAGCTATACATTCATTACGATAGAGACACAGTGTATATGATGTATTTTCTATACGATTACTTAACCATTCAAACTATGGCCTCTGTACGACCACTTATTGAGTAACATGGCCAAGCTCAGGAAGCCTGTTTAGGCCGAACCCCGCAAGGCCGGGGGATTCCGAGATGTCTCGGAGGTCAATTTGACATATCACAATTGATATTTATAAGTCCTTGGGCATGTTAAATATACCGCCCACCTCGCAATATAGGCCTATATCTAGTTAGATTGGGTATTAGTGACCTGAGCCAGGGACCCAGACTTATAAGCTTGGTTACTCCAGCCCGAAGGGAAGGAACCAAGTGATATCTTTTTTATATATCAAAAATATAGCTTTCAATATAAGCCTTCTCGGCTTCGACTAGCCTTCGGTTCGAAGCCTTCTATATCCATATTATCTTAAACGATAGCTACCTCCTAGCAGCCCTGCTCTATAGCCTCGATATCGAACGGTGAAGCTTCCATTCGCCCACATATAGTCTATCTAGACACCCCGAACACGGCCTTGTCTAGACCGTGTTACAGTTAGTTTGAAAATATACTCTTTAGAGTACTCTCTATCTTTTTTATAGATTCAGCTATCTAGAGCGCGCATGTGAGACCAGAGGGCCGATATAAAGGCAGTCGGCTAGGGGGCCTCACATATATAGTGTATTATAAATATGTATAGCTTCACAAATACTTAAAATTTTTGATTTTTTAAGCTGAAATTAGCTAAGAAGATTCTTCCCTTTTACATAGTTGAATTTTTTGAATTTATATTGCGAATTGATGGCATGATGACATGTCAAAATTGAATATTGATAATATTTGAAGAAGTTCGGAGCGGGTGATTGGGTGACTGTCCAATTACGTTAGTGGTTCATTGGCTGTGGTTTGTCGATTCTTATGACACAGATACATGGACAACAAGTTGCCTGGTGTAGGTTTTCGGGGCGGCATTAAGGAGGATGTGATGAAAAATAGCTAGGCAGGTCTAATTTCGTAAAAAGAGCGTGAACTGAATTGACATCGGACGCCCCTAATGTTCGTGAAGAGCTACCATTATGGCTAGAAGACATGTCTTATAAGCACCTGACCGCCTTCTTCATTTGAACTATAGCGTAATTCTTAGCGTGTCGCGTACCACATAGATCTCATTTAACCTCCAAACCAGCACCCCTAGACGATTCGTTCCGTGCCTGTCGGCTCCGCTTATTTGCAATGTAAGCAGTGTGAACCCTGTTTCTTTAATACATAATCACTTCGTACGGCAAAATTCCACAAAGTCCGCAACCACACCGACAGGGATCAGAGCGCTGAGACCTTGTTGGGTGGATATCTCAGTAAAGGCGACACATTATACACCAAAATGGACATAAGGAACCCAATCAAGCGACGGTATATCTTCACCCACAGGGTTAATGTCTCTAGTCAACCCCCTTTGGCTTCTAGTTCTTATCGACGATTGCTGCCAACGGTCGCGTAGAGTCCTCGTAGCATCATGTAGCCCTCGACATACAGATTCGTCTGTCATGCCTCCGTCTCTGATTCGGCCATAAATGATTTTTGCCATGTGAAGACAAGTGTCGTCAATTACATCCCACAAACTTCCGATTACATGGCGAAACCCGGCAAGTTGGAATGCACTGTTCAGGTGGATACTTTCGTCCATGAATCTTTCGTCGTCGATTCGACCGGTCCCGCAAGCAGAGAGATATGCAAGAAAAGGTGATGATTCTCGAATATTGATTTCAAAAAGATTGCCAACCGTCAGTGGATTGCTATCACCGTCCTCAAGGACCAAATAACTCATTGATGGATCAGATTTGTCCATATGTGCATGGCCAGCGAAATGGAATATCTGGCATACCTGTAAAAGTGACTCGATGTCAGATTTATACGGCGCGGGTGCGACCGGTACCAGTGACATTGATGGACAAATGCTTCGAACGATATCCACTTCTCGGGAGGCACAAGGAAGATTTGATTCTCCTGGTGTAAATTCCATGGCAACAAGAAGTGCATGACCTACGCTTGATGGTTTCTGAGGACGTCGACGGTTTTGTATCATTGCTTTGATAGATGGGCTGTAAGAGGACATAACTCGATCAATCACTGTCTGACCTGTTCCACAATCGTGATAACCTGCCGCATGTAGTGGGAATTTGATCAAGAGGCCTGTTGGAACCCACCAAATATGGGGCCATTTGTCGTGAGGAGTATGCGTGTATCCAAGAGCAGCCAATACTGGTTCTGTAATAGCATCCCATAACCACTGTAGAATTGCAGGCTCTCCTAACTCATCATTTTCAGCTTTCATCTCAATGTCCTTCTTGCTGAGGTCAGGTAATCTTAGGGCCTTGACTTGATACTTGTCAACAAGAATCGCGGACTGTCTATGCCCGTCACCCTTTATTGCGTAAAGTTGATGGTTCCTGCGTTTTGGGGCCGCCGTCCAAGTCAATGATGTGGAATGGACCACGAGCGATTGCGTTGCAATATGGGTGATTGACGGAGCAGGCCTAGGCGACAGTGCGGACGGTGAGGAAGGGGTGAGGGATGGGTGAGGATAGCGAGCGGTGGTGGTGAGGCATAGAGCGGCGAGTCCGGAAACTGTCGACCTAAGATCGTCCTCATGCTACATAGATAGGAAAAAAAGCGAGAATCGCGCGGGTCGCAGTTTCCGGATTGGCGTGTGCGGCTCGCCGCTCTATGCCTCACCGCCCCTGTTCGATGCTGCCTCTGAGCCACCAGCCACACCGACGTACCTTGGTATAAGGTTATTGGTGCCTGTCACATCTAAACTCCGTAGAGAAAATATTATTTGGGACCCAGTTATTTCCTCCAAACTTCAGTACAAGGCTTGTTCCACATAACCAGATAAGAGCGGTTGAGCGGTAATGAGACAATAAGTCCAGAATTTGTAGACCCTTAACCTTGGCCTAAATTTTTAGTTTACAGCGATGTCATGCAGGCACTTATGTATGGCCCAATCATAAGTCCTTATATAGCGCAATGCATATGCAAACACTTTGGTAAATTAATTGACCAGGTAATCGGCTAGAATGCAATAACAAAGCTTTGATTCCGAGGACTCTCCAGGGTTCTGACTATAAAGACCGCAGAATCAGACCTCTTAATGAAAGCTCTACATCCCATTGATATTTTCTGGCTGGGAGCATCTGTTCATACGAAGCGTAAGCAGTCCTCCTCTTCGTCATTTTTCTTCTCTCCTCACCCTTCTCGCCTCTTTGGCTCTGGCTTCAACTGTTTCGCGAACTGAACCTAGCATTGACGGATACATAACGATATGGAGTTCAGCAGGCCAAAATATCCCGAACAACAATTTCCCAAAATGGAGAAATCCAATAATGTCCAATTCCAGCCGCCTCATGCTGATGATTTTGCCAACCAAACCGTTCAAAATGAGCTCAACATCATCAACGGTTTCCAGGTTTCGGCTGCACGGAATTCGGCATCATTTCCGGTATTTTCCTGTTCTCAGGCTCGTCTGGCTTTGCATAGAATAAACTTTGACAATAGAGACTTATCTGCAGAATATCCATGGTGTTCCATTCGACAGCCAAAATAGTATTCCTATGACGATTGCCAATAATTCGACAACTCCAGTTACAATTATTCCTGCTAGAACGATGAGCCGGCAAGTAATATCTTACCCAGAAGATGTATGGGAAATGCATAGACCTCGAATTCGCCACCTTTATATTGAAAAAGATAAGAAACTCTCGGAAGTCATGAACCAGTTGGATGCAGAGGCGGAATTCAAGCCTTCGTGAGTTCTTTCTAGAGATCAAGTTGCCGAGCAATGATTACAGATGAGGCAGGGGTAAAAGCTAAGTATTATTTAGTATCCACATGTACAAGAATCATTTGGCCGCTTGGGGATTCTATAAAAGAAATCGTGAAAAAGATATCAGTGTGCTTCTTGGCCTCAAGAATGCTCGTGACTCCGCTGGGAAATCATCTGTCATTTTTCGGTCTGGAAAGCCCATATCTATGGAAAATATATACAGATACTTGAGGCGGAAGAAACTAGATCCTCAAACTTTCGAACAAGCAAGAGAATATGAGGAATTAGCTGCTATAGCCAACCATATTTGCATTCGAACCCCGTCCCCAGTTCCCCAGGTATCACATCTATTATTCCCCCCTGGCAATCTTCGAAATAAAGAGATGGTTCTTCTCAATATCAATCAAGAATATCAAGCTTTGGCCAGAGAAATTGCTAAACCCATCGAACCGAGGTGGCCAACTACCATGTCCCATCTCCCTGGAGACCACTTTCTCAATATTATCGATTGCATATCTCTTTTGCTTCAACAGGGTCTCGGGCTGTTTGAAATCCAAATGTTCGTAGAGGGTGGAACATATGTTCGAGCGGCTTTCGTTTTCGTCGAGTTTCTCTTCAAAGAAATGAGTAAAGGCGAAAGGCCCGGCGGAAAATCCCTAGCGTGGATATTTGGACTCTGGATACTGCTAAGGAAGACTGCGATGCCTGATATCTCCGGAACTCTTTTTAAGCATATGACGAAGATGGCAAAGACGTATCTTCCAAAAGCTCACCCTGCGCTGGAAATACTTTGTAACCTATATCATGTTTATGAAGGAGATGACTATGATGGTTTTATGCGCTTCATCTCTTCGACCTGGGCCGACAGCATTCATGCAATCACTAGTGTCTTTAATTCTACAGGTAGGAACGCGGCCCCTTATCTACCCCATAGCCTCTGGATGGGTGAAAGCAGTGGGCATCTTCGTCAGTTTCAAGAAACCGTCTTGGAGTTTTGGCGTCCAGACACCATAAAATCATGGCGACAGCGTATGAAGAAATGTTCATTGGTGGTATGCGATAATAGACAATTGTATTTGCCAGCACCTGCTCACGAAGGAGTTCTAACTCTGATATGGTTGAGGCGTTTCCTCATAGACGATTTCATGGATCCTCGAGGTTCAAACTTACCCATGTTGCACAGTGTGCACGATACTAGAATGGGGAATTATGTCATTAAGACAGCAATTGCCACTCGCTTGGAACTAAGTGTTGGCAAAGAAAACTCTCTTGGTACGTCTACAAGTATTAGAGTCTTGTCTGGCGATGTCTATCAAGTTGGACATCTTCACCAAATTCGACCAGGAGAGGACATCAGTGCATTCAAGGATGATTATGACCTCGGCATTAGTTCGTTTGAAAACTTGAAGACTGCATTTCAGTCTACTAGTGGCTTAGAAAATGAGAATTCTACGTGGTTCAACTGGCTTCGGATTCTAGAAGAATCTCTCATGGAGCCAGGTGAGAGTCAGGGAATCGATTCAGTTGTCTCTTGTACATGCTTACGTGGGAAAGGATTATCCTTTGACTATATGAGAAGTGAAAATGGAGAACTCGGCATCGATAAATATAAAATGGATAGTGGAGGCCCCGATAAACCTTTTCCAAGCGATGGGTATATGAGCTTCTCAGGTTGGGGAATAATTCAAAACTAGATCTTGTACAACTCATCCCTTCAATACGGCTAGATGCGTTTTTGTTGAATATTTGCGCCATAGTTTATGAAAATACATTGTCTCTATGTAGTTTTATTGCTAATATTAATGCCAATATGTTGGCCTACATGTAGGGCTAATATTGAAATCTAATAAGTGTAGCCTCCAGCTAAAAGGAAGTAAGTATTGATATATCCCCGTAGTTGCCTATGGGTACCAGTGGCGGAATAGTGTCCATTAATTCTATCCGATACACAGATATGGAGATATGAACTAAAGATAGAATCAGGAATGGCATAAGGGTAATCATTGGATTCATATCGCTTCAACATCTCATGAAGATTACGCTGAGCGACGGAATAGTATTTAATCACATAGGGGAATTATTTAAGATTTAAAAAAAGCTGAGGAATGAGATCCGAACGCATTATTCAACTATTTTATAATGCAAGGTTCAAAAACTACTGTGAATTATCACGCATATTTCTTCCCTCGCCTCATCAATGCGCTTCTCCCAGACCTCATGCTACTGCTGCTCCTTAAAGTAGGCGAGCCGCACGAACTAGATCAGGAGGAGTACTCGCGATCCCCCATGGTATTATCCATGTAACAGGGGAGATCGCGGGTGTCCGTCCGGATCTAGTTCGTGCAGCTCGCTGCTCTAAGGAGCAGCGAGAGTGCGCCCTTGAGCCCAAGGTGCGGTGATCTAACAATGGACTACAGTATCCGCGTCGCTCTTCGTGATTGGACGTCTTTGTTCGCTGCGCAGAAGAGGACAACAAGCGGGCTACCGTAGGTGAGATATTAGGAGAAGTTGCCCATTAAAGTTTTCGCGTTCATGCAGTCAAAGGGGCATCGATCTTTGTATACATTGTCACAAGTGATAAAGATGAGGTTGAGGATGTTAGGTGCGGAGCATCCTGACACGCTGACTATTATGGCCAACCTGGTATCGACGTACTAGAGCCAAGGGTTAAGGACGACGCTGAAGATACAAATAATAGATATGAGAATAAAAGTACTAGGTGCAGAATATTTGAACACGCTAACCATCGTGAACTACCTTGTCTTCACCTGGAAAAGACGGGGTTGCGGCCCGGAGGCCCTTGACTTGATGATGGACTGTGTACGATTACGGGCGAAGATATTAGGCGTTGATCATCTCGATACTCTTTCACCCTCCTGCGCCATCGATCGGTTGTCAGACTCGAAAGAAGGGTATTAGTAGCATATTTCACAAAGCATCTGGCACACCCCTCTAATTTTCTTAACATTTACAGCTCACCACTTTCTTCGAAATTCTTCGAAACAGTGCTATCATCCAAATGGCCAAAACATACATAAAAAGGTCAGAATTACGAAGAGCGCCTCCTGCTTGCTATTGACACGTTATCAAATTAAAAAATTAAAAAAATATTACGGATCTTCGCAAAGCAGCAGATCTCTATAAGGTGCTTATTCAACGCTCCAAGGCTAACTCAGCAGCCATCCTGAGATCTCAGAAACAGGCTTAAATTATTAAAAATTAAAATTTACTGAAGAGGAATCACTTCGTAGGTAGATAATCTCTATAGAATTATATAAATGTCCTCTCTAACCTTAAATACTTCAAGTTATAGCTAATATTCAACTTTCAAATCAAGAAATCATTCTTATATCAGCTGCCGTTGGCGTTCCGAAACCAACTTGCATTAGAAAATTCAACACTAAGCCTGAGGAAGCTAATACAGTGTACCACACCCAGCCATTTCCACGGTGGTCCATGGCTTTCGCAGCGAGGCACGGGATTAAGGGATCACGTGCCCATATTCAATGTGGAATGTTGTATTATCCCTCAGGAATGTAGGAGGATTATATATGGGGGAAAGGATGGTGGTTCGATATACAGCTTTTGTGTATACAAATGTTTATGGACTCTGGGCTATGTAAACACGTCTATTTCCATGTACTTGGTTCTTCGTAGTTCATTAATCTTAAGTTATTCTGATTATAAGAGGTTCAGAAATGCAATCTATTATTAAGGTACTACGGCACCTTAAGAGATCTTTTCTACTCTAGTTTGTGTTACTAGTTCTTAGTCACCCTAAGGCACCTTAGTGTACCGTTATGAGTTACCTCAGGAACCACTGTGTGGTTCATTCAATTGTAATGTACCTCGATTCAGCTAGTGTCAATTAAAGTGGATCTAGGTCTGTGATGAGAAGGATCAGGCAATACCTAATCTTATTGGTATCTATTATAGAGAAAACTAAGCATAAGGAGGAACTGTAAACTACATCAAGCTGCTTGGTATTTTACATTGTGCGAGTAAATAGTGCAGTCATTTGACTACTTCCTGAGCGCTCAGGTAGGTAGGGACTGACCATGTTGTCACATTGCTCCTTTCTCTAAGAAATATCTATCCCCAGGCGTTAAGATCGCTGTTACTGATAGTTCGTATCAGGCAGATTATTCCTAGAATAAGCCTCTACAAATTCCTCATTATTGGCAGCTATGCTGTTCTGTTAGGTGGGATAGCAGGGCTGTATACAAGGGGCCGACTCTCGGCAGATTTTCTGCCACCTTCCTAGGCCAGCCTGGCTATGCCTAGTAAGTCAGGTGATAATGCCCCTTCGACAGAATCATCTAAGAGGTTAGCGCCGATTTTATTTGAGGTAGGATGGGGAAGGCATTTAAAATTTTTTGACCACTGCACTCGACCTATGAAGACTCTAAACCAAAAGTAGACTTCCTGTAAGTTGTAGATCTCATTAGGAGCTTTCAATTGATACTGAAATTGCCCATCCTCACTGGACGCTCATGCTGATTTTCCACATCGAAAGCTGATTTAATATTCAAACAGATATGCCTCATCTGAATATATACAATTATAATAGCACAGTGCGCAGCACCCCTGCCTTATAAAAACCACAAAGTGCCGTACCTCATATAAATAGGCCCGGCTATATAAACATTACGCCGTATAAAGCAAATGAAGTTAACTTTCAGGTAACCACACTTAGATAATGCCGCGCAAAGATATCAGACCCTTCTGCTATCAGAAAAATATGCAACTGTTTGATTTGGTAGTTAAGCTTGATATCTGCGAAGGGTCAGCTGACGCCGAATTGGGCTAGGCAGTGAGCAAACTTTTGCACCGACTTTTTATACACTAGTCTGCCCACTTGATTCTGTCAGCTACTCCGTCCCAGAAGGGTGTGAGTAGAGATAACAAAGAAGGCAACAAATCCCAGGTTCTGGATCAAATTACTGGGTCTCGTTCAACATAGGGTCAGATGCTTTAACTTAAACCCCCTTGCTAGCTAACTCCTGGCCCCTCAACTCTGATGGAGGATCATTCGCAAAAAACCCCGATAGTAGAGGCTACTTCGTAGGCCTCCAATGAAGCCCCCCTAAACCATCAAATTATATTGGCCTGCTAGGCCTATACCATGTGACACAGGTTGATTATCATACATTAATTTTCGAATCAAGGACACTGTCTCAAGACGAAAAAGAGCATACACCTGCTGGCACGTGAATGATAGTAGCATACCTCTGCCACTAACACAAGTTAACAAAACGCAAGCTATTACCCCTCTCATGCATAATGTCAATTTTTTCTACATGTAACAAGTCCCATTATCCCTTGAGCCAACAGCACATTCTTCCTAATCTTACCGAAGAATTTTCAATTTCCGACGAGTCATCTATCTTGTACTACTCTACGAAATGTAAACAGACTAGTTATTCCGATTTTACCATGTAATTTCCGAGGCTGTTATTGATCTCTTGTCTAGCAATGTATCACCGCAATTTCAGGAGTGATGTCACGAAACGTTGTTATAGATTGTAGTTTTCCGTAAGGCTTATCCTCTCAGCGGGTTTGTCTTGTGAGGAAATTCGACAATAAATGCCGACACACTACAACCCTTACGCCCACGGTGGCGGATAAAAACAAAGCAAAAATCAAATTTAGCTAATCGTCAACCAAGGTCTCCCTAGAGGTCTCCAAGGAGGGTCTAAGAGCCCACTTCTCGGGTTCAGTGCCCCCTACTCCAAGTTGTCATACTCTAGTCTCAGTGCGATGAACAGACCAGACAGAATAAAACCTACCTATCCACATATCCAAGAGACTCGTCCAATTATATAATATAATTAGTAGTCATTATTAAAAGCCAACCTTCCTACAAAATGACATCATCTATTACATTCAACAACCAAGAGAAAGTCAGCCCTTGGAGTTTAACTATTGCCTGATCAGCACTTTCAGTAGTGCTTTCAGCTCATATCGTGCCAGCAACATCAACATCCTCTAACAACTTTTTTTTTCTTCCTCATCCATAAGGATAGTCAAAAGGGGCCAATTTCTCTTGACTTAGATAAGAAATAAGAAATACGGACCAGGAAGGGTTATCTTCATCCTCATCCATCACAATATTGCTAGTTGAGATATATAGTCTTGAAACATATCAGCTTTCGAATACTATAAATATTCATAGCTAAGACTAGTCAGCATCAAGACGCTGATTTTAAAGAACTTAGTACTTCAATACGGTTTCTATTATAGCAAGCCTGACAATGTGAGGAATGGTATGACTTCTATCACTTTTCGTGGGAGAGCTCAAGCACATGAGCTTGCTGGGTGGCAAACAAGCATTAATGGAACTAGATGATCTTGTCCGCCTGCGCTAAAGGCGACATCTTCCCGGATGCTCGAATTTCAAATCGACGGTAATATTGGATAATTTGGAACGTTTATTGCCGCTGTATTACAACTTTTGACAAATATTGGAAAAGACTTCAATTCAATGCTAATTGCCAAGAACGACTAGAAGGTTGAATAGACAATCCAGTATTCTACCCAAATATCTACTTTGTTAGAATTCCATATTTGTATTTTTATTTACAACATTTCCTGGTTGTGGCCAAGATATCTATTCGCATAGGGTGTACGGCATGCTCTAGAATAAAACCACCATACGTGGCGTGAGCTCATGATGCATATTTGGGTCAGCTATGTTGTCTCTTTGTACAGAGGGTGATGAAAGTCGCTTTTTACTCCTGCATTGGCACAACTATATCTAAAATAAGGTCAATGATTACTTTATACATCGCATTGCTCTTCTTGCCCACAAGAATACATTGCATAAGTACGTATTAAATTATAGTTCGACCAACATTCAAAACCCAGACTCCTAGACTTGGCACTAATAACCACCCGCAATCTTCGGCTCCAGCAAAGCGGCCTCACACTTAGAGAACCTTGCACTAAACAACCAGTTAGTCATTTGCTGTTAATTGCTGAGAAAATATGACTTACGCCGTCACCAGAGCAGCAAGCGGTTTGTGACGAGCAGGAAGGCCCGTCGCTACCTTCCACAGTAAAGCCTAATAAAATTAGCGTCAATAATATCTATATAAATTGATTATACTATACCGAGCAAGTTGAGATTCTCAATCAAGCTTGTCTTAGCACAAGCTGAATCTTGAGTCCCAAGAACATTTTGCAAAAGAGCACCCTTTTGCAGTAGATTTCCCAGAATACCATCACCATTGATTTCTTCATTATTGACGCAGCATGCAATTTCACCTCCTGGACACTGGCCTTGAGCTTCGGCAATAGACACTTGACCGTGTTGACCTTTCTGCCCTGGCATGGCAGTCGCAGCAATTGCGAAAGCGATAGTTAAGAGAGTGTATTGCATTGTGAAATGATTTAACGAAATTGTTGTCTCAGAAAAAAATTGCTTTTTCAAATTTGTTTTGATATGTGGTTGATATGGTAAGATTTGTTCAAGAGAAGAAATTAAGTAGATATTTATATTCTAAGGTGGAACCAAATATATGCTATCTGCTTCTTACTAATTTTCTAGATTGAGAATTTTAAGGTATTATTATCCAATTATATTATTTCTAATCTTAGCAGGAATGTAGAGTTTATAATTTCTTAATATTGCATAGCTCTATCCCATTTGTAATGCAACTATAATACTGCTTGAATAATGTTGAAATGTAACTATATCGGTAATATCATAAGATTTTAGGATTTTATTTTCTTTTGCATGCCTATCCTAGCTATGCAATGTAGATCGTTATATATAAAGGTTTCCGCCAACCGTCGTTTTCATACAGAATGGACGGGAATGCTCATCCCTATGTAGATCCACCCCTTAACTCGGAAGTAGGCATCGCAGTATGGGTCTTCCATATTAATACCTTCCTACATTCTTAATAGTTGAAAAACTGCTATCCTGTGTCCTTCTTTCTTATTTGCACATTCCGATGGAAAATATGTAAAGTATTGCTGTTTTCATAGCGCTATAGATTGACACAGCAGCAAGGAGTTGTAACGCTTCTGAAAATGTCTCTCATACCCGACAATCATTCTGCCAATATATAAGCGTTCATCCATCTACCAATTATTCCATTTATCAGTGTAGTTGTATTTTGTAACTAGGTGTCAACGTCAATGTGCTGACCATCTGTCTGTCCATCAATCAAAATGTGGTTCGCTTACCATTTCCCTACGAATACAGATTGTCTTCGATCCAAGTGGTTAGAGTACTGCATTTCGAATCATGGCTTGAGCATTTGATACATATCTGATATCGACTTCCTGATCAGCCGGTGCAACTAGACCCCTAATGATGGAGTTACATAGCTGTTTTCGCATGGTGCTACCGTACGTTCTCTAGTGGCATTACCTGGGTCTCAGTCGTAAACTAAGAGTGTCACACAATGCTTCTCCATGAAAGTACGGACGCAGCGTCGGGGCATCCCGTTGACACTATTCTCGGTTGTGTGGGCAACTGCTTTTGAGGCCAAAGGCGATGGGTGTGACGAGCTTACTTTGTAGGGGCGGCCAATCGATTGCGCATTTAAGTACCAGAAGCGACTGTTTCAGTGTCTCGTCCCGGTCTTGCGTCTGAATTAGATACCCGGGAGCAGTCAGTAGGACGCTGCCGTCTTTGGTTCTTGCACTGACAAAGCGTCCAAATATTTCACTTCCCGATTTTAATGATGTCATCTGTGGTGTGCGCCTTTTTGAGCCATTGGGATATCCTCGATATGGAACATTTTTTTAGCAACGTCGTTTCCAATATTTTACAGATTCATTCTTTTTTGTTTCTGGCTAGATCCAGGTCTTCTGTTCGAGTGCAATGTAACAATGTCAAGCCGTAATATCATAAGTTTAGTATTGATAGCAAGTTCGCCTGCCCATTCTATATCGGACTAGGCAACGTGTGCTATATAGGATCCTTAAACCGGACCATGTATCTAGATTTAGTCTCTGGCCCAGCAAATATGTCATTCTTTGTCGTATCTTCTTTTGGTCGGTGTATCGGGTTGCGGCTGTTGCCGATATATATTGCGATATATAGACAATGCGCCGCAGCCTTAGTTCCATCGGTTTCAGAGGAAAAGATGGACTATAGCTTGACAGTGCAAAATCGCCATTTAATGATTTTTTCGATTGTGCTACATGATAATACAGTACACCGGCCGGTTGTTCGTCATATCCATTTTAGTTACTATCTAGGAATCACACGTCACAATGCATTGAAAACCACACTATCTTCTGAGAATTCAGTTCTATGTCGACGAATATCAAGGTGATCATGATGAACTAAGTTTGAACTCATTTACTCTCTATCATGTCATCAAGTCAGTATTGAATAGCTAAACAGATCGCAGAGTGACGTAAGAGACATTTTGCGTTGAAGCCTTTCACGGGTCGACATAGTAGCTGGGGTATCTGTTAGGGAAGGGGGATCAATATTTTTTAAGAGCGACATAGTACTCTGTGAGTTGACCTGGACAGCAGCTACATTCTATGGGTATCCGTGGGAGATTTATGGTACGAGATCTCTGGTACATAACTAGGGCCTGTTAAGCATGTTGAGTGCGCATTTACGTAGCGTAGAGACGGGCCGGAGGCAAATATATATATATACCAGCCGGTTTGATGCCACTTCTTATGGGACAACCAGATGACACAGATCCAGTTGTCGATACTGGTACAATTATTTTTTTGATCCATGACGGGTCTTATACCCTAATAAGGGTAAGTGAGAATGGGGGGTTGAAGTAGTTTCTAGCAGTCGTATACCTAAGATTACACACGAGGGTACAATTACGTGACTGGTCCTGCGACTGGCTAAAAGTGCTATAATTGCTAGAGGTTAGCGATTAGCTATCTCAGTTCACGTTACATACTTTTTTTTTAACTCTTAACCTGCCGACCATATTTTTGCACACTCGGCCGTCCATGTTACATGACAAAAGGTATTCCTATGTTGTCTTGCTTGGGCGTCATTGGGTTCATTTTTATTTTTTTTCTACATGCGACTTGTCATACCTTAACCCAGAGGGGCTGTATAATATAGCACGAGACACTTAGGGTACGTACAGGGCCTGACGAGCCTCTAAATTCGTCGGGATGTGTTTGATGACTGGAATTAGATATCGATAGCTGTAAGACCAGCCTCCAACTTCTCTGGACGAGGGGTCTGCGTACGAATTACACACGAACTGACATACCGTATAAAAAGTCTTTCGTTAAAATGTTCAGAATCTACAGGTATTAGGCGGACACGTCGAAAAAAAACCTATGCTCCGCTCAACATTGTGAGGATCTAGTATTCGCGATTAATTTAAGTTTTTAAAATGTATTAATTACCCAACTTGGATTGGGTTACAAATGATGGAATAACCATCCCGTTAGAAAGAAAATGAGTTCTAGAAAATTACAAGCTCCGGTGTTCAAGACATGACCATATCCGTTGCTTCTGACAAGCTCCATGCAAAACGCAAATTTTAAACCAGGTGATTGGGACCGACATTAAGGGAACACACGATGATAGCTCTACCAAACCCAGCGATCAATTTATATTCGCAAACACCCTAAACCGTCCAAAACCGCCTTGCTAAGCTTCTACAGGCTTGCACTGTCGAAAAGTTAGTACCAAAACACAATACTGCAGGGTTGGCAGATTCTATGCTCACATCTCCGTCCTCTGGACAGTAAGCCGTAGTCCCGCTGCAAGAAACACCATCGGCCCCTTCTTTTGTAAAGCCTGCAAAGTGTTAGTTCCGACGGTAATTCTTCAAATTACATGCACTGACCCAAAATATTCAGGTTTTCAATCAAACTTGTCTTCGCACAAGCAGAGTCCTGAGTTCCAAGAAGGTTCTGCAACGCAAGACCCTTCTGCAGAAGATTTCCAAGAATTCCATCGGCGTTGATGTCTTCCTTGTTTTTGCAGCAAGCAATTTCGGACCCGGGATACTTGTCTTGTGCCTCTTTGATAGACAACTGGCCAGGCTGACTGCCGGGTGAAGGGCCCACAGCGGCAGTGGCTGTCATTGCCAAGGCAATAGAAATTATTAGAGAAACAGAGCGCATTTTCACTGACGTTTTGACTAGCCGGGGGGCGGTTCAGTGTGAGCAAAAAGTATATGTTTTGGAAAAAGTAGAGTTGGTGTTATACAAAATCAGCAATTCTGTACTTTTCAATCCTTTATATACTTTGGCGGGTACTGTAGTTGGAAAAACCAGGACAGAACTGCTGGCAACAACGAAAGGATCAAACGGCCTGAGCGCTATTATGCAACCTATAGGTGCAGAACAAGATGGAATGCTATTGACAAGAATGATTGTCGGGTGAAGGAACCATTTTCAGAGTCGTGATGACTCCTTACTTGTCAATGACCGCGCCAAGAATGATCTTCACGTGTTAGAAACATATGCAGAGATGTATGGACTCCTTGCTTCTGTGCCTGTCTACAGGTCTCCGAAGATAGCAATAGTTTACATAATCCAAATAGGAATGTGGAAATGGAAAATGAAGTCGGCGAATAGCATTTAAATATTCGAGAATCTAGGAGAATATGAACATGATAGGAAGATCGATACTGTAATGCCTAGTCTGGGGTCCATCTAAGCATTTGATATACACAGAATGAGCATTCTTTACAGGGTCCATTCTAAATGAAACCGATGGTTTTCAAACGTTTTCCTATATAATGATCTACATAGAATGAGCATTCCTGACGATATCCATTCTATATGAAAATGGCGGTTTTCTATACCTCTGCTGTATAATGATCTACATTACATAGCTACAATGATATGCCAAAGATACTGCAATCATCAAAAAAACATTATAATTTTTCCAGAGTTGCATTTCGATATTATTCAAGTGTTAGAGTCTGGTTTCATTATTATCAAGGGAGGGTAGTGTAGCATTAAAAAAATTATAAATCCTACATTCCTGCCAAGCTTAGAAAAAATGCAACTAGATATGAATGTTTACAATTCCTAACATTCAAATTGGCAAAAGCGTATAAACAATACATATTTTAATTTCATCTTAGAATATAAATATCTGTTCGAATTTCTCTGTTCAAGTATCTCTCTAGCATCAGCATCAGCATCAGCCACATACCAAATTATCACATACAGACTCCAACAGTCACTTCTTTCCTTAAGAAAACCTCCATTCCTTCAACCATCAAAATGCAGTGCAAAGCTCTTTTGACCATCGCTTTTGCAGTGGCTGTTGCCGCTCTACCTCCAAGCGGACATCAAGCTGAACAGAGTAACCAGATCTCCATTAAGGAGGCCAAGGATCAGTGCCCAGGGGGTGAAGTTGCTTGCTGCATCAATAATGAAGAAATCAATGGTGATGGTGTTCTGGGCAACCTTTTGCAAAAGGGTCTTCTTTTGAACAATGTTCTGGGTACTCAGGACTCAGCTTGTGCAAAGACAAGCTTGATTGAGAACCTCAACTTGCTCGGTATAGTATAATTCTACCAGACATGTTGCATTAAATACTGACCATCCCCAGGCTTTACTCAGGAAGGTAGCGACGGTCCCTCCTGCTCGGCATCAACCGCTTGCTGCTCTGGTGACGACGTAAGTCATATTTCCTCAGGAATTAACAGCAAATGACTAACTAGTTGTTTAGTGCAAGGTTCTCTAATTATCTGCCATTCCATTCACACCGCTTGGAGGTAATAAGTGGTTATGCATAACAAGTCTATGATATTAATATTGGTTGAATTATATTTCGGATTTTCATCATTTAATTCAATGGGCAGTTATACTATGTGTTTCTGTTGATGAAAAATACGATCCAATGTACAAGGGCGATACGTTTCCTTTTCTAGACATAGATATAACTGCTGGAGTAAAAAGTGAATCTTTTTCACGAGTTTTCTGTTTTATTATCAAGTATTTGTAACGTCAGTCGCCGAATAATTATTACTTCTCAATTGCAAGCACCCAGGAATTTGCCCAGGGTCAGAAACTGGGACAGCGTAAGATCAATGATCAAGGAAACAAAAATTAGTCGGTTTCACGCTTTTGACCTTGTAATGCCAGGATTCTTTCTCTTTGTTACCAACCCGCCAGGATAGTTTTATATTTGATGCACAACAATACTCCGCAATCCACCCACGTTAACGAGGCAATAGACACGGCCAACCTTGCCTAATAACTTCAACCTAAATATCACTCGATCGCGTTTATCGCGCTATTAGAACGCCGCGACCTAGAAATTCGAATCTAGATGCTAAGACGGCATATAATCACACACATGGTTTGACAGAGAAAAGAGAGGAGGAAACTAGAATGCAAATGACATATTCGACCCGCCACCAAGTCGAAGTTTCACTATTTATTCCAAGTTTGTTGACTTGTCCTCTCGCACATTCACCTTTTCTATGTCTCACTGAATATGGTCTATGTATTCACCGGCACCCCTTAAGCTTCATGATACGTAATACAGCGCACGGTGGACACCGAGGAACTAGGAGAAGGGGGCGAGAAGTTTGGTTGAGACTGAGGAATAGATGCGAGTAATATAAATTAAAATATCACATAGAAAAACGATCTTCTACGTTGAATCAGTTCTATATTCGTTAGGTACTCCGGTCAGTTCAAAATATATCTGTGCGGGTAGCAAATCGACCTCGAGACTGCCAAGGCACCCAAAAGCCCACCGTAGCACCTAAATCAGCCCAAGACCAGAAGTAGATACTGTCTCTACGATGAATTATTTGTATTAGAGAAAGCCATAGTCGACTTTAGATATAAGATGTAGGCGAGGAAGCAAAGAACAGTAGCTTCCGACGTCGTTTATTCTCCGCTCATCGTGTATGCTTATATATATTCCTGACAGGCAAGCTCTGATTTTAGTTTTAACCATAGCCATTTCTTAATCTCTCTACCTTGGACAGAGACAAAGTGTTCACTCTACGCCTTAGTGAAGTGCTTCCTAGGAGCAAAGTGCTAGATAGAAGCTGATAGGCCAGAAATCCTCAACTCACTCTGTTTTTCCATATGGTTATTGTCAAATTATATCATTGCATGGTCATGTGGAAAAGATCATTCGTTTTCAGATGGGGCAGTAGACGCTTATTTGAGCGAGTGGGGCTTTCACGCAGGAGAAGTAGTGGACTGCATTTTTTTACGGCATCTCACTGGTGCAATCACAACACTGAGAGCAGGCTCAGTGATCGGATCAGTGCTCCCAGGGCCGTACTCATAGCTGCCAGGGGGGTGGACGTAAGACAGCAAGATCCGTAAGGGTAGCATCATGCGGACTGCTTTGTTCCAGATTATCATCCTCAAGTGAAACACGCAACTGCTACCGAGTCAATTTTATCAGGGTCCATTAGTTTAAGAGCCTGTATCAGAGTTGGGTTGTAATCAGTGACCTAGTCATGCAGAGTCTACACAGTCAGGTCACTGGTAACGATATACCAATTAAGTGCTTTGAGTAATGTAGAGTCAGACAACACAACTAGAGTAGACGAGATCCTTTGTTGGCCGGTTGGTGTAGTATAATGCGCCATGAAACTAAAGGTCCCCACCTTATCAATATTATTGACATTTTCTAAAACAATGAAAAGATTTGATATCTCATGTTTGATTATCTTATAATATATTTCTGGGTAACCAAATTTTAGATTAATAGCTAATATTGAAGATATAATTGATAATATGTAATGATTAGGATCAGGATCATAGGCTTTTCGTACAAACCGGATGTTTATAAGTAAGGTAATCTCATTTATAGCTTTGAAGCCAAAGGCATGTCGGTACTTGGAGACATTTGTATATTTCCCAGAGCGCGTTGACTCTTACTCCCTTGCATCAGGGCGTTAACCGGTATCTGTCCATCTCGCAACTTCCTCCACCGCCAGGCTTTTATTGCAGGCCGATTGATATCAACACCTTCTAGGATGTCTACAACCCAATTACCAATACTGGGCAGGTATTTGAAAGCATGCCCGCTGCCTCCCGTGGCAACGAATACTCCTTTTTTTCCCGGTAGATGGTCGATGAGTAGATGATTATCGAAGCTATCATTGTACCAGCAAAGCCGCGTCAAAAAGACCTCTATGCCTTCTTTCTTTACTTCTGGGAGATATTCATCTATAAAGGATTGAATAACATCCATTGCATCACTTGGAATTGATCTGATTCTTTGTCCTTCGTCAGAGTCTGTTCCATTCCCAGACGACCAGCGTGTAATTGGAACACTTCGCTCAATCCCGTCCGCCTGACGAACCGGGTGTGTATACTTGGTACCCCGATATCCAATTTTGAAAATTCCATTTTCGTCACAGGGGAAGCCATAGAGACCCCCTTGCGCACCGTCTCGCATTTTCCATTGCCATGATGGAAACGAGGTAGGAGCCAGTCGGTCGAAGAGAGGCGATTGCCGTGGGATTTTCCACATCGCCACTGATCCAGCGGTTGCCTCACAGAGCCCATCTAACTGTGGAATGAGTGAGGGGGTCCATGACCCGCAGGCAATGATGTTCATGGTTGCACGATGAGTTTTACCATCCTGTGTTGTGATGCCAATAGCCACCTTGCTATCATGATCGTCCGGATCATAATTTAAAGACTGGAAACTCCCTGCAACGGGATCAAGTATGAATTTCACACCCAGTTGGCGCGCTTTATGCAGAGCCAGATAACACGCTTTGTCGGCAATGACAAACCCCCCCGTCGTGTCGAGCACGCCAACGTTCGACTTGGCTCTCTTCTCTCTGTGAAACGGATCAATTGCGCTCATGAAACCCTTGGTCTTTGCTATGGCTTGATGGCTAGAGTCTGTTGTAATCAGTTGTGTATCTTTGTGTCCGGCGGATTCCATGTTGGCGATGGTTGCGAGCTCAAAAGCCGGTAGAGTCTCCTGGTCAGTCAGTACGAGATGACCATTATTTACAAAGACGCGATCATGTCTACTAATTCCAGGCGGTAGTTCATGTCCTTTGGAAAGTTCTTCATTCCATTCTTTCCAGCCAGCGATTGATTCGGTCGTCAAATCCTGGTACACTGTGTCTGCGCCGTATCCCGATCGGATGATCTTGTTGATGTCTGTGTGAGAGATTAGAGCCTCCTTCTCGGTGTTTTCGCAAAGGATTGAACGGTACCTGCACTAGCTGCATCACAGCCACGAAAATACGAGTATTTTGTTGAATCGTAGGGTTGTTTATCAAACACAGTAACCTTGGTATACCCACGGCGGGCCAGATGGATCGCGGTACTCAGCCCGAAGATGCCAGCCCCTACGATATTGATCGGATCAGTCTTCTTCATTTGCTTCTTTTTCGTTCTTCCCTTTCTTTTTCTTTCTTTCGGATGTTGACATATATTTGGCGCCAAACTCTTTCTCGCCAGTCAATTTCTATCAACCTTTATTTGCTTTGACAGAAGGCTGATAATTGCCGAAGAGCGAGCTTGATGGAAAACAGGAATCGGATTCCTCCGTGGGGTCAATGCGTTCGATAGTAAACCTTGCATCGCTTGCTTAACCCGCGAAATTCCTTAACTAATGAGCTAAATTACTAAATCAAAGGTGGTTAATAATCATACTAATCCATTAACTATGACCATAATTTATTCTTATTATGCAATCTTATATGACTGAAATTATGAGCGAAGATTGCTTGATCTTGAGATAACGCAATACACCCACATATATCATTGGATACAATGTGTATCCACTTGAATCCACTTGGCGCGTTCTTATCTTATTGAGAGTGCTTGCTTCTTCCATAGGGAAACTCTATAAAAGAAGAGTTTCCCTAAAAGCGGTCAATGTGCCACGCAACAAGTTCGGCTTCTTCCGAGATGGGAAAACTCAGGTCATACTGAATACCAAAAGGGTTGGCTATCAATTTATCTAGCCCTGCACTGGCTCGGAACCATCGCGATAGTCTCAGTTTTAGGATGATATGCAATCAATGGTTATGGGTATGGCTCGATTCGCACGGTTATTTACTGTCACACAAGCCCTAGCATAAAGATCTTGAATCTGCGACTGGATAAAAAGAGCAGGTATTCCTCTGGATAACTTGAATGTTTATTATTCATTGTTTATGTGTAAGGCTTCTAAAGGATTCAGCTGCATTCTTCCACGAGATAGATTGTGGCACAGATACCACATAATACTAATTGATTAGAATACTGCTGGCCGCACACTGCAAAATGACGATCAAATCCGTTTTTACGGACTCTACCCTGGCTCGCTATGCCAGGTCAATTAGAGAGTCTCCACGAGAGCTTATATTAAACCATCGACTCTTACTCACGGTTGCTTTGTATGCTATGGCGGGTATTCCCATTAGTACGTTCTCCGAAACATCATACAAATATATATGTATAGCCTCTGTTGACTATTATTGCGAACAGCATGGGATCAAGGTTCCTCGTCTGTGGTTCCATCTCTGCCAGGATTTCAGGAGAAGTTCGGCATTACATCTGCTGCCAATCCCACCCAAATCAGCAACTTTGTATCTATTGTCTACGTTGGCGCTGGTGTTGGTGCTGGTCTGTCATTCTTTATCAACGACCGCATTGGTCGTCTGTGGTCGTTGCGCTTGTATATGGTGGTGTACATTATCGGCCAGCTAGTAGCCACATTGTCCGACGGTCACCTTGGGGCCCTATATACTGCACGCATTATCTCCGGACTAGGAATTGGTTCATTGACCGTGATCGGCCCTGTGAGTATAGTTGAAGTAGCACCTACTGAGTTTCGAGGACTCTTGGCGGTGTGGTTCAGCATTGTCATGTTGCTCGCGCTGACAGTATCATGCCTCGTGGTATTGGCGGCTTATCTTCACGTACCGACCAGCGCCTTGCAGTACCAAGTGGTCTTCTTCATCCCAATCATTGTCTTAACTTTGGTCATTGTTGGCAGCTTTTTCTTGTATGAAAGCCCGCGATGGCTCTTTATAGTCGGGCGCGACGAGGAAGCGACCAAAACACTGATCAAGCTGCGCGGATTGAGCGCCGACCATCCGCGTGTACGTTTAGAACTGGAAGAAATCCGCTGCTCGGTCCAAAGCCAGAAGGGTATCAGCTCAGGGTTTATTTCTAGTTGCCGAGAAACGTTCCTGGTGCCGTCCAACTTCCGTCGCTTCCAGCAAGCGTTTTTGTCTTATGCTCTTGCGCAGCTATCCGGTGCAAACAGTGTCACTTCATACCTTGTACCAATTCTGAGCCTACTGGGGTTGGGTGGTGGTACTGAGCGTTCCCTGTTTCTGACAAGCATGTATAGCATGGCCAAATTCTTTTTCACGGTGATGGCCAGTTTCTTCTTTATTGATGCCCTTGGCCGTCGGAAGAGTCTCTTTCTAGGTATTACTGTCCAAATGATCTCTGATATCTACCTGGGCGTCTTTATCAAATACCGACAACAGAATAACGTGACTCAAAGCGCGGGTGAGGCGGCTGTTGCAATGATCTTCTTTCATGGGTTCGGCTATGCTGTTGGTACGTCTTTCTTCAAAAATTCCTTCCTTTCGTCTGAATTGTAACGTTGAGCTTGAACCTTCAACTAACCCTAAGCTACCTTTTTACCAGGCCTTCTCGTACTACCCTATGTCTTCGGTGCCGAGCTCTGGCCCAACCAGATCCGCTCCTTTGGCGCCTCCTTTTCACAGATGTTCCACTGGCTCTTCTACTTCGGCGTCAACAAGGGTGTGCCATCCCTTCTCACAGAAACCAAAAATTGGGGGGCCTTTCTCTTCTTTGCAGGATGGTGTTTTATCGCACTATTCTACGTGTTTTTCCTCGTACCAGAAACCTCGGGACTTTCGCTGGAGGAGCTCAATGCCGTGTTTGAGCAACCACTTTGGAAAGCATATCTGAGCACTAGGAAGAAGACAATGACGCCTATCATAGACTCTTCGGAGGTGTCGTAAGTTTGTTTTTTTCCTCCTTTACTGGCGTAAGTGCTTGTGCTAACTGGAGGTAAACAAGCAATATTGATCATAGTCCTACGGAATCTCCCAAGGAAGCAAAGAATTTAGTTTCTGTGGCCGATAAGATTTAGTGCCTCATCACGATAAATCTCAGCTATTGTAGCCATATTTGATAATACATTATTAGTGTGCTATTAAGACTGTATGCAGATGCTATTTTTTCTTTCTTTTAGTTATTAGGTTTTAATGGGGAATTATGGTTATAGTAACACAGAAATACAAATATTCGTTTCTATTCCACTACTGTACAAAGAGCAAGTTATGTCTCTGCTTATAAAGGCTTGTTGAAATTCATTTTATTCTCATCTTTTTTTTATTCAAATAATAGGTATAAATTATACATTTATCCAAGTCTAATTTAACGTCTGTAAACGAGAAATAGGAGAATTTGAAATAAACCACGTGAACATTTATTTCTTCATAATATCAATGACTGGCGAGTTTGGACTTCCCTTCTGAAACAAGGCCCTTATGTTCTCAAAGCATTCCCTTTCCGCTCTTTGGAAAGCTATATCGGTCAGTCCACCGAGGTGCGGCTGGATGACGACCTTATCGCTATTGAGAAAGTAGGTATTAATATTTGGCTCGTTCGCGAAGACATCTAGTCCTGCACGAGTAACTTTCCCCGATTCCAGCGCCTCGATCAAGCTCTTTTCGTCGATTACGGGACCTCGCGACGTATTCACTACGAACACGCCGTCTTTCATGCAAGCAAACTCAGCTGCTCCAATCAATCCCGTCGTCTTCTCGTTAAGAGGGCAGTTGATGGAAACGATATCCGAAACGGAGAGCATCTCGTGTAAGGTCCTGCAGTACGAGACACCATACTGGGCTTCTTCTTCCGCTGATAATTGGTTTCGGTTGTGATACACGACCTTCAGGTTGAAGACCGCTGCTTTCTTGGCTAGATACTATATGATTTTTGACCTGGTTAGTGGAAATCCCTTTCTTATAGAGCTTTATTGGACGAACTTTTCCAATGGCACCAAGCCCAACGATGCCGAGTGTCAACTCTGAGGGATCTCTAGCAGGCACCAAACCAGGCGCAACTCTCCATGAGCCTTCTCTCGCACTTTTCTCCGCATTGGTGGTATTCCTTAATACTGCCAGCATGAGAAAGATGGCCATGTCGGCTGTGGCTTCTGCCACCGCATCAAGGGTGTTACAGAACCAAATGCCCTGTTTGGCCATCCATTGTACATCAAACTCGTTGTAACCTGCGCTAGCCGAGGTGATGATTTGACAATCGGAGACAAGTGGTGACAACAGATCCTCATCGAAAGGCTCATAAGGCGGTGTGCCCATGCGAATAATGAAAGCGTCGATTGGACCATCCTTCTTGATCGTCTCCGGTAATAATGCTTGCGTTGTTTTGCGATCATACGCCTCGAGCACGGAGAAGTTGAAGTCCTCTGAAAATTGGGCGAGGTAGTCATCTCCGACATACTTGGGAGTGCCCAAGGCGACCACACGTGGCTTTCTTTGACATTCTATTATACGGGTAGGAGACATTGTCTGGTGGTTAAGTCTTTCTATTTTCTCATAGGTTTGTTAGACGCGAGTTTGCTGGAGTGGCTGAATTATGCACATTCTTATCTCAACCCCCCTATCCATTTCCTAGGAGTGTTTGAAACAAGGTCGGAAAAATGATACTTTGTATTAATGCGGGGTCAGAGCCCAACGACAGCAATGATTGTAACCCGTAGTGTGGTCTCTCGGCTTCCTCCGTGAATGGTCAGATAAGCTTTCTGGCTTCCTCCGAACCCAATCATCACGAACAAACGCGTACGTAACTCATTATGGCAAGAAATTCTATACGATGACGGAGTCATCAATCCAAAACGAAAGGGAGGAACTTGATGTAGCCAACTCTTGGTTCTCAATGCAAAGTCAAAAACAAAATACGACCGAGTATGGCTGACAAGCAATTATTGCCGCCTCTCGGTTTTATTGCCATCGATGTGCATTTTCATCGGCCACCTGGGGATGCATTCAATGAAAGTACTTGGCCATTTCCCTTAATTCACATACAGGCTGAAGGCTCCTCGGAGAGTGAAGTTGTTACGAAAGGCGCATACGATGCCGCATTAATTGACCGTTTTGTGGAAGCTGGATTGAAGCTTGCTGCGCGAGGATGCGTAGGCATTATCACGAGTTGTGGTTTTCTAGCCATGGCACAGCAAGAGTAGGTACTTATTTTCTCTACTTCCCCCCCTGCTTCGCAACGAGAGTATTCAGAGATTGTTGACAGCGAAAATTCAGACTCTCGGCACGTTTACCAATTCCTATTGCAACATCTTCTCTCCTACAAATCCCCTCTCTTCTTGCCTTTCTACCACCTGGGAAAACCATCGGAATATTAACCTACGACGATGCACGACTTGGTCCTGACCATCTCACGAAAATTGGTCTATCCTGCGGTGCCGTAAGCAGGACTCGTATCGTCGGGGCACCAGCCAACGGCCATTTGCGCCGGCTCATCCAACACGGAGCGCCTTATGTGCATGCCGATATAGAGAAGGAGTTGGTTGAAATAGCCAGAAATATGGTGATAGAATACTCAGATATTGGTGGGATTTTATTAGAATGCACGCAGATGCCGCCATTTGCCGGGGCAATTCAGCGCGCGGTACGGCTACCTGTGTATGATGTGTATACTATGGGTTGCTGGTTTTACTCTGGGCTACAACGAAATAGGCCACTTGTCTGGGGAGCTGTGGAGTCCTCATAGTCTCGCAATATCTCAATATAGCAATCTAGGTATCAAAGTAGTCGAATTCAAACCAGAAAATCACCACCAGTCTCCTTCAGAATCAGGTCATATTCCGGTTTGAATTGCATATACATTACCTCGGGCGTCCCTGTGCCATTTTTCGTATGTGCAGCCGCTCTCTCATCAACAACCCTCTTGGTGAGTCCGCCATTCCCACCGGCTATGGTAGTCTGGGCAATCGCAGACTCCACTAGAAGCTGTGATTGACATGCTCGCTCAAGTGCGATAAAGAATCCAGCTGCTTCGGCAACGGTGCCACCTGCAGTCAATAGCCCATGGTTCTGTAAAATGATATTCTTATTCGTAGGTCCCAAAGCGTTGGCAATCTGGTGTCCTTCCTCGTGAGACAGGACCACGCCGCCAAAGCCTGAGTAGACCGAGAGATCGTTGTAAAACATACAGGAGTCTACGATTTGCTGTCTCGTTAGATATATCTGTTTTTCGTATTGGTCGTATAATGAAGGAGCAAGACACAGTACCTTGGTTCAGCATGTCAATTCCCTTACCAAAAGTACTCCATGCCCGGCCATATGGGCTGTGCATATGGCATGCCGCATGGAGGTCTGGCCGCCGTTGATGGATAATCGAGTGAATAATGAATCCTGCAGTGTTGATCTGTTTATTGGCTCCCCCCACTCGATTTCCACGCTCGTCAACGCGGACCATATCCGAGACTCGGAGCAGGGCAAAGTGTTCTCCATAAGGATTGATCCAGAATGTAGTGGGCTCGACGGGGTCTTAAAGAGAGTTAATTTTATTGAACGACGAACCTAAAAAGTAGAAGAAGGAATATGAATTGTTCAATACCTCTCAGGCTAATATGCCCACTTCCTCCGTCCGCGTATCCTAACTTCGCGAAGATGCGAAATGCGCCGGCCATTTGTTCCAAGAGCCATTTCCGCTCCGCCTCTTTGGTGGCAGGTCTTGGAATGTGATGAACTCGCCTCATCTGCCCGTTTTCATCCTTTGTGGTGTTTAAGACAGGAAGTGCAGCTTCGGTGATGGTAGTAGTGGTTGTAATTGTGGAGCTCATGGTGATAGTAGTAACCAGAACTTATTTTTGGTTTTCCTCTTCTACACTTTCGTCTTCGTTTAAGTTATATTTTCCAGAGATACCAGGGCCAGCATTGCAGTACGTGGGCTGTCTTTGTTGAGTAAAGCCCCCCATATTTCAATCAATACATTTGCGGAGTAAGAGTCCAACCCCATTCGTCATGGCCTGCATTCGGCTTCTTCCGGTATGGAGTGACATTACCTAATTAGTTGCATAATGATAATCATTACGATGGGAAGCTAGGCATTTTTCGCATTATCTCGTCTTTTTAGTGAGACAGCAAGATATTTCTTTCTGGCGATGGGTGATGCGTCCGTTAGTAATTGCGAAGTCTCGGAAGTATCCGTCCAGTATTCGCAACAGTCGTCCTCTTCAACACTGCTTCGTTTGGTACAAACTAATAATGTGAAGCATTTTACCTTATTAAAATGATACGTATACCGGTAAATATATATATATTTGCTAAAAAATGAGCTTATATAAACTGAAAAACTGGGAATTATACAATATTGACCTCGGAAAGTTGAACCCATCTGCTTCATTAGATTGATCCATTTGCAGAATTCTGTTTCATAGCCATAATGGCCACCTCCACAGGTTACCATCACCCATTTACATCTGGTGACTTGACGACAGTCAATAACCGCGATATTGACAGCGACTGCTACGTTGAGGAAGACGTGCTCCGGACCACGTTTGCTCTCTCCATGTCAGCAATGTACACAGCAGAGGTTCCCTTGTATGGCGACCTTGTTCAGATCGTACGAAACATCAACCAAAGTAAATTACCCTCCGCCACTGAAACCGAGCGCCTCAGTCTTGAGCGACACGGAGCCATCCGGTTGGGAACGAACCAAGAACTCCAGACAGTCCATCGCATTTTCAATCTTGTAGGCATGCATCCCGTGGGATATTATGATCTTTCTGTGGCTGGGCTGCCCATGCATGCAACATGCTTTCGCCCTGTCGATGGTTTATCTCTCCAGAAAAACCCATTTCGGGTCTTCACCACGTTGCTACGACCAGATTTGCTGCGATCCGATGACGCAAAGAGTGTGGCGCTATCTCTACTCAGACATCGTCGCATCTTCAGTGACGAATTAATGCGTCTGCTAGATGTTGCTGAGAGCCAGGGAAACCGGTTGACGAAATCCCAAGCAGAAACATACATCATCCAAGTCCTCCGATCCTTCAGCTGGCATTCCACCGCAGCTGCGAACTACGAGCAATATCAGCTTCTGAAATCAGAACACCCAATTTTAGCAGACATTGCCTGCTTCCGTAGCGCTCACATTAATCACCTGACTCCACGAACATTAGATATCACTGAGGCTCAGTCTGCCATGCTTCAGGCTAAAATGGCCGTGAAAAGTCGTATCGAAGGTCCTCCGCGGAGAAAATGCCCTATCCTCTTGCGTCAAACCAGCTTTCTAGCGCTGGAAGAGAAGATACATTTCCCTTCCTCATCCTCTTTCTACGACGCTACTCTTTTGAGGGACCCTAACGATGCTACTCCCTTAATAGAAGGCTCACACAAAGCCAGATTTGGTGAAATTGAAGAACGCGGTGCTGCTGTCACGCCAAAGGGGCGCCAATTGTATGATCGACTGCTCGAATTAGTGATGCAAAAGGCACGGTCATCAGATACAGCTGCAACAGTCGATCCCCACACAATCGATAAGATCATGGAAGATTGTTTTCAGGTATATCCCGACGACTGGGATGAGCTACGGAAACAAGGACTCGTTTACTATGAATATCGAATAAATATGAGTCAAAACACGATGATGAGGAGGAATGCACAAGCTACTTTTACCTCTAACTCCTTCGATTGTCGATCCACCTCACTGGAGAGCCTGATATGCGAAGGTATAATAGAGGCAGTCCCAATCACTTATGAGGATTTCCTACCGTTTTCAGCTGCCGGTATCTTTCAGTCCAACCTAGGAAGCAATAAAAATGACAAATCGGCAACTGAGAGAAACGAATTGAACGCTTGCCCTGACCTTGAAGGGTTTGAACGAGCTTTAGGTACCCAAGTACTGGATCCAGATGTGTTATATGCGGGGATGCAAAAACGAAGTCTGGAAAGATGTGCTACAGTTTTAGGAATACGTATTTGAGTGCTTTTGTTGATCCCGAGGAAATGCCACATCAATAGCAACGGAATAACAATGCTTATTAGGTTTGCTTTGCTGTTTATGACCAGTTAGAACCCCCTAGTTTAATCGTTCCCCGTCATCACTTTGTTATAATGTAGCTCAAAAGGCTTTCAGTATCAATAATAATCAGTGTGCAGAGCTATAATTACATATTCATATCTCCATTGTAAAACGTACCAGGGAGAAGTTGTACATCACCCTGAAGCAATTCCTGGACAAGCCATTCTGATTCCTGAGGAACAGACACTCCACCTAGACCCGTGATCCAATCCTGAAAAAGTGTCTCCCCAAGCAGATGATCTCCTGCATTTGCATCTACCATGGATCTTTGGGGTAACTGTTGGCTGAGAGCAGGAGCGTTGCCGCTATCTCCAAACACCATACTTATTGTACGCTCCGAAAGCGTCTCAAAAAGGTCACGGTAGGAAGTTGCCAGATTCCATCTCTCCGCAATAATCACCAGGACAGTACTGCATGCCATGCACGTCGTGATGACCTCGGCCTGGCTCGTCATCTCTCTCACCTTCTGTGATCGCCATAAACAGTATAAATAAGTGAGGCCACCGAGAAACAAGATATGCAAGCTACCCCAAGTAAATTGAATAGTTGAACTCTGGTATAATCGGCGGTATAAAAGACACATCTCCCTTGCACGCACCGAGCACTCTTCAAAGACTCGATCGATCCGCTCCGGGTCATGAATCTCTATCGTTGGCCGGCTGTGACTCAGGCTGCTAGTGATATAGGGTCGGTACAGTAGCAGGATTGAGTGAGCATAAGCAAGCTGAAACCATTCTGTGGAGGCAAAAACTGACAATGGCCGCGGGCGAGATGACGTGAACTGACCAGGGAGAGCAGCATGCCAGTCATCAAGCTCCTGGCGAAGACTGTCGACAGTACCATCATCACGGTGGTCGCCTTTTGTGTAGAGACTCTGGCTGAATTTAGCCCATAAACGGCGCAGGCGGATAACGTGAAGAGCCCCCGTCATAAGAGTAGGTGGTTCTCCCACATTGCGTGGATTTCGCTCTAATCCTAAGGGAGTAATATATTCGTCGTCAATATCGGCTGGGAGCTAGACATGAATTAGTTTAGTCCCACATTCTCAGCACAGGTCTGTTTTTCATTATTGTAATGGAAAAGGTCGACGAATCTGTACCTCAACATCAATACACTCCTCAGGTATACCAACTGGGCGACCAAGAGTGAATGCCGCAACACGGTCAATGTCATAGCCAACCCAGAAGCATCTTTTAATCAATTCTCTAGTTAAGGTATCCACACCACGATGGTATAATGCGGTGCTACGATGGTAGCCCAGCTCGATACAATGTCGAATGGCCATACCAGATATTTTCCTGTCATCGTTAGCATGTGGCTGCTCCGATGTCAATAGTCATCGCCCACCATAAGCTGACTCCGACAGGAGACCTGATCGAATACACTGCGCAGCTGAGTATACACTGAATCGACTCTAGGGAATTTGACGCTAACACTGGTGATATATGGTCCAGTGCCATGGAGTAATACATCTAAATTATCTTAGCATCTTCCGCTTCTAAAGAGTCATATGTATTCTAGCCCACCTCTGCGGTTTTCTTCTGACTCTGTCCTAGTGTGAGAGAACCAATAGCGTAAACCTAGTTTGACCACCACCATGACGCGTCGTTAGCTGTGGATGTCTTCTTTCGTGTCTCCGAGTAGTTAGAGTAGTTTACCATTAGAACAAAAAATAGCGGCACGTCTTCCACATCTTTCATGTTCCCTAGTTGTGTGCCTTTTCGAACTTCTTCTTCCCATCGATTAAACGTAGGCCTATGTAAGAAGGGGTATTGGGGATGAATATTATCAAAATACGCTTGGATCAACCGCTTCCCTGAGCGCGGTGATGGCGGATGAAAGATTACAGGTTCTTGGAATATATTGCGCTCCTCTCCTTCTGCGGGGTCAGTGCTATGTTGTGAGCTTGCGCTAGTGCCCAAATTATTTGCAAAGCCCATTGTTGCGCTGACAATCCGGGAGAATGAAACCGCAGACGAGGGCCCAAAGTAATGAGGCTCTCGGCCGGCGGCGCTTAGGCAGAGCAACGCAACCTCGGATGAAAGGAGATCGACATGTTGGTCCTCAGATTGGGCATTCTCATTAGGCGGATGACTTGTTGGATTATGCAAAGACATAGAGCTATGTCCTATCGGAGGCGATGCAGGGGAGTGTGCTGCAGCATGTGCTCCACCTCCTCCAGCGTCAACTCTCTCTCCTGGTGCAGTTTGCATATGGTCCAGGGCCACATCTGGACAGACTTCCTGAAGAAGGGACTCTAGATAAGCAACCCGGGACTCGAGGGATTGCAAGTAATCTCGCGGCCGGTACAAGCCCGTCGCGGGGTCTTCGACTAGACAATCTTTGATGATGCCATTCGTTATACATTCAATGTTCTATTTCCATTGGACTTCCACTCACCCCGTCCTGAAACTTTACAATTCTGACACTTGGGGCTTTGGCCATCGCACTAAGAACATAATTTTGGTTCCGTATACTTATTTTCGAGAAACCTAGACGAGAGCTCTTACCTTTAACTTTTTTTGCTTACAACCAATACACGCCAGAGTGGTTCGCTCTTTAGTGCGGGGGCGTTTTGAGGGCTGATGTTCATTGTCATTGAATATTTGGAGACTCATATCATACGTCGCGACACGTAGTGGGTCGAATGCTTTGATCAGAGCAGCGTTGTATAATTTGAGTACTGGTTTAGCTGCTGTACAGTGGTATTTCGCACTGATGATTTCCTGGGGTACGTACCAGAAGCCCTTAAGTTGTCTCAGCACAGACCCTTTGCTCACCGCCTGGCCAAATCCGGCAACAGCCGATTCTTCAAAAAAGGGCTTTGGTTCTTTCTTGCAGCAATTTATTTAAGCTGCTGTCTCTACTTGAGAAATGATACATAATTTTTTTCTAAAACAAATAATATTCACATGCTAGAAGTTTTTACAGGGCTTCATTATATGGGTGTGCTATTGCTTCTATAGGTCAGCGGACATATTGTCACTTTAAAGCCTAAGTTTCGAAGCTTATGGCCGCTATAGCTGTCTAACATATTATACAAAACTAGCATTTTTGGCCCATTGATATTTCGCCACTTTTATTAGAAAATATAGTCTAAAAATGATATATAATATAAAGCTTACTTTCAATATTATATATTCTTAATTTGACGAAATAATTAGGAATCATTATTAAGATAAAAAGATGCATGAAAAATACATGGGTTTACAGCGTAAGTTTTAAAATAATAATTATTTTTAGATTAATCTTATTAATATTAAAAAATATTCTAATTTATAATACATAATAATTACTATATCAATTTTCAGACTATATTTTTTAATAAAAGTGGCGAAATATGAAGGGGCCAAAAATGCTAGTTTTGTATGGTAATTGAAAAGTGTGCCCCTTACTTATAAAATATGTTTTTTAATGATAAGCATTATGGAGGTATGTGGCGTATGCTAGAGTTACGGTGTTGAGAACAAAAAGTCAGAATTTGCTAGCTAATTGACCGTAAGTTGAGAGTTTATATACATTTTACAAATTCAAGTCTATATAGCAAAATCATTGTTTACCCCTTAGGACCTCCTCAGTAGTCTCGACGATGATATCGAAAGCTCGGAGTATATGCTTTTCCTCTGCCTGTGCGCTTCCATTTACAACTCGAATAGAGTATGTCCCGGCAAATACCGTTGACGTCAAGAAAACTTCTCCTCTGGAGTTAATCAACTCATAGACCTTTTTCGATAGCTCATTTGCCTTTTCGTCGACCTGGACGATATGCTTATGCTCAGAAGTGCCATTAGGTACATCCCCAGCAGCAGCAGCAGCAGCAGGATTACGCACTCGCAAGACTGTCAGACCGTATGCAGGCGTCGTCACGATTTCGAATAGGTCAGACCGACTCCGCACCTTGTCGGCGAAGATGTTGCCGAGTGAGATCCCGTTGCGGACGTGCGCTTTCAAGCCATTGAGTCCGTATGTGCGCATGACGAACCAGATCTTGAGACTTCGGAAACGTCGGCCTAGTGAGATCTGCCAATTACGGTAGTCTATCACAGTGCCGAGCTCCGAGTATGGATTGCGCAGGTAAGTTGGCGTAATGTCAAGGGCATTGGTGAGGTCGGTACGGTTGCGGACCCAGAGGCAGCTGGAAGAGATTAGCTTCCCAACAGAAAAGAATAGAAGTGGAGGTTAGGTCGGTCTACCTGGCGTCGAAATTAACCATAAGCCATTTGTGCATGTTCATGTTGAAACTGTCCACTCCCTCTGCGAAATTCTGTGCAATATGCTGATACTCATCCGCAACAAGAGCAGCGCCCGCATAAGCTGCATCGATATGCACCCAGATCCGCTTCCAAGACTCCTTCTCACTCAACACAGTTTTGACTTCTGCAAACCGGTCCACGGCACACGAATTGGTTGTGCCCATACTGAGAGTGATATAGTAAGGATCTAGCCCATCCGCCTCAATCTCTTCCAACACTTTCCGAACTGCCTCGCCCGTCAATTCCATGTTATCCTCCAGCTTCGTCGGGATACTGCGGAACCTGGTCCCTGCAACCAACGCCGCCTTTGCGGTGCTGCTATGTGTTTGATCACTTGATATAGAGACTAGCTTGGCGCGATTCTCACACACCCGGTTCTCATACTCCACAGAACCGTCTTTGAATCCCTCAGCTAGAGTTTTTTCCCGCGCGCGACGTTCGCGTGCTGCAATCATCATGGTTGCAACTGATTCACTCGCAGTACCTTGAATAACACCACCGCCGCCGTTCGCGGACGTGCTGAGGAAACACTCCGGAAGAGCCAACGCTTTAGCGACCCAGTCCATAATAATCGTCTCAAGTTCTGTACACGCAGGCGAACATATCCAATTAAAAGCCGGTGCTGTGAACGCAGCAGAGTACATTTCGCCAAGGATGCTGGGGTATGTGACGGACGCGGGGAAGAAGGCCATGAAATTGGGCGATTGCCAGTGGGTTAGCCCCGGCTGGATCTTAGATTCGATGTCTGCGTGGATTTCGGACCATTTTTGCGGTTCGAGGGGAGGGTTCTCTGGGATTTGAGGGCGGAGATAACCCGGTTCGATGGTGGGCAGCACACGGCGGTCGGGTACGGTGTCGAAGTGGTTGATAACTGAAAGGTCAGTTTCTGCCAAGTAGAATTATTGGAAGAATGATGGTGTAGAATCTGCTTACTATCGTCAATGGCAGCGTGTGCCGCCGCTCGAAACTGTTCGCGATCCATGCCGTGACGCGGGGTTACTGAGGGGAAGTTTGGCAATGTTAGAATAATATAAGTGCGGTATTTGTATGCGCAGAAATCAAGGAAAAACACAGGCTAGAGTGTCAATTAAATGACCCCAGCCTTAACTGTCAATACAGATGAAGATTTGCAGTATTTAAGTGAAGAAAAGCATGAAATCATCAATTTAATCACTCAGCGACGAGAAAAGGAAAGCGCGGAAATTACCGAGCCGGAAATTGCCTATCGGTACCGAGCTATACCCAACGCCAATAACAGTAATATTAATAATATCAAATGATGACAGCGACTTACAGCTGGCCTGCAGCTGACCTGCAGAAGTCTCAATACTATTCTCATACTCTAACTGGAATTGACTAAGTTCGTCAGACTGTGCAAAGTAATGACCTGGAGAGAATGTTAGAATGTTCGCGATAGCCTCTCAAGCGGGGAAGCGGACTTATTCCGCGCTGTCCTCAATGATATCTTTAAGCTTATCTGATTGGATCTCGCATACGATAACTCTTAAATCATATACACTGAATGGTTACCGAAATGGTTTAGTCAGTTTGACCAGGGTCTGGCTGGATCCCGTAAAGGGAAACATTTCTAGGCCGAGTCAGCTGCAGGAGGTGTAGTGATCTCCGAAAGGGCGTGGCGCGTTGCCGGATTTGGATTGTGTCTGATATCATGAAAAGTGGGTTGAGTACGGAGTCAAGTCCTGAGTAATGATAGTGACTAAGTAAGGCATTTTCTGGCATTGACAGAGGGTATTCGGAAGGTAAAGATTGTATGTTTGATTTTGATATCGACATGTGCGGTGAGCATTGAGAGTTGAATAGTATAGTGGTAGTGAAATTAATATTACTGATTTCAAGATAATATCTCCTAGTCATGGTACCCCTCTTGCTCCTTCTTATCCTGCTCATCCTTCGTCTCGTACCTCTCACTATACCACTCCTCCTCCATCTTCTTCCCACTAATAGTCAACTGCTGCATTGGCATAAAAACAAACAGCAACCGGCACCAATCCTCATTACTTCGATTGCGATATGAATGTGCTGTTCCTCGCTGAATAGTGACGTCGCCTCGGTGCAACGTGCGCTTTTGCCCACTATCCAGCACCAGATCGACCTCGCCCTCCAATACAACGCTGTAATCCACTGTCACTGTGCGGTGCATCGGCGTTTCTTTCAGCGGCTGCATGTCGATGACCCGGAATACCGTGCCGTTCTCAGGACTGATGCCCGGGGGCATGTGTAGACAGGAGTCGTAGACGGCGACGTCAACTTCGTTTTGACATTGGACGGGGAACGTGTCGGTGGAGTATAGTAGGGCGAGTTCTCCGTCCTCACCAGCTGAGTGAAAGGGCGCGCATTCTGGGACCTGGCTGGATGAGAGAAATACAGACTCCCCATCGCGGTTGTGTGTAGTTATGTAGCGATGTACGCGGGGGAAACCTTTTCGACGTTGGTCTGGCATTGCCGCTGCACACTCTCTTTTAGACTGATTTTCAATTTTCTTCTCTCGTGTGCATGGTTTGTGCAGCTGGTATAGTTGTGACCTGCATTTTAAGATGCTGTTGTTTGCCCCTATATGACCTCACTATCCGATCCGATTTTTAAGTTGTCATTAGGGTTCGGGAACATACACCCAGACGAGCCCACTTTGTTTCGTCATCGGTGGCTACTAATATAAAGCTGCAAAACACAAAATAGTGATACCTTTATTCATAAAGGTTAGTAGCATCAGTAAGGTCAGCCAACAGACCCGCCCATTCCTCCGGATTGGCCACCAAGGGAGCGCCATTGTCTAGAAACTCGGACCACATATTCTCTAGTCCCCGGTTATCAATACTGGTAAAATCCGAAGAGTTTGTCGGGTAAACGCTCGTATCTGACTCTAGAGAATGAACCGCAACATCTTCATCTCTAGCACCAACACCAACCCCCGAGACTGAGTCTGAACGAGATTCCGTTTCAGGATGCTGTTGTTCGTTTGATGGACGCCAGTATCGCTGCATCACCTCCATCAGAGCATTGATGCCTTCCTGCACAAGACTGGAGCGTTGCTGTGCCCTATCCAGCATCCGGCAAGCATCCAGGATCTCCTCGCGCCGCTTATCCGCCAAGATATCATCCCAATTAAAACACAAATCCATCAGCAGAATAGCCGCTGCCATGAACACATGATGCATGACGGACCAAATCAGTGAGCTACCGGGCATGTTTTGGATTTCACTATCCATAATCCGTTTGATCTCAATAACTCGACGAGCAGATTGTAGGCACATGACGTGAGAATATGAATACGTGGGATCCTGTGCTCCTCTTATGAAATAGCTTCGGTGTAATCGACAAACACGTGCATGATATCCTTGATGAAGAAGTAGTCTCTGCCAAGATATCTGAGGCCAATCCTTATAAAGCTGCGCATATTTACGGCGAGTGACGCTGTCAAGTCGGAAGAACTCGGGTATCTGTTTGTACTGCTGGTTGAGCCTCCGATCGAGATCCATAATCTTAGTGTATTCGATTTCAATGCCCTGAGCCTGTTCTTGGCAGGTTGCATCTATAATCTCACGACAAACGGTGGCGAGTTTTAGCCGTTCAATAGCGTATGACATTTTCGTGGGTACTGTTTCCGGATTACAATATCCATCTTCTTGTCGTCCAAGTTCGTCATCATGGATATTTACTGGCATATTAACCGACATATGAGTAGGTTGTATGAGATAGGTGCCTTCCTGAGGGCCACTCAAGAAACCCAAGAGCCTTTGCAAATTAGTATGGGGATTTTGGGAGAAGGGGGATCATACCAATCAAAAGAAACTAGCTGCCACCACAGTCTGCGTTTGAGCTCTAACTCCACTGGATCATAACCATTCCTCTTCCTACATTCTTTACTCTGCACAGAGTCGATGCGATGAAGGCCCAACTGTCTTCCCTGACTAATCATCGTCCCATGAACAAAGTAGGCCCGAATAGCCGGTTCTTGACCCAGATTAGAAACACAATGACAAATGATAATTGTCGCCTGAATCCCTTCAACTGTGGGATAATTCAGATAATTGCTCTGCGTTAGTGCGGCACCGACAAGGGTAGTGAACTCGCGACATTTCTTTTCGGCCTCTCTTTCGTCTTCTTTTGAAGAATTGAAAGAGCCCATGTTTCGAAAGTAGTGAGCCGCAGCAGTGATGCTGAAAAGTAATGCAAGATGGTTCAGATTCACTGTAGAATTGGTGTGCACGTTTTGATAAATCGTAGTGATTTGAGATAAAGTCCGATCTGGTACTATCACATGGTAGACATAGTCTATGTTATTGGTATAGTAGTTAAACAACAAGATAGCCTCCGACTCGCGAGGTAAGAAGGAGGCTAATGGCGTCGGTAGATTAGCACAATTTGGTATATGCTTGTCTTTCATCGACATGGGCAAAGCGTCGGGCATACGCGGTCCCATCACGATAGTCTCCAGCCAACCAGTAGTTATTTCCTGTGCATTATCTTCTGAAGATCTCTGTCCACCTTTCGATGGTGGTCTGATGATTTCGGATACTACTGGTTGAGTAAAAACGGGTACTGATGAAGACCTTTCCGTGGTTGTCGATGGTGGTGTGGGATAGGTGAATTGATGGAATGTGTTGACCGCATACACACATTCATTACGTCGTGTTTGGCAGTTGTGGCATGGCTGCTGCCGGTCACATTTTAATTTCTTCGTTCGACAACTCTGGCATGAGACTGGGTCCTGTCGAGGTGCGCGCTTCCGATTCTGACTACCTGCCTGGTCCGAATTTGCCTTTCTTTTAGCAGACATTGTCAAAAGTTCTAGGTTCTGATATATCAATAAACTAGAATAATTGGACTTTGATGAATAGAAAGAAAGATCGAATTTAATCGCATCACGATCAAGTTGTCGTTCGGAGGGAAGGATCATGCGTTTCCATTTCGGGTTTAGCTTTTCGGAGTCTCCATGGACAGTCCGCAGTCGAGCACCACAGTGACCGCCGCCCTAACTGTCAACAACAAAACGGACACTCCGAGCTAGCAACATTGGAAAGAAAATTTTAATAGAATAAGCTCCAAAATGGCGTATATAAAGTCTCTGTCACCCACTAAGAAGTTTATGGGATGGAATTCAAGCTTTTATTACTTTCTAGAACTGTGTGAACCAAAGTCGCCAGAACCAGGTCCATATCGTTGAGAATGAATGAAAAGGAACTGACGGACGCTTCTATCCCTTACTCGGCGTCTTCAAGTAATGACCATGAAGCACATGTATCTTCAAGCTCCGGCGAATTCACGTAAAAGGACCTAGCCTTGGGATAGGAAAATGTTGCTAATTTATTATTAGGAGCCGTTCTATTTTATCACTGTTAGGAGCAACAGGAGCTGTATTTTGCACTGTCGGCTTCCAGAACGCATTTGGTGTGTTCCAAACATACTACGGCGAGAGTTTTCTGTCAAATGAATCCGGCTCAGATATTGGGTGGATTGGGTCAATCAACATTTTCATATTGTTCTCTGGGTCGCTCGTCACAGGCCGTATTCTCGATCTATCTGGGCCTGTTGTAAGATAAATACTTTTGATTTAAATATTTGAAGATACATGCTGACTATTCTATGAGGTCATGTTTTGGGCAGGATCCACCTTAACAGTCTTCTCTCTGATGATGATTTCCCTGTGTCGCAAATACTGGCAATTTATTCTTGCCCAAGCTATACTCCTGGGTATCGCTAATGCATGTCTCGTCTGTCCTGCTGTTGCACTGATAGGCCAATACTTCAAGAAGAGACGAGCCGTTGCTCTTGGTGTCACCATAGCAGGTTCCTCTTTAGGAGGCGTGATCTGGCCGATCGTCGTGCACCAGCTTTTACAAAAACCGAACATTGGCTTTGGATGGACTATGAGGATTGCAGGTTTAATCATGCTACCTATCTTAGCCGTGTCATCCATAATCGCACGCCCTCCAATTTTGCCAAAGACAATGGGAGAGCCCCTTAAGAAGCCAGCCTGGGACTGGACGGTTGTGAACACAAAGGAAATGCTGTTTACTGCGTCTGGATTCTTCCTTATTTATTTTGGCATGTTTACGCCTTTCTTCTTCACAACCAGCTACGCTATCGAGTCGGGCTTTTCGACGAACTTAGCCTTCTACACTGTCTCCTTGATTAATGGCGCATCACTCTTCGGTCGAATACTTCCAGGGTTGGTTGCAGATCGATATGGAAGGTTTAACTTGTGTATCATTATGACTGTTTTCTCCGGTATCATTGCCTTGTGTTGGACAACAGTCACGTCAGCGGCAGGCATTGTTATATTCTCTCTTGCTTATGGCTTTTCTTCAGGGGTAAGTTCTATATTTCATATAATAACAGGATGGTTTGCTTACACGCATAAAGGGGATTCTGTCTCTCCAACAAGCCTGTGCTGCTCAAATAGCTACACCAAGTAACATGGGCACTGCAGTGGGTTTTGTGATGGCTTCGACCTCACTTTCGTAAGTGGTAACTTCTCTGCAATTTCGAGCTTATACTGACTTTTGCAGTGCACTAGCGGGGACACCTGTGAGTGGAGCTCTCATTGATAAGTATGGCTATCTTTCTGTTTCGATATACAGTGGTGTTAGTATGCTGGTTGGAAGTCTGGTGTTGGTTATGGCGAAGTTAACTCAAAACAGCAAGTTACTTGCTGCGGTCTAACTCAAGGGTAAGTGCTAGTGATGATGCGCAGGTGTTTGGAACAGGCTGCTTAACCAATTGACTAGACGTTGTCGGAAAGAGGTAGACTTAAATAATTACCATGTTGGAAGATAATTAGGCTTAATATATAATAATTCGCCAAAAAATATCATAAGATTCTAACTAAGCAATATGCTATTCTAATATGCTATTATGAACAAAACCACACTGATATCGACTGTAACCCAATGAGACAATTCCTCAATGGGCCATTTCATGTGCAAGCTTTGAAATTATGTACAGATCAAGCAATCCATACCGATCTCTTCTGCTTCTTCCAGCACGACAACCACTCTCTCAACGCATCAGTGAAGAAACCCCTCGACAAAGCGCCTTCTTCAAACCTCATATTCAAGTCAAAACAATGCATCGCATTCTTCATCACATACCCAAACAGCTCTCTCCTCGCGGTCTTCCGACCACATACCGGTGTATTCGTTCTAAACGTCACAAAATTTGGCGCGAAATCTTCGGTGGAAAGCGGCGATAATGGCCTCCACGGATCAAACTCCCCGCCTGACCAGTACGTATTCGACGGACGGATTGTCCAGCCTCCGGTCTCTTGATTTGTCTGCTCGGCCGCAGGGGATGGAGGGAGGAGGCCGTTCTCTACCGCGCCGGGAAACTGGCGGTTGCATACCTCCTGGTTGTATGCCAGGGTTTGATGGGTGGATAGGAGACCGTGAGTAGGGTTAGGATTGATATTGTCTTGTTGAAAGAACCCGAATTGCGAGCAGTACTGCCACATCCAACTAATCGAATCTGAATCATCCATTCTCGTACCCAAATCGCAGGACTCAAAATCCGATACATCCTTGCCACACTCCGTCGAGCTGTAGCCATTGATGAGCGGGATGAGTTGAGGCCAAGATGCAAAGCGCTCGGCAACAATCTTCTTGCCGACAAACGGAGCCCAGCCAGTCGACGTCGCTGATGTTGGTAGGGTTCCATTGTTCGATTCTGTGGAATTATTGCGTCGTCCTGCTCGCGAGGAGTTTGCTCGAGATGCATTTGGTAGCGCCTCCATCCAATCACATAATGCACCCAAACTCGACTCTCCTCCTCCCATTCCATATGCCTGGAAAGTGCCGTAGATGTAGCCTAAAGCAGACGTGAAATCACCATTGGAATTTCTCTTTCCGCCTTCACCGAGAAATAGCGACTTCACAGCCTCGCTTGCCGATCCGTTGCGGGCGAGCTGCGAATCCACATAGACCATGGCAGCGTGAAGGTCATGTGCGCAGCCTTGGTACCCATTGGCCACCATTCCACGATAAACCTGCTCGAAATAGACTCCCATATCGACCTTCGCTTGGACAGGTGCCGAGGAGGCATACGCGGCGTAGATAGTATCTGGGAATTGATTCCGAGTAAACGCCGCCCTCATGCCCGAATATGACCCGCCGAGCATAACCCAGGGAGTGCCTTTGGGCGATAAATCCTCGTCGAGAATGTCACTTCGCTGAAAATTGCTTGCAAAATGTGGTATGTCGAATAATGCTTGGTGGTTGGTGAGATATTTGAAATTCTCTATTGGCGTGTCGAGGTCCACAGGGCCCATTGGTAATGACTCTCCATAATACCTATTTATCAGTTAGCCCTGCCTTACAACCAAATCATTCCCAATCTATTGATTTAAGAGAAAATTAGTGCTGACATACCGATGCTCCCAAACAATACCAATCCCGCCAAAGTCTTTCAGAAGGCTTCCCACAAAGGTCGAATCACTAGACAGCATAGATCGAGCCGAGCTCTCAGCCGACGTTTCGCCGACATCATATACAAAAACAGGTCCTCCGGGCTTATAGTACTTTGTCGATACCCAATATCTATTCTGATATGTACCTAGGGTATAGTTGTCATGATCAATTGGTATCTATCCGCTATCAGCATTGCTCTGAAATCAATCCAATAAGGGGGAAAAAAAACAAAAAAAAACAAAGCAGACTCACAGAAACATATTCAGGGGTAACTGAAATAGACACCGACTTCTCAATTGTTTGGTGGAAATTCACGGGATTCAAGAGAACGCTGTCTGCGTCTAGCCCTAACGCCGCCGCCAGATGCAAGTCGCGGGACAGCGGGCTGTTGAGAAACCCTATGGCGAATGCATAATGTACAACGCACGCCAGCGCAAGAAGGTCGCTTAATCTCATTATTATGTCATGGGTATATATGCATGAGTATATGCTTCTGTCGTTATATCCGATTCTCCTTAAAAGGACATGCCACCCAAAAGGAACGAAAGCTTCTGAGGAGAAGAAGAGTACACATTGGAACGGATCATCGGCTTAATAACTAAATTGTCATCTAATCTATGTACAATATCCTGTAACCGGAAAATATCGATAAAATATGAAAAATGAATTAAACAGAGAGTGATAAGCCGCATCGAGCATTGAATCTAATTCCAACCCGTTAACGTCGATTTTGAGCTGATCGTGGTCAGATGCAGATTTCCGAAATCAGTAATCATGTACAACAAGAATGACGGGCGAGCACATGGCAACAATAGAATTGCCCTGATTGACAGGTTACCCGGCATATCGTACGTCATCTAGATCTCCTTATCGGTTATCAAGGAGTTTGTGATGTTTGTTTTCGTCGCCGACGATATCATATTAGAGATGGGTGAAGTAAGGGATGGAATTAGGATTTCCTTTTTAGGGAAGGCTTGCTGGGAAGGGAGGCTGGAGTATCTTGCCAAGGGGGGAGGAATGTGTTGTATGATTATTTATAGATGGAGGCCTGTTTAATATGACATTTGAAGTCAAGTGCATGAGTACTCTGCAGGCTCTTTAAACTACATGAATACAATGATATCAAGCTTTCTAGAGATTATAACATATTTAGGGCTATATTCTATTTGGCCTCTTTGTTTTTCCGAGTATTGTTCCGTATACTGCTTTCTAGAAGCATTCCTTGAAGGAATCCATCCATGGCCGGACCTCAACATTCCAACGCAAGGCTAGACAACCAGCCACTGAAACAAACCAACAATGCATGCCCTCAATATTGAACGATAGACTACACATACGCCGTATTTAGATAACAGCGCATATCTCAAGAAAATGTCTCAGAATAATAATGCAAAGAACCGAGGATCCAATTCTATGTCTATACCACAAATGGCAATGCGTCAACTACGTATAATGAATAAGCACTTATATATTAGCCCTCTTATGGACCATTCTCCCCCCAACCCAAACAGCCTTAACATTACGATCATCTCCACTCCACACCCACTTCGCAATCTTCTCCTCCCAGCTCTCCCACCCAAACAAGTCTATGCCACCAGCATCCTCGCCTCCTTGATCGACCAGACCGTCTTGGTCATCACCCTCGCCAACTCCACGCCCAAGCTCAATCAACTGAGCGTCGAACAGCATTCCCTTCTCAAACCCGCCTATCTGATCGGCCATGTCAATTACCTGAGCGCCCCCTCGGGTTGCCAGGTACAGTGCTTCCTCAACAGACAGGGTCTCGCGACCATTATTCTCGGGCGTTTGCGAGGAGAGCAGCCGCGACACGAGGCACGCTTGACGAGTTGCTTCGAGGATGCTGGGCGAGTACCCGCCGCTGACATCCGTGCCCAAGCCGACTGTGATTCCATCATCTAAAAGCGTGCGTACCGGGCAAATGCCAGATCCAAGTGCGCTATTCGATGCCGGGCAGTGCGACACCTTGGCCTCACGGGCCTTGACCAAAGCGCGCTCTTCGGCGCTCAAATAGACCGCGTGCGCAAGGATTGTGCGGGGCGTCAAGAGCCCCTTATCATCATAGACCTGCGCGTAGCTTGACCCCGGGAACAACTCCTTCACCAACGCAACCTCATTCTTATTTTCTGAAATATGCGTCTGGATATGCAGCGGCGGGGTATACGATGCGGCGAGCTTCCCCAGGCCGGTTAGGGCTGTGTGAGAACAGGTCGGGGCAAATCGGGGCGTGACGATGGGGGCGACGAGTTTTGCTTTGGGGTCGATGTGCTGCACATAATCGATGACCTTCTGCATGGCGTCGATAGACTCGTCGCTCGACGCATCTTGGTAATCGTCGGGGCAAAACGCGGGATTGTCCATACACACGCGGCCAATGAAAGCGCGTTGTCCGCGCTGCTGGCATAGTGAAGCTAGTAGACATGTTGCTGGTACGTGTATCGTTGCGTAGTAAGCCGCTGTAGTCGTTCCATAAGAAAGCGTCCGAGAGATGACGCGGTTGTAAACCGTATGCGCTTTTGGCGGCGCAACATCAGAATTTTCACCCTCCGCAAAGGATTTTTCCATAGGGAAGGTATACTTTTTCAACCAATCTAAAAGTGTCGAGGAGCCAAATATACCAGCATTCGGGTATTGAGATGCATGGATATGGGTGTCTGGAACGTATGAGCATGGATTGATTCCACCTCCATGTAGTGGGAGCAGCACTCACCTATAAACCCCGGGAAAAAGAACCCATTCCTCCCCTCCCGACCACCTCTGATAATCACAACAGTCGGGTTTTCGTTGCCATCTGGATACGTCGTCCCATTTGTGGCTGTGCCCTCTGGCACCACGATCCACCCGTTCTTCTCAACGATCTTGTTGAGTCCGTATTCGTCGCTTCCAACACTCCAATCAAACCCCTCGATCCGGCCGCTTTCATTCAACACCCACAAAGCACCAGTATTAGTCTCGAGAGTATACCTCTCCCCAGATGGCCTGACGAGTCGGGGTAGTTGGATGAACGTGCCATGATAGAGCGTATAAGTCGGGGCCATTTTGACTACGTCCAGACCTCAATGAAGGATAGACGTTTTCTATATAATATAATCTGAAAAATACCATACAAAAGATACAGTAAAGAGAAAGAACTATTCAAGAAGGCTCAAGCAGAGTTGGTTGCTGATATCTTGATTGATCCGAAAATCCACTTATCAGCATCAGCGTCACACAACGAATGACCCCACGAGACCCCACGATAGCAGCAATTGACTGCCGGTAAAGCGATCAGGCTGCGTGCCGGATGACAGAATTGGGAGTCAGTGTGGAAAGTAGCATATAAGAACAGTAAATCATCATAAATGTAGGAGAAAGAGAGCCGCTAATAATATTTAAGAGTAATTAATGGTGATGGATAGATATTGTTGCCGGACCCGGCCACTGCAGCAGGGACGTCAGCCACACGGCATCGGCCGCTTCCGATAAGCAGCAAAGCCTCAGGGGCCGCACAGCGGGGTACAGCAATGATAAATTAAATACATTTAGATACATATAAAGATTGATAGATTGATAGATTGTTAGAACGGGTATGTCCTCGGGGAACTAATGAAGTAGAGCCTCCCCTACTTGGTAAAGCAACATATCTCACCCCATGCACCTACCTTACTTCCAAACAAACGAGAAGCAAAACGGTCCTCCTCCGAGCCGTCCGCAACTGGAACTTCAGCTTGTTTAAGCGATAGCGAGCATAGTTCCAGATGTCGAGGTGGGATTTCAAGAGAAACTAATCGGTTATAAGGCAGCTGTTCATCTTCAATAGTGAAAAGAGAAGCGTCCTCTGAGATTAGAACGCACTTTTATCACCGAATCACTTTTATGAACATGATCAAGTTGCGAAAAAGATCTAGGTAATGGTCAGTAGTATTATGCATTAGGAGCGACGCTATTGATCAAATACCTATAGATAGATCGAGAGTGAGACTGGATTATGGATATAGAAGCTTGAGTTAGTGGCTTGTTAGAGATGCCCGAGGACGACCAGAGCGCAAGCGGTTGTAAGACGCTCTCGTTAGGGTGACAATATCTTTTTTTCCTCCTCGATCTCGATGCCACTAGATCCTTCCTGTCTATAATCGTCTTCAGTGACGTAGAAATACGGCCGAGTTCCTCGTGGCGGTCTGCCGGAATATCTACCCAGTCAGGTAAGATCTATGCGCTATACAGAGTCCCGTGAGTCCGAGGTACGTAGAAACCGCCGTGAAGAGAAAAGAATAGATTACATAAGTAGCAAGCACTCTTAATTGAGCAGATAAATCTTGACTACGGTTGGTCCGGATGAATCTCGTAGAAGAATAGGAGTTGTACAGAGACGTGCAGAATCACCTTCCAGATTTATGCGCGCACCTCGACTTTGTCTCCACACCAATCTGTAATTCTTGGCACACGCTTTACCTATCTTAGCCTAGCCGCAGTAATGTTACGAAACCAACATATGCAAAGCTAAGGACAGATTAGGATGTCTTAAGCCACTTCAGGGCAAGTGTCTGTTAAAGCGGCTAACACCACGGCCAACCAGTTACCACGACCACACACAGCCCGTTTGCTACTCACACGGGATTACACATTACATAAGCAACTACACTCGGGTATACAATAAGAGTGTAGGAGAAGTGTAGGAAAAGACAAGAAGGTGATTGGATATACAATCTGTATACGGACAGATTGTAGGGATATTGTAGGAACGACATCTATATAAACACACCCATTTGCATGTATCTAGTTTACCTTAGCATAGTTCTTTAACATAAGTCACTACGATTATTACTATCAGTTACACTGTAAGGGTCAGCAAGGCAATCCCACTTGAAGTACTACGGCACTTCAAGGCATCGCTCCTACTTTAGTTGTGTCTTACCCTCACCTTTACCCTTCGGCAACCTTTGTACTTCGTTACTAGTTACCCTCAAGGAACCTCTGTGTGGTTCAACACATCGTATCGCTCCTCGACACAGCCAGTGACAACTAGAGTGGGTCCCGGTGCGTGACAAAAGAACTATCGTCTTGACCCCGAGGAACGATACGGGACAAGTACTATCAAGCAGGGCCAATTACTACATTAGGAAAGTATTACCCCAACAAGACTACTAATCATGGCAGGCAACAATGCAACTCCAACACCCAGTACCACTGGAGGACAAACACCCAGTGTTCAATCCGTAATGGCAGTCAATCAACAATTACGTGAACGAATTAGCCAATTGGAGAATGCATCACACGCAAGGATTAAGATCAACAAACCAACTCCGTTCAAAGGAGATAGGACCAAGCTGAGGAGTTACCTAGCACAAATGCAGTTGTACTTTTCTGTCAACTCGCACTTGCTGCATGGGGAACCAGACAAGGTCTTGACAGCTTCAACGTTCCTAGAAGGAGAAGCTATGGATTGGTTTGAACCCTATGTACGGGCATGGTTTGAGATAGCCCCAGATGACAGGGAAGACGAGATCGATGAAACCTTTGCGGACTACAATGTATTCGTCAGAAAAATCAAATCAACCTTTGGAGAAATCGATGAGAGAAATAACGCAGCTCAGAAAATTCAACGTCTGAAGCAGATCACATCAGCCTCAGACTATGCGTCGAAATTCTACCAGATCAGCTCTCATCTCGGATGGGATGATGAGGCCAAAGCAGATCGATTCTACCAAGGACTGAAAGACGACATCAAGGATGAGATAGCCAGAATACCCACTAGGCCAGACAATCTCACGGACATGATTGATGTAGCAGTCAAACTCGACAATAGGCTCTACGAACGACGTATGGAAAAGAAATACGGCGGAAACTGGAGCAGTGGCAAGAAACCATACCACCACAAGAAAAGGGAGGACCCGTATGGACCTCGACCTATGGAACTTGATGCCACTCAAGAACAGCCAAAAACGAAATTCGACAAGTCAAAGATAAAGTGTTACAACTGTGGGAAGACGGGCCACTTCAGGAGAGAGTGTAGAGTCAAACCACAAGGACGACAATTGAATGCGACAAATGAGGAAGACAGAGAGTCTTACCCGAAATACGACTATGACGACGCGGAACAGTATGAATCGGGAGACACCGAAGAGTTCCCAGAAATGGACGAAATCCCAGAAAGCCAAGGGTGGCGACAGTACGAAGGGATGAGTCAGGTCGAAAAGATAGAAAGCCAATTGAACGAAGCTCTGAACGACATCGAGAGTTCAAAGACGGCTGACAAAGAAAAAGGAAAGCAGAAGCTTTACGAAGTTCGGACACACCTCGAGAACAAGTGTGGAGCCGAGTGCAGGGTAATCTTTGAAGAGAAAGACCACCCAGGGCACGGATTATTACATTGGACCTTTTGCACAATGGATTCATGCACAATCCATGGGGAAGCAAAAGAAAGCCAGGGCTACTTCCCAAGAAAGAGGAAGCAAGCGAAGATATCAAACTGCGAATGGAAATTGACGCAGGAATGGAACACCATCAGCCCCTCGAAGAAAAAGGTGGTGCAGCTCAGTGAAGCTGGGAGTTTCGAAGAAACTCGTAACCCCGAAATAGGCAGAAAAGACGATGATCCACGAGATGGATTCGTAAAAGCCTGGATGAACGACTACATTCAACTACCTTATGGCGAAGACCCGAAGAATCAGCCATGTGTCCATACCAACCATGACCTCACCAGAATTGAAAGGATGCAGTGCATCATAACACCATGGTATGAGAAAGAAGGAAGAATGAGCGTAACGAAACAAATGAAGGAATGGAAATGCCAGACGGCATGGTGCAATTGCTTACAGCTTGAGCAACATCCAAAGCATCGGATGTTATCATGGAAAATCTGCTACAATGACGAATGTATAACGCACGTACACCCTAAAATTAGGGCTGGGGAATTTCCAAAAGGGAAATGGCCGCAGCATGCGGACAACTGTGCATACGAAAGGGCAGAACTCAACGCAACGGCTTGTGGAAGGCAACTAAGAACCACAGTGGCCATATACGGAATAGAGATCGAAGCAATGGTCGATTCGGGAGCAACGCACAACTTCATGGATAAAGAAACAAAACGAACATTGAAAATCTTGGGAAGGAAGAAACCCCAAGCAGTACCCATCACAGGACTCAGCGGGGTGAGCCTGCAAGAAGGGGGAGTCACACATGAAACAGGGTGGTTGTCCATGGTATTAGGAAACCATCACGAGATGATCAACTTTGACGTCGCAGAACTGGGACCAAACGACATAGTTCTTGGAATCCCATGGCTCAAGGTTCATAACCCGGAGATAAACTGGGGAACTGGCGAAATCAAAATGAATCGTTGTAATTGTGGACAGATATCTCAGGTAGATGAAGTCACCGGACAGGCGGGAGACTTGAGTACGACGGAAGAAGCAGACGACTTGACTTCCTCGTGGACTCTTATACGGAATGGGACCAAAGGGGAGGCCATTACCGAACACCTGAAAGAGGAGTGTCAGATCGCGGCAACCGCAGAACCTGAACTACCTAAAGAATATGAACGATTCAAGGAATTGTTCAACGGAACATACAAGAAATTACCTGAACACAGTGAATGGGACCATACCATCCCATTGAAAGAAAACGAAGAACCAAGACCTCAACGAATCTACCCCATGTCAGAAAATGAGACGGCAGCACTTAAGAAGTACCTGAATGAAAGCTTGGAAAAGGGATACATCAGACCCTCAAGCTCGCCAGCAGGATACTCCGTACTCTTTGTGGGAAAGAAGGGGACTACTGACCTACGACCATGTATAGACTACCGACAACTGAACAAAATCACTATACGAGACAGTCACCCATTACCCCTGATTTCGGAAATACAAGACAAAATACGAGGAAAGAAATGGTTTACGAAACTCGATATTACGGACGCGTACAACAGACTGAGAATCAAGGAAGGAGAAGAATGGAAAACTGCATTCAAGACCAAGTTTGGACATTACGAATATCTGGTTATGCCTTTCGGATTAACCAATGCACCAGCAGCATTCCAACGGTACATCAACCATGTAATCGGGGATTACCTATACGACTTTACTGTCGCATACCTCGACGACATATTAATATTCTCAGACAGCATGAACGATCACGTACGACACGTAAGGATGGTCCTACATCGCTTACGGGAAGCAAAGCTACAGTTGAAGCTTAGGAAATGCGAGTTTCACGTACAAGAAACGGACTTCTTGGGACACAGAATCACTCAAGAAGGGATCCAAATGGATAAAGAAAAGGTACAGGCGGTACGAGACTGGCCTACACCAAAGAACGTTAAAGAAGTGCAATCCTTTCTCGGATTAATCAACTACTATCGACGATACGTGAAAGGATACGCAGGGATAATGAATCCCA